GAAGTATGATGGTTTTACAATGAAAAGTAACGTTATTGCCTGCTACTTCCATATCAACGTGACCTTAGTAGATAGCCAAAAGGCTGCGTTGATTGATGGCTACAACGTACAACGTGGTACATTGCGAATGGCGAATAGATCTGATTTGGGCGACGTATGATGTTTTTACAATGAAAAGTAACGTTATTGTCTGCTACTGCCATATCAACGTGACGTTGTTATACGCCAAACGACTGCGTTGAATTGTGGGCTACAGTGTGATGCATTGCGAATGCGAATAGATCTGATTTGAACGAAGTATGATGGTTTTACATTGAAAATTAACATTATTGCCAGCTACTTCCATATCGGCGAGACCATATTACGTAGCAGAAAGCTGCGTTGATTGCTGGCTACAATGTGATGCATTGCAAATGGCGGATAGATTCAATTTGAGCGAGGTGTGATGTTTTTTCATTGAAAAGAAAAGTTGTTGCCTGCTTCTGCCATATCATCGAGACCTCGGTATACAGCAAAAGGCTGCTTTAATTGCTGGCTACAACGTGGTGCATTGCGAATGGCGAATAGATCTGATTTGAGCGAAGTATCATGATTTCGCATTGAAAAGTAACGTTGTTGCCTGCTACTGGTATATCATCGTGGCATTGGTATCCGCCAAAAGGCTGCTTGTTGAAGTCCGGGGTCCAACGTGGCGCATTGCGAATAGCGAATAGATTTGCTTTGAGCGAGGTATGATGACTTTTCAATGAAACGTAACGTTGCTGCCTGCTACTGTCATATCAACGTGGCCTTGTTATACAGCAGAACGCTGTGTCGATTGCTGGCTACGATGATGGTGCATTGCAAATGGTGAATAGATTCAATTTGAGCCAGGTATGATGTTTTGCATTGAAAAGCAACATTGGTGCCTGCTTTGCCATATCAACGTGACCTTGGTATACAGCAAAATATTACGTTGATTGCTGGCTACGATGATGGTGCATTGCGAATGGCGAATTAATCCGATTTGCGCGAGGTATGATTTTTTTACTTTGTAAAGCACCATTTGTGCCTGCTATTGCCATATCAATATGACCTTGTCATACAGCAAGGACTGCTTCAATTGCGGGCTACAATGTGATGCATTGCGAATGGCGATTAGATATGATTTGAGTGAGGTATGATGATGTTGCATTGTAAAGCAACATTGGATCCTGCTGTTTCCATATCAACGTGACCTTGGTATAGAGCACAAGATTGTGTTGATTGCTGGCTGCGATGGTGGTGCATTGCAAATGGCGAATAGATGCAAGTTGAGCAAGTTATGATGATTTTTCATTGTAAAGCAACGTTATTGCCTCTCACTGTCATATAATTGAGGCCTTGGTATACGCCAAAAGACTGCTTGAATCGCGGGCTACAAGGAGACACTTTCATCGCGACATCATCGCGACATCCTTTCCGGGAGCGATCCTGATTTTAGTTGCCTTATCCTATCCTCTTTTTGCATGCATGTAAGTCCTTCTCGTCCGAAACCATGAAAAGGGAATCCAGACTATGGTAGCATTCGATCATTACCTTCAACCTTCATAATACAACTCACCTGATTACTGCTTGTCCCTTGGTATATAATGGCATCACCCTACATAGATCATTCTCGTCTACCATCGACTGGTTCTCATTCCTTTCGTCAGATAATACCTTAGTTGCTATCGTAAAGAAGAGAGAATGTGGCTGCCGTGGATATTTTGTACAAAGCCAAGAACCATAGACAGATGGAAGTACTCCTTTAATGTAGAACTAAAGGAGTACTTCCATCTGTCTATGGTTCTTGGCTTTGTACAAAACATGCAAGGTAGACATGCGGGGGATTGTTACTGACACCCCAAACATCTACCATATTAAGCCTACGGGACACCCCAAGTTACATGGCCTATATAATCAAAGTTCATTATCCTCATTCATCATGCATCTTAGATCTTACTTTATGGAGCCGACTAGGCGCTAATAACTGGTCAAGTCAAACCATTTACTAGGTCCAATGGTATTAATAACTTGTCGTGCGCAAGACAACAGTGCTTATTATTATCACTTGATCTAGTAAATGGGTTGACTTGGCAGCTATCATTACCATTGAACCTAGTAAATGGTTTGACTTGACCAGTTATTAGCGCCTAGTCGGCTCCATAAAGTAAGATGCATGATGAATGAGGATAATGAACTTTGATATATAGGCCATGTAACTTGGGGTGTCCCGTAGGCTTAATATGGTAGGTGTTTGGGGTGTCCGTAACAATTCCCTGTTGATACAAACCAAGTACGCCGAGGACATGTATCAAATAGGATTCCAATTTGGTCTCAGCCATTTTATTGCTGATCAACCCCCCAAAAAAAAGTGGAATGCCGATTTTCTGGAAGTCTGCTAAGATAGAGTTGTCAATCAATGCATCAAGAGTCGTCAATGATATCTTTTAGGGAGCGGTTTTCTTCCCACGCCCACACCCTGTAAAACAAGCTCGCTTCAACAGCAAGACATTCCATCGCTTTTTTCCCCTTTCTCTCTTTACCACACTCTTTCTTTTCCAAAATCATGTCTTTACCTCTCTTTCAAGGTGAGATCATCCTGGTTCATCAGTGATCTTTTTTTTTTACATATTCATTTATAAGATACTCCTTTGTTAGTGGCATGTATCCTCGTTCCCCCAAATCAAAAACGGGTACCAGTTGTCTTATACGCGGTATCGTATATGCACTTGTAAAATTTATGCTATCAATGATGACAGTTATACTGATAACCTTTAACGTAGGCGAGCACCAATACAAGACCAGGATGACAATATTACCTTTGATTCCCATCCTTACGATGATGATCCTCGTAATGATGAAGCTTGGATAGGAACACATTCTTCGATAGACGTTTCTTTTGTTTATGTATTTATCCGTGTGACATTGTGTGGTGTTTGTGTTCTATATTGAGTCAACAAAACGGTATGCATGATCATTACTTCGCTTCTTTTTGGTAACACCGCTCACCAAGGTCTACATGCAGCTTGGCCGTCGATCCATTAAGAAAGGCCTTCGGATATGGAATTTGCCATGCCATCAGAGACAACCAAACTAGGCTTTCATCGTATCTTTGGTGCTTATTTGACCAAGAAAGGAGTAGATCAACCAAGGATAAGGGATTATTCAAGCGCAGCGACAAGCACCTTTTCCGCAACGTAGATTGGAGGCGTTTTCTTGCTATGATTTGGGTGAAATTTGGCGGGTGAACATCTGGATTCGACATCGTTACGTGAGCAAGAGATGAATTTATTACAAGGTAAAGTGGTCATTGTTATGGCTTTCAAATCTCGTTTCTAACAGCGTGTTGTATAGTTGTGTGCCTTCATGAATGATTCTGAGATACGCCATCCCTATCAAAAATTCATCGTGGCGTCCTGTGGCATTACAATGTATTTGCAATACATACAATCGTTACGTCAAATGCATGTTAACACGCAGATAGCAACGGCATGGGTGTATCATACAAAGGCGACCTCGAAGTCGTCCTTGCATATTGGACCAAGAAGAGATAGACCAAGACAGTGGATTATACGAGCCAAACGACTTTAGCGTTTTCCAAAATGATGTGGTTCTTTTCACCGCTAGCCAACCGCCTTATTGGTCGATTGTCATCTTGAGAAGGGCTACGATCTTCATCCGACGAAGCCATTATTATGTGATGGACGAGAGCGAAAATTATTACAAGGTAAAGTGGTCATGGGATAGGATGGTTTTCGGGATATTGTTGCTAACAGCGTCTTGTATAGGTGGTTTACTTTCATTCTTCCATCATGACGGTTTGGTGCTGTTTGGTGTGCAGGCAATGGCAGCAAACGTTACATTTTCCGATAAAGGGGCTGGCTCTTTCCCAAGGTGGACGAGCAACTATTTCTCGATCATATTTGCTGGCCGGTTGCCATTTTGACACGGTGGGCACCTTGTCTGTCGCCAATGGATGCTGGCAATGCAAACAAGGTAAAGGGGTCATGCGTTAAGGTGGTTTACGAGAATCGTTCCTAATAGCAGGTCGTATGGGTGGTTTCCTTCGTTGTGATTAGGAAGATATCTTTGATACAAGCAGTGTGGGTGGACAAGAGAAGATTTTGTTACAAGGTAAAGTGGCCATAGTGTGCGGTGGTTTTGAGTGTCATTTCTAATGGCATGCGTTGTAGGCGTCATTAAGCCAAGCTGGACCAGGTTGCTCTGGTAGTTTTGTAATCAAGTTACCATCATCAAGATTAACCATGGCCTCTTTTGACATAATAAGGTATTTGCAATATATCCAATCGTTGACGTCTAATTCATGCATACAAGCTTTTTCGGGAAACCTAGACAAATATTCCAAAAACGCCGTTATTCAATTATCGAAGCTGATCTTTGATGGGCATGATCCTCGCAACAGCCAACTTTTTCAACAACGATACATGACCAATGCACAAGTATACGCTATCTTAGAGGAGCAACTCCCAAAAATCCAGCGAGTATTCTCCATACGCCAGATTGCCCTTCTGATTACTGAACACAAGGAGCATCTTGGAAAGCTGACATGGAAGCGAAGCAGTGGAGATAACACCAAGGTGCGATCATTGTATGCCCTCAAAATAGTCTGCACGAGGCAAAGTATCAATTATTCTACTAACAGAGTAAGAGGCACCTCTGGCTTTGTCTGTTTCCTTTGATACTCATTTGACGATATTTCGGTGTTACCATGAGTTCAAAAGCTTCCGTACATCAATCCTTGCGATCCTACGTCTTGCCAAAGAAATATAAACCAGGCTCTGATTTGATCAGCAAACTTGTCTTGGACGATACCCGTGTCACGAATATTGTTGTTCAAGAACTGATCGGTACGAACTCACATCGGTCACCATCGCTTCATTTGATTTCTCTGCTTACTTTTCAAAACTAGGGCAACATGCAAGGGACAGACGTCCGACTGAATGGAGGAACTTCACCAAATCGGACGTCTTGTACACAACAACTAGCACAACGAGCGATCATTACCTCCAGTACTTGCAGAAGTACAGTACTCGGGTAGCATGAACTTCTTTGTACGAATGATTGACTACGGCCGGTCGATAAAGCAGCAGCATTCCGTATTACCAACCGTGTTAGCCGTCATCACACATAACACCACCAAAGAACTGCAGAACTTAGCAACCGCATCAGAATCACGTCCGTATCTTTTCGAATTACCTTGTCATGGGTGGGCGTGATCATGCTTTATGATCAATGGAGCGTCGATAGTGGATCAACTACAAGATGAAGCACTCAATCCACTGCTTACCCTGTCGCACTTTTTCATACAACAAAAGCGGTAACTGGAGCAGATGGATCGTAACGATGATGCCACCATCCGATTGATGTACAGCATTGCGGAAGAGATCTTTGGGGAGGAACAGTATGGTGATGACGGTGACGCGGATATGATGAAGGCCATACGTGACGAGTGTCTTGCGGGAAAGTCATATCTTCTTGAGGTTGTACAAGACGTAGTTGTGCGAAAACAGACACTAGCATCTCTTGATCAGATATTGGAACTGGTTGATCGACGAACGTCTGTGAATGACATTCAGGATGAGAAAAATGGTGAGTTTGCAGGCAACTATTTCGAGACTCATGGCACCCACAACTGGGAGGAGATCTTTAACCAGGGGAAAGCTAAAGGCCTTTACAAGACCTACTCCGTGTGGGTCAGCGTGAAAACCGCGTACTATCGATTTAAAAAACAAAACAAAAAGTCGTAGTTACTATATATTTGCCGCTTGTATATCAACTCTTATCACAAAGCACAAACCTCAATGAATGTATCGTTACTCTTGTCATGTTATTTGGAATTATATGAGGAGTATTGAAGTACAGGATTTTCAATCCAATTCCACTCATGGTCGCTTTAGTTTTTCAGATTTGGAAATAGCAGTTTTCATATTTGGGAATGCTGGTTCTTGGAGCACAGGTGATGGATTCATTAGTGCACGAGAAAAAGATATTTGGTCGCAAAATTGCATAATCGGTCCAATTGTTGTTGACAAATAAAACGTGTTCGTGACATATGGAACAGCTTAAATGGCTGGGTGCATATATGTAGTCAATGGTCGATAAACAACAGCTATGTCTATATGTAGGAATCCCATGGTCAGGGAAATGTATATTATCATGTATGCATTCAGACAAGTGCAACTCGAGCCATGTCTGCCATGTTGGTGGAGCATTAAACTGTACGCCGCTGCGCTGCAAATCATACATAGATAAAGTCAACCCCCTCCATGATGAATAACTGATCGACGTTGATTCAGTGCTCCACCAAATTTCATTGTGTTGGTACAAAGATTTGGAAAGCTGATTACGTGCTCTATGCGAGCTGACGGGTGCATAGATGTGAGTATATATACATATGTCATGAAAAACGTGGTCAGTATGTAGGAGATATACAAGTTGAGCACGCATTGTAAAGTCAAGGCAGATTCATGTGCACAATGTGGCGTCCAAAAATATGGATGATCATAGAGTCGTTTGTGAAAGGTGCCTTTGTGAGAGCTGATGCGTTGGCATGAGTTTCTTGTAATGTGATGACGTGAGCTGGCTTCTGTCATAAAAATTCTCGAACTTGAGACTTTGATTTTTCTTGCATGATGGTTCATTAATAGTGATCTATTGATAATCACTACCCAGAGCTAGAGGTAGGGTTTGAAGACCAACAGCGAGACGAAGCAAAAGTACAAATTCTAAAAGGTAGGTCCCAAAGACGACAACAGCTCAATGGCGATGGATATGATTCGACCAGTAATAAGGCAGTACTTGCTTTCTGATTTGATGGGTAGTCAATCTCACCTTTCTATCATTTGTAGCTCACTGGGAGAATGTCTCTCATTCATTGGATACATATCTTCTCTTCGGTTGGCATACATTAGCATACAACATTCGCATTATCGCAAGCCAAAAGAGCATGATCGAAACCGCGGAGAGTTAATATCATTCTGGTATTTTATCGTGTCTTTGGTTGTTATGCTATAGCAAATGGATATTTTATAATGGCGAATTGGGTCTTTCAGTGTCTTTTGATGCACGGTGATCTTTTCGTGCCAAAAATAGTGCCCATCTTACGGATAAACTTTCTATTGCATGCCTTGATAACACGCTCACAGGATGAAGGAGGATGAACCATGCAAATTGACAGCTTGGAAGGATAACAATTGCACGTGAGACGCTCTCTGTATAAAATAAAACCCATCATTGTTGATGTACAATGAGCAATATGGTGATTGTATTTAAAATGAAAAGAAAATATCATTGAGTGGGGGGGGGCGCTGTGGGGATGATGCCGGTGGAGGTGGAGGCGCGGATGTAAAAAGTGAACAAAAAATTGTTGGTTGTAGCTTCATCATGGTATCCAACGCTCTTGCAATTGCTGTAAGGACGTACGCCATCGTCGTTGTCGCACCTTGAGTTGATCATTTTTTTGTTGTTCTTTTGATTCAACGGTGTAGATGGCAGGTAGCTGCCTCTTGCTATCATCCCATCATCACCGGCTTCATCGTTGTAAAACGAAATGATGCTATTGTTCGTATCTGTTGTTGCTGCCTTGATGATGATTGTTGATTCATGTTGTTATGTTTTATCCATTTTCACTTCTACGACCCCGTACTTTGTACACAATGGAAAACGTTTGCGCAGCCAACTTGCAATGGCGATCTCGCTAACACCATCACTTTAACAAAACTATTGAGCTTTCAAAGGGGCCATCGACTTTAAACAGCAAGCGAGGAACAGCAAGCGAGGAACTACACGTAACAGTATTGACATGCACGGACGCCACCTGTGAGACGTATGTTTGACTAAGGAACATGGACAACGGTCGATGGACGGTATAGCTGATCCACCCAGGAAAGGCGTTGCCAAGCCGACAGCTATTTATCCATGGACTGGTATCAAATTACATTCCTCCGATAGCCAATTGCATCCCTTACATCGAAGCATTCATACAAGACAAAAGAGAAGTAAACATGCCATTTAGAAACTAGAAAGATTGACGGCCTTTACTTTACATTGCATATTTTCTGGTCGTAACAAAATCATATGATGCCACATATAACGCATTTAGGTAACTAGAGCAATTATGGGTTATTCAACAAGATGTTCGATACCCCACAAGATGCGTTACATGCAATAAGAGGTGCGGTATATACAACGAGAGGCCAACGTGCACATGCAATCGGAGGCACCACATTCAACATAAGAGCAAAACACAAAATGTGCTACATGTAATCGTAGGCGCGACACCCGAGTGTATGCCGCACCTCTTGTTGTATATCGCGCCTCGCGTACGTAGTAGCTCTCATTTCATATTACAACAAAATGCGAAAGTCAACATTAGGACATTGAATGTTTGTCATTTACAGAAAGTGACGAACCACAAAAACAATCACATTCATCAAACACATTATAAATCAACAACTTCATATCCTTGCTATGCAAAAAAGGTTCTTCTTTCCATTGAATACGATCAATTCATTCACAGTCAACTCAAAGACTGCCACAGCCAGTAGAGCAAATATTGCTCGATTATCAGCTTCGACCCTTCCATCACGTTAATCCCAACATTAAAGCTTGTCCACAATTGACGAGAGAGGCATTTAGGACAAGCCAATCGCACTGCAGCAGCTTTCGATCCATTTTACTTCTACATGCTGAACATTTATGCACCAGCCTATCAAGCAACCACATTTCGATTTTTCAAAGATCTGCTACCTATTAGAACTGGATGTTCTCATTGCTGCCTAATGACATTCGGCTGTGTTCTTTCATGAACCCTTTGTGGTAGGTATAAATATCATTTATAATTAAAAGGATGCCTAGCCTGATAGGGAATTTGGGGCTCCTTCGTAGGTGACAAAAGTACATGAATCGCAGATCCCACACCTATGGACATGTGTAAACAAGGCCGTCAAGGCCGCAACATCCTTCGATCTGGCATTCTAAGATGCTTGATATCCACTCTATTGGTCTCAATTCATCACGAGCTCCTTTATCGTGCATGGACAACAACAATTATCACGTGCATGAAAACATCCATCATCTTCGACCGAAGTCGCAGTATTCCAAGATGTTTGAGTTTCCATCACAGGATCCTTTGCTGGCATGAACATCGACAACAATTCCCACGCCCAAACACATATACAATGAAGGCTGTTGTCATCAACATCGCCACACATCTCTTTCGTCTTTCGCACATAACATCATGACCTTGCTATTTGGTAAGTGTTGAGAAGAGCTGCTTAGCGATTTGTATAGGTCGGAAATAGCTCATGCCTTGCTCTTTGTGATCATCTCTGCAGTTCTTTATTGCTTCATTACGTGTCTCCATGTTGTCTTTGTTATATGTAATCTTATTCCCTGACGAATCCTTTGTGGTACATGCCTGGGTGCCATCTGGAATTCAAGAAGAATGGTGCGCAACGAGTGGTGGAAATAACAAGGAAAAGAATGTGCAGAAACGCACGTAGGTTGATTTCTTACCATTCTTAATGGTATAGATCTCTTAATGTTTGCAGACGACAAAGAAATCATTGAGCCTCGTTATCATCGACTATGCGGGGTTGTCTATTGTCCCCGACGACATCGCGGAATTTATCAAGTAATGCGGAAATGGATCATCACCTATCAACCATCTTAAACACTGACTGGACTCGCAAGCCCTGGTTACGATATGGGACTGCTCGAATGATGGAAGGACTTATACTCGTGGAGAAAGGAATGGGATAATATGAGAACCCATAATTGTTTCTTTTTTTTTTTTTTGTATTTAAGTGTTGACTTTATTAATCAGAAGGTACAAAAGATTGATATAGAATGTCGGATTTTAGAGTATTGAAAGCGGTGGCACTGATCCAAGGCTCATCATCAATAATGCAACGCCAATGATGTCTCCAGAGTACCGCCAGGATGCAGCCCAAACGAATTAGTACCGAGGGTGGGAGTGGTGAACCATTGGTGGATCGAAGTTGAGTGAAAGCATGCCAGAGGGAATCTTGAGAAGGAAGGAGGCCAAGTAATTGGTAATGTTGTAAAGCGTCTAACCAGAACGGGCGTTTCCTGGGACAATCAACAATCATGTGATATAATGTTTCTGGAGCAGCTTGACAGATGGGACATTCCGTGCTTGGATACTTGCTTGGTTCCCAGCGATGAAGTTTGGTGCGATAGGCAACGCTATCATGAAGGATGCGCCACCAGACCGTGATACTCTTGTTGGGTAGAGAAAGATGCCAGAATTGACGCCAAATAGCAGTAGAAAAACATAAAGAGAAAGGATGAACGATTTCGGGTGGACGTGGTTGTTGAAACATTGCCTTCCAGTTAGGATGCCATATACGTCGTATTTGACCCAGAGAGAGAGCAGGAATATCGCAACGTTTGGATGATGTGATTTGTTGATTCCAATGGGTAAGTGATGGCATCAAGGATGTTGGTGGGGAGTATGGCTGAGGTGGTGGCGTTAGAAGGAGTGTGCGATATAATTTGATGGTGACATGGTTGTTGAGTTGGATTGTAGCAAAAGCATAATCAAGGCGATTCTCATGTAGTTTGTTGACCATCGTGGTAAGGCTTGGGCGGAGTCGATGTGCATGGAATATAAAACAATGTTTGCGAGGATGCCAGCTGACAATATCAGAAAGTAGATAACGGCTTGATAACTTGGGTTTATCCTTTTCTTGTGGTAGGATATTTTGTAGAGGTAGATCAAGGAGCCAACGACCAGACCACTCTGGTGAGATATCCAGTGACGGTAAGCGAGCGATGAGCTTATTCAGGTGAGCCATGTTGTCATCTTTGGCAAGATACTTGGTGAAGCTGGATGGAAAGAGGAACCATGGTAAAAGGGAGGCGTGACCAGTGAGAACTTGGTAATATTTGATGATCCAGGGAGAGAGAAAATCAGAAGAGCGATGGGGGATACATAAGCGTTGGACATATATGAAGTGAAGTGCGAGGCTTTGATCCTCAATATCAATGAGGCCAATACCACCAAAGCGACGAGGTAGGCATAGTGTCGTCCAGGCGGGAGCCGGCCAGAACGGTAAGACAAACTTCTGCACAATAGACTTTACCTCCTTTAACCAAGATTCAGGGGCTGGGATTACCCGGAGAACATGCCATAACCGTGACAAGAGTAGAGAGTTGGCCACCAGACTTGAACCGCGAATCGAAAGATTTCTAGCCTTGAGTATATTGGCATGCCGTGCAATCTTAACCTTGATACCATCCAAAAAGTTCAAAAGTTGTGTCTGTGTATGATACAACGGATAGCCCAAATAACGCACTGCATCTAAGGAGGAGGCATCGTGCCATTGGGCACCATAATCACTGGCCTGAGTCCTCCATGTAGAATTAGCCTGCCCGGAAAGGGGCATGACCACCGTCTTGCTCAAGTTTACTCTTGCGTTTGAAGCTTGCCCATATTGATTGAGTATATCCAGCAGTATTGGCCATTCGTTTGGACATGACAAGAAAACTTCAAGATCGTCAGCATAGCTTAAGAGTTTCACTGGTGATGGCTGGCTCATAAAAGATGCACTAATACAGTCCAGCTGTTGGGTGCTATCCCAAGTAGTATCCGGATCATGCACCATCGTAGGGCTTGGCTGGTCTCGTCGTGTGGTGATTGGTGATAGAGAAACACCTGTCAACGGACTTGACAAAATCGTACGAAGTAGCGGTTCAAAAGCGAGGTTAAAAAGCAAAGGAGACAAAGGATCCCCTTGTCTCAAACCTCGACCTTGTTCAAAAGGCGCTCCAAGCCATCCATTGATACTTATGTGTATTTGAGTGTTGAAAAACAAATGCGATAGAGTCGAGACAAAGGCATCAGGAAAACCAAAGTGGATCAGTGTTCGTCGTAAGTATTCAGGATGAACCCTGTCGTAAGCCTTTTCCTGGTCTAGGAGCACTGCTACCTGGTCCTTGGATGTATTGGATTGGCGGGAATTATGCATAAGTATTTGATTCAACCAACCATTATCGGATATCAGCCGATGTGGCATAAAACCCGTTTGGTATGGATTGATCAGGCGTGGTAGTACAGCATTGACCCTATTGGCAAGCATCTTGGTGAACAATTTGGCATCTGTATTGATCAAGGACAAAGGTCGCCAATTTGCAAGCAACTCCGGATCGCCTTTCTTGTATAGTAGCACCATACGTGTAGAGCACCAAGTTTGAGGAAAGACACCATGGCATGCATCCTGTATAATCGTCAGCAGAAGAGAGCGGAAGCGCATTGACCGACCAGCCAGGTGTTTATATACTTCAAAAGGTATGCCATCGAGACCAGGGCTTTTTCCTGATGGTGAGTGATCCAAAATATCCATCACTTCTCCTGTATGTGGGGTGGCCATTAATTGAGTTCGATCCGCTGTATCCAATTTGACATTGGGTGGAATATTGGACAGTAATCCATCCACAGCCGTAGTGTTGATCTCTTCAGGTGTATACAAGTGTTGATAGAAAGACCGAGCTTCCTTGATGATTTCTTGCGTATTGAATAACACCTCTCCTGTGGTAGTGGATTTCAAAGACTGTATCGTTTGTTGAGCTTGCCGTGTTTTGATTACTTGATAGAAGTACTTGTTATTGCGTTCACCATTCTCGTGCCAGCGAGTGGCAGAACGTAACATAGCATGTTGCGTATTTTCTTTGATGAGCGAGTCGATGTTGTTTTCAAGTACTGCTAATCCAGGTGATGATGGTATAGTAAGGGCCTGTTGGCGCGCCTCCTGGAGTTTGGTCAATTGCTTTTTGCGACGTGATGTTGAACCCCGAGAGAATTGCTGTGCTGTACATTTCAATACTATTTTCAATGATTCCCATTGGGCTTGTGGTGAGGAGGAGCCTTCAGGTGCTGTAAGCTCATTGAAAGGATCAAAGAATAGATTGATGGTCTCATCCAGCAGTTTGACGAAAGTGTCATTGGTTAGCAGAGTGGGGTTAAACCTCCAAGTACCACGGCCTTGATCTTGTCTTGGAGGCAAGAGATCCACAGCCAAAAGGCTATGGTCTGTCCAATCTGGTGGCATATAGTGTAAAGTCGCTTGGGCCAAACGAGTGGCAATTGAATGATGACCAAAGATGTAGTCAATGGTAGATCGGGAATCACCCCGTGTGAAAGTTGACGATCCCTGAGGAAAGCAATTATCAAAGTGCGTCATGATCCATTCATACCATGGTTTGACAGCGGGTTTTTGAATCACTGTCCTGGTGTGTAGGTTCATGTTGAAATCCCCTAAAAGCACCCAAGGATCAGCATTCACCTCACTCACAAAGGGTAATGACAGAAAAGTGCACAAGAAATCTTGACGAACTTTCTGGTCAGCCGGGGCATAAACATTGATGACACGACAGACCGTGTGATGATGCTGATCTTTAACAGATGCAACAGCAACACGTTCATCCATAGAAACCAGAGTTGACTCCAGAGAAAGAGAAGGCCGTAGGCAAATGATGGCAACATGCTTGGTGATGACTGATGAGCAATTTGGAAACATGAAACGAGTAAATTGGTCGAGCTGGGAGGTGGTGAGGTGATCATGATGAGTAAGTGTCGAGGTTTCTTGAAGGCAAAGGATGTCGAGGTCGAGTGAAGATGATTTGAGGTGGTGTATAAAGGAACGACGGGTTGATGTTTTTGACTCTTTGAAAATGCTACGTGCATTTAAAGAGCCTATTCGCATGGGTCTTACTATCATTGTGCCCTACGGGCGGATGATGATAGTTTGTTGGTGGGTTTTGGAACCACTGGTTTCATTATAGCGGCTTGAGATATCTTCATGGTGTCATTATGAAATGACTTTGGTCGTTTCACTAGTGTTCGTTTGATCATTTCTGATTTGGCCCTGGTGGTTTCTTTCACCGTGGATATACTGAGCATTTCCTTCGGATCGTCCACTTTCATGTTGATGGCCTTATCATAAGGGGCATGTTTTGAAGCCAGGATAGAGGTATTGGGATCCCGAACCTCTGTCGTCGACTCCACTTGTTCCTCCTCGGTAACGTCCATATCCCGTTCAAAGTCTTGTTCCTCCGATGCGTCTTGATCCTCCACGCTAGTCTTAGCCTCTTCCATGGCCGTATCATTCACGGTGTCTTCTTGAGACGAATTCTCAATCGCTTCATCAGTACATGAGTCTTGGAGGTATCGATCCAGAAGCTCAGTTTCCGACTCAGTCCCTGCGGGTTGAGGTTGAGGCACCTTAATCTTACAGAAACGTTTGGTGTGCCCAGTTTCTCCACATCCAAAGCAACGGCGTTTGGCTAATTCAGGACATGTACTGCGGATATGTCCTGCTTGACGGCAATAATAACAGATGGGTGCAGCTCCCTTGAAGGAAGCTGGTGCAAAGAGATCCCATTTCTCTAAATACAACATGCGTTGTAATGGTTGACTATCTTGTATTTCGCCCTTTTCATCTTCGTAACCGTGGCTGGGGTCCAAAGTAATCGTGAGTTGTCCCTCAAAGTAGCCATTGCAAAGGATTTGTCGAATTTGATAGACTTTGCCATAAAATCGTAAGGATGAAAGCAGTCCATCTTTGAGTTCATCGCCTGTTGCCATATGCAAAAGGTTTAATTGAACCCGAATCAATGGTTTCTCAACACCTTGGACAGAAGGAGATGCTTTATGCACAATACCATCCACAGTGATTCCATTATTGATGGCAAGTTTAGCGTGATCAGGGGATTGAAATTTGGCTTCAATTAGTAGGTCGCCTCGTGCATGCGTGCTATATAGACTCAGCGGGCGGACAGCAGCTAAAGGTCCAATATCCTTGGCAATGGCATCATAAGCCTCAGTGCGATGAGTGAAGGTCGTTGGTGGGAAAGAGAACAAAACGGAATTGGGTGTAAGAGCTTGGCGTACAATTGCGGCAGCCTTTCTTGCCAATTGCTGATCTTGGTAATCTGGGTGTTCGTACAAGGTCTCGGATGAGAGAGTGGATTGTGCATCGAGATTGCGAGCTCGTGTGAGGACCTTTAGTCCGGCCCCTTTAGCAGCGACCTGACTCCAATTCATAGAATCAGAGTTGGTCATGTTGAGATTTTGCTGATCTCGGATCGCGATGTCGAAATGTTCGAGTGGTTGGTTGTTGCTTCAATGTTTACTCTTTGTGTAACGTAAAAATACACGAAAGAGCCTCCCATAATTGTTTCCCAACTTGCTCTAATCGTTTTTTTGGGGGGCTGATAGTGTTATACTGTGCTGTGCAGAAGTTTACGGGAGAATCCCTGAGTACGATACTCATCACGAGCTCATCCGTTTTACCAAGGGGGACGACCTGCAATTGACTTCCCTGCCCCAGCAAGGTACCCGGTACCCAAATATTGAAGTCAAACGATTACACCATGATAATTCCTCAAAACTTGTAATCGGTACCAAGGTACTGAACGTTCTTGTTACTTCATCTGCAAGACTCGACTGGGAACGGTTATTATTGGGAGCATCCAATACAAACGGATTCGACCCGTCACGACATACCGCCATCTATGTCACACAAGCGTTTCTGGATTGGTATGAGAAGGAGAGTTTCGACAACACATACAAACAGCTCTATTCATCCGACGAGCTTTCTCAATTAAAGCAAGTCAGGCCAAAGTTTGACTGTTCAAGCACGTATTTGCGGTGCCGTTCTTCATCTAAGATTACGAACGATTTACGCTCTCGACCTGCGACCATTTGGACTTTGGCGGACTTCGACCTCAACGCAACCCCATCAGCAGCCTCGTTGGCATCAACATTATTTCGTCACATTGCAACGGAGATAATGAAGGATGGTGCCAAAGCAACGTTACTGAAATCCAAGGTATCCGCCATTCACGAGTCACTAAAGGATGGAAAAACAAAAGCCATTTTTTCAAAGATCATGCAGTCGTTTGGTACGAAAGACAATCAGCTGATCTTACGAAATAAGGACCTCAACACCTTACTGACGGAGCTCGCGAGCACATATCGTCACAAATCAAACATATCAATGACAATCTACATCACACCTTATACGCGATCTTATATAATCATACATAGACACATGATAGATATTATACATTGTTACACTTCGTTTTATCGTAAAAAGAACGGAAGTAAGAAAAAAAGTGCCCTGGATACGTTTAGTATTGCACGATAAAATCGGAATGATCATGTCTTCTTTGTTCATGCTGTGGTATTTTTCAGAAACCAGGCACACTCCAACAGCATCACACAATTATAGCAATTATATGACCATCCTGAGGATGAAAAAATGAGCATGTGACTTTAGTTTAACACGAATGCATGTGAAGTTCCATCAAAGCGACGCATTTTTTTGGGGAGGACGATGACAACGAAGGGAAATGCCTGGGCAAAAGAAGTTATGCTTGTGTATGTCGGCTTTTTGTCAAGTACTGTCGTAAATGGTTGTGTAAAACGTGGAGATGTCATTGCCGTCTAGATGAAGAGGTGATAGTAACGATTATATCATATGGCTGTTGTGTGATACTGTAGATAGAGCTGATCAATATGCTGTAACATTAAACAGGGAACCCTCCCCCCTTGGAACTGGTTGATCGTTGTCACCAATTTTGAAAAAGAATCCGCGCGCCATTTGCATGTTCGCTGCATAACGCGTAAAGAAAGAGCATCGCAAGGTTCCATGTACGCAGCCTCATCGTTTGAGAATGTATCCTACAGCGAAGAAGGTGATGCGGATGCCGTTGTCCAGTAGATAGAGGGAAACGCCAAAGTTTACTCTGCCGCATCTTGCCATTTTCACTGCCTACACGTAAGAGCACCAATCTGTTTTTAATCACGTTATGATATCATAAGCACTCTGCAGTGGTTCCTCTAAGTAATAGTAGCCGTTTCAGCAAAGTTTTCCAAATAGCATCAGTATCCTACATACCTGAATCACTTAATCATCACCCGCAGACTTGGAACCAAATAGGCCATCAGGATGTAAAGTAACATAAAAGCTCAATGCCAAGGAATGTAGTATCCGTACTGCCTTCTAGCCTCCCGTAGGAACGTGGCGTCAAAACACTGGTTTTAACGGTGACATGAAGCCCCTCCCCAGCCGACTTTAACGCTACTAGCCGTGGATCCAGCCATGTTGCCAAGAAGACAACCCATCGTCTTCCAAGTCGAGTAAAGTATAGCAGTGCAAAGATGGGAAGCATATACTTTGTTCTCCACGAAAGGTCAGAGGGTGCATTTTTAAACCGAAGTCGCACCGTGAGCCCAACGTAATATCCGCGTACCACAACATGGCCTTCCCCCTTAAGACAGTACACTCCATCCCTTGACGTGCTGCTGTGATAATAGTAATATCGCCGAACGAGAGCCTATTTCTTTCATCAGTGCACTTGAAGGTGGCAAATCCTAAGATGATCACTTTACCTTGAGGTGTTCCCAATACCATTCCATTGATGCTTGCAAATAACCTTGTATTCATCCGATCCAGTATGTGCTGCTGCTGTTTCGTTGTAAGGCTCGCTAATTAAGTGGTCCTGCATTGTAGATCCAACACCATACATACCATTGAACCAACGTACAGCGTTCTTGCTTTGAGATCAATATCTTGCTACTGCCCACAGATACCATCATCCAACAAGTTCGATCTACCATGAACACAATGTGAGATGGGCTAAGGGAAACCAATCTAAACGCGCTTTCTTGCCAACATACCCAAAAGAGGCAGTGTAAAGAAGTGTTGTTGTGGACAGCTTGGGAATGAATTCACGCAACGCCTCCATTAGATCATATAAACGAGAGAACAGCAATCTACACACGAACATTAGTACCACAATGTCAAACTTGGATAGCAAAAGCGCTGCAGCGATTGACCGTACCTGTTGTATGGGAATGGAAGCTTGAAACATGGGTAGATTGCGCGCGTGCTTGTTGTAGTTGAAAGAGTCACCATTGACCACCGGTTCACCCATCTACATCTTGCATTATAGAGCATGACAGGAGTTAATGCGCTGTAGTGCGTCAATGGAGTGTGTCTCACCTTGAATGTGTAAAATGGGAGTGGAGAAAGGTGGGATGGACTCTTTTTAGTGCCTCTCGTCGTCCTTGATACAGCCACCCAGCCCCCCGCAGCTCCTCTTGTGAATATGCATACATGTATACCTCGATCAGTATGGATTAACTACTAATCGCTCTTTATGTATCTCTGGCAAAAGTAACACCAGTCTTGGTTATATGCAGTCAAACTCTCCAATGTGTAATTCTGCATCAAATGTGGACGTGCAAATACTCAAATATGGTATGTATCTATAAAGCAATTGTCTCTGCCATCATGGATAGCTTTCTCATCAATCGACATTTGTGTATGAAGAACCAACATTGCCAAGATCTATCAGCACCATCCGTTTGTGCAACCTGTCAACAACATGTGTAACCCATTCATCTCCTCCGCCAGTCAGACTCCTCTTACACTGCATCACAACGTATATCCTAAATGAACTAATAGATGACGGGAGAATAAAAGCTACACTTTCTTACAAGGCCGCCATTTGGGAAATGTGATTTTGGATCATCTGCTCGCATCCATGCAAAAGTGAAGGCCAACCAACATACAATGACAGTCGTCCTCTGATCACTGGTGCTGGCTCTTCAAACCCAATAATAATACTGTTATCTAAGGTTCTAGCGTATGTCTAACGCCAAAGAGCTATTCAAGTAACTACATAGGGTTCTATTGTTTACAGCATGTCCGATAATTATAGCAATGATAAACATTGAACGCGATAGTTCAAGTACTACTCCTATGATCTATGAATGGGTGGCAGCACCTCATCATCCCAAAAAAAAGTGTCCTTTAGCTTAATTAAGTATTGCCGTGACCCTTCAACTTTCTCGCCTGCCTCGTCACGTTTCGCTATTGGGTCTCATGCCTTGCAGCTGGGAAGCCGTTAATCACCACCATGGAAGTTGCGGTGTGGGTTCCCCTTCTGCCGTTATCGGAACTGAAAAAAATTAAAAGGTGGGGGCTCGCTTGGTCGAGATTGACTGCTTGAGTACTTTATGCACTTTTCCTATATTACCCAACAGTCTTGGATTTGCCATGTTCTCGTGATCCGATCATTCTCACTGCTTATTGAACACGCATAGCAATATTGAGAGTAGGTTGACAGCATGGGAAGTCACCTTTATGATAATGCGGATGTGCATTTATATGCGTATTATTAATTTCGTTGATAGAATTCTTATCACCTGCCCTATTTTGGCCCACGTATGATGCATAGACAGTGTTGCATTGAGCTCCTCAGACTTAATTATGGTATATGTGCCCCATCACTTTAACAGCTCATGCATAAATTTATCACTGCATCATCCCAAACACACAGAAATACCCACGCCCACAATGCACAATAAAATGTTGTTGTCGTCGCCCACCATATTCCCACATCTCTCTTCTCTATCATATTATTTGATTGCTTACAAGGTCAAATTTTCAAGGTTTTGTACGTATCCCATTTCTTGCAAGCTTTGTGAATAAGTGCTGATCTTTTGCGGTCTTTCATAGTGCTTTATTTTTATCCTACTCTCATTATCGTTGTATTGCGATATTGTATTCTTGTAACGAGATAAAGCCTGATCATGTTGCTTGATGAGTCACTACTCAATCTCAGCCCAACACTGGCGTAAGTTGAGAAAATCCGGGAGGTGCTGATGAAATTAATCGGTGTGCTACCTTTGATAATAGGCTTTACCCTCGAATCCAAGAAATTGTGATTGACCATGGAGATGACATCGAAGTGCTCTCTCGGCACGATCTGTTGAGCAAAAAGCAGATCTTATCGAAATTCAAGAGCCGTACTGGCTGCGTTACACGATCCAGGTCCAAAGACTAAAGGAGCCAATGCTGAAAACTGAAATACTGTACGACAATGACGTGAATCGAATACACAGCACAACGGACAGCGAGTAACATGACCTTTATTACGATGTCGAACTCTTTCTCTATACCGTAACAACTTAACAAGAAATGGTGACCATGATCAACGACAATCCTATAAGCATCAGCAGACGACAATGACAGCGCACGCGTGAACCAAGTTACAAGCAATACGTGTTACACGACAAATGAGTGTTGACACAAGGTGGATAAGGCCGCAAAATACAAAAATATACAAGGTTTCTTTTCTTGAGTACTAGTACCGTGTTTGGTTTTTTTTATGCAATTGTGAACTATATTATAGATGCGATTGATTTAAGAAGAGGTACAAAGGATTTTCTTGGTAGTTAAAAAGAGGTACAAAGGTGGAATAAATCTATACAATGAACCTTTAGATTCAAAAGTATAAGTATATGCCCCCCATCACTTTATCAGCCGATGCATTAGTTTTTTCAATGCATCATCCCCACCAGACAGAAATATCCACGTCCGCCACAATAAAAGGATGTTGTCGCCGCCCGTCACCCACACGTCTCTTTCCTTTTTCATACCTCTTTGATTGTTTACAAGGTCAAATTACCAAGGTTGTGACTTTGAGTATATTGGCATGCCTGGCAATCTTGGCCTTAATGCCATCCATCCAATACTCATCTAATTGCTGTTGGCGATGATACAATGGACATCCTAAATAGCGTACTGCGGTAGGTGATGTAGCATCATGCCCTGCTGCGCCGTATGTTGATGCTATGTCAATCTATTCCTGGAATGACTGCCCTGATAGGGACATGATAACGGGCAGCCTTACGACGAGAGAGTTGTTAACGAGTGAAATCGGGGTGCTCATACAGATTGTCTGTGGAAATGTTGGCATCGCGAGGTGCTCGGGAAGGTGTAACCGAAGACATGAAACATGCCCCTTTGTCCCACACGAGCGAATTTTTTCTCTGTTTCTCGACGAGCCACAAGTCAATGTGACCTGAAACTTTGTTTACGACTATAGAAGCAGTCCTTGCGGTCAACATTGACTAAGACGCCACAGCGGTCAGACGGAAGTCGAGTAGCCATGAACCTCTTGAGCACGTGATCTCGTTCATCTAGGCTTCTGTTACTCTTTTCTCAGCATTCTCCATGTCAACCTACCTTCAAATCGAAAAACTCAACTAGAAAAGAACCCTTGTTCTACAACTTTCATTAGTGACACAAGAACAAGATGATCCGAGAAGATATGAAATATGCCCCTTTGTCCTACACGAGCGAATTTTTTCTCTGTTTCTCGACAAGCCACAAGTCAACTTGAGCTGAAACTTTGTTTACAATTATAAAAGCAGTCCTTATGGTCAGCTTTGACTAAGGCATCACAGCGGTCAGAGGCAAGTCAAGTCATACAGTTGTGAGGATGTGATGTGATCTCTTAGTCTCCTCGCCTTGTAAGAAATTATGGTAACTGGTAATAACAGTGCAATGATCACGTGCAAGAAAAGGGTACAAAGAGCGCAAGACATTGAGTCGTTGCCTTCGTATAACGCCAACGATACATGTACAAAAATCCCGGGTAAATGTTAGTGCATACCAGGGTCAGTGAGATGTATGTATGTATGTGTGTATGTGTGTGTGGATAAAAACGTATAACAAACAAAGTCTGTGAGATTGCTGTTTACTCTGAAAGTGTGTGTCTGGGAAAAGAGACGTCTTTCTATCGATCTACCTCTGAGTGCTATAACTAGGCGGATGCTAAAGAGTAAAGCTTTTCTACCAATAACAAGCTATATCGTAAATGAGTAACGGGCTGAGTTGTATATGATGATCCACGCTTGTGTATCATCTCTTGTATGCTTATGTGCTTGTCTTTTGTATATACAATGATAAAGATGATGATAATGAATACATGATGTGTACCTTAACCGATCCATATACACGACAGTCAGGCGAACTTGTGGACCTGTAGAAATTGTAGCTGGGATAAAAAAAATTGAAACTTGGCTGACATAGGAGTACAAAACGTCCGATGGGTAAAGTATTTTCCCGGTGTAAAGAATACATAAAGACCGTAGGTTAATCGACCAAATGTATTGTATCCAATTTATTATCTTTTTCGTTTATTTCATCAAAGCTGATATCTACAACGGGACAAAAATATTCTTAATATTTCTAATTTTCTACATTACGTCAGCTATACAGAATTAAACAGGTGTTTGTAAATTAATCCTTCCTTTGAAACTCCCGAAACGATGTTAAATGTGTGGAAGCGACCTAAAGATGTTATTAAATTAGTATAAATCACATGTTGGACACCTTTGAGCACTAAATGTGACATCGAGACCTGCATAGAAGCCTCTTGAGGATACCAGTTACCCTCACTATAGCATCAATTTCATAGAAGGGAAACTCCTGGATACCTGTTAAGCCTAAATGTTGCACTGAATAAGTAAAGTAATGATTTATGTCCCTTGCGCGTCATTTTGACCTCTAAAACCGTCTAAATATTCATCCATTGGATGACGATTTGTGGACAACCCAGTTCGCACATAACGCCGGTGGGTTAACCCACCGACGTATTGTACATTTACCCACCGGACGTTTTGTACAGCCTGTGGATTGCGAATTAATTTTTTTTGTGGGGCTGGGCTTCCTACCACACCTCCAAGATTTTTTTGGTGGAAATTTTTTTACAACACTAAATCGGCTGTATGTTTAGCCGGACTCATTTTACTGACAGATATTAAATGCTGCCCAGCTGCCCATGGAACCATACCCAAGCTCCTTTGCGTCTTTGGCTCATTGCAACGTGAGAAATGCAGAGATCGCCAAAACGTTTTCTACATACAATCGTCGCGTCTTTATGAGAAAAATTGATTGCCATGCTCGAAACGTCGTTGTCTGTGAACATGAACTTCCACAGGGACGATCCCAAAAAAAATTTTTTTTGCTGATGGCGACATGGCGAAATCTGGTATTGCCCATCGCGAACTTGACAGTTGGTCATTAGCTGCTTTGAGCCATGCCGACCAGCTTTGTTCTAATAGGGATTCCATGGTTCATTGTCAAATTTTGACTTAGGGTCGTCATTATGGTTTCCTATGTGGGAAGCCCGATGCTGTATGAGATCTTTCCAATCTGCTCGAATTAAGAAAGCTGAGGGATGGAAATATGTTGGGCTGGAGCAGGAGTATCATTCCATTGTCGTGGTATAGAAAAAAAAAGTTGGAAGAGGAGGAAGTGGCTGTTAGCTGGCAATATATGAACTCATACATTGGGCTCTTCAGTCCTGCACAATTGTTGTGAAGTGTCCGCTGCTGGTCGTATCTCTAACACTCTCCTGCATTAGCGCCGTTGAGAGTGCATGTCCTTCTGTATAAGCCTGTTAGATGCAAACAATAAACAACAGCTCTTTCTTTCCTATTAAAGCTCCTTCGCAATCGGTTCATTGCATCGTATACGTTGCTACTTGTGTGAGTTGATGCTCAGCTCTTAGGGCGGTTGAGTATTACAGCAGTCCAAGATCGCATTACTACACAATGGGCTGTGTTACACAAACACGACCCTCCCTGCATCTGCATCTTTGGCTCCATCACTATCTACTTGACAACGAACAAAGAGTAGTTCTGTCACAGCTGAGCTCATCATTCAATTGATCACTTGTCAGCTGGTAGAAATAGATTATGTAATATCATTAAATTAAAACATCACAGCTAGTACATAGCTAAATCTGGGGTAGTTCTATATCTATAGCGTAGCAAAAACGGTCATTGTAGTGAGAGGTGTTTGAGTGTGTGTAGCCGTCCTCGTGGTTGTGATATCGGTGACTATAGGAGGTAGAATAGCCCAATCGCTGTGAAAGTCTGTGTGGAGTACATGGTCAGTATGCAAACGTGTATATGTTTTGGTGACAGTGATAGGTCTCGTTGAATAGATGTTGTGTTCGTGGGCTGTAAGTGTGTATGTTACATATTGGGTTTCAGTGTTGACAATCTGTGGGGCAAAGGTTGTCTCTGTTTTAGTGATGATAACACGAGCGGTAGTCGACTCCACTGGTTCCGTTGTTGACTCTTCAGGTGGAGTGGATGACGATTCCTCAGGTGGAGTAGATGACGATTCCTCAGGTGGAGTAGATGACGATTCCTCAGGTGGAGTGGATGACGATTCTTCAGGTGGAGTGGATGACGATTCTTCGGTTGAGCTGGGTTGCACCTCAGTTGTGGTTGCTGTGGGCACTGCAATGTTCACAAGAACTGGGAAACATCCTTCGAAATTATCCGAGCAATGACCACTGGGATCATCAGCATATGGCTGGATATGGGTACCTCTTGTCGGATTTTCCCAACTGTATTCTTTAGCAAGCACTTGCCCTGAAAAGTGTCCATTTTCGCCATCAATTACATGTCCTACATACCCTCGATTTAGAATAAAATTTTGGCTGATATACACTACCACCTACCATTATATGCCAGTACATAACCACCCATCACCTCCGTGTCACGGATTAGGGTAAATGACCCATCACGATCAAATCTTCCATCTGTATCCACGGGATAAAAGTTATAGATAATGTTGCAAGATAAGAAGCCTTGACTTGGTCTTGCTGTTGAGATGCGAATGCTGTGACCAGAATTTACAGGTACCTAAACATGACCCCATGAGATCGATATCAAGCCTGAATATCTGACCATCGTATTACGTTAATGACCACTGTATGTTCGTGGGTCTCAGGAGTCCACGTGGTGAAATCGTAGTCTGTTGGACCAGGCCATGATCCTAATCCCAAGAGCATATGGGATGGATCAGACAACTCTTCCGGGTTAGCGTCTCCACAATACATGGGGGTGATACTTTTGTCGCAAGTATCCATGATGAAAACGTCGTAATGAGTATGCCCTGGGTCAGGGCTTCTGAATACAGTGACCGTGTTGTCACTGTTTAGTCGCATGTTTGGATACCATTTTGCAAATAGTTCTGATGCCTGGCTGAGCTGATATTGCCACAATGTGAAGTTGAGTATACCGGTGTCCTGATCAGTGATGATACTACATCCAGCTGCCCTGCCACTTTCATGCACTTGTGCTGTATCACCACCTCCAGCTAAAAAGGCATCACCAGTTACTGAAATAGGGCCACCATCAACTTGTCCTTCTACCACCAAGCCATAGTTCCCAAAATAAGTCTCGTCTGACGAAGCGGGGCACGATGCACCTCGTTGAGTATTAACATTAATCCCAGGCGAATCCATATTGCCTTGTACTGCCAATGGCCCTGGAACTGAACCCCCACCAGATCGAAAGTCACCCAGAAACACGCCGGAAAAGCGACGCACCTTGTTTATATTGTCTGTTAACGATAATACATCTACCGCTTTGGTCACTCCAGCTGTACCTGGTTACCCATGAAATCCTCATTATACGGTGGACATTGCAGTCCTAGAAGTACTGGAGTCTCCTCTTGTCGCTTGTAGAGTAAAGGATTTCTTTGAGCAACAATCAAAAGGACAAGATGAGAAATAGCAATTATTATAAGTGTGAACATGGTTTGTGTATAGTGGTTTCTGTCAGAAAGAGATATTATGAATTGGAATGTGCTTGTACTGGAATGTAAATGCTGTTGCTGTGTAACTCAGCAGTTTTGCATGAATGATTGTATCTTCTCTTTTTTAGCGAGCAATGTTTTCAATATCAACCGACGCAATCCAATGTATTTTTCAGTTACCTACGATCATAAAGCATGTGGTTCTCTGGCAATTCAGCATACAAGGGCCCAACTAGTGTACGAGAAGTAGTACACAACCATCTGGCACTGTGGCGCATAACTATTACATCGACATGTGCTCAATAAGGAGGTGTGACTTTTAGCAACAGAGCATCTACAGAAACGTTTTGATTTGACTATGGTTAATGAATACATATGTCTTATATATGGCTCTTATCCGTGAAAGCGCATGATATGATTCCAGGGTTACTGCTGGAAGAGGTACTGACCTAAATTTACTTTACACGAAGAACACATAGACGAATCGTCGGTCGTTCTTTATTCCTGATGAATTCGTGGTTGTTTTTAAAAGTGCTCGTTAGGCTAATTCCATATGTTCAGCGAATGAGCGATCTTTAGTACAAGAGAGAAGAGATTGCAGAATGGCACCGCTAATCATCGTGCCGTAAAAATCCTCGCGGCATCACTGCAGGTCTAGGACGGAAAAAATCAAGATCTAGTTGCACTATTAACCTCTAACGTGCAGCATCATAATACTATTTCTAATCGATGGATGCATTGGAAAGAAAAAAACATATACTCAGTGACAGCTGATAGCTGCTAAGGATTAACTTGCTGTCTTGGTGTATGGGAATACAACGTGGTATGTCGACAGGATGAGCTTGCAGTGAGTGATTTCTGCCATTGGCAATGAAGCAAGCAGTCAGGGAAGAAAACTTTCTGACAAGCCATAGGTCAGTGGAACTTCTCTAATTTCGGTTTTCCACGGTCATACTTCTGTCAGACAAAAGCTGTATAGCAAACCGATTTTATTTACTTTCACGTGGACTACCCGCAATAATGAAGGTGCTGTAAATTAGATAACGGAAACAGAAAAAGGAGTATGTAATCGAAGCTCGTAGGTGGGTCAGTTTCTACCATATGGGAAATTGATATCAATAGTGCTACGGTGTACCAGCCACGATATGTGCAAAGCTTTTAGATGTCTTCCCGGGAAAAGAATTAATGGGGTTAAAGTGAATCATGCAGGCGGGTGAACAGTACCTTTTATTAGCTTTCTTACGACGCACATCACGTCATCTTTCCTGGATGAAGAACGATCGAATGTACGTATTCACTAAATCTCTATATTACGATGATTTGACAGCATGGGTGCTAACACAGTGCTTGTTTCGCCTAACGGCTGTCATTTTTTTTCAGGGGGACTAGGTGGTTCTAGACAACCATCTACACCACTCCCGAAAATGTGAATAGATTATTCATAGATATGCGCCCTATGATCTCCACAATTTGTCTTTTAAGTTTCTAGACACGCTCTTGAGGATGTCCGAAGCTTGCTTAGTGCATGCAACCCAAAAAGGTAGAGTTCACGTAGCATGCATGAAATGCGTGGTTCGGATAAGCGGCAAACCTACTTGAACCTCCGATGGTCTTCCTTTCTTTCCATCATGATGGTGTTAGTTGACATTACTCTCACCAACATCTCTGACAATCTTACTGAAAATGATGACATAAAAATGTCATCAGTGACGCATCAATATGATGGGAATTTATATGTGCAAATGGGTCGGCTCGTATCGACAAAACACGTGCACTTTTAACTTTTTTTTTCTTGGACTGGAGGGGCACAAAGACCAAACATGGCAAGTGACCGATTGGATTATGTGGTCACGAGGAAGTAATAGAAACATCATACATGTCGACGCCCTACATCTCGTATGCTGATAGCAAATAGCTCTGCCCTTATCTTCCCATGGCATAATCGTGGGAAAAAACGATACTGGCACATGTCTGACCTAGCAAATGTTCTACTCATAGTTAATCTCTGTTGTCTGACGGTCGTATATCTATTATCTGTAACACAGCAGAACTTCATTTATGCTCCAGATCTAAATGGAATATAAAACGAGCCCGCAAAATGAGACAGATTTAGTGGCGCTACTATGGTTGAAAAATATATGGAGAACAACAAAGGACCTAATCTAGAGACCATATCACTCGGTATGTGCTTGCCGCTAAACTCGAAATATGTTTCTAACTTTACCCAATCACATTCTTGATCCTTCACTACACTCAAGAATCGTGTGTAGACAAAAAGTGGCCTGCAAGCGATCCCATTGATCGGTCCAAAGGTGGCAGTGTGTTTGGTGCCTTTTACAACATTGTATGCTGCGTTTGTGGCACAGGAATGCTGGGCTTATCGCAAGCAGTTGCCCGTGGAGGATGGGGTGCCATTGCGCTACTTCTACTCGCATGGTGGATGGCCACAGTAAGTCTGATTAAATTGAATCATACATATGGCGTCAGCGCGTCAGGCCCATGCTTATCAAATATGCATAGTACGGTTCCATCATTCTTATCAAATGCTTGTATCATCCACGAAGACAAACTATGCGTATTGGTACCTTCAAAGGAGTTGCGGAAGACGCATTTGGGAAGCTGGGTGGATGGTTGTCTTTTTTTTTCACCTCATGGGTGCTCTTAGGCACTCCCATTCTTTATATGGTACTGATTGGGCAAAACATGAATCACCTATGCCGTGGCACAGTTGGTGAAATTGGTAGCATCTCATGGACAATTATCTGGGCTGTCATCATAACTATTCCTTTCGTGTTGATGAAGAATATGAAAGAGATAGCGTGGACAAGCTTTGTGGGAATGGCGGCATGCTTTGTAAGCTCGTTGATGGTGATCGTTATGGTGGGTATCGACTCACCCACACATGCCGCGGATGCTGTGCACTCCAACATTGTTTGGGAAGGTTTTCCAACGTCTCTTGCGACCATTGCATTCAGTATGGGTGGCAATGTCATATATCCTAATGTTGAGGCATCCATGCGTCGACCTAGGTCATGGCCAATCACAGTCATCACAGCAGTTACCACATGCGCCATGTTGTATATCGCTATTTCAATTCCTGGTTACTATGTGTATGGAGAGGATGTAAGCAACCCGCTGTATAATAGCTTACCTGAAGGTGCTGTGAAGCTCGTCGTTATCGTCCTGGTGACAACCAACATCCTTGTGAGTGTGCCGATCTTCCTTATGTCATTTACTCTCGACGTCGAGTTCATGGCCAATATCACCGTCGCAAGATTGGGGAAATGGCGTGAATTTGTGTTTAGAGCTATTATTCGCATATCAATTATGGTTTTCTGCACAGTCGTTGGGTGTGTTGTACCATACTTCGACTTGCTCATGAGTTTGTTCGGTGCTTTCGGATATTGCACAGCCATTTTCATCATCCCAGTTAGTATACAGACTTTATTCTCCTGTCAGTCATATGTCGTATATTAACAAATCGCAACAACCAGGTAATGTGCTATTGGCGCCTAACCGGCTTTCGGAACAAGCCAATATGGGAGAACGCGTGGTGTATGTTGATGCTTGTGTTTGGCATAGTTGGTTTGGTTTTTGGAAGCTGGGGTGCAATGGCGGATCTTATCCAGGCCTTCCGTGACGATGCTGCTTCTGCTACTTCCTAGAAAAAAATGTGTATAAATTATCTCATTTTCGTTAATGAATTTACATGTATATGCTCGGTCAGCTCACTTCGTTTGCAATATAGCTTGCCTGTTCAATATTTATTACAACTTTTGTACTGTTGCATAAAGATAGAGATCGACCCTCGGATGTATCACCAAGATGCATCAACCCATACCATATTCTGCCAGGGCTCCAACTTCCATCAAAGCTTCGCTGCTTTTCCTTGCACCTCTTCGGGCCACGAATGCAGAGCAAGTGTGCTATGTTTTCTTCATTCTGCTGAACTGATATTTTCCATTGGGGGCGCGAAAGACGTATTCTTATGTTGTACTTTTCCCCCTTCTCCCTTTTCGCCTCTCCTCTCTCCTTCTGGTAGTTTTAATGTCTCGTTGAAGCTTGAAGGTAGGTTGTGAAGATGTGAGGCTGAATACTATCATATTACATTGGCTTTACTGGATGCCATTCTTTCTGATACATTCAGCTCCTACTGTTCTCTATTAACCCTTTCCCTACTAGTACCATCCCCTTTACTATTACCAACAAGCCTTTATTTGTATAATACATGAAGTAGATTAAATGTCCACGCTTTTTTAAATCAGCAGTAGCTGCTGGGATTTTCGTCCTCCTTTCCCGAAATAATGACCATAGACGCATCTCCAAACGTGCTAACATCAGTAGCGAGCATAATGGCGCCCGAGCTGCCCTTGATACTCTCTCTTATTTTCGGTGGATGTTGCAGCAATGTCTTCGCTCTTGAAGTCATTGTCAAGTAAGGAACGATCGTTGAAGAGATTTCGCGCATCACACTCAAGCAGTATTTCGTTGACATAGAGATGTACCGAAAAGTGGTGAGTATATTTATGTCCTTGTAGTGTTTGATATCAACGGCGATAGCGAGGCTAATAAGGTTATGGCTATCAAGGACACTTGGTGACTTTTGGACAGTTTCTATTTGTTGCACTGGAAGGTTTAAGGCACCAATTGGAGTGGGGAGAAGGACTATTGCCTATACGTTTAAAGAAGACCAAAGTGCCTTTGTCACGGTGGATGCTCATGGTGGCATTATTCTTCGCAGTCTCTGTACTCAACAATCTTGCACTTGGATACCGGATATCAATGCCCTTACACATCATTTTCCGCAGTGGTGGTTTATTTACTAGCATGGTGATGGGCGCACTCGTTCTACGGAAACGATATCCTCTCGGTCAGGTGGTCGGTGTAGGACTAGTCACTCTTGGTGTGATCTGGGCAACGTTGGATAATGCGGGAATGGATAATGACTCTCAGGTAAGGGCGTGTGAATCAATACTTCAATAGCACGGGCGGGGGCTGATGTATACTAGGAAAATGCAGGGTCAACAGCCGAGTTTATGACAGGCATTGCTATCTTGGTGGTGGCTATGATTCTATCAGCCTTGATGGGCTTGTTACAGGAACTCACTTATAAGAAATATGGCAAGCAGTGGCGTGAAGGATTATTTTATACTGTAACTATTCAACCCCAATCTTGAGTCCTTTTTCACTCGTATTAATCAAGTACATAGCACTTTTTGGCGCTTCCGTTCTTCATGCTATTTTATAAGGACCTGGTAGCCAATGCCACCATTTACTCATCATCTGCCGTTGCACCATTACCGGCACTCTTTGAGCAAGTGCCTGTACTGGGTCATGCGCTGAATACATTGCTGCCGACTCCGATTCATGACATGCTTAACCGTATCCAAATACCCAAGTTATGGGCTTTTCTTGCTCTCAATGTTTTAACCCAGTAAGATAAGAGGATCGATCGTATATGAATACCAGAAAGATTTAATTTCCCGTTTAACATAGGTATGCGTGCATTGCAGGCGTGAACAGGATGACCGCAGTGGCAAGCTCCTTGACTTTGAATCTTGTACTTAATCTACGCAAATTCACATCACTTTTATTATCCATATTATACTTTGATAACGAATTTGGAACAGGTGCTAAGATGGGAACATGTCTCGTGATTGCTGGCACCGTCGTCTACACGCATGCTGGCATTCGACAATCCAAAACTAGTGTTTCGAGTAGAGAAAAGACTAACTAGCATCATATAAATCATCTTTATTGTATATCAGTATCACGAGGTATCCGTGTTTCTTTCGAAACCGCACCCGAACAAAATAAAAGCCTGATTCGTATGTTAACATATGGTCTATATTGCGAGGTGTATTGTTACAGTCATCACTATGTGATAAGGCATGTAGCTATGGTCATATTGGATCATGCGTACGTACGTATTAATCAGGAGATGATATGCAAAGACCAACGTGTGTCGCTTTGTTATGATGGGTAATGTTTAACCGATATTCTCAGTGTCGTCTGCCATACGTGTGCAGCTGTGCACCACCTACCACATAATGTACATCCCCATTGTTACGAAGGTGACCTGTCATTGTTGTCAACCTAGTTTCAATATTAGTATGGGTGTTCGTTAAGCAGCGACGATGTCCAGACCGCCTTTGATATCAGCCACCTGGCATTGCGCAATATCGTGTTTAAACATGTAAAAGAAAAGATGGTGCTAGAGACATGGTGTAAACTGTAAATACCAAAGCCCCAATCGTCACTATCCAAACTTATATAATTGTAACTGGCATTTAATATCCTCCTTCACACTATTCTCCAACGTGTGTTGTAATCCCCATCCTAATATTAAACACAAGCATGCATTTTCAAGTGTAGTTGTATATTGTTGCAAGCTGTTGTTTTTATAACAAGAAGAGTTGGCTACCAAAAAAAACTGTTATTTGAAACACCCAGCACTAGTAGTCTTATAGAAGAAAGGTTTGAGCACTGAATGGCAACCGGTTCTGGCATTGCTCTTTCATTCGGTTGTGGAAGTATGTGTCGTCTGCCGTGTGCCTGTGCATGTGCATGTGCTCTGCCAAAAGAATATGAATATCAACAGCACACTTGTACCACTAAGTTTCCCATCCCCAAATCGTTCTTTCACTTAATAACGAAGCTCAACAGTGCTGTTTCTGTGATTGAAGCCTCCATCTAGTATCGCAACGACTGAAATGACAACATATAGAGTGTACAAGTAAAGCTCACTTGCAAGGCTGAAGCAGCGGGGAAGTTGGCTTTTCAATTCTGAGCCTGAAATTTATGCAGAGAGCTCACTGGCACTTCGCACTTGGCTCTAAGAAATACTTTTCTGTCTATCATCACATTCACACATTCCAATACTTCTAGATAAAGTCTAATGTATCTTCTACTTTTCTATAGTAGAAGTATAGTGTATAGTAGTGGTAGCTGTAGAAGTGTGAAGGTTGCTAGGCAACAAGGCAAGGTTGATTCAAAAAGCAGGCTCAGATCCAGTAACAAGAAAGAAGACAATGACTAGACTAAGAATGTTAGATCAATTGTATAAGGATATCCCGTATACAACTAACCTGGTAACAAGAATCAAGAACAAAGGTAACAAGGAACAAGGACAAGGACAAGAGCTACAATGATGCAAGAGCTAATCTATAATAGAAAGGGTGGCCGTTAGGTACACAATCACAACACGTCTGTGCAAGACCACGTACCAAGCGACAAGACAAAGACAAGGATCAATGAGCAAGATATCAAGGCTATGACTAGGCAAGGACAAGAGTAGAGCACAAAGGCACAAGATAATCAGACTGAGGTTTATTAGATACGAATGATAGCTTATTTATAATAAAAGGAAGGAATGATGAGAATGAGAATAAGAACGAGGTATGCAAGTAAACATCCGAACAATGATCATGACAAGAAGTTAGTAGCTTAGTAGTAGTAGAGTAGTAGTAGTATGTAGCTAGTAGGTATAGGTGTTGTATCCTGGTACACATTCTCACATTTGTCAACCTGCTTTCTCTATCATACGATGGAATTCCCCTATCACCCGAATGAAGGTTTACCTTGTCATCACCAACCTTATCCACATTGGTCACCTATTGCTATATACGTACACGCTTCATCACTGTAGCACCCGTTGCATGGTTGTATCACACACGCCTTCTCGGTATACTCCATTAGGAAACACACACACACACACCCTCTTCAACCACCATCATCCTTAAAGCTATAAATACGCTCAACAACCACCACTTGAATAAAGGATCAATCATATTATTGAGTCTCGTGACCATTAGTCTCCTCTTCTTATATAAGTGATATTACAATAGGTAGTAAGCACTAAGCAGTAGTAGCTGCGGTAGCAGGGAAGGACGGCCGCTGCCACCATGGCAAAAAAAACATAGTCTTTGTTTCTGCAGTTCTGCCAGAAGAATCAAAATTTTTGCTACTATGCTATAGCTACTAAATATGGCAATTTGTGGGCTATCATGTAACTCGAGATACAGGAATCAGAACCGAGCTTAGCTCAGTTGGTAGAGCGGAAGACTGTAGTGTACTGCCATCTTTAGGTCGCTAGTTCGAATCTGGCAGCTCGGATTTCATGATAACAACCAGCTTCAATAGCTGGGATCATCTTTTTTCTTTCGGATTTCGGTGGATCACGTGACTTGGGTCGTCATTTTGTCGTATATCCTTTTGCGTCGTCTGGCGGTATGGCACCGTAGCCAGGGATGTAAACACCTCTTTACAACTACCCGCTCAATATAGACAAGAACTATGATTCACCGGATCAAAAGCTAAAGATTTATTCTCGGCGTTGCAGCAGCCTTTTATAAAGGCTGCTCAGCACCGCAGCATGTGCAACATTACAAATCTAAAATATCATCCGACAATTTTGTATTCGTGTCCACACATGAATATAATCACAGAGGATAATGGCGCTACACAGGCAAATCGTCAATGAAAATAAAGAGAACGTAAGACAATGATATGGTCTACTATTTATATTGGTTGGGTGGTGCTAAGTAATAATATCAGGCGCAGCATGAAGATAAGATGGTTGTATACAAAAAGATAATACTGACCTAGAAGATCCAATATGCTGCTGAGATATCGCGTATCTTTTTTTCCGTATCGATGATTCCACACAGCGAAATGACAGCAAGCGATTTGATGGATAACATTTATTCATATGTTATGGTTGGGTATATAATGTTATACTTATATCAGGAATGTAGCCTGGATCAGACACAGATATGTGTGTTATTCTGAAGCTGGTAATTACATTACTAGGAGCTTGTTTACTGACACAATCCGCAATGCGGAATAAGAAGCTTACAATACACAGTAGCTTACAGTACAATGTTGGCTTGCCAGTAAGCACGAGATCGAAGGTAATGCAACGTCAACAGCTGATAAATCAACCTGCCATCATACGGAGAGAGATGTTTGCACATAACTTAAAGATGCCCATCCCAAACCTAATTCAAATACATTTCCCAACTTTGGCTTCTTGTACGTGCTACGATGGTCAATCGGCGTCTACGATGAACATAGATATCAAGGTCTAGTGTACTAGTACTGGATATGAATAAAGCCTTCAAGTGCTATGTGCATAAGCGCCAAACTTTGCAATTTAATCTGGTGAAGGTCATCTCAACAAAAATATGGTAATATATACTAATCGCTAAAGCAAATTGACGTTTTGTGTGGCAAAATTGATGCAATGTTCCATCTGGGCTTCAATAAAGGATTATCTAAAGCGGGTGGTGCAAGTAGCTAGGCCTCGTCCATTTATTGACTAGACCCCCGTTCTAATGAATGAAGAGGTGTACAAGCGTGTTCGCGATCGCGTCAAGGAATACAATTTGTCAGAACAAGAGATCCGAGCCATCGACAAGGCTAGACGAGAAGTGAATACTCACAGTACGCCGATTCCTTTGGTCAAATTCTGAAAACATAAACGCTGACATTGTGGTTCGTTATAGCTACCTTGGGTGGATTCACTGGCGCATTGGCTGCTTTCTTCTTAGGTACATTGGTGCAGACCCCCATTGACCCACGAGCTAACAGTGCAAGCAGGTAAACGGAAGCGGTTTGCGCCGTTGCAAGTTTTTGCCCTTGCAGGTGGAGGTTTCCTCATAGGTTCCCAAATGGGCCTTATATCGGGTTCGCTGGCGGGCGTGAGAGCTATCAAAGAACTACCAGATCCACAACGTTTAGTCAATCTTGTCCGCGAAGTACAGTAAGCTATTGTACTATGAAAAGGCTATGTTTTGTCAACTTACATGTGACCTACAGAAAGGAAATGATACAATCCCGTGGCCAGCCATCGGCGTTACCGCAGGCACCGCAACGAACAATTGACTCTGGCTCGGCACAAAACGATAGTGTAGACAACTCTTATTTCAATGAATTCTCATTGGATGAGACAGAAGACCATAACCGGTTGTCAAATGAGTTCGAAAGCGACAAAGATGGTATGTGTCGATCAATTCAAGTTATTAAAGATATCGGAACATTCATTACGAACTTGTATTTGCAGCACCTGAAAAGCAGCAAGAGCTCTTAAATTCAGTACTTCAGCAGCAACATCAGCAACAAAAACCACGTCAAGAAAGCGCTTGGGATAAGATACGGGCTCAAAATGCACCCGATAACACATGGGCTCGACTACGAATGGAAGCACAAAAGAATCCCGATGGTATAGATGGTCGCACTCAAACACGTGCTGATGTTGCAAGGGACTTACAAGAAAGGAGTAAAAACGAAGTGGATAGTCTCCCAAGGACTCGTGAGGAAGTAGAACATCGCCACAATGGTCCTGTACGTACTAATCGTTGGGGTGACCCTATTGAATAAAAAGCATGAATGGTGGATTGATAGAATATTGTACTCTAATATTATGAATTGCACTTTTACATGCGTCTAATGACCCTACACCTTCCTGAGATTTCCTCTCATCAAACAAACCAAGACAACTCTTTATACCTCTTCATGCAGCCATATTACCTAGTATACACTTTTGCCTCTAATTCTAACAATATAAATTGTATTACAGTTTATACAAACACACTTGCAGCTTGCTCCATGACAAATTTTGTCTTTGGGTGACAGGAACCAAAAACGACCGAGCGAACTTGGATGGCATGATCAAAAGCACTTTTTGCTTCGTTGCGATAGCGCTTCTCCAATGGACGACGACCGAGAGCATTGTACTTTTCTGCCATTGTCTTGCATAACTCCCCAAGATTTTGGTAAAAATCTGATATCTCAGCTGTGTTTCTCGGCAAGTATTGTTTAGCGTATTTCTCCATGGTTTCGACAATAAAGCGATTCACATCGATAGCTCCTGCGATATCATCATTATGCCGTAGACAGTTCATGAGCGGAATAGATGCATTTAGTCTCAATGCATTTTGTGGGTGTAGATTGCAAGCTTCGTAAGACGAGACTTTGGCTAACGACTGGAGCTTGGACTGTGCTCGTCGGTAGTCGCGATGCTTCCGTAAAGATATCATTCCTTCCATGTAAATCTTTTGGGCTTGTTCGAATGTGGTTTGCAACGAGCGAGCAGCTGTTTTATTGCTGCATTTGGCACACTTGTATTCTGCATTCTCGCTTATTTTGACGGGTAGGTCACCAGCTTGTATGTTATCCATGGTGGAAGGTGGAATTACATAAACATCTTCATGACACGCTTCACAAACGACACCAGTCAAGTAGCGATCTGTTGATGCTTCAATAGGTGAGGTGCACCGCTTACATTTGCACCAAAAGTGTTTCGACCCAAGCAAAACCTGTCGACGCTCATCGCGCGGTGCATAAAGATCAATATAGCTTACAGTCAACTCCTCCTCGCGGCTGACAGGACGAATGGTGCGAAATGCTAGCTGACCATTTCGCAGACCCACAAAGGCACAATTGGGGTTACACGCATGGTTGAAGAACATGGCACCTAGTGGAAACAAGCCAAATGCAACATCTGTGTTACGCCCTTGGCTATCTCCGAGACCGTGTGCGTTTGAGTTAATCCTATTAACCGATCTCGTTAACACTACCATACATAGGTATCGTAATTGTGCCTACCTGCAAGCTAACGTTACAAAATCATCCACAGGTATACGCATTGATTCTTCCCACTCTGACATGAGACGTTCCGATGCCTCAGCTACCACTCGTATAAACGCTTTGTCTGCTTGTTCACGGTGGCTAATGAGATCATTGGTGCACCAAAAAGGTGTGGGGCGCTCAATTTCATTCGAAGGTCGTTGCTGAAATGCATCATTATTTTCAACGTCGCGTTGTCGACGTGCAAGCAGAAGAGTAACGAGTCGCAGCAGGTCCGGCTCAACACTTGTAGCATGGCCAATGCTATCAATTTGTCTCAAAGTTGAGCAAACCAGTGTATGCGTATCATCCCGTCCCAGACATGCTTCCGAGCAATAAAAGGCTTTACGACAATCCTGACACATTAACTTGGTTGTCAACACATCGAGACATACGTGACAGTGTTGATCTGCGAACTCTGAGCGAACCACGTACGCTGTTGCTTGCTCCAAACAAACAGTAGTGCCTTCTGTCAATTCCTCGGCAGCAGCAGCATGTCGTCCTTTGGTTTTGGTGTTGCGTAGCATGACTGGGAAACTTTGCATTGCTTGTTTGTAATATGGATTCACTTCAGCAGGTGTTCCTCGTGAAGGCTTTTTCTTTTTCTTTTTCTTGACACTAGTGGTATTATCACCGGTTGCCGTTGTTGTATCGGGGTTGGCATCATTGTTGTTAGGTAGGTGTTTGGAAATCTCCCTGCACTGTTCTTTTGATGCTGGATAATCGTCGATTTGTGTAATGGATGATGGCATGGGTAAAAAATCTTTTGGAAAAAAAAACAAAAGTGTAGACTTCTCATCCAGGGCTACGATTGATCTATAAAAAATCCAGATTCTACCGATTCGACCTCACCAGATGACGTAGCGGCATCAAGGTTTTCTTTCCGTGAACACGTTTCACAAATCACATACAAACAACAGTCAGAATATATGGCAACCTACATACTTATGATATTATGTCGCTCTCAATTTGCTATCGATCAACGCAAAAAGCTTTCATTTGAGCTAGATCCTGCGAGAAACGAAGCCTGCAGTTTCTCGGTACAGTTTGCCGTGTAACCATCGAACTTAAACCCCGCAAGGGAGCTGCTGTGCGATGGTGCCAAGTGAAACGTTTAGTATGCACATTTGATGGATAGCAACGCATTTAAGTTAAGAGAGAATTACAATATAGGATTAAAGTAGATCAACCAGTAACAGGATTGTATAAAACCCCCATTCATCGAAATTATTGGATAAAGCATAATTCATATCCTCGTACTATATTCCCAGGGATATTGTAGGTATGTGTGCCGGCAATGGATGGATCAAGTCAATATTAAGCGCAGTATTGATTGAGATGCATTAAGCTTAAATGCCCAATATCTAATCGAGACCTAATAGCACAAAACCTCCAACTATGCTATGTGAGAAACTTTTCAGTAGAAAAAAGTGGGGAAAAGAGTTGTCATGTTTGCTCAAATATACAAATATCGTCTCCGTCATTTTGGTTAAAACCGAAAAGCCCAAGCATTTCTGATGCAGTGATTGAACCAAGTGATTTTATTCATGTATTAGCATGATTCAGGCTTTAAATACGAAGACCTCCATTCCATTTAGCGTAAGCAAGTACAAGCACTACCCCCGTGACAACGCCTAGACACATTCCGTGATTACTATCTTGTCTTTTTCATACCACTACCAGCATAGGTCTGTTTAAATACCTTGGTAGAAGCCAAGTGCGCAAGGTGACGTTAAATAATTCTCTGCTTCATGCATTTTTGGTCCAGCCTTGCGACGCAAATCGTCAAGTTCAGCACGGAGGCGAGACACTTCATCTTGGGCAAAGCCAGATGCCTTTTCAATGTTCTCTTGAGCGATACCAGAAGCCTTGTCAATATTCTGGTTAACCTTCTTCTCAGTGTCTTTGGAGGTTGACATAGTTTGTAAAATACGATAAAAGGAAGAAGGGTTAAAACGATGTCTGAAGAAGTGCAGGGTTTTAAGAGTTTCGGATGCATGATACAAACATGGACGAAACCAATCAATTTCGAGCAAGATGCATACGCCCCTGTCGCCTTGCATTAATGAAATGCCAGTGCATGACGCATACGCTTGACCGGATTTTCAGCAGACGTATCGTGGTGAACAACATGTGTGTAGATACCGTAGAAACTATTTATTATACGCATATCGCTTCCAAATACGTTTGCTTAGATCAGTAGTCAAACCACTCATATCACTCTGTTCGATCATACATATCATACTAGTAAGCATCGCATTGAACGGGTCACAGGTATAAGTTTGGAAGGTGTTGACTATAGAGTGATTCTTTGAATATAGATTACTCGTTTCCATGATATTAGGATGGTGTGCTTTCAGCTATAGCTGTCTCTTTTTTTTCTTCAAGCGGGCCAATGACTGTTGACCGGCTTTTCATTTTCAGAAAGACTAGACTGACTGCCAGGAGCAGAGCCATTTGTACCCTTGAAACCCTCACTTTCACTCTCCCAAAGGAAAGCTTTGCACGCTTCAACTGCTGCAAATTCAACTCGGGATTCTTCATCAGGAGACTTCCAAGCCTCTTGTGGAAACTCAATAGCTTTACAACCTTACTTCAACATGATGCACAAGTTATTGGACGATCGCAGCTCAATGTCCCCCAGTACACCTCACAAATCCAATCTGCATCAGCCCAGAGCAAAGAATCCCTCACAAGGACAGGTATTGTTTGTTTTTATGTAGCGGATAACAAAAGTTAAAGGCTGTTCAAAGCTACTGCTTGGTTGTATTTGTTCTCTAATTTTTTTTTGTTTATCATGACAGCTTGCGGCTCTTTTACACGAAAAGTTGGACTATGAATATGATCTATTTGCACCTGCAGAATCTACGTCGTCCGCCTCATTTTTCCAAGAGGATAATAATCGCCCAAACAGTGCACCACCTGTGGATCTTGGTAAAATCGAACCAGGTTTGCGTCCGCATATGCAACCTTGGCAACTGTGGGAAAGAAGCCCTGCATCAGATAGCCGTGGTAGGAATATCAGGTATATTATTAGAATTACATCCATTGACTCTTGACTATAGAATATATGTTACCAGGTGCCCGGAAAGAGACTACAAGCGCCGCTGGACGACCGTATCAGAAATATGATGATATCATGCAGAAGGTACGTATTTATTAGCATGTAGGATTGTTATGAGTAAGACTCATAACATGGTGATAGGATTTCTCTACTGGTTCATCTTCCCTGAATGGCCTTTCACGTCCTCGCTCTCAGCTTGCACGTTCTACTACGCCGATCATGGAGAATGCAGGCTTTGATCCATCACAGAAACGTTATCCTGAGCATGCCATGGATCTTGGTGGCTATCAGAAACAGACAACATCATCATTTGATTTAATGGAAAGCCATGTAAAGAATGCCAATGTGCTTAATCGTAGCCATCATTTCCAACATGCTATTCCAACACCACCATTGAATCCAAACCTGAGTCAGCATTCGCCTCCATTGCGATCAAGTTCAACACCGCCCAGACCTAATGGAGTTGGCCTTCACACGCAAGGAAATATGCCGGATCAGACCGACCAACTTGGCAAACAATTAGGTTCCATGATGCTTAATGATGAGGTATGTTGGAAGTAATTACCTTCGAGTGATTGACTTCAAGCTGCTGATATCTATATCCATGCTTAGGATATATATGGCTTGCCTGATCAACAATCAAGTCCCTATTGGCAACGTCAGCAGCAATCTCCTGTGCCAAATTATTACGATGGAAGTGCTTTATCCGCAGCACCTGGTCTTCTCTTACCTTCAGGTCTTGATCTTTCGGGTGACGATGCGTTAACTTATGGGCGGCTTGATTACATGGACCCTGCAGGATATGGTAGGCATGCGTCACTATTCTGTGAGGATGATTGATGGCTAATATCTTAACAATAGGCATGCCAATGAATGACCGAAAGTTATTGCAACAACAATTACTTATCCAGCAGCAACAACAACAACTTCTTGCAGCAAGACAACAATTGTTGCTTCAGCAGCAGATGCAAACGTTGGACTCACCACAATTGAATCGCTTGCGTGCCATGGCTTCTAACAACGCACCACTACGTGTATCTCAGGATATGGCTCTCAGTATTCAAAGCAGGCTTTTGACAGAATTCAGAAACTCTAAGAGCAAAAAATACGAGCTTAAGGTAAGTCGTTATTATCTATCCCCTAATGCATACAACTCACATATGGACACAGGATATTGCTGGTCATATTGTTGAGTTTAGTGGTGATCAGCACGGGTCGCGATTCATTCAACAAAAGTTGGAAACAGCTAATAGCGAGGAAAAGCAAATGGTGTTTGAGGAGGTCCTCCCTAACGCGCTTCAGTTGATGACCGATGTGTTTGGAAACTACGTCTTGCAAAAGTTTTTTGAGCATGGCAATCAAGCGCAAAAGACAATTCTTGCCAAGCAAATGGAAGGCCATGTAGTATCGCTTTCGTTACAAATGTATGGGTGCCGCGTAGTTCAAAAGGTTGGTATAAATGGGTAGAACGTTTGAAACAGCATTGCTAATTCTACGTATCTATAAAGGCGCTGGAACATGTATTGACCGAGCAACAAGCGAGACTTGTTAGTGAATTGGATGGTTGTGTTTTGAAATGCATCAAAGACCAAAACGGTAATCATGTTATCCAAAAGGTAAGCTTGTAAATTTGTTATTGAGAAAAGCTACTTACACTTTTTTTCACTTTGCAAGGCTATTGAGCGTGTTCCTGCGCAATACATCCAGTTTATCATTGATGCATTCCATGGACAAGTGTATAATTTGGCAACCCATCCTTACGGGTGTCGTGTCATCCAGCGGATGTTTGAGCACTGCAGCCAAGTGGAAACAGTAAGTGCTATTGTACTCACAAATTGGAAAGAGTATCTCTTGACGTAATATTTTCAGACTCCTCTTTTAGAGGAATTGCATCGATGCACCCAACAATTGGTACAAGATCAGTACGGAAATTATGTAAGCTACGATAAAAGGTTACAAATACTGGGTTGCTGATTCATCATGTACGTGTATTCAGGTGATCCAACATATCCTTGAACGAGGACGACCTGCTGATAAGTCGGCTATCATCACCAAGATCAGAGGCCAAGTTCTCCCTCTGAGCAAGCATAAGTTTGCAAGCAACGTGGTGGAAAAATGCGTCGACTTTGGTACCAAATCCGAGCGTCAAGAGTTAATTGAAGAAGTGTTACAAAACAGACCTGACGGGTAAGGCGCGGAGATATGGAGAAAAGATACTTCATAGGGGTTTCTCACTCCAATCTTCTTTGCCTGTATAGTTCTTGTCCTTTGGTGATCATGATGAAAGACCAATACGCCAATTATGTGGTGCAGAAAATGTTGGATGTAGTTGACCAAGATCAACGCGGCCTTTTAATTGCTCGGATTAGACCCCATCTACAGTCCTTAAAGCGTTTTACGTATGGCCGTCATCTGCTTCTTAGTAAGTTAAAGGGGATATTACTAGGGGATTGGGAAATTGACTTCAATTTTACAGAAGTGGAAAAGTTATTGCAAGCAACCGGCTTGGGTGGTTTGGAGACGGATATTGACGGTGTCGCTGGATCTGGTGTATGTGATACAACCGTTACAAAGCAGTGAACAGCCGTTTAGGATCAATCTCTCACGTTTTTTCTTTCTTTTGTTGATATGGGGGTACCAATTACTCCCAACTGATTTTGAGATTCTCAAATCTCTTATTGTACATGGATACTGCCGCTCTGATTCTCTCTTGAGAGCATTCTTTGGAGATATTTGTGCTTTTTTTTCATGGATTTTATATATAGTAGATCTTTCCTTGTATCTTGTCTCTTTGTAAATGGAACACACATACCTGTAACATGAAGCCAGTTGTAAGTAATATCATCATATGCAAATTTTATTTGTTGGAGCTACCGTAAGCCCATGGGTGGTTCAATTTCTGGGATTTGTTTATATACAAAGCGATCTTGCTTGAAGGCTATCGCTGCAGGATCATTGTCGGGTAATGAGGATTGTTGTTGGGCAAAACTACTGCTATTGTTACCAAGGGTAGATGTGGAACCAAAGCCAGGAACACTATTATTGTTATTTATCCCTAGTGTCGACGTCGAACCAAATGATGGAGCTGCACCACTGGAACCAAGTGCAGATGTTGATCCAAATGCTGGAGCTGTACCACTAGAACCTAGAGTAGATGTTGATCCAAAAGCAGGAGTTGCGCCACTAGAACCAAGTGCAGATGTTGACCCAAATGCTGGAGCTGTACCACTGGAACCAAGAGCTGATGTTGACCCAAAAGCAGGAGCACCACTACCAAGAGCTGATGTTGATCCGAATGCTGGAGCGGCACCACTGGAACCAAGAGCTGATGTTGACCCAAAAGCAGGAGCAGCACCACTGGAACCAAGAGCTGATGTTGACCCAAAAGCAGGAGCTGCGCCACCAGAACCGAGTGATGATGTAGATCCAAAAGCAGGAGCACCAGTGCCTATAGTTGATGTAGACCCAAATGCTGGTTGACCACCAAATGCAGGTGCTGATGTTGATCCAAATCCTCCGGATCCAAATCCTCCTCCAGGCTTTTGACCAAAGGCACCACTTCCGAAACCAGAAGAAGATGAGACACCAAAGGCTCCTCCCCCTCCTCCCCCTCCGTGGAATGGCTCAAATTGCTTTCCACTCATAGGGCCACCGCCAAACGCTGTTGTATTACTTGACTTTTGCTTTTCATAATGTTGTATGGCTGCAGTGGAATTTTGAAGGATTGCATTCACTTGTTGATCCATTTGTTGCTGTGCTTTTTCATGATTTTGTATCTAGTAATAGTAGTTGACTGCATGTGAGTTTTATGCCTTGTAAACCCGTTATTGCAATAGCATACATATTGAGTAGCGTTGCCTGTTGCTCTCATACTCATGTGGTACAGCATACGATCTTCTTCACAGGAGAGATCTGTACCAACAATGAGGTTTGGCTCTTCCTTGGCTGGACCGAATACGCTGAGACGCCAAATAGGTCGCTCATCTTGAAGACTTAATCGTATAGAGCTTTCACTAAAGTCGTCATTCGAATAAATATCTCACTCACTTTGACACAAATGCAAGTGTACTTACTTGTACTTGTCTGACTGGCTACGTGGATTAACGTGCTCGAAATTACACGAGTTGCCGCGATTACAGCGTCCTTCTTGAAAGAACTTGCATAAAACCATGGAAAAGGAAAAGCTAAAGAATAAAAGGGCAGCGGGAAATCCGCTGATTGGCATCTGTTATCAGAAGCGAAAATCCATTGACAGGGAAAAGTCAAAATTCAATCCACAAGTACCTGCAAGGAGTTGATATGAAGAAGAGGATCTACTTTTGCTGGAAGGTACATCAGATTTTTCAAGCCAAATACCACGCGTGATGCTTGTATGGGCACCGCCATCATTTAGTAAATTAGACTCCTAAAGCCATAAACAGAGAGAGAAAGTGTGGGTTGTGTGTGTTCATCATATCAATTGAACAACCTTGTACACTACCTAATTGGCGTTTCTATAGGTGCAGGTACCAATCTTTGCACACTGTTATCTAATGCATCGTTCCATATTAGTAATAAAGGGATCACTATTCTCGCCAGGGCTTCATAGGAGGTGGTGATGTCGGTATCAAAATGCATGATCAAAGTGGGTCAAAATGTAGATAGTCTCTTTTCTTCTTTGCTCTCGTCCTCTTCTTTTCAACATGGGTAAACGAAAAGCTCCATCTCCCAATTCAGAAGGTACGATTCATGATTGCAGCTAGCCGTTAGGATTCTAATGCGCTTTCATAGAGGAGGACATTGTGGTACGCAACTACCTGCGCAAAGTGAATCGGCCCTACAGTGCGAGTACGTGCATGGATGATTGGGGGTAGGCCCGACAATTCAGGTGTTCACATGCACATGGTTTACTAGCCGATGTCTTTAACAACCTCCACGGCAAATATCAAAAGAGCAACATTGTTAAGGCACTTGATCGCCTGACAGAGCAAGAGACAGTGGTGTCAAAAACTTATGGGAAAATGACCATCTATTCTATCAAGCAGGTATGCAAAGATTTTCATGCGCATTTCCTGATGTCTGGCCAGAAAGGTGACATTGCTTGACGTCGTACACTAGGATAAGACAGATATGCTCCCCGAGCAATTGGAAGCTATGGATGTAAACGTACAAACCCTTGCCAATCAAGTAGAGAGCACCATGCAAGAAAACCAGCATTTATCGAGCACATTACGGGATATCACCATTACACCTTTGACTCAAGATGCTAAAGAGCTAGCAAGTAAACTCACTCAAGAGGTACCACATAAGCAGTACGCGTCACAAATGCTAATAACATCTTATTACCTTTTAGAACGAGACTTACAGAGGACGCCTGGAAAAGATAAAACAAGGCCAGACTTTGCTAGCCCCTGAAGAGCGGAAACGAATCGACACCGTACTTGAACACATGAGAAAGGAATGGCGTATAAGACGTAAGATGGTAAGAGCATCATGTCTTGCACAAAAGTAGGCGTAACTTCTAAACATGCAATGTGCATAAAGTTTGTAGACATCTTTAGCACAGTGACTGAGCAATCGGCTGACAAACCCGCTGAACTCAAGGTATGACGTGACTCCAAATAGTCACTATTGAGCTGCTTCTCATTTTGTTTTCCAGGAAGAGCTTGGTATTGAAGAAGATCCCATTCCATACGAACATGTCGCGTCGCTGTAGTCATAAGCTATTATCTGTATCATTTAATCGGGTCAAGGACTAAGTGTTAGGATAGTTCACAATGACAATTATATTTGCACATTCGAAAATACGTAGATAAATGTTTTCTATCGCTATATCAAAACCGCGCTACTCCAGTGCTTATTGAACCTCGATGTATACTTGAGACATTTTTACGATAACGTTGTTCGTCGGAAGGTGTTTGGGTGGTAGTACTTGATGATGATTCTTCACATTCATTTCCTGATTCTAGATTCGCTTCTTCATCCTCCTCCGCATACATGATTGGCCTTTCTTCTTCTGACAAGTCAATAGAGCCGAAACGTGCATTATAAGGTAGTTCACATTCAGCAACAATGAGGGAAGGGTAGTACTGACGATATGCAAAATAAGCACATCCTGCGCCCAAAAGGCTTCCAATCAATACGTCTTGCCAATGATGTCGATTGTCTCGCGTACGTGAAATAGCTACAAGTAATGCTGCAATGCATGGAAAAGCGAATAGAAAGCATTTATAAGTATGCTATGCAGTGATTGTGAGAAAGAGGAAAAAAGAGGAGCATGCATAAAGGTGGTCTACATACCCCGCGTTCATCAAAGATATGCATTTTTCCTGCCAGATAAAACGCGAAATAACCAAGACCTGCAAAGGAGACTGATGATGTTTACATTAGACGAGGCTATGATACCTTTGTAAATATGAACTTACATGAAGAATGGCCACTTGGAAAGCTTTTGAAACCATCACGCATAATATACGAATCAATCGGAGTAGTGCAGACCGTATAATCAGACAATCCCAATGGAGGATCCACCACATCAAGCGGTGGTTTACATCGTGCAAGGAAATCGGGACGAGGACGTCCTGCCGTAATCTATGTAGTGCTCTTCGTCAGTTTGCATCGTCATCGAGGAATCCCTATATACCTTGATAATATCGGTCAGCATAATTGTCATTGAAAGTGCAAGAAATAGACCTATTAATATAACAATAAGTTACACATGGGTGTAGAGGTGTTGATGCCTTGACATTTACCGAGCACACCAATGAAAAAGTCGCGAGTACTCTTCTGAAAATGTATCGAGATGATGCCAATAAGAAGAGCAGGTCCCAACAGACATATTAACTACGTAAACTTTGGATATTCAGCATTCGACTTATAGACTACTAGTGGATGACTTACCACAAGTGTCCATGCTGGCACAGTTTCATGTTCTGTGAACTTGTACATGAGTGTCTTGTCTTCGACTGAGAATTGACGATGGAAGGGCATAATGAGGTCAATGGCGAAAAACACTGCAAGCATAAGCAGGACCAAGAGCCAGTCTTTAGAGTATGAGTAGAAGGCTCTTTGCGTCCTTGGATTTTCCCACTGGACTCCAAGCATATGTTGAAAGGTAAAGGACGGAGGGACAATACCCAACGAGCTGTAATTTAATCTATATGGTCAAAAGTAAGCGAGGCATTTTTGCAATCAGCTATTATACGTAAAAGTGGTACTTGGTTCTATACCTGTGATGCTATAGAAGAAGTAAGCCTGTTAAGAACTATGTGACAGCATGAACGCGCCAACTTGGAATAGCCTGGTCAGATTCAATCTACATCTTGTACTAACTCACTTTCAATGCAGCATATGTGAGGCCCCAGTATAAAGGGGTTTGAATATGAGTATAGATGCTCAAGATACATTAGTGAGTAGGATGGTGGCATACCTGTTGCACAGAGATCAAGAAAACTAGGATGCTTAAATCGATGTTTTGCTAATGTTTTGCGAACTAGTGAATAATGTGCGACGTTAAGGTAGTCTTTTTCCTTTACTATGAAGATGCATAATGAGACACTCATATCACCGCCCAATCGTATCCACAGTACAGGCTCGAGGCAGTCATCGGTTGTATCCTGCAACATAGCCTTGATGGTTTAAAAAGACACGTAGCCATCATACAGTATTGTATTGACTGTTGTGGCGAATTGCCTTCAAGCAATAATAGATGACCAATGCATAAGTTGTGATCACTGCTACTACCATAGCAAGTAGTTCATTTTCGTTATCATCTCACCGATGTACCAAAATCTTCTTGCTGGTAGAAAATACCAACAAGTATAGGCTCAAGCTATAGTGTTTGTTGTTTTGAGCTGTGCGATCGGGAATATTACACCGCTAACTCCCACGGATGTTTACCTTCTTACAAGCTCACAAAAAAAATATAAACGTATAAGCAACTTGTTAGTCATCGTCATATTGTGCATCGGCAGGGATTGAAAAGATCTGATATGCCATTGTATTGTATACTATCTATGATAAACCTTGGGAGTGTAAATCTTGTAAATCTTCAAGGGTGTAATATCAATTCGGCTATCAGAAGATTCGTCTGCACACTCAATGCATTGCAGGGCAGGCCAGTGACGTGGGTGTCAAATGAGCGTAGGTATCTCCATCCAATGGATGATCAATTTTTTCTTATCAAAGTTTCGTAGTCAGCAGATAAAATAATTGTTATCTCACAAAAGGTTCTCCTCCCTGTTCTTTTGCTTGTTTTGTCGTAATGGCCTTGTCGAGATTGCGTTCGCTCCCGATTCCAACTGTGAACCGACTATCAGCACGCTACTTTCACGACTGCTCTGTTAGTGACACACATCCTGTTCGACTTTTACTTTTAGGTAGTCCTGTACGTTTAATAGCTGGCAGCACCAGCAAAAGGGTGCAAAAGGTGTTCAAAGTAGTTGTAGTGGCTAATGGGTTTTGACGATAGGGCTCAGGCAAGGGCACTCAATCAAACAGATTGAAGGCAAACTTTGGTGTCACCCACCTGTCTAGTGGCGATTTGCTGAGAAGGAACATCAACCAAAAGACACCAGCAGGGCTAAAAGCTGGTGAATACGTGGCTAATGGTCAGCTAGTGCCTGATGAAGTTATGCTATCATTGATTGATACTGAATTGGAGCACTTGGGTAATCCGGTATGTACGAGAATGTGATACCGCTTATCAAAATATCCAAAAAGAGCTAACTAAGATAACACAGAACTGGTTACTCGATGGATTCCCACGGTCCCTTCTACAAGCCAAGACGTTGGACACGATGTTGCAGCGATTAAACCAACCGCTAAATCTCGTTATCAACTTGGAGGTGCCAGAAGAAGTGATTCTTGAACGCATCATGGGTAAGCACACAATAGTTATATTCATGTGGCCCAGTAATGAGCGAGGAGCTAATAAAGTTCTTGTTTAGATCGTTGGGTACACGTTCCTTCTGGACGCGTTTACAACCTTTCATACAACCCTCCAAGGACACCAGGAATTGATGATATTACAGGCGAACCTCTCTCAAAGCGACCTGATGATACCCCTGAAGTATTTCGGGTACGCATGCAGCAGTACAAAACAATGGCTGCCCCTCTTCTGGATCATTATAGTGATATAGCAAAGACAATTTCTGGAAGAACGAGCGATGAGATCTACCCTCAAATTGAACGAGAGATTGTCAACCGGCTTGGTGTTGTACCGGGCTCGCTTCGTGTACGTTCTACAAGCTCGATGGCTGCCGCAGCTGTATCCCGCCATAAGCGTGATCAACAACGAAAACTATCTATCCACCAACAGCAACAGCATCAAGTTGAAAGAGAGCCATTAGCAGCGACTTACTCACAATAATCGAGCTATCGGTTTGTTGTCACCTTTCTCGCTACAACCCCTTTTTTTCGATCCTTTTCGTGTAATCATTTTCAGATATCCTCTTGGTGCCTTCCTGCACACATAGTTTCTTCATCATTTATTCCCTTATTCCCTGCTGTCTCTTTGTCCATAAGCAACCACCCTCTCTTTCACCTGTATCTATGCAAAATAAAACTCAAACGTTTTATTGCTTTTCCTATATACATGTAAATTGGTCGAGATGTGATTGAGTAATCAGCTACGCCATAAGATACATCAGTTGTCTTGATTCTGTGCTGCCTTGTTCATGATCAATATCATTACAGGGCAATGCAAAGTCCGTCAAACCGCCCTCTAGCTCTTTTCGCATGATGCCATGTAGCTTACTAACCATCAAATCACACGACGGCATGGTCAGCGTGCTTTCGAGAGAGTTTCACATGGCATAGGCCAATTAAGCTATACCTAATTTGACATGCATCCGTTTCAGGCTCTTCAGCAATTTGATAAGCCAGTCGCAGGAAATTGTCGCGTCACCCCTTTGGCGGTGCCACTGACGCCTTCAAAAGCCCTAGTGAGTATCATGAGTGAGAGCCCTTTTTGGGAGCAATTCATGCGCTATTGTTCGTAATGTTGAGATTTTATTATTATCCTAGTGCTTGTTCTCACTTTATTTGACGCTTTGACAAGGTGAAACCTAATCACCTCGCTTGATGAAGCTTATATTCAAAATGTGCCTTTTGACGTAAACTATCTCGCGAAATGCACCCGAAAAGTTGGCTTAGGTAGCATCCCCGTCAACTATCACCCCTTGCTTGGGTCATAATGACCGGTCTGTGACACACCAAGCGATGCCGACTATCGAATACGCAACATAAAAACCTCAATTGAGTACTATGGTTGATCCGACATCTGACACGGTGAACTAGAGTCATTGTGCAGAATTGTTTCGAACACTAACGTACGGCTTGCATATCCATGCAGCTTTGTGTGAAAAACTATGTCGAATAGAAAAGATATAAATTAGTGTAAACATTAGCAATTTATACACACTGTATTCTTCCTTTCGAACTTTTAAGAAAATTGACCTATTACTGCACTTATCAAAGGCATTAACTGTTTTGAGCAAAATGTCATGGCAGCGGATACCTATGTTGCTGACAACATCACTGCTCGTTGCTGTCTTCATCGATCGCTACGTTCTCAAGCCGCCACGCAAACTTAGACACATTCCCTACATTGACTTTATTCGATACATCAAGGCTGTAATGTTGGAACGAAAGTCAAGAGAGGAGATTGGCAAGCTGATCAATTTACGTGCTTTGAAGCAATCTTCAAATGGGTTGTTCGTGGTAAAGAGATAAACACAGGATAATGGCACTGTCGTGCAATCAAACTAAAAGAGAAAAACTCGCAAGGGATACGACGAGTATGGGTGGGGTGTCCATGTGTCCATGCCGAATCACATGCGTCAAGTTCTCACGCAACAAGGTAAGGTAAAGCCGATGTATGATCGAAATCTCACTCAGCAAGCAAAATTTAGATCAGTTCCCTAAAGCAGACGTGATAAATATGCGTAAAGGTACATTGTTTGGGCGAATTGGATTTGGTCCAAATGTATTTATGGTAAATGGCAATCAATGGAAACTGCAGCGAAGGGTAAGATAGGCGAAGAGAATGGATATTACTACAGAAGTTGCGAGGTGGTAGTATTAAAGATGAAAATATGTGGTGGTTAGATCACTAATCCAGCCTTTCACCGGTCGTTGCCCGTTAACATATGCGGTCGTCTATCCGAAGACCTTTTCAACATTGTGATGGGAAAAGGGGGCGTGTTTAATATCCACAACTTAACGGAGCGTTTCACTTTGGACGTACTTGGGCAGGGGATTTTGGGTATGACTTCGTGCTTTATGCACCTAAAAAGCTGCTAATATCAAATCAACAGGTGTCGACTTTTGTGCTATTCAGGATGGCGACAGCTATTGGCACAACACGTATATCCATATTATGAAAGCCGCAACCGATCCTTTCTTTTTCGTATTTCCTGTGCTTGACAAACAGCTTCGTTTTCTTTTTCCTTCACGGGTTCGTGATCACCAACTGGTGACTGATTTTCTCGGTCGCATTCAATTACTTGCTGATGAAAAGCGAGCAACATTGGATAAACAGCAGCCACATGACGATACAGTCCCTGACCATGAAAAGGACATGCTGACTTTATTAGTAGAAAGAGAAAATGAGCAAGGATTAAGACTGAGCAATGAAGAGATGCTGGTATTAATACCGATGTATTAGACAACCACACGGCTAATCATGTGATCAACAGAATAATCTCACTGCCTTTTTCATTGCTGGCCACGATAATATAAGCAATGCAATTGCTCGCTCAGTGTACTTTATGGCCACACATATGGTAATTGGGTTCACTCACTTAAGTAATAGAAAGCGCACTCAAATGATACATTCATATAGCAAGTACAAACAAAGGCGAGGCAACAAGTCATCCGTATTCTGGGAGATGACCCTGCTCATAAGGATATACGTCCCACAGCTGCCCAACTTCAAGAGATGGATTATCTTACTGCAATCATCAATGAGACGCTGCGCATGAGCATGTCGGTGACCAACGCCGTTCCTCGTGTTGCTGCACAAGACACGTACATTGATGGCGTCTTTATCCCAAAAGGAACAACCATCGCCATCAACCTTTATGAAGCTCATCACAATCCTCGTGTGTGGAATGACCCTGAAGCATTCAGGCCAGAGAGGTTTGAACCTGGGGACGAATACGATAAACTCAAGGCACAGGGTGATGGGACAGCGTTTATTGCCTTCGGGATTGGACCACGATTATGCGTCGGTCAAAATTTAGCACTCGCTGAGCTGCGTGTGTTTTTAGCAATGCTGCGTAAGTTCAACACCAGGGATTTTCGTATTTCCATTGACATCGTTCAAGTTCGCAGATATGAATGGTCACTTACTAAGGATTCGATTCACAAGGATGGAATCGTAGTGGAAGGGATGGGCTTTTGTACACCTGTCAAACTTGATTTGGAGTTTATTAGTCGCCATTAAAGCGACTTTGGATATGACTATTTCATTGCGTGTATGGAAGAGTTACAGGGGAGGAACGGCATGATGACCCCAAAAAAAATAGCATAGCTCACACGTGAGCCAACCACCAGATGTTTCAATCTTTATTATCATCGCTTTTACCATCGAATCTTTTCTGGAAAAAATTCAGCTATCAAATCCAAATAATAAGGCTTGAGCTTGTCAACGTCAGGTGGATCGGAAGATTTGGAATAAAGATCGTACTGATTGAAAACCTTGACCCATTTGAACATTTCATGGTCGCGCTCATTCATCAACCACTTGTACTCGTGTTCATGGTGCCATGCATAAAATGAATGATGTCGGATCACGTATACAGCTTCTTCTGGAAGATGATCCTTGCATACATTGGCGAGATATTCGTCATGACCATAGCTTAAATGTACATTCTCCAGACCACATTGCGGTGTATAAATGCCGTCATGGGTGCTGTATACTGGATGGTGGTAGTCTGGGTTGGCTTCAAAGTATTCGCTGTGCACGACTTTGTTGCTAAACGCACAACCAACGGGAAAGGTATCTCCAACGACCTGGACATCAACGAATAAGAGATTATGTAAAAGTAGGTGAAAATTTGTATTCTCTTACCGTCCATTGTGGTTCGCCGAGGAAGAAAAGGTACTTACCAAGATCATGGATAAGCGCTGTTAAAATCATCCAGCGGGGTTGACCATCTTGTCGTGCAGCCTCGGCCGATTGCAATGCATGAACGGTTTGTGGCATTTCCGTATCTGGATCCGAGTCATCCACCAAGCCGTTTAATAGCTCAAGCACCTCCCAAATCCCAAGCTCCGCCTTGTCAAGTTTTTCATATTTTTTCTTCATTGCTAGCACATGCTCTAATGTCTGCTTTTCGTGGTTCTCCTTGTAGAAGGCGGCAACATTGGGCGCTGCAGTCTCATAGTCACGGAAGTCGGAACGCGCTTTGTTGTTGTATTTCTCCTGTAGAAAATCTTCCCACGCCTCCGTGATACGTGCAGCTTCCTTGATGTTAACAACCATAATGTGTGCGAGTTGAATAAATGAAAAATCGATTTTCATTCACGCATTTTATAGGGATAGACACGTCAAACTCTGTAATCACGCGCTGTTGAGCGGGTGTTACCAAAACTTTAGTTTCTCACTCGGAAGAATAAGGCAACAAGACACTTGACCAAAAAAGTCGATAGCGTGACCAGGACGTCCACCATTATGGAATCGAGATACATATAAACCTTTTTCAGTTATAGATGTATGCTATTGAGGATATAGTAAAGGATCTTAGGTGTTATCGACATAGGGTGTATGTGGATACATTGTTAGGTCAATGCGATTACTGACAACATTGGAAGCGCGCTATGGTATCGATGCTTTTCCACGGACAGTGTCGATGGTGATTTATCAAACCGCACGAATAATGTGGGTGTGACGAGATGTGTTTCACACATTCATGCATTGCAAAAATATATCAATGGACGATCGCATTATCACGTGAGCATTGATGTCCTTTTATTATAAGCAAAAGAAGTGTGTTCACTAAAAAAAGAGTGATAAATGCTTGTTGGAATTTCATGTCCAAGAGCCTATGTGTGTTCATTGTTTAAGAATAAATCGACAGCTGACATCAAGGGAGTGGCAATATCCATCGTCAAACAATGAAATTTGCAAGTGTAAGGGGAGAATAGAGGCGATTCGGGAATTCAAGTTAGTTACCTGAATATGGTTGCCAAGCCAAGCGTTGCGGATCTCCCACACATGGTTGCATGCTGTAAGGGCTAACGCACAGTTTAATATGAGGTTCTTCTAAACTTTTATCTCTTGTAACAGGTGATCCTATTGACAATGCAGGCTTCAGGGGGGAATTCAAACACGTCGAACGATCACGCCTTGAAATCGATATATTGGAGCAACATGTCAAGTCATTCGAGTTACAAGAACAGCGATCACAAGGGCGCAGCATTCAGGATAAACGACAATTCATGTTTCCAAGAGGTGAATAGCCATAGCACTGCAACACCTTTGGCCGGGAAAGACGTTGACAACAATACAGCGTCCAACGATGATGATTCGGAAGTTGCACAGATCACTGTTAGCCTTGCTAGTCTTGTTCAATTGCCTACTGAACCTGCTGTTGAAGTGGAAATGATTGAATGCACCCTGCAAGATTTGGTGAATGGGGACACGAGTGAAACAATCCAAAACGTCCTCAGAAATCTAAGAGGCGAGCATACACAAAAGAGCAATGTCAATTCTACAACAGAAGAGGAAACGAAAGGTCACCAAGCTGAAAGGACGTCTATATCCCATGGGCAACCGTTTATTGCTTCAAGAGACGAGGATGAGATCAAGAAAAGAATGATTGAAAAGGCCAAAAGGATCAATGGTGCAAAGTTGAATGCATTTGCTCTCAGTTTCGTTCCTTCATCTTCACACGAGTCGCCTTTAGTTCATGATGATGGTCTTTCTGCAACGGGAAATCCGGACACCACAGGAAATGAGATTGACTCTTTTATGCCATCCAACAAATTGAATCCAGCAGCACCGTCTTTCGTACCTCATTTCATCGGAACTAGCTAGCGTACTAGTTTATTGGTATTATGGACTTTTTTTGGTCAAATATAAGGGATCACGCTATGTGTCAAAAGAAAGGACGTATGCTAGATAGTTTATTGATGATCTTTTTACAATGCAGTGGCGCGTTTTACTAATGTCAGTAATCCTTCGCTATCCGTAATTGCACTTTGAAGGCTCTTTAATGCATACTTGGCAAGCATATCGACTTCGACGTTGACTCGGTCACCGACACTCTTCAGAGGCATAACCACGTGTTCTTGTGTATGAGCGATCATCATGATTGAGAAAGTTCTTGCGTTGTCGTCGACGTCGCATACGGTAAGCGAGGTTCCGTCAAGACATATGAAACCTTTGGGAATGATGTAGCGCATGATGTCCTTGTCGTCTGTCTGGAATGTGAACCACACGGAATTGCCTTCGGGTTTAATGTTGATAATGCTGACAGTGGTATCCACATGGCCTTGCACCATATGGCCACCGAATCGTTTTTGACTATCCATAGCTCGCTCAAGATTCACTTTGCTTCCCACCTTCAAATCTCCCAAGTTGGTCCTTCGTAAGCTCTCGGGAGCAACGCCAACTTTAAAGGTTTCCTTATCAAATTCGGTAACAGTCAAGCATGTTCCTAAAAAGAAACGACTTAAGTTTGCTGTTGCAAGTTTGCAGTAGTAATAGTGTCACAAACCATTGATAGCAATGCTGTCACCAATATGACAATCACCTAGAATGGAAGCAGCATCGCCGATTGTCAAGCTCCAGCCGTTTCCACCCGATTCACTCGTGTCTTGGGGATCAAGTCCAATAACTGTGCCGATTTGCTCTACAAGACCAGTGAACATGTTGCTGCGAAAGATGTGCAAAAGATGACTCAGCCGACCACGCGGTCTTATAATTCACCAATGTAGGTTCGAGTGGGGCATGAACATGGGAAAAGCTTTATCCAATTGCTTATAAGATAAAATTGAATTATACTAAGAGATCGCTATCCATTGAGTGATTGTATTGATATAGATCGAAAACAATGATTGCTGATATCATTTCTACAAATAACTAGCATTAGAGCCTAATTTTAACTCTGTAGATATTGTACTTACCCGACCCAAATATTTTTTGAATAAGGCATGATGTTCTCGAGATCCTCCTTGCTGTCCACGACCACGACCTCCTGACGATGAAGTAAATTGACCACCTGAATTCCGCGAGTATTCCAAATAAGCCATATTATCTCCACCAGCGAGAGTTTTAGAAGACGTCATTGATCGTTTGGCGTTAGATGGTCGTCCCTTGGCTGCTACTTTTCGGTCTGTGATGCGACCCACATCATCAATTGCACCAAAATCTTCGTCTTTAAGATCAGACTATATAGGACATAATCAGCATGATGCAATTAGATAAATTCCTGCATAGTTTACCTCGTTGGTCAATAATACTGATTTTAGTAAATCCATCTGCTCTTGATGTGTTCGGAACACCAGGTTGGGATCGCTGTCCATGCCTTCTAGATTTGTAATCACCTTAAACGCATATCCTTGATCGATTAAAAACTGCTGCCGTTTCGTCGAGTAATACATTTCTTGTGTGTCCCGCGATACCAGCGAATAGAAGAACGCATTGAAGCCTTCATCATTCCTCCTTTTTGCTCGAAGAATCCGGCCTATAGCTCATTAGCTTCGTTCCTTATACACATAGACTACGCTTACCTAAACGCTGTGCCTCTTGACGTCTGGATCCATAATGAGATGATATTTGAATCAAGCATGTGGCTTCTGGTAAATCAATGCTCGTATCACCAACCTATGCATCAACGTAAGCTTATATTTTACTTATGATGTATGATACCTACCTTCGAAAGGAAAATGGTATTGACTGCCGGGTTATACTGGAAGTTTTGTAAAATCCGCATTCGTTCTTGTTGGCCAGTGCCGCCATAGATGTAAGGTTTCTCCAACTTTTTTGCATATTCCTGAGGAACAAATAAGACAATTGAATACATGTACCAATCTTCCTTTGCTTCTGTGACCCGATTTACATACCACCAATGCATATACATTATCCGAAAACACGATAATCTTGTCACCTCGTCGTTCATGGTATTGAATAAGATATTGACACGCCTGCAATTTCTTCGGATTCATAACATATAGTAGCATTCGTTTCCTCGAATTCTCTCGAAGATACTCCTTGTAGAATTCAGGGGTCATAGGGCACCAGACCTCCGCACACTATGTTCTTCATGTCAGGAAATTCTCCACGTATGTACCTCAAGAGTCAAGATTTACTTACCTGGACATTGGCAATATGTCCGCGACTGGCAAGATCCATCCAGTTGGCTTCGTATAACTTGGGACCAATTAAAAAGTTGAGATCATCAATCTTTTCATCTTCTCGCACAAGGGTTGCTACAAGGGGAAAAAGGTCATTGAGTATAGGTATTATGAGTCCCTTCATTTCACTGCACAAACCAGTTAAGCCAAGCTTAGCGTGGGCAGCTATTGTTGTAACAACGGTACGGAACATGTTGGCAGGTACAACGTGCACTTCATCAAGAAGTAAAAAGCCCCACTCCCTTGATTCAAGAAATTCCATCATCTTTTGTGCATCATAGGACCGTTTACGCTTGTTGGCAACCATGGAGTATGTTGAAATGACGATGCCTGAGCTTCCCGAAAACTTTTGAAAAAAAATTAGGATGGAACAGCTTTCATCACCAAAAGCCATATACGTACCTTCTCCTTGCAATCGGATGTAAATACAGCGATTTGATTCTCTTTGATGTTGCTCCATTGTAGGAATTGCTGTTTCCATTGCATGACCGAGACCCTATTGTTTTGTAAGCTTAGATAGGTATCATACTTATGTACCCTAGTACCCATTGGTGCTTACGATGATGTACATAAAACCAGGCAGCTCTTCTTTATCGTACATGCAGCGGTAATGCCAACAAGCGTTTTTCCTGCTCCGCACGGTAACACAATAATGCCGGATCGTGCACGACTACCTCACCGCGTTAATGTATTGCACAAATCATTGCAAAGAATAGAAGCATTACCCGTTACCAAACATCTTTGACAAGCTCTTTTCTTGATAAGGTCGAATCACAGTGGTAGGTTTGAGATCAATCTCGAGATTGGCATTGACTGTGTCGTTCCGAAAGTCGTATTCCTCGAGCATAGGATAATCAATGTCATTGCAACGTTTTTTGATGTTCTATGAATTTTGTAAGCCATCTTATTTGTCGTAATGTGCAAAAAATTCATACCTCCACTTGCTCTGCAGCGATTTCAAAGGAATGCACCTGTTCACCACCATCGAGATCTTCCTCTTCATCCTCCTTATCAATGCGAACCACAGCACCAAAGAGTTGCTCTTCTTCCATTCTCTTTTGCGCTTCTTCGTCTAATGCCGCTTTGGACTTATCCTTATCCTTTCCACCTTCTGCTGCTGGAGACTGCTTATTGATGCCGGATATAGCTAAGTTCTTTCCAGATGGTTTATTATTCACCAGCAAAGCACTTGAACCAGCAGGCGCACTGATGACTTGATCATTTTCATCCCGCACAATCCGTCCTTGGTTAATGACTGTATCTTTGAGCAGCATTTGAAGCGTCTCTGGGTGTGAGGATTCGACATAATATCGATTGTGCTTCAATACGAGTTTCACTTTGCCATAAGATAATGTACATTGGCGAATGAACTGTGTGATGGATTCTGGGACTGGTACTTTGGAAAGGCGATTCAAGACTTCAATGATATCTTCAGTCTCTAGTCCGACAGAAACAGCGGCATATAGAGAATAGGGTGTCAACTTGTATTCATGAATATGGGCTGGGCGACTGACAGGCTCGCTAATGGCAACAAGAAAATCCTGAGCTTGCTCTGCAATAGGTGAAAAGCCTTCAAGGATAATATGGCCATCTTCAGGACTGATCCATAGTGGTCGAGAAGCGTGGTCTTTCTTTAATGGAAGATACGTATAATCCTCTTTGCCGAACATATGTGAAATAAAATCCGAGCGATCTTGCTCATGGTGACCGATATTCAACGAGGATATGTCGAGATTGGCATTCTTTGGTACTGAAAAATAGAACCATGTTATATAAAAAGTAGTTGATTGGAAAAGCTTGGAGCCTCACCATGAAGCTTTAACTGTAGTGAATCGTCTAGCTGAACATCACTATCTTCCTCATCAGTCGACGTTTCTAGGGGTATGTTATATAAGATTGTAGTCTAATTTGCCGGCACTAGTATATAATACCATCGTATTTTCTTTTGCTCATAACTGTGGTGAAGAGAGGGAAGGTGCTTGTTACGCAGCAAGAGCCAACACATTTTAAATGCGCTGGGTTTCACTGGCCCGTTGAGGATACACACATACAAGCCATACTATTCTTACATGGCAACCATGACTACCCTGCGTACTGAAGAATGATAATGCTCCCATTGTGATGTTTGTGAACTATCAAATAAACAACATGTTGGCTCCAGATTTGAATGTCTCATGCTGAAGGTCGCAAATTCCACCATATTATTGGTATCATGGCAACCAGTAGTGGTAACACATAGTTACTGCATTATGAATAGCAACCTGTAGTCGGCTAGAGATACAACCACCAAACTTTATTGTTACGAGAGTATGGATATTCCTAACATCACTTTATGTATAGCAAAGAGCGCTACCTCATAGGGTTGGAGGAGAGTCCATGAAACACCATGCTGGCAGAGATCATCGACAGCTCCGAGCGGGGGCACAAAGTCACTGAATCAAGTCGAGACGATTCCTACGCCCACCATATTGACCGCAGCTCTCAGCAACCTTTCAATTGCAACCATGGATCCTGCAAAGCGACGAGTACCGATTTCGATAGAGGAACTGATCGAGAGAAAAGAACAAGAGAAGAATGCTGCAAACAAAGTATGTTGATTCTAAGGTTCAGCCGGTTCACTTCACCAGCTCACTTACTTTATGCATCGCTAGCCGAAATTCTTGACCAAGGAAGAGCGACAGCGATTGGCTTTAGAACGTCGACAGAAAGAAGTGGAAGAGAAAAGAAAGCGTGAAGAACAAGAACGTCAAGCTCGTCAATCGTTTGATATGAAAGCAGAAGATGAATATCGACGTACGATGCAAGAGCAGCACAGTCGCCATTCTCGCCATGGTCGATCCTCTCGACGAGAAAACGATAACAAGAGGCGTGAACGGACCCCAGAAGAACCTGATTCAGAAAATGGATTGAATGATAAGGAAAAACAAGCTATTCGCGTAAGGATGGTATTGAATCATGCAGGGCAATGGATGGCTAATCTGAGAATGTATTCATAGGAACGTTATTTCGGTGGGGAACGCAAAAAGCGCAAAATACGACGTATGAATGAACGCAAATTTGTTTTCGATTGGGATGCCGGTGAAGATACGTCTTACGACTTCAATCCCCTATACGCGAATCGACACAGTGCACAGATGTTTGGACGTGGACACATTGCTGGTGTTGATATCAAGGAACAAAAGAAGCATCGATCCGAATTCTACAATCGGTTACTTAAGGATCGCCAGACTGCTGAAGAACAAGAACGCGCCATGTATGTATTATTTACTACTTACTCAAATGTTACCCTCCAGCTGACTTTTTAATGCTATAGGGAACTTATGGAAATGGATCGCAAGAAGGAGGCCAAGATGATGTGGGATGACCGTCATTGGACAGAGAAACCCTTACAGCAAATGACTGAAAGAGATTGGCGTATTTTCAAAGAAGATTTCAACATTACGACCAAAGGTAAAAGTGAAAGATGTCATTTTGTCACGTGATTAACAGATAGCTTAAATCGTAGGTGGCAATATCCCTCGTCCTATTCGTTCATGGGATGAATCGCAACTTCCCTCTCGAGTTTTGGAGATCATCGAAGGCGTTGGGTACAAGGAACCTACTCCTATTCAAAGACAAGCAATTCCTATCGGCAACCAGAATCGAGATATCATTGGCATTGCTGAAACTGGTAAGATAACAAAATATGTGATTCATGCCGTATCATAACATGTTGGCATAGGTTCGGGTAAAACTGCTTCATTCGTTATTCCGCTGCTTTGCTATATCTCGGACTTGCCCAAACTCAATATGGATAATATGGCTGATGGACCCTATGCATTGATCATGGCGCCGACTCGTGAACTTGCACAGCAGATCGAGCAGGAAACTCTAAAGTTTGCCACCCCAATGGGATTTAACTGTGTTTCTATCGTTGGTGGTGTAAGTATAATGAAAACTACCCAAGGGAATGACTTCTAACGCCTTGGCCTCTTGTTTTTTTTAGCATGCGATTGAGGAGCAATCATTTAATTTGCGTAACGGTGCTGAAATCATTATCGCTACACCAGGCCGTTTGAAGGATTGTCTTGACCGACGCATTTTGGTGTTGAACCAGTGTACCTATGTCGTAATGGATGAAGCCGATCGTATGATTGATATGGGTTTTGAAGCCGATGTGAATTTTATTCTCGATGCTCTACCTGTTTCCAATGTTAAACCTGAAGACGAGCAAGAACAAGAGGCTAATGGAAGAAAGTATCGCCAAACCACCATGTTTTCAGCCACCATGCCTCCAGCAGTAGAGCGACTGGCGAAGAAGTATTTGAGACGCCCTGCAGTTGTTACAATCGGCACCGCTGGTCAGGCTGTGGAGACTGTTGAACAACGTGTCGAGATGATCAACGACGAGAACAAAAAGAAGTAATGTCAACCCCTGGCAATTTTTTTCTCTGTTTGCTTATACAGCTTTTTTTAGGAACCGTCTACTGGAGATTCTCAACTCAGGTGCTTTCGAGCCTCCTATCATTATATTTGTCAATCAAAAGAAGGGTGTTGATGTCCTTGCCAAGGCGCTTAATAAGTTGGGATTCCATGCAGTAACCTTACATGGTGGTAAATCTCAGGAACAAAGGTAATAGTAATAACTTGAAATTATTAGGGGCTAGTTGAGCTCACTAATTTAATTGTAGAGAATCTGCTTTGACGCAACTCAAGACTGGTAATGCTGATGTGCTAGTTGCTACCGATGTGGCTGGACGTGGTATTGATGTTAAGAACGTGTCGCTTGTTATCAATTACGATATGGCCAAGAACATTGAAGGTAAGGTACACCTATTAAGGCTATTTTGTCAAAAGTTAATGTCTGGTAAACTTTTTTTGTAGATTACACCCATCGTATCGGTCGTACAGGTCGTGCAGGCAAATCTGGTGTTGCTATTACGTTCCTGACCAACAATGACACGGAAGTCATGTATGACTTGAGACAAATGCTCGCTAAATCTCCTCTATCCAAAGTACCCCACGAATTGGCACATCATGAAGCAGCACAGACCAAGCCAGGCATTGCCAAAGCTAAAAAGAAGCATGAAGAAACAATCTTTACTTGATAATAGGATAAAATAAAAAGGGGAAATTCGTTTAACATTGATAGTCGTCATCGAAATTAGCAAATTCGAACCATAAAGCATCTGATTGAGATGATTCAGTAGGGATTATATCTGAAGGAGGAAAATTGATATCATCGTCATTTGCTGTGTTGTCGGAAAACAATAGCGAAGGGGGATTCAGGTTGAAGTCGCTTAAACCCCATGTTTGAAATGCTGGATCGTGCATAAAGGAGAGGTCATCCTGGCTGCTACCACTCATCATTTGGGACCATGGCTCAGATATGGCATGTTGTTGACTTAAGCTTTCGTCCTCCACCTCTGATGTCTCTTCATTGTTAGCTGAAAGAAATATATCGTCATCCATCATGTCTTGAGTGAGTGACTCTGTAGGGTCGCAATTGGTATCATTTGGTGTTGGGCTTTGTAGTGGTAGTGGAAGTGGTGGTGTATCCTCATCGTCTTCTGCCAATTCATCTTCTTCGTCGTCAGCATTATCTGCTCGTATTGGTCGTTGGGTTGAAGCTGATTCGGAAATATTGTCGATGCACAAAGGACACTGGTAGTCCCCAATGACAAATTCATGTTGCTTTTCAACACATTTCATATGCTGCCAGGTATGACAATTCTCGCATTCTATCATGGTTCCAATTTGCTCTTGAGGCGTGTCACAAATACATCGAACTTCGCCGGTGGTATTGTCTTCATCTTCATCTTCATCCAAAAGTTCATCTTCTTGTTGATTGCTGATTTGCTCCTCTTGTAAAAAACGACAACGATCCAGGTGATAAGCGAGTCCGTTCCTATTCTTGTATCGCTTCCCACAAGGTTCACAAACAAAGACACGGGAACCTTATAATGAAAAGAAATCAATCATCAATACTTGAGCTATGCTATTACAAGATGAAATATTACCATCTTCTTGAATAACAGGCACAATGCCTTTAGTAGATCCACCTTGCCGTTTGACGGGTGTTTTAGAATTCTTTCGTGCTGTGGAGTGTGGTGAGGCGGTAGGTGCGGTATGCTTGGATGAAATAGCCTTCGTCGATGACCGTGGTAGCTGACGATAAGGGCGATTGCGAGCTTGACGCTGAAATAAATGATGACCATTTCCTGATACTATTGTCGATGTACATTGATGTCGCTTATTGGATAATCGAATGGTTTCACATCTTGGTCGTACAAGTGGGAGTTCATTCATCGTATCTTTCTTTTCTAGCGAGGCTAGTGCTCGCGCCTTGGCCTGCGAAAGCCGCACTTTTAATAGTCGGCTTAGATATTGGATATTGTCGTGTTGCAAATCCTCCAACATAGGTGGTTTATCTGACCAAATCATGCTGCAAGTCTGGTATAATGAAGATGAGAAACCAGGCTTTTTGGACGATGCCGACGATGCCGTTTTAGTCACCGTGCTGCAATTGGTAGGCTGTGATGATGATAATGACGATAACGATCTGGGTAAAGCTGGTTTGCTGGGTGAAGAGTGTGGTGAAGTGAGAGGTGTAGAAGGATCAATACGTCTACTGAGAAGTTTCAGTTGCTCTGTCGACAAATGCTCTGCGTCGTCCTTGGAAACGCTGCGTTTATTTTGTCCTGCTTTGTTGAGATTGCGCATGGCGGCAACTGTTTTACCACCACGGTGGGGTCGTTGAGGGCGAATAGATTCGACACGGTGGCGTTGATGTGAGGTGGTGAAGGTTTGTGGAATAATAGAAAGCTCGTCATGTTGCTGCTTCAGGCGTTTAGGTGAAGGACAAGCATTCTCATCATTGGGTGAAGGCTTTGCATTTCGCAAGGCAGGTGTTGAAGACTTTGTCAAAGAATGGTCAAGATTGGCACCTCGGATATCAGCGTTATCAAGAGATTCAAGTGCTGAAGACTTTCTGTATACAAGTAGCATATCATTAACGACCAATTCAAGTATAGAGTATACGTTATTAACCTGCTTCCAAAGGTTGCTATGTTGCGTATAGGTGAACGTTCCATGATTGGAAAGAGAAGTGCAATTAGCCAAAAAGTCACAAGCATTCTACTATCATGCCTCAGGAATTAAATGGGCGCGCCTATTTGCACAACCCCTCTCTCATACCAAATCTTCACATCGAGTGGCTCAAGAAGTTGTTATAGATCCCATGAATCCAATTACTGTAATAAAGCATGAAATACAACTCTTTTCTAGATAACCATCTTTATAATGTCTCTTTCCATCTTTGCTGTAAGATTATGATTATGATGCTAAATGGAAGTCATCTTTTCTTATCGGTGGGGGGTGTCTTGGCTGGCTATGTGCACATACGAACGTTGTAAAGCTGGGGGGGGTTGTGGTCAACTGCTCAAATCCTAGCTGTCCACATAGACTTGCCAAAGGGTAAAGATGAATCCGTTGCTGAGAATACTGCCCATGTTGATGTCAACAGATTCCATCATTCCACTTGCGGGGCATAACACAGCGTATCATAGCTATTGTAAATTCCTGTGTTGTGGAAATTGGGTGGCTGAAATGAAGTTCCTATGCTACATAAACGATTGCCACATGATGAGAATGATAACAGTTTTATAGCAGTTGGACGAAACGTTTCAGGATTGATACGCCACATGCCCGCTGTGTAGCACCGCATGAGCGACATGGGCATAGATTCTATTATATCTTCCATGGAGGCTGTCAAATCCCTTTCCACCTTTTTTTTCGCTCCTACTCTTTTCCTTTTGCTTGACATCAACTCCAAAAATTCATTTCATGTCTCTTGAACTAACAGAATATGTTACGCGTCCAGGGGTAGGCCAAGTTGGCAAAAAGATTCGTGTTCGCAGTAACTTTTTTGAAATCACCACTATTCCTACCCAAAACGTCACCCACTATAATATTTCGATCGATCCTCCAAGCGCACCACCCGCTGTTTTTCGAAAGGTCTGGAAGGCATTTGAGGACCTTCATGGTCAGTCACTTTTAAAAGGAATCAAAACCGTGTATGATGGGCGCAAAAACGTATTTTCTCCGAAACCACTACCTTTTGGATCGGATCATGCTGTTCAATTCGAGGTATACATACACGTCAAACAAATGGCGCTTCTTACCTAGCACTTATTCAATGCCTATCCTAGGTAGAACTTCAGGATTCAGAAGCTGCCTCAAAGCGTGCTGCTGGCACGTTCAAGATCCGCATTAAAAAAGCAGGGGAGATTAACATGGAAGAGCTACAGCGATTTTTGAGTGGTCAAGCAAGTTTGACACCCAATTGCCTTACTTGTAAGTTAATGGTATCTCCCTTAAACAAACGACAGCTAAGAGCATGCTAGGTATCATGGTGCTTGACGTACTTGTACGCCACATGCCCAGTATGATGTATGCTACCGTTGGGCGATCATTTTTCACTCCTCAAGACAAACGTGTTCTACCAAACGGTGCTGAAGTTTGGCAAGGATTTTATCAATCAGCACGACCAGCTGTTGGCAAAATGATGATTAATGTAGATGTCAGCGCTACAGCATTTTATGAAAGCGATACGCTGCCCAATGTAGTGGCCAAGATTCTTGGTCGACGTTCTATCGATGAGTTACGACGAGGCATCAGCGACCGCGATCGATCACGATTGGAAAAAACGCTGAAAGGAATCAAAGTACAAGTCATGCATCGTGGCGAGCATAAACGTAAATACAAAATTCTTAAGCTTGCACCGAGCTCAGCAGATCGCACCATGTTCAGAGATGTGATGGATGATCAAGCTGAGGAGATGAGCGTCACCACCTATTTCCATCAGCAATACAATATGCGTCTCGCCTATGGTTTTCTCCCATGCATCGTTGTCAAGAGAGATATCTTTCTTCCTATGGAGGTTTGCCATGTAGTGCCTGGTCAACGATTTATGAAAAAGTTGAACGAAAAGCAAACAGCGGAAATGATAAAGTTCACATGCCAAAAACCACAAGTGCGTGCCAACAAGATCAATCAAGGATTCAACATGCTCCAATATCGCAACAATCCATACATTCAGCAATTTGGAATGAATATCAAGAGCGAAATGGCAATGGTTTCTGCTCGTGTGCTACCAACGCCGCAAATTTCTTACTCTCAGGCAAGCCAGGATGGTACATTTGCGCCGATTGGTGGTGCTTGGAATTTGCGTGGCAAAAAAGTTGCCCAAGGTGCTGTGCTCGGCTCATGGTCCGTGGTTAATTTTCATGCACAAGTTACAACTCCGGCTATCCAACGATTTATTCGTGAACTCTGTCAAACATTTACTGATACAGGTTTGGTAAGTATAGGCGATGATGGGAAAAATAGCCCAATGTCATAAAACTGATCATCCACAGACCGTGGTGAATCGAACACCACCCATCACGTATGGCGACCCACAAGGGAACGTTGATCGCACACTAAAAGAAGCATGGCTCAAGGCAGGCAACGCATCCAAGGCAACACCACAGCTCATTCTATGCATCCTACCAAATACAGGCGTTCCTCTTTACGCTGAGATAAAACGGATTTCGGATACAGGTAAATGAAAAACCATCAACATGATATTCTTTAATGATCCTTATGCGCCGTAGTGATTGGTATTCCTACACAATGTGTACAAAGCAAACACATCAACGATGCCAAAAAACAATATTGCGCGAACGTTTGCCTCAAAGTGAACATGAAGCTAGGTGGTATGAACTTGTATCTCTCTCCTCAACAAATCCCATTCATCTCCGAACGACCCACCATTGTCTTTGGAGGCGATGTAACACATCCCGCCCCAGGTATATACGTTGCAGTGACTGAAAGCGAAAAGCACGATGCTAATACGAGCTATCTTGGATGACATAGGTGATATGAATCGTCCTTCTGTTGCTGCAGCCACTGCCAGTATGGATGCTCGTGCTTCAAGATACGCCAGCGCAATACGTGTCCAAACCAACCGAACAGAAATCATTGCTGATCTTGCCAATATGGTTAAGGAGCTTTTAAAAGGGTTCTATCAGTCTTGCGGTCAAAAACCTGAACGAATCCTTTTTTATCGGGATGGTGTTTCAGAAGGACAATTTAAGGCAGTACTTGACAATGAGGTTTCGGCTATCCAAGGTAAAAAGTTTCCACAGCGAAGGATGATGCATGAATAACGTTTTAAATCATTAGCTGCATGTACATCTCTGGATCAACATTACAGCCCAAAGATCACTTTTGTGGTCGTGCAAAAGCGGCACCATGCTCGATTTTTCCCAGTAGACCCGCGAGACGCTGATCGTACTGGCAATTGTCAACCTGGTACTGTTGTCGATACGGACATTGTACATCCTTTCGAATTTGACTTTTGTACGTGCTTACAATTGCCATCATACATGAAGCTGATGCAATTTTTTTTAGATCTACAATCTCATGCTGGTCTTCAAGGCACATCGAGACCCACCCATTATCATGTACTATATGATGATAACCGCTTCACGCCTGATTCACTCCAAGAGCTCACCTATCGCTTATGCTACATCTACGGAAGGGCCACACGTTCCGTATCAATTGTTCCTCCTGCATACTATGCTGATTTGGTAGCTGCTCGTGCACGATTTCATAGGCGAGGCGAAAACTGGTCCGACACAGAAGCGACATCAGAGTCTCTCGATTCTGAGCAACAGATTGCCAGCTTCGCTGCTGTCAAACCAGAGCTCCAAAAATGTGAGTAGTTTGTTCTTTAACATTTTATCTTTGTCTAACCGATTGGATTTTTTTAGTGATGTATTATATGTAGCTAGTCGCTTATACAGCCAGCATGAAGCAATTGCAAAGTAATACTTTAATTCTCGATCAATTATGATAATCGAAGAGGAATACAACAAAAGGGTCTTTGAAGGGAAGGGGGGAAGATGTCAAAAAGTGCAATGATTGTGTGAATATAGATCCAAAGAGAGAGAGGGAGAGAGAGCGAGAGAGGATACTCGAATAAGAAAGCGAGGGGTATCATTTATCACTGCGAACCGCCACCATTATCACCGCCGCCGCCACCACCACCACCACCGGAATGGCTAGTAACCTGCACAGCCACGACGATAACGACAATGATAACGATCACCATAAAGATACCAAAGCAGATCCATTTCTTTTTGCGTGTAAGTTTGGCAGTGTAGACAGCTTTTCCAACGTCCTGATGTCCTTTTTCAAGATCACCCACGATCTGGTAAGAAGATTCCTCGATTGTCTCCAGTACCTTGGCTTGGTTTTCTAAAAGGAATTGCATCTCCTCAAACAATGCTGATAGTTCTTCCACACTTTTTGCTAGTCGGCGAATGTCTTCATGGCGTTCCTGAACCGCATCCAATGTTTGTTGACCATCATATCGACGTTGTTCATTTGTCATACTCTGCATCAGCTGTTGTGCAAATACAGCAGGTCTACCTTCTTCAGCTTGTGAGATGGCTTGATTGATTTCATCTGGTGTTGCGTTCGGGTTGGCAATACGGATTTGGCGTTCATATTGACGTGATTCGGCTTTCTGGAAATCAACAGCCACTTGTCGGTGTCGAGAAATGGTATCCAAAAACGACTTGGTCACGTTTGAAAACTGGTTCTTGCGAATCGCCAGGTCTGAATGGCGCGAAGTTGGCTCAATCTCTTTTATCTTTTGCTTCACATGCGTCATCATTTGTTGCGTTTCATTGGTCATGTCGTCAAGATTGGACCTGATGCGTGCTTCCTCTCGAGCATCAGCAGCCTGCAACATACTCGACTGATACCCTTGGATACGCGTGATATTTTCATTGATGGCTCGAACCGTTTCTTGGATATGCGACACCTCATTCAAGAACCCGTCCATGGAATTCACGTCCGACTGCGTCGATAACAGAGGTCGCATCTCATAACGACCAGGCTGATGTGCAGGAGCAGGGCGGTTTAATTCAGCGAGACGATCGACGCTCATAGCTCAAGAGTAAAGGCCAAGAGGGGTAGAGAGAGAAAAAAGGCAGTAAAAAAAAGCAATTGCCTATTTTTAGACGCTGAGTTGCGAATGGAAGAGCTCTAAGCCTGGTAATGATACGAGACATCTCAAATAAGTGTGAAGCGTCGGGCTGTGTTACTGATTTCCAAATTACCAATTGTACTAGATCCTCATATTGCAATCTCGTCTTTATATGATCTTCTCGACACAAGCCATGACTCCAGTAAGTGGAACGCATCACATCTTCAAGAGGCTGAACAACTAAAAAGGAAATTCCCTTTTTCGATTGAAAGCAATAGCAAGAAGTGATCCTATAGTATATGTATCGTGATGCATACATGCCCTGAGCTTAGTAGCGGATATTCGATTGTCGATCTTTGCGACGTAGAACATCACCTTTACTCTCATGTAAGCTTTCTTCTTGATCATCCACCTATCCTATCTAGTAATACAATACAAATGAAAAAATGCGCTATGAATGCATGCTCTTAAGGGGGGATATGGGTGCTTTCATGGGAACAAAGTAGCCCGCCATTGAAGAGAGTCACATTATAATAAGTTTATCATCGAGTACTAAACACACTGATTATCGCTACGCCGAGAAAACTAATAGTTGTTGGTAATAATAAATGATCCGCAATCCACTGGCCATGCATCGAATGTTGGTCCGCATGCTCTTGCGTATTATCTTGTCGTTTTAAAACCCCATCAATAAATGCGCCATGTTGCTTTGGATCATCATCGTCATTGAATGGTGCTGTTACTACCGTAGTAGAGGATGGGTAGCCAAAGACTTCTTCGCGCAAAGTTGGAGCAGCAGAAGCTTGTGCTGATAAATATTTCATTGTTTTCACTTCCATTTGGTGTCGCTCTCGCATTTGGGTGGAAAGAGTGATACCTTCATAATCATCAAATGCTGCCTCTGGATCTTCGATTGTTGTTGAATTATAGACTACAAGTCGTACGCGATCTTGGCCCATGTTGTGAGCCATTTGAACCGCATCAATCAAATCCGCATCACATGTCATCAATATTTCGTCGCCTTCGTTGTCGCAATACGCAATAGCTATCGAAGATGATCGAGGATACGTTGTAACCGAATACTGAGAAGCAGCAATGACTCTTTGCCGTATAATAGCTTGCAGTCCTGAAAAGTCTCTGCTATCCCAATTGATGCGGTGCGTAGTATTTCCAACAGTGAACTTGAAGGAGAAGATATTTTGTATCAATGAAACCTCTCGAGCGGATGTGACATTGGTGGACATGGTCTCTGGCTGCGATCTCGAATTCCAACTAGGTCCAGCTAATCGGAGTATAGGAGTTTCATGCAGCAGCATTGGGCTAGAAAACCCACTGTCGGCAGTGTTGTCATGATCGTCGTCAGCAGTGGTAACACAGCTGCTATGAGCCCCGTCGTTACTGCAAAGCCATGTGCGATGGTCCTGGATAGAAAAGTGTGAGCCATTTACATTTTTGATTTTCTTTTCAACACAAGTAGCGTACCTCAAACAATGAAAGCATGAGTGCCGTCATATCCACAAGGTGAGCGATGTCTCCCTTTTCGTCCACTATAGGCATACGCTTGAAACAACCAGCTAAATATGGGAGAGTAGTATAAAGATTTTCATCATCAATCTGCGTCTGATGATGGACATCACGTACCATTCATCGTTTTTAAAGTATCCAGAATGCTGGTTGAGAAAGTGGCAACATCAGGATGCGGCGTCATTACACGCACCATCGAACAATTATCCAAAGCAATACCAGCTGCCACCACACGAAGGACCACGTCTTTTGGCTTTGATATTACAAAACTTGTAAATGCACAAAAATATCACCCAGCTGATGGTAGATGGATACTCACTGTGAAAATACCAGCTAAACGACCATTATCGTATACCAAAGCTGCAGTAGCCTCGTTCACCTTCATCATGTCGATGACATTGCGTACCTGATCTCTGATGGATGCTTGTACAAACTTTGACTTTTTGTGGGGATGATGCTTGGATAGGGCAAGTAAGGTAAGATGCACAGTGTTGTCACGCGATGACTCAGTGTGAGTATGTAGGTATGATGCGCATTGCAGACACTCCTTTTCGACCTTTTCTGATAAATGATCCTTTTCCATGCGCCTAATAAACATATGCAGGCATTTTGTAATATCCAACATCCCAGCCATATCGCCATTCTTGCTGTGCACAATCTACACATGATACAATCAGCGCACAGGGCTTTGTTATGAAACTCATACTCACGGCGTGATGAGCTTGGCAACTTATCATAAGATCAATAGCGACAAAAGCGGGAGTAGTGGATGCTACACGCACCAGATTTCGTTCCATGATATCGGCTACAGTGGTAGTCCTGGTAAAAGTCAGCGTTGCTAATATCGTGTATATCCAAAATAGATGCCGCACCTTGCACTTTGGCGACATGCCACGAGCCGGTAAGTTATATCTTTTGCCTATCAAAAAGCTTGTTGTAAGTAAAAGTATTGAAAATAATCATCCTCTTTTCTTACGGTTATTACGCCACATGGATCTCCATGATTGTCAACCACGACTACGTAGCTGTGTTTCTTCACCATCATCAATTGTGCTGCTTCCAGGGCAGTTGAACTTGTTCCTACAGCCAAAGCTGGGGAGATTCCAAGTGCTGACACTGTGCCCTTGATCCTTTTGCCAGGGTGGTGATATATTACTCCTTTTGTCGATATGCGAGATTGGCTCTTTTTGGATAATTCTTGCTCTATCTTTTTACGGATGCTCTACGTATATCTTTTTTATTAGTGAATTGAAAAACAAACCGCATGTAAACGACAAGAACCTCATCCTTTTTCCACTGACGTTGTCTACATGGCAAGGGTCCTCCATTCTCTCCTACTTTTGCTGAGCTCGAAGATGTAGAAACCGCTCCCCGTAGAGTGTTATGAAGACAATGCGGTCGTTTGTTGCGTATTGACCCATTGTTATTAGGAACATGAGACATATGACAAGGACGCTAGGAGAGCAAGTGATAAAAAGAAGGAGGAAAGACCATAAAAGATTATCTATTGTCTCAGGGTGGTGTTTATATGCAATGTCCAGTTCTAAGAATAACGTTTTATTTGCGTTCAAATAATTTCATTCTGCATATGTATGCATGTACATGCAAATAAGTAGTACAGATACCGCCTTAAAAGCAATTGTAGAAGGGGTGGAGGTAATAACATGTAAAAAAACGGAGAGGATCAACCTTCAACAACGGGTATAATGATTGTATTATGCTAGGCCTTGGTATCACCTGTTTTCAAATTGTCGACCAATGGCTTCTACTTTGCTACCAGCCCGTCGCCAAGGTACAACTGGAGTATGCGGAGTAGTGATGGTAGTGGCAGTACTGGACGACATTGATTTGGATCGTGGTTTACGCGTATCTATTGCTCTGTTGGCCGAAGGTTGTTGTGGTTTATGTTGTGTAGATGAAGAGGAAGATGGCGATGGCTTCACAGCTCGGGTAGGTTTGGCTGGTGGTATGCGAACCGTGGCCATGACATTTGGATCTGAAAGTGTCTTTGGCTGATGCGTTTTGATATGCTGTGGTTTCCGAGGTACTGGTGGAGGCGGTGGTGGTGCAAATACTTCACTGTACTGATCAATCATACAATGGAACAAGGCACGAGAAATGTTGAGGGTAGGAATAAATACGACAGCAAGATTGGATGTTGACATGCGATTTTCATCTTGATGATCGACGACGTTTTTAAGATGTCTACAAAGACGGCGAAGAAGGCAAACGTTGTGTACAGGAAGCTGAGAGACAATCTTGCGCACGGTAGAAGAAGAGAAATCGCCATCATTGCCAATATCCACCGAGATAATAGGATGTGGTACTATAGCAACACTTAGCTCATTCTATCCTTTGTTCGACTATCATGTTGATCTTACATTCCCGTAAATAAGTCTTCAACAAGGCACTGATCACATGGGGATCTGGCTGTAATATCGAAAGATCCACATCCGATCCTATATGAAATTAAGCTTCCAATCAATATGATTTCCATTGCATCTCTCCACCCTATCTTACCATCGTCAAACATGGTCCGGAACTTTTGGATCATACTTAGACTTCCAGTGATTCGATATATGCCAACTTCATGTATACCTATTCAGTGGTCGGGTAAGTGGATTTGTATACATCCTTCTCCATTCGACTTGAAGAACCCACCATGCTGATCCAGATAGTCAATGCAGCGTTGTACGATTGCAGGAACCATGGTATCGAGTCTTGTCATGGCAACAGCTTGTTCTAGAGGCATCCCAAACACACCCTCAGTTGAACGTCGTGGCGGTAGTGGCGGTGTTGTTGATTCTATTCATATCTTGCATAAGCGGGTGCGTCTACGTTGGTAATGACAAGCTCATTCTACCTGCAAACTCCTTTTTCCAGCGATCGACTGCTTCTTTACCACGACGACTCCATTCTATGCCTGTTTCACGAGCCATATTGCTGTAGATTGCGCCACGTAGTTTCCATTCGGGTAGCTTTTCTTGCATGGTGGCGTTGAGCTCCAACGTTTTTGTTTCGACCTTCATTCGAGTGTCCCGCATAGTATAAGCGAGGCGAGACAATACGGTGTTGTTGTCATTCCAAGAAGACGTGGACGAAGGTGATGACGATAATGAAACGGAATCTGATATTGGTGTCGAAGGTGTCATGAAAGAAAAGAGAGAACACCGGAAAAAAAGAGACACAAGACCGGACTTTGCAGACTCGACCAAGGCGGTCTAAGATTTTTCCATTCATCCACCACCACCACCATGGGTCATTTACTTAGTCCGGCTATTTGCACCCCACCTGGTGCACCCTACCTGTCTTAAAACTCAGTTGGCGCACCCTACCTCTTGGTTTTTTTTTTCCTTGCACCCCACCACACCACACCACACCACACCATATCGTACACCCTACCATGGTGTACACCCTACCAGCAATGTAGGCAATGTCCCAATCAACGTATAGCATCGCGTCCCTGTAGAATTACGTTTTGAATCGGCAACCCACGTTGAAGGCTGGCTTATACTGCTTGGGAGTTTTGGTCATCGACTTTATGATACTACTAATTTATTTGAACATGTTATATGCTAGTGTCTAAAGATAAGTATATTGTTGGAGGGATTCTATGGAAAAAAGGATACAGGCTAAAAATTGGTTAAATCTAGGACCTCTTCGGTATCAGAGTTGTCAGAATCATCTTGGGAATCCTCTGAAGGGACAGAAATGGGATCTTCTGTGACGCTACCAATCACATCAATCGCATTATAAATGAATATAGATTAGCCAATTCTGAATCTTTGTAAATTTAACGGCGCATATAAAAAAGGCGCTGAATAAACACAATATACACAGGATCTTCTGTGATCATTGGTAAGCCTTGGTGAGGTGTATGAGTGCGCTCTAATTCCAACCAAAAATGAGGGTACCATGAATCTTGCGGCATATCATGAGTGACATATTTAGGTCTGTAGGGCTCAACGTCTGGCCAAGGAAAGGATACATTTTCACGGATTTTCACCAAAATGAAATGGCTATTCATCAGCTGCAATACAAATGGATGGACCCAGTTGGCTTGTGATGGTGGAGTGCGGTACGGCAAAAACAAATGGGTGCCTTTTTTGGAGTACATTGCAATTGGCCGCTTAAATGTATCAGCAGCAATCTTCGTACAATCCCGGGTAAGGAACCATTGGCCTAAGGGTCGCTTCAAGATTGCATTGATTCTTTTCTCCTTGACATCATCATAACGACCTTCGTCATTGTATATAGTCACTGCCAGTGCACGTAAACCACAATTACCATACCGTCTTTAACTATTATTCATTGTCGTAATCTGAGGATCTATCCCACCATCTCATTCACACTCAGCCTGATTGCATCATCACATCTATATACACACGCGTATTCACCCCTAAATAAACTTGGTCTTTCTTTCTCTTATTGAGTCTCACGGACACTTACTACTACCAGTTTTCTCTCTCTCGCTTTACAGCTCACATACACACATACACACACACACACACTCATCTTTATCTCCATATATCACATTCATAATGGCAAATAGCTGCAAGCAGAAAAATTCATCCATAATCATCCGTAGTAAGAAGGTATTGTATGCATTAGTCACAAAGACGAAGCTATATCTTTATTTTAACTTCAAATTGTCAGCTAATCCCCTAAATCGATTTCCTAGTTTCTCTCGAGCATACTCTAGAGTTTTGGCAGTGGGTTTATCAACATGGAAGTTCCCAGTAACAGTCATTACAGCGAGAGGTCCAGCATGGTGGTCAACAAAATAAGATAAACCATCATTGTCTAAAATACCGAGTAATCGATATCCTTCGGACGACAAAACGAGTGTGACCAACGGTAACCTTGCTAGAGCAAGAAACATAGGTGATGTAACTTGCAGAGGAGCCATGTGCACTTCAATGTGTTGTAAAACAGTAGCGATCGAAAACAATTGCAGTAACGATAAACCATGTACTCGCCAAGATAGTATGTCGATGCGCCTAAGATGAGGGATTCTTGCAATGGAAGACACCTTAGCGCTATTCATTCTGATCTGGTTTTCAAGTGGAATGGGTGCGATTGATAGTGCAATGCTTTGTAGCGATGGATGCTGTTGGGCCATGTCCTGTAGTTGATTGAAAATATCTGTCGACAACGTCACCTCAGACAAGTATAAGTGGAGTGATGTCAGATGCTGAAATGATCCCAGAGATGATATGTACGCCTCCACCTCGGCCACCCCCAAAGCTAAACCGATTGAATTCAATGAATGCCGATTCTGATAAAAAATATCCCATGGATGGTCGTTTGGCATGAGGTCACCATAACAATGCAGCAAAGACAAGTGTTTGAGATTGCTCTGATCAATAAAACGACCTGCATCGGTGACATCGATGTCCAGTGCTCGTAAAGAAATGGTGTTGCTGACTGGTTGCCGATCATCGATTTCATCGTAACATGCGGTAACAGGCTGAAAGTTGTACGGCAAATAGCATAGTTGTCGAAGATTATGGCAGCATTTATCCATTATAGCTCTGTTTTGGACCTTGTCTCCTTCGTTGCGCACACCCAGAAACTTCAGGCATATGCAGCCAAGTAGAACCTTCTCGAGGTCGACGATAGTAATTTCGCATCCCCTCACGTCCAAGTATTGTAAATTGATGCAGCTGGATGGCAGAGAAAGTAGTCGTAAATCGGTGCATCTGGATGCCGGAGCACGTGTGGCAAATTGACCGTTAGACAAGGCAATGAATTCAGTAGCTCCACCGATACTCAAATAAGTAATATTTGGTGAATGGCGAAGGATATTCTTTATAAATGTTGTTGTCACTGGAATAAAAATGTCGGGTGATATCTTCAAATAAGAGAGTTGTGGTAACTTCCCCAGACACCTTCCTAGGTCTGCTTGTATGCCGCAGTCCTCGAGAACTATGTTTTTTATCATCACCGTCATTACTACGGGTATACTGATAGTTATCATAGCATCCACTTACATAAAGTTGATATATTGCGAAAGAAACGTGGAATAAGCGATCCAATCATACCATCAGTCTCCGAGTGATAAGTAGATTTTTTAAGGACTATAGAGCGGACACAGTCGCCAACTTTTGCCATAGATCTTGCGTATTCCCCGCAGTACTTTTCTCCATTTAAAACAACGTAGCCAGGAAATACAGTTCTATAATCTGGAACTGAAGCATACCATTGTCGAGAAACACGCATGCATTGAAGAACATCGAAGATTGACAAAAGCGCAAAGATTTGTAGAAGCACGTCATAAGGGAGTACATCGATCATGTTGTACATAGTAAACAAAAAGTGTCGTTATTGAGTAATTGGATAAGATGAAGGGCAAGTAAAGACTGATCTTTTATAATGAAAGCGAAATTGGTGACTCCACCAGCTCCTTTGATCCAGTAATACGTAGCCATTTCATCAATGGGTGTTTGATCACCTATAGTGGTGCAATGCAATAGTGACCTCACCAGGTCTTTTGATCCGTGCAATATGTAGCCATTTCACTTCAATGGGTGTGATCACCTATAGTGGTGCAATGCAACAGTGACTCCACCAGGTCTTTTGATCCGTGCAATACGTAGCCATTTCATCAACGTGTATTCCATCACCTTTTAATACCATGCCATAGTGACCTCACCAGGTCTTTTGATCCGTGTAAGAATATAAAAGTGCGACACACCATTAGGAAAATCCACATTCATCCTTTTCTCATCTCTACTATTCCACTGTTACATCATAATGGATGCTGAAGGCGAACCAATGGAGGTTGATGGCGAACAAGCCGAAGATGGCCAACAAGCCGAACAAGCTGCAATTGATGAAAATAGAAACCGCATCGACGCATTCCGTGCCAACGCTAATCGCCACAACGTTCGAACTGTGACCCGGAACTGTAAACTGAGAACCGTTCTTAATGATGATTATCGAGAGCTACGGGTAGGTACAATGCTTCAGTAGCTGTATGCGTAACACGAGATGTTTGACTTTTAAATCGTTGCATAGCATCCACTGCGAACGTTAGCAGAAGACTACACAGTGGTGAGACGTGATACTTTTGACTTGGTGAACATGGACGTGTTACGTTGGATTCAAGAAGGAGCAGAAGGCACGCCGTGTCCTGACATATTGAACCAGGGTTACTGGAGGAAAGCGTTTACCTTGTGCACATTACCTCCCACCCATACCGAGGTAATCGAAGATGAACATGTTATGTAGTTCTTTGCATTGTGTTTCTGACGTGATATATAGGAAGCTACAGAGCCACATTTTTTGCACCTTATCCAGACCTTCAATTGGTGCTTTCAACGATCTCGGTTGCTACATCCAGATGATTTCGCGGAGGATGACCCCGATCGACCAGGTATGTAAAGAACCAGATCAAAGCTTCCTTTGAAGTAAGCTGACATGGGATGAATTATAGATATACCTCAGCCACTATACGAGCCGCCCGACTTCAATTCACCCACGTTGAGAAGTCGTCTTGGTGATTTATTCGCAAGAGGAGAAGCCATACCGGGTATGAGCTAAATTTGATGTTGTCTTCACCAATTGCTAACTCGAGACCAACCGCAGCAATCAAGAACCACCTAGCTCTCAACCCCCCAAAATATATGAAGCATACCTTCACGGCGTATTTTTACGATTTGCAGAATCGTATTGAGCCCAATTTGCCGCGACAGCCGCAAGCATTTGGTATGTAAATGTTAGGTAGATTCAATGATACCAAAGCACTAACATTGACAAAATTATAGCGAATGTAATGGTGAGGCATTTGCTGAATCACGACGAGCCGGCAGATGTTGACTTTGATGACCTTCCAGTGGCTCTAAGAGCTGATTTTCGGGTGTATTATCAGTACGTTTATACATATCATTGATGTGAATATATCATAACCTCAACGTGTATTAGAAACCATTTTGAAGAATTTGAACGATGTTTTGCTGGTTACAATCTCACTGAAGTTGGCAAGAGCCCTGGACGTCGTGTCAATGCCGCTTACATTCCGGGTGCATTGCGTTATCTTACTGGGATTTTGTTTCAAGAAGCGGAGCGGCTTGACAGCCAACGATGGACCGTGCTACCTATAGGCAAGCTGCAAATCTCATTCGTACCGATCGATATCAGAGTGCTATATTGGGTCTGCCGTCTTGCCCATGGAAATGCCTATGGAAATGAAAACATTGTATTCGAAGCTCCTCCTGCGATAAGGGTAAGCCATTCTATGCATAATGAAGCACAATCTAATTGCTTGCCTTAGCGTGATACTCCGGGACCAGGAGGAGTAATGTTTATTCCACAAAATAGCATAGGTGGAAACACAAATCCTTTGTTAAAGGAGCAATTCTTTGAGCAGCTTTTCAACCTCGATCCTTTGTCTAAAAGGCGAATGCGATATTCTCCAGGTATGCTGAATAAGCGAAATGTTTAAGGATGTTATTGATTCTCTTGTGTTATTATTTGAAGAATACGTTTTCAATCCTGATGTCGAACCCATAACATTCAAATTCTCCCTGAACACGGATGGTGTACGCGTTTGCTTCCATTTTGTCCGCGCTTTGGTCTCACTGCAGGATGGTAAGCTATTATCCTCTTTTAATTATTGCGTCCTTGTCTAAATCAAAACGTAATAGAACGTATGCCAGAGACTTCCGCTGATGTGCGGTATTATGCAAGAGAGTTAAACCTAACAAATTGGCATCGTGGGATGTACCATTTGAACAAGGAACCAGGTGGATTGGACGCTGAGCGCTTGCAAGGAACCAGAATTGTCGGAATTGATCCTGGTAGGATAATAATGAAAGATAGTGATGTACATATTCTAATTATCCTCTACATCTCCCAGGCATAAGAGCAATAATTACAGGCACCGATACTACACAGCATTTGGAAGTTCGACAAACAAGACAACAGCACGTTGTGCAAATATCCAACAAGGAGTACCAGTAAGTGTCCAATGCTGCACTTTTCGGAAGCTATATTCACCACTCATTTCACAGACATCGCTCTTTATCAAATTGGATAAGACAAAAAACCTTACACAGCCGTATCCATAGCCCAGATGATATGGCGACTCAATATTTGGCTCTAAGTGCGTTTCCCGCTCGCACATGCAATCTACAAGATTTTTTGGATCATGTGCATTTAAGATCGTTTCTTCATAACACGTAAGTGTTAGGGAAATTATACTGCTACTGGTAATATCAACGCCTTTATTCTTTTAGTTTGCACAATTTTGCGTGCCATTATAGGCACAGGGAGCAACGATGCACAGCATTTTCAGCACGTGTATCAGCACAGGAATCCATAGTCAACCAAATTCTCAACATAGAAGATCCAGATGATGTACGTAAACAAGAGAAACACTTTATTATTTGATGGCTAACTTAGGTATATCTAGCTACGCGATCTTCCTTTCAATCATCGAGATATGGGTAAAAGGCAACGCAAACTAACCAGGCGAGCAGCACGTGCCCAACGGCAACTTGTTCAAGATACCACAACGAAAGAACCAGAGGACGAGGTTGAAACCATAGTTGCATATGGAGCCGCACGCTTTGGAGCTACAACAAAAAGGCATCGAGCAGTACCTGTTGAGGTAATTAGTACTAACGACAATCATTTTATGATTCAATGCCGACTCACCATTTACCATTTAGACCCTCCGAGCAAGAATTGCACGGCGTGCTCTTCTCATTTTGGTCGATGAATTCCGTACCAGTGTGACATGCCACGTATGTAATGGCCGTTTGCAACAATTTCGCGAGCGACAGACGTTGGTTTGCCAACACAAGTAAGCAGCATTGACAATACTTCTGAGAAACACACATCCTAATCAATCGTTCATATACTTACAGCAAAAAATACATCCGTGATTTTCGTAATGCTCCGGTTTATGATGATGAAGGTCATTATATTGAAGGCACATGGACACGTGGTAAACCTCGTCAATGGTGTATGGATGAAAATGGTGAACGGCTACACTGGACCTCTATTTGCCCTGGTCGAGAACAAGTGCATGATTTCCGCAACAAAGTGTATGCTTTGAAGTGGTGTCCAAACTGTCAATTTGTATGTATGCTTCACGAGCATGGGAAGTGTGGTGTTTAACTGGATTGAATAGGTATTCGATCGCGATATTAATGCAAGTACAAATATCCATCGCATTTTCGAACTTTACATGGCAAACGATGGCGACATTGAGTCTCGACCCGCTGCAATGAGCCGTGGACAAGTACAAGAAGTAGATAACGAAGTCGAAGAAGAAGATGAACTCGAGACGGATGACGACGACGAGGAGCTACTGTAAAGCAATCAATACCCATGGTGCACAGTGAGGCGTGTATCCATATCCGTGTCATTGGGGGGTAAGTCACAACGATTTGGATCCATTGAAACTTTTTGCTGACTTCTTATGTGGGGTGCATTTGGTATGGTGCAAATAGTAAAGCCCCATTTACTTAGCATCTCTCTCTTCATGGAAAAGTCGTTAATAAAGACAATGAAGCTTTTATTGGTCAATGTGTGGTTGAGCAAATAGATCAGCATAGACATTTATTCATCCCCGGCAACAACATCTTTATACAACTTTGATTGTTGTCATGCATCACTTTTAGAAGAAGACCGACTTGATCTTGAAGGAGGAGGATACCATGGTATGGCGTTGTTGTCAGTGAATTGCGTTGAGCAAAAAAAGTCCTGGGTGTGGTGGAGGGATGATAGGATAGTAAGATTTCAGCGACAGGGATTTTCATTTTCATTGTACCTCTTTTTGATACATTTATATACACATCTATGGGCCAGAAGCTCAGTAAGGAAGCTTGGCGTCTCAACCTATTCCAAGAAAACAGCTACGACTACGATCATAAAACCGTTCGAAAACTGATTCGTGCAGGACGTTTGGCCGCTTTTTACAAAGGTGATCTGTGACATTGCATTTCAACAGGTCAATTGTGGTCGGCTACTAAGTCTAATGTCTCCAGGCCTCAACGAACTGCCCCAACAGCCATCTCGGTTGGAAAAAACCATGACAACCAGGGGATTCTTCTTGACAGGGGATTCAATGATGCGCCATTTTGATCCATCATATCAACAAGCACTCGATTGTCCAATTTGTTTTCTAGTAAGTAGATTTTACCACGATGCTGTTTCGAGCTTGTATTCACCTTAAAATGGCAGTACTTCCCCATTGATTATCTTAATTACGCACGTTGCTGCCGTCAACCAATATGCACAGAATGCTTCTTGAGATTGATGAGATCATCCAAATCACCATTGGAGTCACCTTCATGCCCATTCTGCATACGACCTGACTTTGGTATCGTTCACATCCCGCCAGCTTTGACGGATGAGGTACTGTAGGGTAGGGGGACAAATGGTTTGACAGCATCACTCTCTCACACATACATCTTTAAAGAAGAAACGAAATGATTCCTCGTTGCAGAAGGATATTAGTCATGCCGTCAAATCGTTGACGCTGGATGATTCACGTGTAATCCTTGTAGGTGAGTGATGATCGTTTTTCTACGTAATGTCTCCTCCACCATGTTTTGATTATGAACCTTGCATTACAAGATTCCATTCGACCCAATTGGCACAAGACAATATTAGATGCTGATATGCGTATGGGAAGTATATCTGGAAAAGGAACCACTCGTAGACGCGTCGTTCGACCAAACAATCAAAGTCGTCCTATCGGCCATCTACGACCTGATGAATCACCCTATTATGGCGGCCATCGGGTGTCTTGGCCTAATGATCATGAAAGTGTAACCATCATGCATGCTATCCGCTCCCAGCAATAGTCAACATTGTTTATTATCTTTTGCTATCTTCGGCTATCCTCCCCCTATCACCGATATGATCATTTGCTGTCACCATTCATTTTATTCGTACCTTTATCTGCATAATGTTTATTAAATTCAATCTTGGATCGACGAGAGTTGTCAGAGCTAATGGTCTTTGCAATAAGGATAAGAGAGCGGCTACATAGAATCATAATACAGTGACGCGTACTCCTTTATTAATGCTAAACAGCCATCATTCATTCTCACACGCGCACGACAAGATGGCTGAATGGAATTTGGATGATACCCTGAACAACCTCGCACTACTTTTTTAGCACTACAACGCCGACTTTTGTTATGAATACATGTTTATTGATCAAAGTGGATCCTTAAAGAACAGAGTGTACCAACGCAGTTCCTATGACAACTCAAGGTGTCAATCTGAGCATTGTCGGCTGTGTCTCGTGGCATAATAACCTGGCAGCTGCTCTTTTCTCAGCAAATGCCCCAAACGAGTGGCTCAAAAAAAAAACACGCAGGCTTTGTTGGTGACGTGTTACATCAAGCCATTTGTAGTGCAGGTTGCCATACTCAAGTATCATTTCTTTCACGTATTGCGAATCATGACAGGTAGTTGCTTATGATCCAATGGCACCGTTTCACAGTTGGAACGAATTTAATGTACGCAGGATGCACCCTGATTGGTCCCGCACAATTCATTATCGTACCAGCATTTCCCAACGCCGGTGAATTTTGCTCTTGTCACCAACAAGCCTACAGCTTATGTAATTCATGTTGCACGTGGTTACCATCACCACTGCGGTGAAGCATACCATTTACTCAAAGAGTACTTCATATCAGTACACAAAGATTAGCTAAGCAAGGCAACATGTTGCTTGTTTCAAAATAAGAATAGTACTAGTGATTTCGATGGGTGGATCAATGTATGGTATGGATCGTACTATGCTTCAGAAACCTCCCACAAGGGCGTAAAAGGTCACGATAGGATGCCCAAACAAATCTCACTTCATTCTTTTCCAAATCAGTCAGCAGGAGGTGACTGGGAGAACAACAATATCCAAGTGCGTGCGTAGCACCAACCATTGGGTGCGTGAGCAATTGGGTGTTCCCCTTTAAAGAATCATCGCAAGACCGCACAGGTGGTGGTGATACGTCTGGGTTTTAACCTATGATTATGTTGTGTTGTGCGTGTGTGAAGACAACAAAGTTAACTCGTGTGATCCAAATAGATGTATTTTGCTGCATAGGATCTACTGCTGCTGCTGTTATTGCGCACTGGTTGGTAAAACCAACCGCGGGAACGTAACTCAGGTTGCCGAATTATGTGTGACGGCAGCTCACACAGGGAACACAAACACGGTAATTTGTGCGCAAAAGTATCAATGAACAACGCAAGAGCGCGCAAATTTGAGACACCTTATCAGCAGATCCAATAGTTTTTGTCTCAATTTCTCTTTGATTTATGGCAACATCAGCCTATTGATCTGCTGTATGACTCTATAAAATAACAACAGTACTCGTATATTGATCCAGGAGCCTCATTGCAGTTTACTAACGAACCAAGCAACTTCTTGTGTTTAGTATTTGTACAACTAGACCCTCCTCTGTGACAAGTCATTCATATTTCCCACCGAATCAAGGTGAGAGACCCTCGCTTTCTGTGCATGGGGAAATTGAATGGTCACTTCCATTTAAAGAGGTGACAACGGGACCGTATTATATAAGCAAACCTCCTTTGATCCTTTCCTGGGTATATAAATTTGTGCTGCCTGATTCCTTGTTTTTTTGCATCTTGTTTTAGTCTTTTTGCCCTCTCATGGTGAACTGGACAAAAAGGATAACGAATAACGTCTATGTAAGGCAAAAAGGATACTGATCCCTTTAATGTAGCAGGTCATGCTAAAGCCACTCCTTTGTAGATTATCGGCGGCTTTGCAGCCATTGCCGGTATTATGTTTGGTTTCGATATCGGCAGTAACTCTGGTGTCATTGGTACTGATCAGTAAGTCTTTTCAAGGCCCAAAGATTTCCTTTTCTAAAAGGATGTTGTAGATATCGAGACTACTTTGATCATCCCTCCGATCTGTTACAAGGAGGCATCAATGGTGCTTTGAGTGCTGGTTGTTTTGTGGGTGCCTTGCTTGCTGGTTTTCCTGCAGATCGCTACTCACGTAAATTTACCTTGATTGGTGCATCCGCTCTCTTTATTGTTGGCTCTATTTTGCAAGCTGCTGCAAACGGTGTACCTATGCTGTGCGTGGGTCGTGTTCTTAATGGTAGAGTACAAAAATAAGTTGGATGATAATAGCCAATGTGGGCTAACGTGGTATTTTTTCAGGACTTTCTGTTGGTGTGACATCAATGGTTGTCCCCTTGTACCAGTCAGAAGTTGCTCCCAAGGAAATTCGCGGGCGGATTGTAGCCGTACAGCAATGGAGTATCACGTGGGGTATTATGATTTCGTAAGTCTCCCCTTTACCAAGAGCGACCTTATGCTGATTGCTCTATAGCTTCTTCATCCAATATGGATGCCAGTTTATTCGTGGTGGAAGTTCAACCGCTGCTTTTCGTATCCCATGGGGTGTTCAAGCTGTCCCTGCAGTGATTTTGGTGGCTGGTATGTGGGCCTTCCCACACTCTCCCCGTTGGCTTGCTGATAAAGGTCGCATGGATGATGCCATTCGTGTGCTGGCTGATATTCACGGTGCTGGTGATCCCAACCATCCTCGTGTCAAACAGGTACTTGATCAAAAGATAACCATTTCTATTCGTTTCCTTATGCTCTTTATATAGGAAATCGAAGAAATCGAAGCTGTCATCCGCTTTGACCGTGAACAAGCTTCCCATCGTTATGCTGATATCTTAAAACCTGCTTACTCTTATCGTGTTTCACTCGGCATTTGCTTGCAGATCGTAGGTCTTTTATTATATAACTACTTTTCCATTACCATACTAACCACCTGTACACCATATATAGTGGCAGCAGCTTACTGGTATGAATATCATTATGTTCTATGTCGTGTTATTGTTTGAGCAAGCTGGTAAGTGATGGTGCCTTTGTTTAGTCATATAACGTTTATCTCATTATCATTTGTATACAGGTATTGGCGATTCTCAAGAGGCACGTCTCCTTTCTTCTGGTATCAATTATGTGGTCAACGTCGTTATGACAGTACCTGCTATTCTTTGGGTTGACAAATGGGGTCGTCGTAACACAATGATCTTTGGTGCGTTGATGATGTCGCTTTTCTTATGGGTCGTTGGCGGTATCTTAAGTACTGGTTACTGGTATATTGGTGACGATGGTAAATGGTCCACCATCATGGGCAGCACGAGCAAATCCAATGGCATGGTCGCATGTATCTATCTTTTTGTTGCATCATTTGCCACCACGTGGGGACCTTTGGGATGGATTTACCCAGCAGAAATCTTCCCATTACGTATCCGTGCTGTCGCTGTGTCATTATCAACAGCTGCAAATTGGCTATTTAACTGGGTGCTCAACTTTGTCGTCCCAATGCTGATGCAACGTATTCGCTTTGGATTGTACATGCTTTTTGCTGGCTTTAACTTCTTGATGGCCGTCCACGTCTTTTTGGCCTACCCTGAGACTAAGGGATATACCGTAAGTTTGTTATACTATCTTTGATGTATATATCGCACATGTCACTCATGAATCTTCATATATATATAGCTCGAAGAAATGGATATCGTCTTTGAACACAATCCTCGCAAAAAGTTGGATCGGGCTTTTGTAGAGCAAGAATTAGCAAGACGTACAGGCATTGCTGGATCTTCTCCTGTGCCCGAGAAAACTGAAGATGAAGTCTAGTCGTAGAACTCGATTTATTTCATTTTTTCTCCCTACATCTTAGCTACTATAATTCTCTTTTTCTTGGTATGATTAAAGTAATGTAAGCATTTGCCTCAAAACCGAATCAGGTTACACATGGAACGGACTGGGAGTAAAATGTAAATCTGGCAAACAAACGTCTTCGTTCCCAATACACTGCTTGATCAACGATGGCGATTCAACCAAAGACTGTATTATATTGTGGAGGTATGTAAGCTATCCAAATGGTCCATTTACGGGAGACAGGCGATTGACTAGATTGGTTTAGTATGCACGATGCCACCAGAGGTATGAACATTGGCACGTCAGCTACAATACACGCGACTAAAAAGGACACTCTAGTACTGCGAGTTCAGCGGTAGTCAAGGCAAATGCAAATCATGGTTACATGACAACCACTTGGATGCATACAACAAGCTTTACGGTGAAGCTGAAGGTGGGTAGTCTTCCAAGGAGGCGAACGAGCATAGTGGGTTATAAGTTGACAGAGGGCAACTAGATGTGGCCGACAAGGTTGCCCAAGTGTCTCTTGAAGGTACCTCGGAAGGACGCAGCGATCGAACTTTTGTCAAGGATAAATCAGCACAATTGGAAGCCAAGTTGGAAAGGGAGAACCAAAAGAAGTTGGTGAGTTATGAGGATCATTGGATAATGTGGAATCCCATCCTGATGTTTTCTCTTGAGTACAGTCTTCTCGCGTGACAGTAAAACGGGTTGAAAGAACGAAAAGAAAATGCGTGACCATCGTACATGGCTTGGAAATCTTTGGTAAGCAAGAGGTATGGTATGTATCCGTGTCTTCTTACACAAACCGTATAGATGTCGATCTCAAGAAAGCTGCCAAGATGTTTGCCAACCGCTTCGCATGTGGATCATCCGTGGCCAAGAATAACCAGAATCAGGATGAAATTGTCGTGCAAGGAGATTTCTCAGATGAGATTCATGATTTGATCTTAGCAAATTGGCCAAAGGTGGGTTTCTGTTTATCGATACATGGTTGACGTGAGCTGATACCTAATAACATCCATCCAAAGGTGCCCGAAGATAATATCGATCTGGTGGAGGAGAAGAAGAAGAAGAAATAAGTAGGCAGCCGTGTGATCTACCCTTGGCATTTCCAAAAGCACGCATGCCGTTTATGAAAAGGATGATGTATTTGATGTGGTAACTAGAAGGATCGTGTTAAGGTGATAGTAGTAGTGAATAAAGCCAACAAACTTTAAGATTGGTTTCAGTGTCGATTTGCTTGGGATGAAAGTAACAAGTTTACTATCGAGGGTATGATTTGCGAGCTTATTGTTTTCCAAGGATGAAATGCTTCATCCAGCCAATATGGCCCAAAGCTATAGATGTACAATAGGAGAAGGCGGTGACGATGTGTGGCCAGTTGCTGCAATTAGCCACCGCCCTCGTCTGGTTTCAAAGTTAAAGCGCTGAAAACGTGATGGGATACAGAAAAAGATCGGCGTGGAGTCTGTTTGAAAATGATCAAGTTTGGTAAATGGGAGTATGGAAAGGAGAACAAAGTGGGGTTATAAGCATCAAATTCCGAAAATAGGACTTTGAGCTGTCAAAATACAACAATAATAGAGCCAAGATGAAGGAATATATACGCTTCATGGCGTTGTGTACATCCTAAAGTGAAATGAAAAGCAAACCTAGTCGGGGTTGTAGGTCAATTTAGGCTGCATGACCAACCCGTCTGTGCGACTAATAAGCAAGGTGATGACTTGGTATTCCTCTCCTTCCCCTTTTCGGTGTGATGGAAACAACAATGACACACCTAAAGAAAAACCCAATAGGGTGATTGTCAGTGTTAGTGATTTGTTGAGGCATCATCCAATGCAGCCTGACATAGCATCCAATGTTACTTGTATATCATTATGGGAGCGTTGGAGCAACCAGACGAAACAATGGATCGGTATCATGACCAAGACAGCTAGGCTTCTTATGAAAAAAAGAATGAGTAAATAACAGTGCACCAACAAAGCAAAGAAAAGAAGTCGCCTGCTAATAGCCATGTTATTATTTGGAGCCAGCACTACATATGTACAAGGGAAATAGAACAATGGGTCAAGCTACCATTATGCTCTTGGTCTTTTATTGCCACTCGATCTCCTTTAGGAATAAGCAATTCTTCTATGATACCAGGGAAGATGCTACATGCTAAGAATGTGGCGCCATTGATTACGATCATTTATGATGGTTCATTCCAATGGTGTGTATGTGTACAGCATAGATCAAGTGGAGACCTCCAATTAATTAACTCGACTGGATTTCCTGAGTATGCCAGCCCAGCACGTGTGGCAGGGGCAGACGATCCATGGCAATTTTCTTCGTGTAACGTCCTTGAACTAAAAAACGGGCACGACTCTTCTCTCATTCACTTCTTGTCCCATCTTCTGCATTCCTTTTCTTAACACCCCCCGTCTCATTCCTTTCCTTGACATGCCTGGCCCTCGATTTACAATGAGCCGCGATCGCTTAGCCGAACTACGTGTACGTGGACCGAATTGCCATAGCAACCACCGAGACATGTCAAACTGATTCTTCGCTGTATCTTTAGGGCAGTGCAGGGCAAGAGAAACGCTACGAGTAAGTGCATTCTATTTGATGTATAGCTTCTTGAAGTCTAACAGAGTCATATTACATTAGTCGCTTAAGGTAGAATTCATGCAGTGAATATGGGTGCTTGCTTGTCAATGCTCACGACTACTTCAATACAGCGATGACTATGATGAACCACCTCCTGTACCTAATCTTCCTCGAGGACAAGCTGCTGGACAGCCATCCCCAAGATACAACGACGATTACAGCTATCGACCACCTGTAGAACCATCTCCAACATATACAAAAAGTACCACCAAAGAGCAATACGAAATGACAGAACGCAAAATGTCTCCTGTTGACCTTGGTGACACTGAAAACTTCTTCCGAGAGGTATGGACATTCATGATAGCATCATACCAAAAAAGCATTGTAACTTAATTCAAGCCTAGATTGAAGACGTCAAGGAGCTCATACGGCGGATCAACCTCAACATTTCAGATATCGAAGAATTACATGGCTCTTCTCTTATCAACATCAGTGATGAACAAATGGCTGAAAACACACGTCGTCTTGAATTGCTAAGTAGTGAGACTACAAAGCTTAACAACGAAGCCAAGAAGAAAATAAAAGGTACGTCATGACTTTTCTTCTCAATAAGAACGAGTTGTTTAATATGCAATGGTGTAGCGGTGGAATTAAGTAATGCTCAACTACCTGATTCGGGAGATAAGCCCATGCGTGTCACTCAGGTAACTGGATAATGAGATTATTATTAGAAACTTGTATATTCATGTCAATAATAGCATGCAGCTTTGAAGAAGCGATTCATTGAAACCATCCAACGGTATCAGGATATCGAGCGAACTTATCAACAAAAGTACCGTCAACGCGTTGAGCGACAAATTCGCATTGGTGAGCTATTATCTTGGCTATGTTTCACATATGCACTATTGCTGACCACATTTCCAAAGTGAAACCGGATGCAACTCCTGATGAGATTGAACAAGTGCTTGATTCCGATGAAGCTCCTCAGATTTTTGCTCAATCGGTACGTGGATGATTTATTTGATTGAAGGCAATGGGGTGACTCTTACACGATATTAGCTTATGCAAGCCAATCGTTCCGGTCACGCAAAAGCAGTATTGAGCGAGGTACAGACGAGACATGACGACATTAAAAAGATTGAGAAGACTATTCTTGTAAGTACCAAGGCAAAACAAACGCTCGTGATGACGCCATGCTAAGAAAGACGATGATAGGAATTACATCAACTCTTCATGGATATGCAAATGATGATTGAGCAGCAAGGAGAAACACTCAATAAGGTGGAGATGGCCACTGAAACCACTATTGTGGACTTGGAACAAGGAAACAAAGAGATTGGCAAGGCCATTAATTATGCAAGAGCGACTCGAGCTGTAAGTAAAGGAAATCGGACCTAGACGTAGGCTGACATGTGTGTATAGAAAAAATGGTGTTGCTTTGTCATTGGAATCATCATCCTTGTCGTTATTGCAATCCTTGTATGGTGGTTTGCTTTTGACCATCCAGGTGTCAATTAGATGATCAGCAGCTCATCGTGGATATACCAAACTCGTCATGTGCTTTTTCCTTCTTATAGCTATATAGGTACATAAATAATGTTTTAAGTGTTCAATGCTTCGATAAAATTTCAATAATCATTGGTAGAGATATAGAATGTGGTCTTGAATGATGATAGGCCATCCACATGGTCATGACGAAAAGTGTTTTCACGCATGTTTTGAGTAATGATGACGACATTGCAAACACCACTAGCCTGTACACATATCCAACGCCATCCTATGTAGTAACAATAAAGAGAGGTGTCCAAAGCAATATACAATAGAGAAGCATTACCTGTATCCGGTATATAAGAGGGTTGACACCAACCATTATAAAAATGAGCCGTACGACGTGTCTCAGCAACACACATGCAAGCCATGCATATGTGTTGACAGCATGCCACTTGGTCACATGAATTACTACGTTTCAACGTTTGCCCAAAAACCGGTAGTCGATCAATTCTTCAGTTTTTTACAGCATCTTTTAGCTTAAGCATTGAACATGAAGAATTCGCGGGAAGCTGTTTAGACAAGGGTGTTTGCGTCCAGAAGAGGAAGTGAGCTAAAAAACCACAGCAGTAGCTGCTGCATATAAACAACGTCAGTGTTTGAAATTCCGAAGACAAATTGCTGCGAGGTGGTTTGTGTGTGAATTACAGGCTTTCTTTCTCTTTCTCACCCAAAAAAAAAAGAGAACCACTCCCCCTCCTCTTGTCTTTTTTATTCTTTTTGTCATTCTATTGACAGCTTTTTGTATAATGAAACCTTATCAAATTTTTTCGCGACTTGCAAGGGTAAGCATGTGAACAATGAGAACGCCGTCGTCCAAGTTCAAATCATGACGCGTTATAATGTTGCGTAGACAACTTCCCAGCTACGTGTTCCATCACGTACTTACGCTCAGTCTGCTGGCATTTGGGCTGACCAAAAGGTCTCCATGTCCAATCTGGAGAAGGACAAGTACATTAATTACCAGAGGATTGAAGACAACCTGGCCACGGTTCGAAAAAGGTAAGTTTCACAAGCCAAGTGCAAACGTGGATATGAATGGTGATGATGGTACTAACGTCATAATGATGATGTAGGCTTAATCGCCCCTTAACCTTGTCAGAAAAGGTCGTGTATGGCCATTTGGACGATGCTGAAAACCAAGACATTGTTCGTGGCAAGTCATATCTCAAGCTTCGACCTGACCGTGTGGCGTGTCAAGATGCCACAGCACAAATGGCACTTTTACAATTCATGTCGGCAGGACTTCCTTCTGTTGCTGTACCTACCACTGTTCATTGTGATCATTTAATCCAGGCACAAGTGGGCGGTGAACAAGATTTGGCACGCGCCATTGATATCAATAAGGAAGTATACGACTTTCTTGCTACAGCTTCAGCCAAGTATGATATTGGTTTTTGGCGCCCTGGTTCAGGCATTATTCATCAAATCATTTTGGAGAACTATGCGTTCCCTGGTGGTCTCATGATTGGTACGGATTCCCACACTCCTAATGCTGGTGGCCTTGGAATGGTTGCCATAGGCGTTGGTGGTGCCGATGCAGTGGATGTCATGGCCGATTTGCCTTGGGAACTAAAATGTCCCAAAGTGATTGGTGTCAAGCTCACAGGTGAAATGAGCGGCTGGACTTCCCCCAAAGATGTCATCTTAAAGGTGGCTGGCATCTTGACTGTCAAAGGTGGTACAGGTGCAATTGTTGAATACCATGGCCCTGGTGTTGATTCTCTCTCATGCACCGGCATGGGCACTATTTGGTAAGATGATAATACTTATAACTCTATCTCATACACACGGTTGCTAACATATGGTTGTATTATTCACTACAAGCAATATGGGTGCAGAGGTTGGTGTTTATTCATAACGATATCAATCTTGAACGCAACGCTTATTTGTATTTTTATAGATTGGTGCCACAACGTCCATGTTCCCCTTCAATAAGCGTATGGCTGATTACCTTCGCGCTACCAACCGCTCTGACATTGCAAAGTATGCTGAATCCTTCCAGCAAAATTTGCGTGCCGATGAAGGTGCACAATATGATGAGCTCATTGAGATCGATCTCAACAAGCTTGAGCCTCATATCAACGGTCCCTTTACACCGGATCTCGCCACTCCATTATCCAAATTCAAGGATGAAGTCGCCAAGAATGATTGGCCAAAGGAGCTCAAGGTCGGCTTGATTGGGTCATGCACCAATTCGTCGTATGAGGATATGACAAGATCGGCATCCATTTGCCAACAAGCGATTGATCATGGCCTTAAGACCAAGTCTACATTTACCATCACCCCTGGTTCGGAGCAAATCCGAGCTACTATTGAGCGTGACGGCATCATGGATACGCTGACTAAAGCTGGTGGCCTTGTGTTGGCCAATGCTTGTGGCCCGTGCATTGGACAATGGGATCGACATGATGTCAAGAAAGGAGAAAAGAATTCAATCATTACCTCGTACAATCGCAACTTTACAGGACGCAATGATGCCAACCCTGCAACCCATGCCTTTGTAGCATCGCCGGAAATTGTTACTGCATTTGCCATTGCTGGTGATATGTCATTCAACCCCATGACGGATTCTTTGACCGACGCTAATGGCAAGGCTTTCAAGTTGCAACCTCCTACAGGCGATGAGTTGCCATCCAAAGGTTATGACCCTGGTGAGAATACATACCAAGCTCCACCTGAAAACAGAACCCAAGTGAATGTGGCAGTATCGCCAACATCCAACCGCCTTCAATTGTTGAAGCCATTTGACAAGTGGAACGGCAAAGACATTACCGAAGTCCCAATCCTTATCAAGGTCAAAGGAAAGTGCACAACGGATCACATTTCGATGGCTGGACCCTGGCTCAAGTACCGTGGTCACTTGGATAACATTTCCAACAACATGTTGATTGGTGCCATCAATATTGTCAATGGTAGGTTAATGATGAGGATATATAGTAAGGATACTAAATTATGTTTGTAGGTGAGGCTAACAAGATCAAGAACGTCTTCACTGGTGAATTTGGTGGTGTTCCTGATGTTGCCCGTGACTACAAGGCTCGTGGTGTAAAGTGGGTTGTCGTGGGAGATGAGAATTACGGTGAAGGCTCTTCTCGTGAGCATGCTGCATTGGAACCTCGTTATCTCAATGGTGCCGCTATTATCACCAAATCATTTGCTCGTATTCATGAGACCAACTTGAAGAAGCAGGGTATGCTTCCTTTGACGTTTGCTAACCCTGCCGATTACGATCGGGTGAAGCCTGAGGACAAGGTCGATATTTTGGGTCTCACTGATTTCCAAGAAGGCAAACCATTGACCATGCGTCTTCATCATCAAGATGGATCAACTGAAGATATCACTCTTAACCACTCTTTCAACGCTGGTCAAATTGAATGGTTCAAGGCCGGCTCTGCTCTTAACTTGATGCGTGAAAAGACTGCATAAAAAGGCAATAAAGGATTTCACTTTGGACTCTCATCACAATGGCATGATATAAATGAACCAACATGTTTTTTATTGGGAAGGGGATCTCTAATATACATAGCATGGAAGACTCGTATCACGTGGTCTAATGTGATTTCTTTGGTTCAAGTCCGCCCTTGTGTTTCTTGTTTGCTACTTTTAACAACAACAACAACCAACTTGTTCTATTCTCCAAATGTCATCGTCTGATACTGGAACTTCGGGCCAGAAACGACAGCGCGTGAGCCGCGCATGGTAATGGCATATTTTCTCTTGAGTGCATTGCGAGAATGAGAGACTCAGTAATTTAGCCGTGCAGCGATTTATGCCGTCGCAAAAAGATCAAGTGCGATGGAGGAACACCTATATGTGGCAACTGTCAAGCCTTCAACTTGGAGTGTAGCTACAAGGATATGACAAAAAAGGTAGAGTTGGGATGGATAAGGATGCCATTTGGAGTGCTAATGTTTGGATAATGTTGTAGCGAGGACCTCCAAAAGGATACATCGAGGCTGTTGAAAGCCGTTTGCACAAGCTGGAAGCATTTCTACGAGATATGGCCAAAAACGACAATAGCGACAAGTGCAAGGAACTGTTGGATGAGTTGAATTCACCATTGGAAACAGCATCTGGGCAGATAATCAATAATCGACCTGTGCGAAGGGCCAAAGACAATGAACCTAGCAATAGCAACAAACAGCAGCAGCAGCCACAACAGCAACAACAACAGCATCAGCATCAGCATCAACTATCATCCATGTCCCCAAAAGAGTCACCGATGTCTCTATCGCAAATTTGTTTTTCCGAATCTACGATGGCCAGCAATAGCAGTAATTCTTCAACTCCGGGATCACCTGGTGACAGTAGCACAGGGCAATTGACCATGGAAGAGAATGGCCAAGTACGCTATCTCGGCAAATCATCTGGATACTACCTTGTACAGAAGAGCAGAGCATATCAAAATGGTGCATTCCATTTCTCAGGATGGGGTCATAAGTTCTCTACTTGTGAACGACCGCCCGTACGCAAGTCATTGGATCCATATGAATTGCCACCAAAGGATCTTTCTCATCATCTACTCAACAAGTACTTTGAGTACTTTTATCCATCGCTGCCATTGTTTTACAAGAAACGGCTCACTTCTTCACTCAATTCACCGCTCGAACCTATTTCACCACTCTTACTCAATGCCATTTACGCTGTCGCTTCTCGAATATCACCCGATGTGAGAACACGCTCGGATCCCAGTGCTCCAGATACAGCGGGTGAAATCTTTTTTGAACGTGCTCGAAGCTTGTTGGATGATTACTATGATGTGCCACGCATTTCAACTGTACAGGCATTGTTGCTCTTGGCCATACATCAACATGGTACAATGAAGTACGCACGTGGTTGGTTATACAGTGGAATGGCCTTTCGCATGGCTCTCGATCTTGGTCTACACCGCAACTGTGATCATTGGAATGTTCCACCAGATGAACGTGAACGAAGGAAACGGGTCTTTTGGTGTTGTTTTATCATGGATCGCCTCACCAGTGCTATTTATGGTCGATCATCAAGCTTTGAAGAACGAGATTGCGATGTACCTTTTCCATCTGAGGACGACGACGACGACGATAACAGCAATGACGATGATGACAATGTGACGGAGAAGCAGCCCAAAGTACTTGAGACCTTTGTCCAATTCATCAAGATATGTGACATTTTAGGTCATGTTCTACGCAATGTTTATTATGCAAAAGCACGTCATCAAGAATCAGCTCAACATCTTGAACACGTGTTGACCAAACTCAACCGGGAATTGACTCACTGGTACAATGGATTACCACCATCATTACAATACCGATTACCAGACACTGAATATGGAGAGACGGGGCGAGCACCACCCTTGGCTGTAGCACAGATATACATGGTTTATTACACTACCGTTATTCTTTTACATCGACCTTTCATTCCTGGGCCAGGGCATGCTGCTGCATCGGGATCACCAGCATCGCTTCCTTCGTACAAGATTTGTATTTCAGCAGCCAATTCGATTCTTGATATTGTCAATGTCATGTTGGCCGAGCAACAACTTCGTCATGTATTCAACTTTGCTGTGTATTGCGTCTTTACAGCTGGTATTGTTTTTATCAAGATGGCTGCTTCTGATGATGCTGCAAAGGCGTTTGATGCCAAGGTCTACATCAACAAGATTATGCGTGCATTGGATGAAATTGAAGACACATGGATGAATGCTGCTCGTTGTTGTAATATTCTCGGTGAATTGGCAGGGCTACGTGAAATCAACCTTGAGTGTGATGAATACGTCCCACGACGTGGAAGTCAAAGCGACCACCAACCACAACCAGCGATTGCAGTACCCAATTCACCAGAGCATGAGGATGATAGCACAGACCCACAAGACTTTCAAGGGCGAGGGACACCTAGTATGGATCCATTTGCTGCACCCAACATGGTTCGCAACTTGCATCAACAACCGTATGACCCATTTCATACAGCGTTTTGGGGAGTACCACCGTCACTGGATGTCCATGAATGGAATAACTACTTGAACAACACCACAACTACCACTGCCACTACCACTCAAACTGATGATGATCATGACAACACATCTCGTCCTGCTATTTCAGCCACGCACCCACTGATTCCGTCACATGAATTCTCTCCTATGCATCCACTACGCACACCTTTGATCAACCAATTCCATTTTACACATCAACGAGGGTCTCGAGATAATCCATTATCATCAATGTCTCTGGACATGCCTTCTGAAAATAGTGTACTACTTGGTCTACTCACGCAGTCAGAGGGTAATCATACACAAGAACAGGAGCAGGAAGAAAATTGAACCATCCATCATTGCTTTATCCATCATTCCATCATAGTTGTAATAATAAATGTGATCCTTTCACATGCTCAAATATCTGTTTCAATACTGCACATAATCTGCCTGGTATGCAACTGTGTCAAGTGGACCTTGCAAGTGATTCGAAATGGCTTCGGCCTTTCCATCAATGTGATTAGCTATATATCATCCCCGTCCCTCCTTCCCTTTATTCCTTCTTACCTTGGCGCGTAGAATACCAAGTTCAACAGTATGATCGCTTACCATGCATAACAACATGCTACTAATGCTTGTGACATATACGATACCATCCTATATTATGCATTGAAGGTTTCAGTAACAATTTGATCGCATCCCCACACCCGCTACGCTACGCTTTACCTCACAATCCATGATAAGAAACTGCAAACCACCCTTCGATCCAACATCCCCAGCGACACACTCTTGTTTGTATGTTCCCCAAATACTGGCTGCAATGGCGGCGTACGTCTTGGTGGTGCGTGCTTGGTCAGCAGCAAAAGCAAGCAGAGAACCTTCGTTATTCATTAGCCTAATAGCGTGAACCGTGAGTTTGATAGGAGGGACGCGTGGTTGACATGTTGAGCTTACAACGATGCTTTGACGCCATGATGAGTGGTTTGTTGCAGGACTTGGGAAATGACTTTAGGTTTCAGCATTGGGCGCAGTACAAGAAGGACGTGACTCTTTCATGTACTTTCCTTTAAAAAGAAAAGAATACGGCGAATTAAGACCAGGCAAGTTCATTCGTGCTGAAGCGAGCAAGCGTGCGTATTCTATACAGTTGAGCCCGTGTAAACAAGTGACACGTACGCATCGAGGTAATCCGTGGGTGTGGGTTCTTATGTCTATGTCCTATGGCTGACTTGTGTGCACTGATAGGCGGGGTCCATTCTGTAAAGATTGAGCATATCGAACAGCAATAGTAAGTAGCGATGCACCAATGATATTTGCTTTGTCGTCCTTAATGCATTTTCCAGTATGCTTTCTGGCGGAGCCGATGGAAGAATTCATGTATACGACCTGAACACAGCTTCTGATGCGGATGGTTCTATAAGGATCAAATCATTGCAAGGTGTAACAAGGTATAATGATACATGGAGCATTCATATCTTACAACCCTCCTATAACACGCCATATCTTACCTAGTCAAAATCGACATCATTATGCTGTCACCACCTTATCTTGGTTTCCCTTTGATACCGGCATGTTTATTAGCTCAAGCTTTGACAAGACCATTCGTGTATGGGATACCAATACAATGACAGTAAGCTTATTCCCAAACAATAAGGAAGACTTCTCTTTGCTCATCATTCCTTTATCTTAGCCAGCTTGTACCTTTCATATGGATTCTCGTATCTATTGTCAAGCCATATCCCCAATTGCTTCCCATTGTCTCGTTGCCAGTAAGCTTTTTCTTTTATGAACTTGTTGTAGCATGGTTAATTGAATTGTCTTTAAAAGGTGCAGCAGATGAACCTCGAATACGGTTGTGCGACCTTAAATCTGGTGCCGATACCCACTCACTTGGAGGCCATGTCGGATCCATATTGTCTGTTGCTTGGTCACCAAGAGAAGAGCATGTGCTTTATTCAGGAGGGTAAGCATAACATTCCCTTTTCTTTCTATTCTACTGACTATGCCAACCTATATCACAGGTCAGATGGCACTATTCGTGTATGGGACATTCGACGAGCAGCAGCATGCTTGAGACTTTTGGATCAGCACAATGGCGATGCATCTCCATTGGCGGACACCAATGTGGCACATGGTGGCGGCGTCAACGGATTTGCCTTTACAGGCAATGGTCATTACCTCGTGTCCCTGGGCCTTGACGAAAAGATCCGACTCTGGGATACATTCACCTTGAACAACACACTCGTTAATTACGGCTCATTATGGCGGAACCAATTCCGATTCTATTTGCAAGCTTCCATCTCAGATACCAATGTATGGCCTCCCTTATTATACGTACCGAGTGATGATCATCAAGTGCTGGTGTACGAATTACACAGCGGCATCTTATTACGGCGACTACGTGGGGCCTATGGTCGTGTGACATGTACTGAATACCGCCCTGGATACCAAGAACTCTATGTGGGATCAAATGACAGTGAAGTACTCGTTTGGGAGCCTATCAATGAGAATGATCAAGAGCCGATAGACAATAGCATGGGCACATTTCAGGATACTTGGAGCGAGAGCGAAGATGAGGAACAATAGCAAGGATTTTGATTGGTGCCCTTGGGGAAAAAGTAAGGGTGTTAGAGTTGGTAGTGTTTACTTTTGGCGTGAATACATCTAATAAAAACCCCCCCCCAAACGACTGTATGCGAGATGCAAGCGTGTTTTATAAATGTGTATATCCCTTTTTTGATGTCGTGTAATGGGTTCTCGGCTCAAGCGGATTGTGACCCGAGAGGACAAACGCACATGTACATGTATCTATCCACCTTTAAGCATTATTGCGTCCAGACGCTCTGTGACACTCTAGGTCTTTGGGATCACAAGCCCAAAACATGGCCATACTTGGTAATAGGCGTATCCCTTCAATAAACATGATGGGTCCTCTATATAAACCTACCATCGTCATCGCACTTGTCTTTTCTTTCTTCACATTAAACGTCAATACATACACGTAAATCCTAGACAAAGCAACACGATTACAAAATGGGATGCTGCTTCTCTCAACAAGACAAGGTACGAGATCAATGAAAATGAAATCAAAGGTCGACAGCTCATTAAAATAATCAACCATCATGATCAGTCAACCGTATACGAAGTGACATTGGATGCTAATGGTGTTGCCCACCGGGTACCCAATGGGCAGGGTACTCATTTTATTCATGTTTCTGAAGACAGTGAAACACATATGGAGGAAAAGGTGTGCATCTGTTTTCTTTTTTCGTTCCTTACACGTTTCACTTTATCTCACAATTACATTGTTGTTCATAGCCTGTGATTGACGTTGATCTTTCCAAACCTTCACCTACTTATAAACAGCCTCCACGGTTTACCTTTTTACCATCGCGGCCGAGTAGTAAGCGAATTCAACCATCCACAGAGGAGAAACCACCCCTGTAAACACTTGTCGCACGTGCACCGCTTCTATCACTTCTATTTGTGTATATTATCTATGTCATCTGCCGTTTACCATCACATTACTTTTCTCGCCCCAGTCAAAATCGAATTCTTTCCCCCTGTCATTCGTATTCGATGTTAAATAGCATTTTACCCATAGCTTTTACAATTTTGCTGTACCTGAGTTTTCATCTTAACGCTAAACAGGCGTTGTATCAATCGTATAAACTATATCTTCAAACACCGTGATGTATTGTGTGTATGTGTGTTTTTCAATGGCTAGCGCAATGTAGCTTTAAAGTTTGTCTAATGCATGCATGGGTGTACCTCATGTTCGAGCATGGTGCATTGGGCTCATACGGAGAGGAGACAAGAAGTAAATTGCTGGAGCTTCCTTGCCTTTGTGTCACTGACCCCCCGCAGATCAATAGATCTGTGCTTGTATAGCTTGGCATGCAGGTAAACACATGACGGCAGTGATGCTAATATAATCTACCTGTATGCATATGCATGCACATTGCAGATGCATGACGGCGTATTTAATCACCCATTTCTATTTCCATCCCCTACCTCCAAATCAGGATGTAAAATTATACATGTTGCCACTCTGTTGCCATAACAAAGGATCGGCTATTGACAACAGAAAAGAAGATGCGTTTTTTCTTGCTACGAGAATGGCTGTCTATACCAGGTCATTAAGAGTTATACAGCTATTGGACCACCCTAGGCACTCAATGATGATTTAACGTGCACCAAGCCTTTTCATCTCGTACCGCTTGACTCTTCATCCCTTTTTACCACTCATAAATAGCAGCAATAATGCATATCCAGCCCCTGCTCTAAACACAACTCGCAACGAACAGTGATCGAACAAGATTCTTGTTCCACACATTGTATATACCATCCCAGGTACCAAACCATTATCCATATCCCATATCCATATGTCCATAAGAAGTCGTATGTATTGGAGCAAGTTGCTACACGTAAATAAAGCTGCTTCTATACAATGGCTATCTGCTGTTACACATGACAAGCGCTGTCAGGCAAATTGCTGCAAGTAACTTGAGACAATGGAGTAAAGACCTCGCTAATAGCAACTGCTGGAATGAACGCTACTACGATTGGTTGTGGTAGAGGAGTGTACAAGAGAAGGTGTCGTGTCAAGAAACGCGGGTGTCGTAGTGGGGTGCACACGCCATGGAGTTCCCATTCAGTCAAAGGCAATCGAATCAAGAGAGTTGTAGGATTGACATGATGGGTTGAAGCAGGACAATCGTTCGCAGGTGGTAGTTGTACTTGAAATGACCAACAATCGAGAATGGGAGAAAGAGGCACGAAGCTGGAAGTGAAAGAACGGGAAATCAAGGTATACTTCTTTGTGTGAGCGTTGCTCAATCAAATCCTCTCGGATCAAGAAACTTGAATGATGGGAGTGATGGGCTGAACAGGACAATCGTTCATATGCATTGGATTGGGAAACGAAGTTGAATGGGAGGAATGGGCTATTAGACGGCAGTTTACAAATAACTTACGAATTTGATTCGTCTGATATTGGATGATCTTCTGTGTTTGAGCGTTGCTCAGTCAAATCCCCTCGGATCAAGAAAGTTGAAAGATGGAAGTGTTGGGCTGGAGCAGGATAATCGTTCACATGCATTGGGTTGGGTAACAAAGGCGAATGGGAGGAATGGGCTATCAAGTAGCAGTTTACATATAATCAATCAAGTTGATTTCTATGATTTTGGATGATACTTCTGTGTTTGAGCGTTTTTCAGTCAAATCCACTCGGATCAAGAAAGTTGAATGATGGAAATGCTGTGCTGAAGCAGGGGAATCGTTCGTATGCATTGGATTGGGAAACAAATATGATTGGGAGGAATGGGCTATCAAATGGCAGTTTACGTATAACTAACCAGATAAATTCTTCTGATATTGGATGATGTTTCTGTGTTTGAGCATTTTTCAGTCAAATCTCATCGGATCAAGAAAGTTGAATGATGGGCATGCTGGGCTGGAGCAGGACAATCGTTCGTATGCATTGGATTGGACAACAATGGAGAATGGGAGGACTAGGTTATTAGCTGGCATTTTGAACTTTCCCTAAATAGTGTACAAGAATCATGCATCGCCTGTGCTGAATGACTCAAGTTACACAAACACGTCTTCTGCATCTTTTGCTCTATTATAGTCATACTACTTTACATTAAACAAAGACCACTTCTCATATAGCATCACGCTTACAACATAGTAAAAGCATAAATACGCCTGTATATCTAAACTTTACAATCAAACATGGGGTTTTTATTAGAGCAATGTGCTCGGCTTGGCCAACTGCACCTTGGGTGCCAGTTTCACGATCAAGCTTGCCAATCCCAGATTTCGCAATGTCGCTACCAGTCAAACTGGATCTGGGGGTCCGTTTTGATCTTTGTTAATGACAAAGATGAAATACATGACATCATGGCCATCATCGATCGTTATTGCCTAGCATCCAACGCTAAACTCAACTGCCAGAAGACTTCGGTGGTTTCATTGACGGGACGTGTACCGGATGATTGGCGACAAGCTTTTGATTCACATGGCCTTCGATTATGGCATGATCACACTTGCACAGAGGCTGTCACCTATTTAGGTTTTCCTCTTAACAGCACACAAGCACAATTGAACAACTTTCTTCAAGCACGCCTAGCCAAGCTAAAGGCACACATCAACGTCCTACAATCTCGCTCTTTGTCCATACGCGGTAAATCACTGGTTGTCAATTCGCTGATCCTTAGTCGCATGTGGTATTGTTTACGTATCCTCCCTTTGACGCAGCATTTCATCAATAGCCTTCAATCAGCGGTTATTCAATACCTCCAGGGTAAGACTTTGCCCAAGGTCAGTTTTATGACTTGCTGTAGACCAAAGAAAGAAGGTGGTCTTGGTGTATTACATCCTATGCACCATCTCAATGCTTTACAGCTACGATGGATACACCCCCTTTTGTCTAATGATCCTGAGGAACGACAAAATTCGCTTGCTGATCCGTATCTACGACTTTGTATCCTTGCTTTCTGCTCCACTCTGGCACCAACCATTCCTATCCTTTTCCCTGAACGACGTGATTCTACTCTCCTCTCTTTTGGTCATTTCAAGTCTCTTTTTCAAGCATGTGACAATATCAAGCTGAAAGTGAATTGGAGCGCTATTACCCATTTCACCGTCCTCGACTTACCGCTGATCAAGATTTGTACTTTTGCTGGTCCCGCTAATGAAGCACCCAAACCAAGTTGGGGCACTCTTTTGGTTCGAGATGCCTTTATTTTATCTACCGCTGCACATCATCTTCGTGCACGTTCACCACGTGAACGCACAAGACACAAGCGTAAGGTTAATGCTTTTCATCGAGACATACACCCCAATGGCACGTGGCGACTTAAACCTTTCTTCAAACGCCTGCTGGAAACTTTGCCTTCAAGTGATGCACATCGGACAGTGTCTCTCGACTACCATGCTTTGGTTGCTCCCATCACCCACACGAATCTTCGTATTAACGATCTCACACGCAAAGCCTTCCGATACAGCCTTTTACCACCACTCGATTCTCTACCACCACATTACCCAAGAGGCACCCATTCAGCTTGGCATCGTTTTTGGAATGGCGCTATTCCTCATCAAGCACGTACTATTCGATGGAGACTGCTTCATCACCGAATATCCAGTCGTCAACGTCTTCATGCTTTAATACCACGACATGTCGAGTCGCCATGCTGCCAACGTTGCACCAACAACCCCGAAGTGAACAATCCTGCCATGGAATCCGATCAGCATTTCTTCTTCTCTTGTCCTTCGGTACAACCAATATGGCATCATATCGGTCGTCAGTTTTTTGCCAATCCACAAGCGATTCAATGGCGCCATCTCTCCAATATTACTACACGTCCACCATCCACATCATCCGACTTGCCAGTATCCTATGACATCATCATATCATGTGGACTGCTCGCCATTTGGAGGGCTCACTGGCGATACGTTTTCCATCAAGAAGCCATCCCATGCAATATCACAGCTGACTCTGCTACCAAACACATCCATCAAATTATCAATGAGTATAGTTTAGCCAATTCAAACCCTTTAATGTAAAAGCAAAGGCGCCAATATAAAGCGCCGGAATAAATACCATCTACACAAAAAAAAAGATCTGGGGGTCGACCTCTTCGACGACGACGACCAAAAAATATTTTTTGGACTAGTTGCGACATTGAACGTGAAACTTTCGCACAAGGTGCTGTTGGCCAAGCCGAGCCCATTGCGCTAATAAAAACCCCACGTTTCATTGTAAAGTTTGGAGATACAGGCACCTTTATGTTTGTAAGCGTGATGCTATATGAGAAGTGGTCTTTGTTCATTGCCAAGTAGGTGGACCCTGGCAGAGCAAAAGATGCAGAGGGTCGTATTGTGTAACACAGCTACGTTTGCATGAATGAAAGGGTCAATGTATAATTACTTTATAGATCATCTAGGTACAGGCATGTATTGCTAGCTAACGGCCACTTTTATTCAATCATCATTGTTGCGAGATCCACTGCATGGGAACGATGTCCCTGCTCTACACATTCATTTCCATGATTAAAGTAGGTTGATCCGAGCTGATTTGACTGAGCTGCGGTCAAAGAGAGATTACATCACTCTGGACATCAAGCACGCTCGATGTAGCTCAACCGATGTAACCTTGTGTGAGCGTAACTCAACCAAATCAGCTCGGATCAACCTACTTTAATCATGGAAATGAATGTCTAGAGCAGGAGCATCGTTCACCTGCAATAGAATGCACAAAAGTTGGGAATGCACAAAAGTGGCTATTAGCTGCCAATGTATGACATAAAAGTGAGGGTTGCGTACCTGTCATGCATTGTCCCTGACGTCCTGACTTTTTAGCTGAGTTACCCAAAGAGGTCCTTCTGCATCTTTGGCTCTCCAGGGTCTAGCTACTTGGCAATGAACAAAGACCACTTCTCATATAGCATCACGCTTACAAACGTAAAGGTGCCTGCATCTCTAAACTTTACAATCAAACGTGGGTTTTTTATTAGAGCAATGTACTCGGCTTGGCCAACTGCACCTTGGGTGCCAGTTTCACGATCAAGCTTGCCAATCCCAGATTTCGCAATGTCGCTACCAGCCAAACTGGATCTGAGGGTCGACCTCTTCGACGACGACGACCAAAAAAATATTTTTGGGCTGGTTGCGACATTGAACGCGAAACTTTCACACAAGGTGCTGTTGGCCGAGCCGAGCCCATTGCTCTAATAAAAACCCCACGTTTCATTGTAAAGTTTGGAGATACAGGCACGTTTATGTTTGTAAGCGTGATGCTATATGAAGAGTGGTCTTTGTTCATTGTCAAGTAGGTGGACCCTGGCAGAGCAAAAGATGCAGAGGGTCGTGTTGTGTAACTCAGCTACTTTGCATGACTGGAAGGATGGAAGGATGATACTGTATACTATTGACAATATCCCATACATTGCGAGCTAACAGCCATTTCTTCACAATAGCCACTGTTGTCCACTCTATGACATGTGAGCGATTCTCCTGCTTCAGACATTCATTTCCATGATTGGATTACGTTGATCCGAGTTGATTTGACCGAGATACAACCAAAGAGGGATTACATCAATCTACACGTCTAACCATGCTCTATGTTGCTCAACTGAAGTAACCTTGTATGAGCGTAGTTCAGCCAAATCAACTCGGATCAATATAATCCAATCATGGAAATGAATGTCTGAAGCAGGAGCATCGTTCCACTGTCATAGAATTGGCAACATTGCCGATTGTGAGGAAATGGCTGTTAGCTCGCAATGTATGGGATATTGTCAATAGTATACAGTATCATCCTTCCATCCTTCCAGTCATGCAAAGTAGCTGAGTTACACAACACGACCCTCTGCATCTTTTGCTCTGCCAGGGTCCACCTATTTGACAATGAACAAAGACCACTCTTCATATAGCATCACGCTTACAAACATAAACGTGCCTGTATCTCCAAACTTTACAATGAAACGTGGGGTTTTTATTAGAGCAATGGGCTCGGCTCGGCCAACAGCACCTTGTGTGAAAGTTTCGCGTTCAATGTCGCAAACAGCCCAAAAATATTTTTTTGGTCGTCGTCGTCGAAGAGGTCGACCCCCAGATCCAGTTTGGCTGGTAGCGACATTGCGAAATCTGGGATTGGCAAGCTTGATCGTGAAACTGGCACCCAAGGTGCAGTTGGCCAAACCGAGCAGGTTTGTTCTCATATAGACCCCACGTTTGATTGTAAAGTTTAGAGATACAGACACCTGTATGTTTTAGCTATGCCGTAAGCGTGATGGAGTTGCTTTTTCCTAGTGGATGGTGTCGGCTGCATTAACGGAAAGATGAAGAGCTAAGTGAAATGGCATGTGATGGTTACACACGCGTCATTTACAGGTTGCTGCATAAATGAATGATGATTGCTTTTAGGAAGTACGTAAACAGACTCCAATCATGAAAAAGCTATTCAAAATGATATTTACACTGACAATGACAATGATTTTATACAGGGGCGTTTTTTATGTTTGATAGGGGAGTCATGTATTGGTTGCACAGACCCAGGAGTACGTAGTGTCAACCTGCATTAATTTGTGCACGGATTTGATAGACGCCAATCCCGCCAGTAAAATGATGTATCGCTTAGTTACAAGGAATGTGTTCAATTTAACTCTCGAGTAGTGATCGTTACTGTTGACCCAAGAGTATAGGCTTTTGTTGAGGTACATCTTCACAACAGCAACTGTAGCAAGCGGGGCGGCGTGTAGTGCAACAAATTGGGAACACTCAGAGGAACAACAACGAGCCCCTTCTTCTTACACTCCTCCCACCTCACAATGCAAGGTAAGCTTGTCTCCATTTGCGAACTACAACGCATTAACAGCTGGCATCCTTTCAATGTATGGCGCCAAATGGATGAACAGGTGGCCAATGGCGACTCTTTCCAATTGCAGACATTCAACAACAAGCACGCACGAGATCTACCCATGTTTCAAGCTTCCATTCCCATTCAACAGGTACGGCCAATCGCTGCAGCGATTTTGCTATTCAAGTTTGACATTGTGGTACTGAAGCTCGTGTGTAGGTTGCTGTTCTCTCGTTTACAAGGTCTAATGGGTGCGTCTCGTGTATTCATTCCCAAGCTGTCCACAACAACACTTCTTTACACTGCCTCTTTTGGGTATGTTGGCAAGAAAATGCGTTTAGATTGGTTTTCCTTGGTATCTCACATTGTGTTCATGGTAGATCGACTTGTTGGATGATGGTACCTGTTGGCAGTAGCAAGATATTGATCTTAAAGCAAGGACGCTGTACGTTGGTTCAATGGTATGTATGGTGTTGGATCTACAATGCAGGACCACTTAATTAATGAGCCTTACAACGAAACAGCAGCAGCACATACTGGATCGGATGAATACAAGGTTATTTGCAAGCATCAATGGAATGGTATTGGGAACACCTCGAGGTAAAGTGATCATTTTAGGATTTGTCACCTTCGAGTGCACTGATGAAAGAAATAGGCTCTCCTTCGGCGATTACTATTATCACAGCAGCACGTCAAGGGATGGAGTGTACTGTCTTAAGGGGGAAGGCCATGTTGTGGTACGCGGATATTACGTTGGGCTCACGGTGCGACTTCGGTTTAAAAATGCACCCTCTGACCTTTCGTGGAGAACAAAGTATATGCTTCCCATCATTGCACTGCTATACTTTACTCGACTTGGAAGACGATGGGTGTCTTTCTTGGCAACATGGCTGGACCCACGGCTAGTGGTGTTAAAGTCGGCTGGGGAGGGGCTTCATGTCACCGTTAAAACCGGTGTTTTGACGCCACGTTCCTACGGGAGGCTAGAAGGCAGTGCGTGTACTACATTCCTTGGCAGTGCGCTTTTATCATTGCTCTTATTGCTGGCGGCAAGATTCATACGTATGCATAGAATTGGATCTACATTACAAGTGCTATCAACTTACAATGGAACAGTAGCAGCATGGTATGGTTGCCATGGAGATATGGATGGCATGGAGAGATCGTTCTTATTTGAAGGAAGGGTGCTATTGTGAAGTATCACAAGGTAAGAGTATCCATTATGGGATGTGGCGCATGCAAGTGCACTTATGATGGAAGATGTGCAATGACAGGATCAAGAAGGCTCTTATCAGAGCAGCACGTCAAGGATGTTATTGTACTGAACACTCCTTCCTTCGTCCTCCGTAAAACGGCTATCAGCATTCGTTTATTGTATGGGCGTCTCTGCATCAAGGAAACCGGCTTTGAGTGTTGGTGGAAAAAGGCAAGTTTGGGAGAGTAAAATTCGGCGCTCTCTTTCACATGTGCTCACTGAACTGGACAATGGCATCCACGACGACTTCTTCGCTACGTTCTGTTCTCAAACGATGACAGCACGTCCATGACACCTTCGGCACTCATGTTACGGCAATGAACAGGCAAATAACCTAAGGTTCGAGTTCTCTTTCAAGGTTGGTGACGGCGAGCGACCAGTGCCAAGAGATGTTTTCCTAGTGTGATACTGCAGCAGCACGTCGATCAGCTTTATCCCTTGCACAACAACTATGGGATATGATCATCATCATCTTCATCGATCCTTTCATGCAGCAATAGACGCTTCATTATCCAACTGCACGCAGCTACAGGATATTTTGCATCATGGTTCACCCATTCATCAAGGTACAATGTAGGTTGCATGAGCCTACTGATTAAGAGTGATGATTAACAATATGAATCGTTGATTGAAGCTGTACGACCGGATCTTCAGTTTGGATCATGCCATATCAGCCATCAAGTACGCCGCAATACAAGCAATCTTCATCAACCGGTTGAGCTGTGATGCGAAACGACCAAGCAAGGGATTGACCAACAGCTGAACGGAGAAGGAAGCATATCAGCAGCAATCACTAGGGTTCTTTCTATCAGCATAGTGGACGTGCAATGGTGAGGATGGATGGATGCAACCATGTGAAGCGATGAGAATGCTGATATATTGCTTTGGTTCCTTGTCACGTTGCCAACAGGGAGGATGGGTCGTACACGAGGATATCGCTGAGGACGATGATGGGCTGGATGACATTGACCAGAGGGCTTGTACCTTTGACGAACGCGTTTTACCTCTATGGATGATGGCAGATACTGGAATAATGGTGTCAAGACACACAGCAACTGTTTGTCCTCGATGATTGTTATGATTGCAGCAACCAAGGATACAATACACAACGACACTCTTTTGTTATATATTATCCACCCATACCTATTCAATTTAGTGATGTCGTTCCTTAATCATGTTCACGTGACAAACACCCACGCTATCATATCCTCGTCTTCGACGTGTCTATTGAATGGGCATTGGCTTCAATATAAGAAAAGGTTGTGCATCTCTCATGATTGATCCATAAAGTTTGGAATTTTTGTTGTTTTTATACAAGCATGTCCCTCTGTATCTTTGACTCTATCAGGATATAGCTTCTTGACAATGAACAAAGAAGACCACTTTTTATATAGCATCTCGCTTACAGCATCGTGAAAACACATAACAAGACTTGCAACTCAAGCGTTTACGAACAAAGCAAGCAATCGAGCCGCGAGTCAGCATTCAAGCATGCTTTTGGTGTGCTATGCATTTGGGTTTGAACAATTATCTTCCGTACACTTTCATGTCAAACGTACAGCTTGATCATGTGACTATAACAAACATCCACCTTCAAGATGCCCAACACTCTATGTATTTATATCATTGCTTAATAATGCTTACAGTGAGCTCGCTTTTTGAATAGCTCGAATGACCATCTACATCAGCAGCATCTGCGGTAGTCAAGCCTTCTAACTTTTGGTATACAAATTGGAGAATGCTTTCTTCATCAGCAGTGGGTTTGACTTGAACTTCGATTGTGCCAACGCATTTGCCATAGGTGTTTTGCCAGAAATGGACTCGATCAATGGCGACAACATCGGGATTTTGACGTATCTATAGAGAGAGATCAATATCAACTCATGCCTTGTTACCCCTGAAGATGGTCTTTTTACCTCAAACAGCCGGCTTTCAATTCCTGAACGTGCCACATCGGGTGTCGTTTGAAGCAGCAGCTTCATAAGAGCCAATGCTGTAGGACCTCCCAAATAGAGCATAATCACGGATTCTCCAAATGCAAGAAACTTATCCGTCATGGGCGATGCAAAGCCAAGCACAAAGAATACGAGTACAACAAGACAAGAAGCCAAGATCGATGTGGTATAAATGTTGGACAATACAATGTTAACAGCATTGCCACGAGCACCATTGATCACGTTGTATGAAAAGCCATGTACAGTGGGAGGTGATCGACGAAGATCTAAGCGAGGAATTTATGATGAGTATAGATAAAGAAAAGCTTTCGCATATAGATACATACAGCGCACCAAATTGTCATGGTTTCTAAGGTTGACGCAAGCAATAACTGTAGCACCCATAGAAATGCATAGGATGATAAAGCCAGTGAAGCCAAGGGATCTAAGTAGAAAATGAATCAATACAACCCATAAAACAACCCATATCCATGTCCAACTTACTTGTGATGTCCCTGATCATGATGATCAGCATCCTCTGTTAATAAGTGCTCTAGCGATTCCTTGGTCGTATACATCGTGACAAAGAGTAGATAAATAGTCGTAGCCATGGCAAACACAATTTCATATCGGCGAGCCCTGAAAGATACTCCATGATGTGAGTCACATGCAAGTAGAAGGATGGGAGCATACTTACGAAAAAGGACGCTTTGTGCTCGAAGCCAGGAATGCTGGATGGGTTCTAGCAACATCCGATACGAATGTATTGAGCACCCCAAGGGCATCAAAGATCACCAAATAAGATAATCCCATGATAGCTAATCCTTACTGTAAGCCTTTACTCATACCTTGAGATTCCTGTATTCCTTACCAAGGCTATCGCGAGAAGCGCCTGCCCACCATACAAGAATGCCAATACCACAATGGATCAAGAACCAGGTGAAGATAGTCTTTTGCATAGGTGCCAAATGAGCAAATATGTCTGCCCAGGATGGAAAAGGTGGGATGGACACAGCAGGATAATGGTGATGATGATGATGGTGGTGGTCATGGTGATGGTGGTCATGGTCGTGGTGGTCATGGTGATGGTGATCATGGTGATGGTGATCATGGTCGTGTTTGTGTTCGTGCGTGTCATGAAGATGAGGATGGTGTTGATGTTGATCGTGAACATGATCGTGATTGTGTTGATGGCTGTGAGCATGTGAATGGTCGTGGCTGTGATCATGGGTTGCTATGTATTGTTCCTGGGGTTGATTTGGCATGTAGGAATTCGCTTGATACGTCGCATGTTGGCTAACCTATCGTTGCGCGACTTGGTTACAGATTACACACCTTCACGGTCCATAACACGCACAACTTACTTCTTGTTGCTCATGACCCACTTCTTTCGCATGTGTCGTGTTGCCACTTGCACGCAGAGGTGCCGAACTTTGAACCGTTACTGCATATTTCACACCCTTCAGTTAAGCGGATTGCGTTGGACACCATGTATACACTCTACCTGCCGTCGCCGAAGCCATTGGTGCCAATGTTGAGCTTGCATGAGTTGTAGTTGCTGGCTGCGTGAGAGGTGATTGCGGACGCCGTTTAGTGAACTGCCTTGTCGATTTCATCAGGTTTGTCAACGGCAAAAAGGGCACCAGCAGCCAAGGGCGCTCTCTCGGATAAGTCAGCAAATCAAATTGCGTTGTTGGGTTTCATTATCTCCACAAAAGAATACAACCATATGTCTTCTCCTCCACCACCATTGTCTAGTCTCTTTGTAACCGATCCAAACGTATATAGCAATAATCGCTCTTATATAAAATGTTGTCAATGATGCTATCTGAATGAAAATGCACATGTTACCCAAGCCTTGTAACTCGGCTATATTTCGGCATTACCCATGGAGATGATGATGCCGTATGCTTCACAACAAAAGACTTTAATTGCCTTTTGTGAACAAGGTATCGCGGATTACCACATTTGACAAATACATCGGATAAAATGATAAACATGTACAAAATGTATGCATGGAGAGTGACATGAAGCGGCTGAGCAGCGAAAATGCAATCCATACTATTATTGTGCCTAATTCACCGTTATCTTCATGTGGGTGGTGCTGAGCATCTATAGCAGTTGTCTATGAATGAGGCTGATGATTGGTTGCAACTTCTTTTCTTCCTTGACTCTATTGCATGTCACACGAAAAACTACTTGCGTGGGGTCTCCAACTTTGCCAAGTGCGATCAACTATCGCCAAGTGCTATGATGCAATACTACCAAAACGTCGATCAGACGGACATTCGGTGAATTAGGTAACATTGATGGCTGATTCAAGCAATAAAACATGAATCGATATTCTGCATCCATCATCATAGCATACTAAATCGCCGTCGATAACGCATAAGGCTATGCACTATGGAACCTGTCAAACATTGTAAACCCTGTTGCATGCAACAATGTTGGGAATCACCACCAACTCAAAAATACCTTTGCTTGGCAACTTGGCATTTGCTGCGGCGGCTAAGGCAATTCCATAAAAGACCTTGTTGTTGCATTTTGTTTTTATGTCCTCAGTGTACCGGGTTTGAGACTCGCTGGATGTCCATCAACATAGTGCATGTTCCAAAATGCTCACTTTTATTTTTAGCCTTCAATGGCAGTAGTGGAAAGTAAGCTTGCTTTGTAAAACTCTCGAGAATGCATTGTGTGTCAAGGAATAGAGCAGGTCACATGAGCTTTTGCGGCAATGGATAGCCGAGCACATCATCGCTAAAAATAAATAAAAGTCGAAATGGATAGTGGATATAAAACAGCTTATTCGAGATGGCTTGGTTTCATTGCTTTAAAACCATATTTTTTCACCAGCAATAGAAGCATGCAATACCCGCAACACTTTCAACAAGAGCAACAGCGACGAGAAAATCAAACACCATGGGATGCTAGTACACTTAACGTAATTGACGAGCAACATAAAAAGACGACACCGACTCATTCTTCTGTGACGCAAGAGAATCAACATCAGCGTGCAGCAGCGGCAGCAGCGGCAGCAGGGGCTATCCATGAACCCACTTATCGACATTACTTTTCACAAGCACCCATACCTGAAATGACTCAAACAACACAAGTACTCCCGACAACGCCGATGCATGTACCTACATTCTACCCCAGCTCAAGTGAGCCTGTTGTTGATTGCTCATCATTTGGCACGGACCGTCATTTCGGCAACATGTTGGATCATCCTCAAACACCGATCGGATTTTCGTGTAACGATGGTTGCAGCTTTCTGCCCGCATCTTCCCAGTCCCATTGTTCTGGGGGTCAGCATCAGGCTAAAAACGCAAGAAGCAATAGCAAAAACCGCGTACCTCGGAACTCAAACAAGGTGCAGCGGAGAAAAGACAACATAGCAACATACCAATGCACCCACCCGGGATGCGGCCGTTCATTCACCCGTGCCTACAACTTGACATCCCATATGCGAACCCATACTTCAGAACGCCCCTTTCCTTGTTCACAATGTGGTCGACGTTTTGCACGGCAACATGATCGTAATCGCCATGAAAAATTACATTGGAATATCAAGCCATATGCATGCCCCAATTGTCACAAATCTTTTGCTCGAATGGATGCTTTAAATCGTCATCTCAAGGTTGAAAATGGTTGTGGTTCGGTTCTTGCAGCATCCCATTCTATTTGAAAAAGAAAACAAACATGTCCAGTGCACCTTTGTTTACGTGATAAAAGTCATTTCGTAGTTTATTTCCGAAGGATATATGCCATGCCTCCTATTCCCTACCCCCTCCGTTCTATCATTAGATAAGATTGTATATACCTTGTCACCTTTCTGTTTCTCTTAATATATGATGGTAAATAGAATATTTGGTACAGAGAGTGAATATATGCAATCAAGTATAGATAGAATGGGTGGAGCATGAAAAAAGGAGTAAGCTGAATGATATGAATGCCAATGTTTTGTTCTCTTCTATATAACTTTTTTATCCCGAGTCGATTGAATCCTCGTCTTGGATTGATAAGTCTTGATCTATTGGCCTCTTTCTACTGCCTGATGACCCGCTGGCCACGCTGCTACCGGGTTGCTGATCTTCTTTTCTTACAGGAATTTTGACACCTTGCTTTAGGAAGCATACTGATAACGGTGTTCGAGCTAAATCCATGAACCAAACTACCGTCAGCTTTGATCTCGTACAACAACAAGCTACACAGTAGCATCGACATATATATACAACACAGCCCTATTTTAACATGCCCCTCCCGCACTTGCCCTTTCCTCTTTCTCTCCATTTCACATATCCGATCGCTTTTTCCCCCCAAATAGTACTTACATACTACACCAGGAAAAGATTTCCCAGAATAGACAGTAATGACATCTGTGTATACTTTAGCCAAGATCTGAGACATCGGAAAGACGGATGATGGCGGACTATATGGGTGTGTGTACAGCCACGCGAAGTTTTGGTCAGCAACAATTTTTCATATGGGATCATGGCGCGAGCACTAATATGTGTGTGTGGGAGAAACATGAAACTGTTTGCAAAGTGATACTTACGTTCGGACATCAATCAATGAGAAACCAAGTCGATACCTTCCTTCTAGGCGGATACTAATGTCGCTAAAGATGAAAAATATCCCAAGTTGGCCTTGGACGTTGTAAAGTTTGACGGCCGAAGCCACCTGACTACCCACAAGATTCCGCGTTTTTTGTAAATCGAGCTTCTTGGATGGATCGGTTGGCGAGATAATATTGGCTTCTGTTATACCATCCGCTTGCCAGCTATCGCAATGAACCACAAAATGCGAGACGTCGACCTGCCTTTTTTAGGTACGTGAGTGGAAGGTGCATTTTTGGCGAGTAGCCGTGTGAAAAGTGAGCCTATAATAGGCAGGGTGCACAATATCACACATTAGGGGAGATAAAAGGGCACATAGGCAGGAGATTGAGGAAAAGGAATAGTGTTGTGTGCACGCGTTTGTGTATGTGTGTGTGCGCTTTTGAATGGTAAAACGTGTGTGTGTGTGCGTGTTGTTTGGGTGGTTTGCTGATGTACCACTTACGCTGGATCAATGTTCTTCCCGTCTTTGGTTGTAATCAAGAGCTCCACAATAGGCGGCGGGCTGACAGGTCGTCGATCCTTGTCTCCAAATCCACACATACGTGCTCGAATAGGTTGTTGAGCAACAACCAACTCATAATTGCTGTTGCAAGATACGCGATCCTTAGTCTTGGTTCTAACGTGTGACTCATTGCTTTGATTTTACCATTCCCTTTCTTGGAGCGCATGGCCCTCATTACTAATCGCAGCAGTAGGGGCGACTGCTGTCGTAGGGAGTGGTGTATCAGCCATGGTCACAAGCTGATTCAAAACATTGGGTTCCTGTGAGATCGAAGGGTAGGGTGAAGGCCACTGCCAATCATCACCAGGGAGGAGTGGTGACAGGGCTGTTGGCATTTGGTGAAACGACGAGCTATCCTGATGCTGATGTTGATTTTGATGTTGGTGCTGATTATGCTGTTGATGCTGCTGCGGTGGTGGTGGTGGCGGTGCATAGTTTGTTGATGACAGCAGCTTTTCAAGCGTGTCATCATCGTTGTTGTCAGGTTGAAATGGTAGCATCGACCGAGAAAAGGAGTAGTGTCGATAGCAGTAACAAGGGTAAAGAAAGTGGAGAATAAGAAATGAAAGGAGAAAGAGGTCGCCAGATTAAAATTGAATGTGGTGCTTATAGACAACAGACATCCATGACGCATAATCTTGTGCAATGTTTAGCGGGCCTGATGTTTCCTATTATAGTTGCTAAGGAATCAGCACGTTCTGTCTCGGCTTGTGTTTCGTTACACAGCAGCTTTACAATTGTACGACGCTATAATGATTGGCTGTATTGGTACAGGAGGCAGAACTGTAGGATTCATGTTGTTGACATGTGTTGAATAGGGTAGCTTATAGCTGCACATTTACAATGATACAAGAACATAGCTTACAATGTATATGTAAATCACAATGAATAGGAAATCAAATGAGATGCAATGATAGGGGAATATGAGTGGATGATGGTAGTGGACAGCGTGTGAAGATCAAGCTGAAAGAAGGGCGGGATGAAATGACAGCGGAGGAAAAGAACAAGGAGTAAAATGATGGTAGTTGGGGGAGGAGGTACAATGCTGACGGCCATCAAGGCAGCAGGTGGTCCTACTTTGTGGATAGTGCATATAGAGAGTAAGGAACGCCGACTGGGCTGATGTGAGCCAAAGTTGCCTTGCACACCAATTATACGCACATGACGCCACCAACATCAGCGTTCATATTGCCATCGAGATTTTGACAGTGACGATGATTTGTACATGTTTGATGTTTCGAAGCCATCTTGTGCTTAGCAATAGGTATATGATCATGGCCCTTTTTGTTCGTGACCGTGTCAAAGATGGGACTCTCATCGTGAATGGGACAGCAGGGATTGGCTATGTTACAGCCATCTCCTACAACAACAAATAATTCGGGCTCCACAATCACAATAGAAGAAATGCAGCAGTATATTTGTAACGTGTGGCTATTATCACATGATATTGCTGGATTACCATTCGTAAGGCTCTGGCTGTCGATCCTCTTTCATTAATGAATACTACAAGTTTATTTACAATGTTTTTTATGATTTTCCTTATTATACGGCTTGTCTAAACACCACCTTTCCTTGACTACGGAATTGAAGGACTTCTCGACGTCCAAGGATAGCAAGAGCTCGGCGAATAGCAGCTTCGGAATATCCTTGCTGAAGACAATCGTTTTGAATTTTGATGACGGGTACTTGTGAGCCAATAGGCAAACGGCGCTGGATTTCCTTTTCGATTTCTTGGACCTCCTTCATTACTTCATTACGAGTCATACCATCAGCACCACCAGTTTGCACAGCATCCATAGTAGAGAATTTGAATAATCGAATTGCTTCTTCCACATGTACTTCTGTTGCCACTGGTGAAAGTGTCATTTTGGCAAGTGATTCTGAAATACGAATGATAGCTTCCAATTGTCTAAGGATATCGCGTCTACATTAGCATTCAAGGAACCCATTACCCATCATATGAGATTGCTTACCTAATGGTGATAGGAATGGAGGATCGTACATTTGTGTCACGCTCTACTTCCTTGACTTCTTTACGAATAGCGACGAAATGACTGCTGAGCTTCTCGGCTGCTTCGGTTGTCAATCGTGGTGCACATTTTCTATATACGCATCATATAAGCAAATGCCACTCTGGCACAATCCAAAATATAAACTTACGCTTTGCAGTAATTGATATATGCCTTCATCTTTTCAAGATCAATATCGCCCATTTCAACATCCATGCCTTGCTTGTTTTGATGCACCTTGAGAACGTGTTGGGCTATTGACTATAGAGCATACAAGTTAGATCATGACATCTCGAAGATACACATTACATACCATATCACGAGCTTCGTTGTGTTCATCCTTGACGATAAAGATCATATCGAAACGTGACAAGATGGTAGTTTGGAAGTCGATGTTCTAGAAATATACATCGTTAGGCCTGATGATGATGCAAGCTCCGAATAGTTAATATACTTACTTCACCCGCGCTCTTCATCTCATCATATCGACCAAATACGGGATTTGCTGCTGCAAGTACGGATGTTCTTGAATTAAGAATGGTCGTGATACCAGCTTTGGCAATGGAGATAGTTTGCTGTTCCATAGCTTCGTGGATAGCCACACGATCCTCATCACGCATCTTGTCAAATTCATCAATACAAACGACACCACCATCAGCCAACACCATTGCACCGCCTTCCAAATAGAAATCTCGCTATCCATCCCAAAATTAGTATTCTAGGGAATCAATCTATATCATATAGATATGACCTACCGTACTAGGATCCCGAATTACAGATGCTGTGAGACCTGCAGCACTACTTCCTTTACCGGATGTGTAAACAGCGATGGGGGCCACTTTTTCGACAAACTTGAGAAGCTGAGATTTGGCAGTACCAGGATCACCAAGAAGTAAGACGCTGATATCACCTCTCAAACGCATGCCATCTGGAAGAATCTTTTTGGAGCCACCCATCAACAAGCAAGCAATGGCCTTTTTGATATCTATCATCACACCATCATCATCATCAGTGATCCATTTCTCCCCTAGTCGATAACATGCATTTACCAGTATTGCCAAAGATAGATGGTGCGATACTTGCAGCAAAGGTCTCATACAAATTATCTTGGCGTGACATGCGAATGTATTCTTCTTCCTCGGCATCCGTGAAAACTGGTTGGCCGCGATTGCTGTTATGTTGATCAATCTGTAATCCGACAACACGAATGTAGGGTGTACGCACTGCAGCAGCACCTGTTGATTTCTAAGGAATGACGTTTTTAGTCACATGTCAGCCCCATTTCCCTTTACACTTGATCCCACTTACTGCTGCTTTGTTTTGATAAATGGAATAAATGCCCATAATCACTGCTCGCATACCGGGAACCACACGATTGGTCAACCATCTACCATAAACAAAAGGTTGGTCAATGTCTATTCTTTGAGAAATGGGTCATTGTTACCTACCTGTCAGCATTGAGGATGGTATGACGAGGAAGATCACCAACAGGAACCATATCGGGAGCTTCTTGTAGCTTGAGCACTTGAGAATCGACAAATTGACTCTTATCATGTACAATGACAAAAGGATCCATGCCACAATCTTTCTTCATGCCATCAGGTGCTTCACTGGTAATAGACAAAGATGAATATTACGCTCCATTGTATATGAACGTTTGCTTGAAATCTTACCCATCACAAGTTCTAGGAAGAGTAATACCACCGAAACCACCATTGACAGGGATCATCTTGACGTGCCTGCAGGAACGGCACATGATTTGGACATTGACAGCACGAGAACTCAAAGTGGAAGCTCCAATCACGATACCCGAAATCCGTACCAATTTGCCGATGTAATCAGACTGTATATAGAATGTAAGTATCATGCTGTTTTTTTTAACATGCCATCCATGTACTTGCCGTCAAATCGCGAAGTTGAATGACGTTGGCATCTGATTTGAGTGTCACTTGGCAGTCAGGTACACTGGCAGTTTGCACATCGGTGGGTCGTGGATACAAGATACGTTTGGCACATTCTTTTACAGCGTTTTCAAACTATGCAAAAGAAGAAGAAGAAGAAGAAGTATGTTTAGCACTATGAACCATCTCTACATGAGGGACCATGTTTGTTACCAAAGGTAAAAGTTCTGCAGGCTCTGCAGCCAATCGGTTTGCGAGATCAGTGTTGAAGCTGATGAGATGGGAGGTGTCGACTTCAATGTAGTACTGCTTGAGGAGAAGATGCTCTGAGAGTTGATCACTGTTGGGGGGTATGTGTTAATATCCAATGGCATGAGAGATCCAAGTGAATGGATGGGGTACTTGCCGATAGACAAAGGAGTTATCGATGCGAAAGTTTTGAATGAACTCTTGGAACATGGCGGTGAGTTCAGCATGGGAGTTGACCTTGTCTTCACCAGGAAGCACGCTCGTCGAGTAGATTTGACCACGATCCCAACCAAAGGTTGCCATATTGAAGTGTTGATGGATGATAACACGGAAAAGGCGCGTGCCTTGTCACTCTTCACGATTTACCCAAAAACGCGCTCGCGTGACTTGTGTGCGCACTCGCTTCTCTTCTGCTCCTCCCACCTCCACCTCCGCGTTTGATTGATTGATCATGGCCGACGACTCAAGCAACCAAGAAAAGATAGTAACCGCTATTGATATCGTGGACCAACAAACAGCCTTGGAAAAGGAAGCCAATGAAATACTTCCGGGAAAGTTCGAAGCGTGTACTTTTGACAAGGGTTACATTCGACAGCCTCTTTATGCTTGCAAGACTTGCAGCCATGACAATACCGAACCTGCTGCAATGTGCTACAGTTGCTCGATCGCTTGCCATGCCGACCACGAGCTCTTTGAACTCTTCGCCAAAAGGAACTTCCGGTGCGACTGTGGGATAGAACACAAATTTGGTGAACATCCTTGTCAACTCTCATCCCTTTCAAAGCAACAAACCGCGTCAAATGATGACAATGCATACAACCACAACTTTTTCGGTCATTACTGCAGGTAATGGGATGAATGATAGATGACAGTGACTTGATCAATCAAAATACCCATTCATCTTTATAGATGCGACAAGTTTTATGATCCTGCAAAAGATGAATGCACCATGTATCAGGTAACATAAAAGGGAGATGCCGTATACCATGGCAAATAGAACTAATCATTCAATAGTGTGTTTTATGCGAAGATTGGTTCCACGAGGAATGCATTGGAGACGTGGGTAACGCTCCCCCCCCCCACATTCACGAAAAATCATTTGCCAGTGTAACTCACCCAACTTTGATTTAAGATTCCGCCCGAGATTGAAGACTTTGAGAGCTATGTGTGCCGCGATTGCGTTGACAGATACCCTTTCCTTGTCCAGCAACCAAGTGCATCCGTCAGCGTAGGTCTATCTCATGATAATGCAAAGATCCACAAATGGCTATTGCCAGCACCATCCAATGACAACCAAACAACATTACCAGATCACTCAACAGCAACAACAACGACCCATGACTCCATTTCTGATACTGCTACAACAACAACACAACACAATCACTCAGGCGAAAAGCGCAAAGAGCCAACATCTCCCCAGACAAATGTACCCGACTCCAAGCGCGTGAAATCCGATTCAGAATGCAAAAAAGGTATGTAAGCTTTGAATGATTTGATCTCAAACCACCTACTTCTTGCTTACCTTTTTTCTTTGATAGAAAAAGCTTCCTATGCTGATCGTGTCGAATTGTTCTTCAATGATGGATGGCGTGAAAAATTATGTCAATGTGATACGGTAAATGAAAAGGACCTCCATTTGCCAATAACGGCTCACTGATATCCTCTTTTTTTCCCCTTTCAAGTGCAAGAAGGCGTTTGTTGAGAATGGCATTGAATTCCTTTTATCAGAAGAAGATACCTTTGAGCCCGAACAGGATGAGGATGCAGGTACTAATATTATAGACCATCCATGATAGCACGATTTACTTAATGGCTATGATAGGCAAATCATTACTTGAGATTGGCATGGAGCAAATGAATCATATGGACCGTGTACAAGCTATCGAAGGCATCATTGCATACAAGAAATTCGCGACACAGATCAAGGAATTTCTTCGTGGCTTTGCAGGCTCTGGTGAGGTGGTCACTCAAGACGATATTCGTCGATTCTTTGATGTATGCTGTTTGTGCGTGATTTATCATTATAGCAGAGCCATTAACACCCTTATCATCTTGTAGGAAAGGAATGGTCAACAAGATCCAGAAAATGGTGCATAAGGAAATCAAAACATGTATTCTTCAGTGTAATATCAATATCTAGCAATAAAAACAATCGATTTCAATCATCTGTGATCTTAGGTTATCGATGTGTATGTACCTTTTAAGGGTGCATGATTATTAAGAGAGAGTGGATTGCGCAGTGGTCGGTCTTGAACATTATGCATCCAGGCGGAAGCGCAAATTCATTGTCTTGTCCTTTATCCGTTTATACACTCGTCGACATGCCACCCAAAGAAAAAGGCAAGCAAGCAATGCGTAAAACACCCCTCGAGCTGCTTCTAAAGGGAATGATAAAACAGTGACAAAGAAACGCAAAACGACCCAATCGACACTCGATGCTTACAGAAGGATTGGACCAAAGCCAGGCATCGCGACAGCTTCACGACCACAGCAGCAAGCGAGGGAGAATCAATCGCCCATGGCTATTGATCGTGGAAAGGAAAAGTCAATATCATTCTCTGAGAGCACACGTAAGCGACGAAGCGCTGAGCAGATCACGTTCAAGAATATCAAAGGTAATCATCAATGGATCATCCATCCATTTTGGGCTGCTTGTACTCAGAGCAATGATAATATTAGAGTCGCCTCCCGCATCATCTTCCACCAAACCATCCTTCAACGACGCATGGGCACAATTCCAACAGCTTCTTCGATCAATATTTCACAAACAAGAATTGAAAATGAGTTTACAACAAGCCTATGAGGTAAGAAAGGATTTGCGTAGCCATGGGGATGGTCCATTGATGAAAATGTACTCTAGGAATGCCTTACCTTATGCTACTGTCAAAAGGCGGAGGAGCTCTATAGCAGATTGAAGCAAGAATTCATCATCCATATCAAGCAAGTGGCTGTTTTGTTGCAGGAAAAGTACGGGTAATCAAGGAATTTGAGATCATCAATGAGAGTAACGCTTGCTATAGGATGGAGGCTGATAATGAAAGCTATCTCATGGCATTGAGGGACCAATGGATGAATCTAATGGATGGTCTGGTAAGTTTATTTTATCTCCAACGTGGTTCACGTGTGCTGATAAAAAAAAACTAGGTCCTCATTCGAAATGTATTCATCGAACTCGATCGGCGATACCTGATCCGCAATACCAAGTTTTCATCATTGATGTAAGATTGACACTACCCTCCATCCATTGAATCGGATTTTAATGGTCTCCATGTAGTGAATTTGGCCAACACCTTTTCCGCGATATTGTGATGGAATCAGAGGCACTACGAAGCACAACTGTGGCGAGAATACTGAACATAATACAAAGAGAACGGTATGTGCTTTTCTTTTCGCGACTTGAAATCTCTTTACTCATGCTATGAAACTTTCTCGCATAGGGATGATGAAATGATTGATCGTGAACTTTTGCACGTCTTGACGACCATTTTCTCAAAGTTGGATTTATACGAGGAGTACTTTTTCCCGGCGTTTGCAAAAGAGACAGGGGCCTATTACGGTGAAGAATCAACACGCTTATTGAAGGAGATGGATGTACCCCAGTATTTGAGACATGTCAGCAGGAGGATTGAACAAGAATCGGTGGATCGAATACAAGCCTATTTGGAAAAGACGAGTCGAAGTCCCCTTACACAAATAGTCATTGATCGACTTGTACGAAGACCTTTGGGATTTATATTACAACAAGGTAGGATGCCGTATACAATACGAGGTTGGGCGCTTGGATCTAAGCAAATAATAGGCTTCAACAAAATGATGGATGATGGAGATAAAGAGCCACTTTGCACGTTGTATACATCTGTGTCTGGTACCGAGGATGCTTCTCAATTAAGGATCGCCTTTTCGAATTACATCAAAGTAAGCACATGAGGGGGGGGGGAAGGTAAAGGACCAAGATGGATTAACATGCGATATTGGATATCCAGGCACGAGGAGCTGCACTTGTTCAAGATCCAAAACGAGATCCCACGATGGTTGCTTCTTTGCTAGCATACAAAGCCAAGTTGGATGACATTTGCAAAGATTGTTTCTCGAACGACGGCCAATTCCTGAACAGCCTCAAAGAGAGTTTCGAAGCATTCATCAATAGCCGACCCAAACGTCCAGCCGAGTTGCTTGCAAAATACTTTGATTCCAAAATACGATCCACAGCCAAGGTAGGGTATCATTCTCCATCATCAATGAGAGGTACAAGTCCATTGATTGCCGTATAGAGAAACAGCGATGAGGATTTGGAGAAAACGGTTGACAAGCTTCTACCTCTTTTCCGTTACTTGCAAGGTTGGTTTATGTGGAGTTGTTCGATATCCATTCATGACATGTCTAATTCATTGGTATTAGAAAAGGACATTTTCGAAGCATTTTACAAGCGACATCTTTCAAGACGGTTATTACTTGGCCGTAGTATATCCAATGATATGGAGAAAATGGTCTTGTTGAAGCTGAAAGCAGGTGAGGGTGACGACCCATGGATGATTTCTTCCTCGCAATTTAACCAATTCCAATAGAATGTGGGCCAAATTTCACCAAAAACTTGGAGGCCATGTTCACAGACATTGAAGTCTCTGCAGACTTGCATGTACAATTCAAGGTAAGCATAGGAGCGAAGGAAACAAACAAATCTTTTGATATTAACGGTATTCACCTAGAACGCCGATGGGTATCCAGCTGAAGGTGGTATAGCGTTCCATGTCAATGTGCTTGCCCAAGGAGTATGGCCTTCATATGCATCATCTGAGGTGATATTGCCTGCCAATGTAAGTTAAGTATCCAAACGTACCAAGGGGATTGTGTGGTTCTGATGCATCACTTAGATGATGGCGTATCAAGAAGCATTCGAGAAATTTTACGTTGCTAGCTTTAAAGGACGAAGGCTCATATGGCAAAATTCCCTTTCATCATGCGTGCTCAAAGGTTTCTTTTCATCTGGAACCAAGGAACTTCATGTCAACCTCTTGCAAGCAGCGGTGTTGCTTCTTTTCAACGACAAGCATGTACTCTCTTATGGTGAGATAGCAGCTTCAACCACAATAGGTATGTAGTTGATTGGTTCCTTGCGTGTGGTTCATCCTATTCATCAGGAAGCTTATTGTAGAGGAGAAGGATTTGAAACGCATCTTGGCATCATTAACATCGGGTCAACATCAAGTGCTGCTCAAACAAGGAGATGGCAATGGCGATGAGATATCACTTTCTGATGCATTTGTATATAATGACAACTTCAGCTCGCCCAATGTACGCATCAGGATTGGAGCTCTCCAGCAAGAACAAATTGGTGAAGAACGTAAAGTCACTGAAGCCAAAGTCTTGGTGGATCGACAACATCAGGTATTTAAAAACAAGTCTCAATCCCATCACACTCCTGACACGATATGGTCTCTTTAGCTCGAAGCGGCCATTGTGCGTATCATGAAATCAAAAAAGAGTCTGTCTCATGGTGATCTTATGAAGGAACTTTTTCATCAAGTCAAATTCCCATTGGATGTATGTGTGATTAATTATGTTTGGGAAGATCACCATTGCTTACAAGCTGCTTATTTAGGCAACCGATATCAAAAAGCGGATAGAATCGTTGATGGATAGGTAAGCAAAGCTCGATCGAATTGGATTGATGGAACAAAAGTGTTGATATTCTTTATTTAGGGACTACCTGGATCGTAGTGAAGAAGATAGCAATACCTACATCTACAAATAACCCAACATTGATTGTTTCACATTGAGCCATAGCGAGCACACAGAGCAAGCAATAAAATGAAAGTCAGCTTGACGCATTTTGAACGTTCTTCACACACACACACACACACGCTTAAAGTGTCGAGAGACGACAATGCCAAAGTCGACGACATCCACATCGACTCGTCGAGCTCGTGAATTAGTCACTCAAGCCAACACAGCGAGAGCAAAGGTGGTTATTGATCTCACGGGAGATTCCGATGGCGAACCTAGCAATAGTAATAGCAACCGCCGTATCGCCCACAACACCACTGCCACCACGGCGACAACAACACCGGCTCCTTCTCGGGCAAGACAAGCTATAGCTGATACCCACCATGCCATCAACGCTCTACAACAACGCAAGCGCAAGAAGGCTACTAGAAGACCTCCTATGAGCGCTACAGCCATGAGGGTGATTATCTGCTTTAGCACTTTGCTTGATGATAGGATCAACATTGACATTTCTCTATATAGAATATGCAATCTCGTTTGCAACGAGCTCTCACTCAACGTATGTTTGTATTCAAACGTGAACAAAAAGGCCAATACCATGCCGAATTCCAAGGTAAAATGATGATAGATCGTACATAGCACGATGGCTCTTTATACTAAGATGATGATTCTTTAGTCCTCGGAAGTACCGGAAATGTACGTCTGTCCTTTTCTATTGTCATTGTCTCATGCCAGATGATATAGCTTTATACAGTCAAGATTGCGAACCGTATGACGTGTAGCTGCTACGACTATGTTTCCAGACACCTTCATTGCAAACATATGCTATTGGTTCTTGCCAGAGTGTTCAACTTGACAGGCGAATCCCCTGCCTACGCGTCACTTTCATTAACAGATGAGGTATGTTGTGTTGAATACAATCATGTTTTGAAAACTAAAGCGATACTGGAAATAGGAATTGCATGACATGTTTGCTAATTGCAGTCCAGCACCTGGGGTCATGGTAAGATCACACAATCCAAATGGTGATGATGATGATCCATCACTTACACCAAAATCTTCATAGGTGGATGAAAGGGTCAAAGCAGCTATTGAGAGAAAACTGGATGGTGTACCTGAAGAAGACCGGTATGTGACATAAAAGCATAAAGTGGAATACCACAACTAAACGTGTCCTTACAGCTCGAATCGCAAACCATTGGATGATGCCGATTGTCCCATATGCTATGAAGCTTTAAGCGACTCCCAACCCAATACGATTACCTATTGCAAGACTTGTGGAAACAATGTTCATAAGGTAATGATGATAGAGACAATGTTCCCTACTATTTATCCCATTGACAATGGCTCTTTTATTTTTGAAAGGGTTGCTTTACGCAATGGAGTAACCAATTATCACGACAAGGATTGGAGATCAGCTGTGTATTCTGTCGAACTACGTGGGAAGATCCTAATGCTAAGAGAAAGGCGAAAACAAGTGAAGGTTATGCCAACTTTGCTGATGAAGCAGGTATATCCACGGTGCGAGGTAAGCTAAGCTCTTTATTTTGTCTCATGATGTGAATGATGTTATGATTAACGCATCCATTAGATACATCCACTTACCGCAGCAGTGCATTCTGGGAGGGAGGATACAGGCGTCGACGACGACAATACCCTGGTGAACGTCGCCCTCCTCCTCCAGATGATTACGAAGGTGATATCGCCGATTGGTACGGTGATCCGGCTTATTATTACTTGTAAAGTTGATACCACTCAATAGCAGCGTTGCATTCATTATCTGTATAAAAACGGCTACTTTATTGAATTTTGTGGTGTTTGGGGGCAGGCACATGATTACTGTGGAGTCTGTAATATCATTGACATTGGGAGTTTCTGTCACCCTCTTCTTTTCCTCTCATACCACAATGCCAGTTACTCGATCCCAAACAGCTGCACAAATACGATCGATTCAACAAAGCCTTCAAGAGAGCAATGCAAATGACAACACCCAACAACAACAACAACAACAACAACAACAACAACAACAACAACAACAACAACAACAACAACAACAACAACAACAACAACAACAACAACAACAACAACAACAACAACAACAACAACAACAACAACAACAACAACAACAACAACAACAACAACAACAACAACAACAACAACAACAACAACAACAACAACAACAACAACGCAATGAGTCCACTGCTGCTGCGGAGGAGGAAGCGAATGCAACCATTGCTGCTGCGCCAGTAGCTGCTACAAGAAGCTCCAATGCCGAACGTCATAAAAGAAAGAAACGACAATCAGCTACTGATCCTGGTACCAAGGGACCTGCCAACACGCCCAAGCGATCCAAACTTCAACCATCAGTCAGAGCAGAGGCAGTATGATAAAATGAATCTCTCTCTTTGGCACTTTGATCTAATACATTCTGAACATGATGTAGGTACAAGAACGACTTGATCGCGCACTTACTCAACGCATGTACGTCGTGAGCCGCGTACAAAAAAATGACCATCATATCGAATTCCACGGTAAGCTTTTATCTATGCTTCTCTTTTTGCATGATTCAGATCACTCATATCGATCTTCCGACATTCTCCCCGATGGTAGTGCTTGGTAGCACAGGAAATGTAAGTATCAGAAAAAGGTAGTAATGGTGGTAGGGTATATGCCTAATGGACTCTTTTTCATTAGTACTATACCGTCCATATCACCAACAAAATGAAGTGCGACTGCTACGACCATCGTTACCGACGTCTCCATTGCAAACATTTGTTGCTCGTTCTCGCCAGGGTGTTTCATGTCGAAAGGGGTTCCCCAGCCTACGCAAAGCTCTCCCTCACTGATGAGGTAAGTTGGGAACCATCTTGATTCAAGTTTTGAAATCTTATGGGAGTATGTGTTGTGTTTTTCAGGAACTCCAAGCCGTGTTTGCAAATTGTTTGCCTGACCCTACAGTAATGGTAAATGCTGAGCAATGTCTTGTCCCCCTATCATCATTCCACCGCTTATATGCGATGTTATCTTTTATAGGTGGACGATGAAGTAAAGGCATTGATTGACAGCAAGATTAGTGGTCAACCGGTGAAAGATGATGAAGCAAGGTTTGTATCATTTGCTTAACTAGAAGAAGGATTTGGTTGATTTAACTTTTTTGTTATTCTAGCTTGATCCGGAAGAGCCTCAAAGATGATCCTGATTGCCCTATTTGCTATGAAACTCTCACAGAAGACCAAATTGCCGCTATTACGTTTTGCAAGGTTTGCGGAAATAACGTGCACAAGGTACCCATCGACTCCATAGGTAAGGGAAGCTCTTTTAAGCATCATACTAATGGTTGTGAAAAGGACTGCTTTCAACAATGGCGCCAACAACTTACCAAACATGGCCAAACCGTAACATGCGTATTCTGCCGCAGTCCTTGGAAAATACCAAAACCTATTACCAAACCCAAAAAATCCTCACAAGGCTTCGCCAACTTTGCACATGATTCTGGTTTGTTATTTGATATCGAAGGTAACTCTCCTATACATAACTGGATAACGAGCTGTGCTTTTTTTTTTATTGACTGTTGTTCTACTGCTACTTGTAGAAGAACTTCAACAAGAATCATCAACAACAACATCTTAAATACCAACGGCTACTCCTCCTCATGAAGATCCCAATTGCTATTACCAATTCCATTATACATATCATTTGCATCTCTCTACTTGTACAAAAAAGAATCCAAAAGCTTGCATATCTGTATTCAAAATAAATGACAAAGCATAAAGTCACGTGAATGGATGATGTGCGGCGAGTAAAAAAAAAAGATTGGTCGGGGATGGAAGGGAGAGTATGCAGGCCCTGACAGCAGCTTACTGGGTGGTTGGTTGTAGCTTATCTTCTTACTCCATGAACGACAGCGTGTCGATATTAGTAGCCGTTGTCCTCATCTTGGTAGCTCTTCGGTGGATGTTGGGTAAATACCTTGTACAAGCACATGGCCTTGATGCTTATTATCGGATGGTATAGGTGGCTCTCAACAATTACCAGAACAACAAGGCAATGCTCGACGCGGTTCACCACGACGACCTCAACATCGGGCAACGCCCCAGATGGTACTACTCTCATTACGACTTTGGACAAAGCCAAGTATACTCAATAAGTATTTTTAGATTGAAATGGTGCGCAACGTCTTCCCCAATATCCCCACTGCTGCCATTGTCGCCGATCTGCAACGCACTGGCAACGTAGAACGCACTATAGATAATGCACTTCGCGACGGCGGCTTACCACTTGTATGTATCAGCCATGTATAGCAGCATCATTGATCTAACAGGTTGCGCCCATAGCCTCCTCCTCCTACACCTCCTCCTACGACCAACAACAACAGCAATGAAGCCAGCTCAAGTTCATCCAATGCTCAAAGCAGCTCCCACTTTTCGAATTTGGTGCAGCGTTATCATCTTGAGAAAGCTGATGGAAGCCAGGAGCTTGCTGAACCGGAAAAGGTATGGGGAACCACTGCGGATAAGCGACAAGAGGTATTACGAAAGAGGAAAGAGTTCATGGTGCTTCAAGCAAGAAGGTAATGTTCATTTGGATGAGAGAGAGAGATGGTTTATATGATATTAACAAGCAAGGAATAGGAAAATGATGGAAAAGCAGAAGGAAAAAGAACAACAAAAGACATCTTCACCGACTACTACTATGGCTACGGCTACAGAGGAGGAGGAGGAGGAGAAATCAGAGAATCCAACCTATGATGAGATGTCGGTGGAACAATTGAATGCCTTGTCTCCAGAAGAACGTCGTCAACAATTACTCGATGCTTTGGAACGAAGAAATGTCAATTCATAGTAATACATACATATACACAATGATACATTTTGTTTGTAATGGTATTGGGATTAAAGAAGAGAGCATAATCCAATGAGAGGGGCACAAGTGCATGAAAGCGTCCAAAAGCGGGGTTAAATGAATTACAGACATCAGTGGGATGGAAGATGGTGTATGTGTGTTGGTGTTTCACATGGAACCAAAGCGAAGACAGAGCTCCACTTGTAGCAGCAGCGAAGAACTATTCGAGTTCGTTGACTATACTTCAGTGTCCAACTTTGAGCGTCTCAGCACCGCCATTGCTGAAATCTTTGCTTCGTGGGGTATCAAGGACGGCAATCACGGCATCTTTAACGACACTCGATCCAGCAACAACAACAACGACGACACCACCACTTCCTCGCGTAGTGAATTACTCTCCATTGGCGATGAGACCTACAATCTGACCTACTCATATCATCCGTCTATATCTCGACAACGCTATGATACCCATCATGACTCTTTGGCTTATGCGGATTTTTGCCATATGGGCCAAGATATCCACCCGCTACATCGTTCAACTGGGCTCGATAGACTCTTTGTATTGACACCCGCTCAAGATTCACTAAAGACAAGGCTCTTTTCGCAAGCGAGATCCACAGTGGAATTGCCCCAAGCTAAGATACTCTTATCAGCATGTGCCCTCGCTATTCAAGAAGTGAAATGCACCGTACCCGTCTTTGTGCCAGTGGGTCAGGAACGACAAGGAATGTATATTGGATACCTCTTGCACACCATCGATCCCCATGACTCCTTGTACAATATGGAATTTCGATTCAATACATCCGTTACCTATCCACTTTCATCACAACACATTCGATTGGATGGCTTGTATCAGCTATTTGCACAAAAAATGGATACCTTTTACGAAGATTGTGGTAAGAAAGCATGAGCGTTTATGGTCATCATCCACTTGACTGATCATGCATGATATGATGATCATTAGGTGTCCTTGCTCCTACAGAGGATGAGAGGGAATGCCATGTAGCAGGCGCATTCACATACACTTGCAAAAACTGGTTTGATGAGAATTGGAAGACATTGGATGGATGGACCAATACGACAACCCCTTCTCTCCCATTTGGGTCCTACAATGATCCACTCAGAGGATTATCTCTCAAGACGCTATTTCCACTTGCACCCCAATCCACCTATCTCGACACCACTGTTCAAAGCAACATGAATTTGATCACATCACAACATTGGTTCTTGTCATGCGAAAGTGCTCCTCCTTCACAACAACGATCGTTTTTATCAATGCTTTTGGACAATCTGATATCGTCATGGATACGGGATCCTGGCAACCATGATTATCTTCAACCTTATGATGCAAGCAATCAAAGTGGTGGTGATGATCTACGACGAGGCGAGAGTGGACTTGTACGTAATTTATTCCATGCTATGGGTCCTGGACGCAAAGAAAGAGGCGGTACCAGCAGCAGCAGCAACAACAAGAACAACAACAACGTCAACAAAAGGAATTCAGTATCCGGAACAAGGACCGATTCGATCATGGATATCCTTGAAGCCATCTTTGAGCAGAATGGAAAGCATGAAACACAACAAAGTGGTGACCATGTGGATGAAAAACGGCAACTCTATTCAGCGAGCGCACTTGGTCTACGCTTACAACATGGGACATCTGTACCCTACAAGTCATTCTTTTGGAATTTGCTCTTTTACGCTTTGCATGTTTTATCGGATCCTGCAAGAACACCAGGCACCTCACCCATTGAATTACTCAGAAGTTTATGGGCTCAAGTATTACGTCAACTTCGCTCACACTGGGAACATGCGACGCCCATCCCCAATGTGGATACTTCACTCTATGGATCGGACAATGACAATGACGTATGTGGGGTTGATCTAAGATACAATTTGGTATGTTATCCTTATCAACGGGAGAAATCAATGAGGTTTATTAAAGTCATGTTTCTAGCTTCATCAAAAACTCGCCATGATCAATTGTTGTATTGAACGATGCATACGTGACGGCATTAGCAAGGCCACTTCCGACACGCCGACGATCCCCAAACGACAACATGTATCCAAGCTGTTTGATGATCTTGAGCGTCCAGAACAATCGGCGTCCGATAGCGCCTTAGATAAATTCAACTTGTTTTTGGAGAAACTCGTGGATCCTGATGATAATGAAACGTCATCCTCTACACCTACTGAGGTAAGCAAATACAACTATCCCATCCATACAATGCCCATTCCAATTGATTTTTTTTCTTTCAAGAGTACACATAAAGGGATGAGTCATGACGATGGAGAGATGAGTGATGGCGATATGTTTTTCGATCCATTGGAAGATTTCGTGGATGATGATGATGACATTCCTCCCAAATCAGCGTCTCGCAAATCCACGCCCATCACTACTGTGTCGGATAAGACGGCGGCATCGCATTCCTCATCCTTATCAGATGTCTCTGAAGTGGCCCATCCTCGTTCCATGTCTGAATCATTTGTCCGCCTAAATTACTCTGATTCAACACGACGACCGCACTTGGAGAAAGCAAGTTCAAATGATCACTTGTACCAAATCACCGATCCTGATGCATCCGAAGGTTGTAAACACCAACATCCAACATTGAAACTTTTAAAGACAAATGAGCCCATGTGGATTCCAGAGACGCAGGTAAGGTGAATGAATGGGATTAGCAGCCCTCTCTACATATCATCTAACGAATGCCCTCTACAAGGACGGTGGATTTATGACGGAAGATATGGTCAAGCAGCAAGCAGATGTATTTGAACGTTTGGGAACATCCGAAGATGCCACACAGATGCGTGCAAAATTACAATCAGCTCAGCTGTATTCAGGTAAGCGTGTGGGTTTTACTTTTGATCTACTTGATGATTGACTTTATGTATTACAAGATATGCAAGCATTCAAGGCAGCCAATCCACATGCTATATTGGAAGATTTTGTTCGATGGCATTCTCCCAAAGATTGGATACAAGATGCTGAGGATGAACAAAAAGGACAACTAAGTGCTCGTATGGCTGATCCAAGGAACATATGGCAAGAATTGTGGAAGGTAAAGCTCCATGATGGGACGTTGCGTCGACTTTGATGATCTAATAAAACAACTCTTAGAGCTCTCCACGGATACCTGCATCTCGACAAAAACCATTGTTTGATGTGTACGCTGAAGGTGAAAAGGTAGGTGTGTATACTCGTCGTGGATGAGAAAGCTAACGACGCATCCATACCATAGGCACTTCATTACTTAGAGACGCTGTCCATTCATGAAGTCTTTGGCATGTACGTTGTATTATCGCTTGTTTTTGATCATGGGATGAGATAATAATCGACATTTAGGCTTCTACCAACGGTGGCATTGATTGCCTATGATACCTTGGTCTCGCACCCTGTTGCTCGACGTGTGCATACAGTTGTTCAAGGCATGCAAGAATTAGGATCCATCACGGTAGAATTTCCATGGCATCAACTAAGGTAAGATGAATGGGTTATTTTCTAGTATCAAATCTGATGGCTTTTATAGGATCGGTAAATGTTCAGTGACCACCCTCCTCTCGAGTATTCGAAAGCAAGAGTCTCTCATGTGTAACGCCATTTCGCTTTTACGCAAAGTAAGTTGTAACATCCATCACTCTATCGTTAATTCTAATACATGGGTGGTTTTAGCTTCCTCATCAGGATGAATTGGTCAATCGCCTATTGACTGAACAAGAGACTGAGATTCATCAAGGATCCGAGCGTGACACTGTGCTTGATTTATTCTGTGCTGAACGTAAGAGTACATCATGGAGGGGGATAAAAAGACAAGTGACTAATAACACTATTATCCAATAGAACCATCAAGCCGTGAATATGTATTATACAGTAATTGCCCAGGTGCAGGACACAACGACCAAATCTTTCCTATGCGTCAATATGCCCTGATAAAAGATAATGAATTACGTGTGGTGGATATGTATCCTTCATGCCCACAATAATAAAGGGTGATCGGGGACTCTTTTTTTACGCCTCCTCTCCTCCTCCTCTCATTTCCAATGCCTATCAGCCCACCTTTGTTTCCTGCACACAAACTTTTAGGTTGTTCGCCTGACGATCCTTCCATTCAAGCATGGCTGCACACTGTGATTCCAACCGACCATCAACCACTTTCAGAACTCCTCGTGAAACGCTTTTCTGATTGCACTTATTACTCCTACAAATCGCTCGGGATCAGCTTTTGCTTTGTACAGAAAAAGGACGACGTCGACAAGTCGCTTGTATTGGACAGCATTGATATCTACAATGGAAAAACACGGGATGGATTTCAGCCTTTTGTCGGCAACGCGTACCCATTTGACTTTACAAAGGATACACGAGGACATGAGATTGTTAGTCAGTTGGGTGAACCTGATCGTAAAGGAGGAGGCGGCAAGACCCATTTACCATGCTGGATAGAATACAAGTTCAATGATCAAGATGGTGGTGGTGGCCTTTTTATTCAATTACATGGTGTAGAATGGGAAGATCGAGATATGGGATGGACAAGTTTAAGTTTGTTTGCCTAGCTCTAGTAGTAGTGGTAGTAGTAAAAGTATGTGTAAATAAACTCTGCATGATTTGCATGACGCGTAACTATATAAAAAGTGTATATGTTATCTCCCACGTTTCTTTTCTTTCTTTCTCTTTACCTTTTATCAATCAAGAAAAATGACGAGGTAAACGTTTTCCCTATCCAAGAAAACATGTACACATGTACTTACACCAAAGTCTAGAGACAATGTGATTGTCGATGTGCATACCCATATCTATCTACCCGAGTACCTTGATATGTTACGAGAACGGTCTCAAGTGCCACGTATTCTTCCTCCATTACAAGAAGGCCAAGACGAGCGGTTGGTGATCCTTCCAGATGAGGACAAGGGTGTAACGACCAAGCATGGACGACCTGTTGGACCTGCTTATTATGATGTGCGTGAGAAGCTTGCGTTTATGGAACAACATGACATTGATATTTCGGTGGTGAGCCTGGCGAATCCATGGCTTGATTTCTTACCTGATACTAAGGAGACCGCCCACTGTGCTCGTCGATTGAATGAAGCCATGGAGACCTATTGTCAACAAGGAAACGCTAAACGACAACTTTTTGGGATGGCAACGTTACCCTTATCATCGATTGATGCATCCATTGCGGAGGTTGAGTACGTGGCGACACACTTGCCCCATCTTCGAGGCGTGATTATGGGCACAGCTGGATGTCAAGGACGTGGATTAGATGACCCAGCGTTGCTACCTCTCTATGAAGTCTTGGCACGTCATCAATTGGTGATCTTCCTTCATCCTCATTATGGCGTGAATCTTCCATCAAGTAACCATCACAATAATGGCCATGCAGTTGCCCTTGCATTAGGTTTTCCATTTGAAACCACGTATGCAGTGACCCAATTGATTTTAGCGGGCGTCCTGGACAAGGTACCTAATCTCAAGATCCTTCTTGCCCATGCGGGTGGCACACTCCCTTTCTTGGCAGGCCGACTTGATTCGTGTGTAGCGCATGATCCAGCAGTAGCCAACCGATTACAACATCCACCTTCCCACTATCTCAAAATGTTGTATTATGATGCCGTCATTTATCATTCAACAGGCGTCAAAGCAGCGGCTGATCTTGCAGGTACAGATCGACTTTTATTTGGTACAGATCATCCCTTCTTCCCTCCCCTTGAGAAAAGCAAGTCATCTCGATGGATGTCGGTCGATAGTAATTTGGAGGCTATACGACATGCAGGATTGGATCAAGAAAAAGTCACTGATATCATGGGTAGAAATGCATTGAAACTCTTTGGTATTATTCAATAAAACAAAAAGGTTGTTGTTGGCTACCTAATGAATGGGTTGGTATGCATATTCTGGAGGACTGAGGATGGCGACAAGAGCAAGAATAGCAGCTAGAAAGATACTAAGACACCAACTAATGGTACCAAGGATAAAGGACATGTTGTATCGAGTGCCAACGTAGAATGTAGCGCTGGTATTGAATAAATAGGCCATGATGCCCATTGCGAACGCTTGTGGTAATGCATGAAGTACAAAGAGTCCAGAGAGAGTCATCCATGCTCTTGCTCGCTTTCGTCGATTGCTGCACATGACACCAAGTAACGCTACAATCGTTAATCCGCCAAGGATAGCTGCAAGGACCATGCCTGCTGCTGCCGCTCGCCTAGAATAGGTGATCCACCATTTAATCATCCCTCCTATACAATACGAATAGATCTCTCTTACCATAATTCACAAAAGCCATCTATAAAACTAGAGACATGAGTATAAAAAGGATTCTACTCGTCTTGTAAACCATATTTTTACCTTCGCTACAGTCTCCTTGATCGTCGGATGGAAATGGCCGACAATCCCGCGTAAAGCTATACGAACCAGCAGCATTAAAAATCGAGCAATAGGCCATAAACGTAGACGTTACCTTCTACAAAGCCTAAAGAGACCATAATCCGTTTCCATATACAGAGGCATGGGTGCAACAAACGACAACCTATACGATATTGGAATAAGCTTGGCATTCTGTGTGTTTGCTGTCATGACCGTTTGTACCATTTGGGTATCACTGTGGCAGTCAATGTCAGAGCGTAATTGCATAGAAACACGAAAAAGGTGATCACGTAGGCTAATAGTGAAACTGCCATTGTTGTGTTGTATTGTGTGTGTTGTATGTGTGAGTGTGGTGTTGTAAGTGGTGAGAAAGGTTGAAAAGAGTCAAGAAAAAGCGGAGAAAGAGACAAGGACACACGACAGCATGGATTTTGAGTGTCTCACGTGAGAGATCTTTTTTTACTTCCAAGAGTACTAAAATTGAGGGCTATTTTTGTGATGAAGGTGGTGGTGGTCTTAAGCCTAATCGTGTCTTTTTTCGCCCAGGACAAGTGGATTGTGAAGTAGATTGCTCAAGTCCTTTGGATACATCAAATAACGATGGCTGTTGTCCTCGAGATCGCCTGCTGAGACCATATCGATGTGGACGTAAAGAGGAGGAGGATGAGGAATAGGAGGGGGATGTTGATGTTGTTGGTATCGTATGAATAATGGGGTGATCGATTGTCTTTTTGGCAAAAGGTGAAGGTGTGAATGCGAGTGATGTTGGATATTGACGAGAAGACATTGGGCTGTTGTTGTTGCTGGAAAAGCTCTTTGCAGTCGATAAAGAAGACATGGATGAGAAAATATCATCTTCAGTACTCTTTCGTCGTAGCGTGTTATCTTTATCATAGAAAAAAAAGATGAGTTGTCTCCTTTTTGAATTACCACACACTCACACACATCCAGCGACACACTCACCTTGATGATTGTTCAACATGGGTATAAAGGATAATGATGATGGTGATAAGGGTGAATTGTTTGTTGTCACTGAAAAGAATCGTTGCAATGGTTGTTGTGATAGCTTCTTCCTGGATGATTGATCTCCTTCCTCTTCCTCTTCCAAATCAGAAAGATTCAAACTACCACTGTTGGGTGAACATGCGATCCCTTGGATATGATTGTTTTGCTGTTGTTGTTGGTGGTGATTGATATTGATATCGTTAGTGTCCTCATCGTCAAAAAGATCATCGTCGTCAAAAGAATCAAAAAGCGATGTTGGTGGAGGTGTTGATGTCTTGGTTTGCAAAAGTGGAGTGGGTTGTTGCATTGCTGGTTGATCATGTTTGCTCGTGGTTGAATGAATAGGATTACAAGGAACAGCATTAACTTCATCATCGTTGTGTGTGGAAGGGCTGGTTGGATTATAAGGAATGGTTGAAGCATCGTCGTCTTGTTCTTCACGTGGTGTGCTGTTTGGGCTATACTGGACTGTGTCAGCATCATCATCCTCTCGATCAGGAACAGCAGGTGGTGTTGGTGTTGATACTGATGCTGGTGCTGTATGACTTTTTTTGCTGTTACATGGATCTCCCTCATCGCTTAATAGATCATCGATGCTTTGTCGCGAATGGGAGCTGTGGGCATGGTTCTTTGTTTCTGATAATGATATTCGTTGTTGTTGTTGTTGTGATCCATCATTGCCCGAGTCAAATAAAGAAGATCCATGGGATGATTGATTGTCACATGCACCTCGACTACTGCCATGATTGTTGTTGCTGTTGTTGTTGTTGTCATTCACACCTGATTGTGGAGCATCAAAAACGTCGTTTTCTTCATCATGGACACCAGGGGATGACAAGGTATGATTGGAGGGTTGGTCATGGTCGCATCCTATTGATGCTGATAAGTAAAAAGTGAACTCTGTATAATGAATCATCCCTATAGTTACGTTGGACATGATCTTCCAACCAGCTATGCAAGCGTTGACGGTGTTCTATCCTTGACGATGACCCTGATCGAAGCAAAACTGAACGAGGCTACTCCATGGGATAAGAATGAATGCGTGCACCCCATGACACTGGTTCCTCCTATCCATTAAGCAAATACCTCTGGTGGAATTACTGACGCGTCAAGAGGAGGTTCATTCGATGGCTCCATTGGAAGAGTGAGAGAGTAGTGTGTGTGTGTGTGTGTGCGTATGTGCAAAAGAGGAGAGAAACAAAGACCAGCTGAGTTTTTTCTTCCACAAGTGTAAGTAGTAGAAGGGAAGTAAGCAAGTTGGATGTTTATTGATTGTCTTTTGCAGTGCCATTATTATTATTGGATGGATTATGAGTAGCTTCCCCTTCCTGTTGATCATTCGTTTGCGATAAACGATCCAATGCTGCAGTACATAATTGGGATAACAAGTTGAGCTTGGAAGTCTCATCATCTTGATCACCATCGGATGTCGTTATGGAGGATGCTGTGGTAGAACTTTGTTGTTGTGGATGATTGTCTTTGCCATTCTCTGGTGCTGCTGCTGTTGCTGCTGGTTGCTGATAGTAGTAAGAGGATGATGGATGATACATGTTGGAGGTTGATCCGGGTGATATCATCGACATGACAGCTTGATAAGACAACATGTGATTGTATCCTGGATGCATCGTCGGTGGATTTGTATAAGGTGCCATGAATTGAGATGGGGCAGGTTGGCCATTCAATGCTTCCTGGAAAGCCATAGTTGCATAAGGTGTATACTGCGCCATGGGTGGATGACTCGAATAAGATGATCCAACTGGGAGATCATATCCTGTGGATGATCCACCCTCATCCCCTAACAATGACACACACACAAAACATGTCAACACATAGTCCACCTTTATTACCACTCCCAAGCCGCTTATCCTTACCACGTTTCTTATAAGGTCCTCGTTTGACACCCTTTCTCCTCTCCTTTCGCATCGAATTCACACATGTATCTTGCAAGTTATATCGGATACAGCGCTGACAGGGTCGTCCATCATCACACTTTTTACATGCTTTTTGGCAGTTGACTAGTATAGGATAATCAATCAGTACTTGAACCCTTTTTCTTCTTCCTTTCTTTCCCAAACTTACCACAAGCATTCTTTACTTGTTTTCGTTTTGGTCTTCCTTGTGCATTCAAATCGTCAGCTCGGGTGGTTGTTGTCGTCTGCTGCTGCTCAAGCCCACTGATGTTGATAGGAATTCGTAATACGGCTTGTCCATTCCCGGGTGTTCTTGTATTATTATCGTTCATGGTGGATGACGGCAATGGTTGCTTATCAGAGTTTGGCTGCATAAAGAACCTGAAATAATCACGGTGGCGTAAGATCAATGTTGTTGTTCGGCATAAGACAACTTGTCTGAGCTCACTTCTTTTTTTTTCTTATTCAGCAAAAGGAAAGGACAATGGGCGTTATTGAATGAACCAATCTCAGCACCAAGCTCGACGCAATGCGATCAAGTGAATAGAACAAACGACGATCAAGTGTTGCTACTTGTTTCCGCGAAAGGTGATGTCTCCGTGCGTGATTCTCAAGCAAGAAGAAGGGAAAAAAGAGAGAGAGAAACAATATAAGTGTACAAGATACATAAATTTCCAACCCCGGTGGAACCTGCCCGCTTGCTGTGGCTGTCTCTTTAAATCACGTGTATACGCTTTTCACCTTGACCCACTACAATGAAATTTACCATAATAAATGTGCCATTTCTTTTTGAATAACATTACTAAACATATGGGCAATTGCATTGATACATAGAATACATAACAACGCATACAATGAGGTTCACTTACATGGAAGATAGCTGTAACCAAGCTTGCTCTACTCCGCCCCAATTGTAGTACGTTTGAAATTGAGACACAATGGCCCTCCCAATCAACATAGTAAATCTTTATTCATCTTCCATAACCTCTCCGCTGCCGTATACAATTTCTCCCGTTGCTCTAGGATGACCTTTTGTATATGGAAATTTTGTGGCCTATCATGTAAATCGAGATTCAGGAATCAGAACCGAGCTTAGCTCAGTTGGTAGAGCGGAAGACTGTAGTGTACTGCCATCTTTAGGTCGCTAGTTCGAATCTGGCAGCTCGGATAACATGATCACAACAACCAGCTTCAATAGCTGGAATCATCTTTTTGTTTTCGGATTTTGGTGGATCACGTTGTCGTAGGTCATGTGACCACGTGACCTAGCTTTTGCTCGTTCCTTCTAAGACGCGCTGCTTTTGATACAACCGTTCTTCTGAAGCCCTTTACTGGCATCAACATCGTTATGAAATCACCATTGAACATATATATCGTGAACATCCTTAGCAATAAAGATCATCACTTATATTTAGCAACGCAAAAGTTATATCGTTATTTTTGATCTACAATCAATACGATAACGACAATTGGTAGCTGATGACTTTTAATCATCCATCGCCTTTGAACAATCGAACTTTCAAAATATCAGACCCAATCCCGGAACTATTGAATTATCTGACGACGAATCTCAAGTTACAAATCGACAACCGTTGTGCAGGCGTTATTGACGAAACAACGACAAGGACAAAATTGGCGTTCGAGTTAACAAGGACAAGACGGATACGGCTATTTTGACTGCATTGACCCAACTGTAGAACCAGGAAACCAAAAGAGGCCCAATGTTTAGACCCAAGCTACGAGAACCGGACACTTACACCATGGAACAAGAACCCTGCTACGAAGCTGGTTACGATCTGTCTAACGTGCATGTGATGTGACTGGAATGGATGAAGTTGACCGAGTCAATATACATCAATCTTGCTGAGGAAGTACTGGCCATGGTGGCGGCACAAGAAATTAATTGGACATGATGCAAGCACATGGATTAGTTCTGGCTGGTACTCCAGACATTCGACCTCGCAAGGCTCTTGGCTCAGACCGCACGTGATCGATTGGCTTCCATTGACACAAACTGGCACCGTTGAAGAATATACGAACAACTTCCGCCTTTGGCTCGAAAATTCCGCCATGACTGATGGCTTTGGGATACGTTTGTACGAAGTTGGCTTTGACGTTCAAGTCTATCTTACCTGATGTTCGACCACTTCACTCTGGCGGAAAATCGTTGCCTACGAAGGCCATGTCATCGTTACACCAAATGCTGCCGACCGGGCCAGCCGGGCTGAACCTCCACGACAACCATCTCGGGATGTTGAATACCTGGATTTGAATTAACGGCTAAACAAAGATATCGACGTAATGATTGGCGCACACCAGAACCTTCAGTCGTCGTGACAACCGCATGTGATAAAGAACCACCTCGTTGCTACAATTGTGGAGGCCTTGGTCATCTACAACGTTCTTGCCCATCAACTTACCTGGTGAATGGCGTTATCGACCTGCTTCTCAACGACCTGGCAACAAACAGCATTTAAAAGGCAAAGAGCGCGACGTATGTAAAAGGAGTCATCGTCGCGCCACAAACATCAATCAACCGGCATCACCGGAATGCAACCACCACTATCAACAGTACCTGAAGGCCGGCTCATTTAGTCACCGGAGGAACCCGATTTTGGAAATGTCAACCCGACACCTGAGCTAGATTTGGATGTCAATCATTTGAAGGAACTCAACGCAATAAAGGAATCTGATTTGCCCTTGTATTCAATGGTCTGCAATGGAACACCTGTTACTGTTTTGCTCGATACTGGTGCTAGTACATCTTACATTTCACCACGTATTTGCAAGCACATGACGCATCACTTGGTCCAAGGACGAGAGGTTGAAACAGCTGGTGGACATACTATGGCGATCAAGTCACTCGTATCTTTTGATCTTTCAATGGCTGACGGCTACACCCATCCATGGAAGGCGTATGTGTTTGATACCAAATTTGACATCATCCTTGGCAGAGATTGGTTCAAGCATGTACAACCGATACCAGATTGGCGACACGACACCTGGCAGATCAAACAAGGCAACCACACCCATATCTTGACTCCAAGTCGCAAACGGCAGATTCCTGATTTGGCTTATCTTCTCAGTCATCGCGAGATGCAACGATTGTCACGCACCAAGGCTATCAGCGAGATGTATTTGTTCTATACGGCTGACAAGATCGACAAATACGATGGCACCTTTGATACTTTGGTTCATGAATACGCTGATGTCTTCCGAAACGAACTACCAGGCTTACCTCCAGATCGCATTATTTATCGAGGCATTGAAGATGTACAAACCATCAATCGGCATCCTTTCAAGATGAGTCCTCTCGAGCTGGATGAATTACGGCGTCAATTGGCTGAACTCCAAACCTTGGGATTGATTGAACCAAGTAACTCTCCATGGGGTGCACCAGTTCTGTTTGTCCGCAAGAAAGATGGTTCAATGAGACTCTGTATCGATTATCGCGCTCTCAATGCAGTGACACGTCGCAATGCCCATCCCTTACCACGAATTGATGAATGTCTCGAACGTCTTGTAAAACGATTTTTCTCCAGCATCGACCTCAAGAGTGGTTACCATCAAGTACGAATCCGACCTGAAGATGTTCCAAAAACGGCCTTCAACACAAGATACGGTGCATGGCAATGAAAGTGCTCCCTTTGATTGACGAATGCTCCACCTACTTTCCAAAAGATGATGAATTCAATCCTTGGTGATTTCCTCGACAAGTTTGCCCTGGTTTACCTGACGACATCTCAGCCTTCAGCCGTACCAAAGAAGACCATTTCAAGCATGTTCGATTGGTGCTGGATCGTTTGCGAGCCCATAAGCTATACGCCAATCTCAAGAAGTGCGAGTTCAACAAGATTTAATTGGAGTTTGTCGGCTTCCCGCGAGTGCTCAAGGTATCCTTATTATCCAAGTCCAAGGTCAAGGCGATCTAAGAGGCCCATTCCCACCAATGTTCAAGAGGTGCGGCAGTTTATCGGTTTGAAGCGTCTCATTATAGGCGATCTATTCGTGGCTTCTCAACGATTGCTGCACCACTCACGGACTTGACAAAGGGAAGTGGGAGCAAAAGACGCGTTTGATTGAATGACACCTGAGTGTCAATCGGCATTCGAAGAGATTCAGTCACGCATGATTCAAGCACCCACCTTGGTACCACCCAATGCAGCAAGGCCCTTTGTGATCGAAACGGATGCATCCGATTTTGGTGTTGGCGCTGTTCTTTTGCAAGAAGGTGACGATGGTGAATTGCATCCCTTGGCTTTGAATCCAAGAAGCTTTCGTCAGCGGAAGCGCAATTATCCCGCACAAGAAAGAGAGCTGCTGGGTATCTTGCATGCGTTACGTTCTTGGAGATGTTTCATTGAAGGTCGCTCTGGTTGAAGGGGTGTGTACGGATCATCATCCACTCAAGTATTTCAGGTCTCAACGCAAGCCCACACCTCGTTTGACTCGATGGATTGCTGGAAATGGAGCTGGGAGGATCCCGATATCCAATACAAGCCTGGCAAAGACAATCATGTACCTGATATCCTTTCTCGACGTGATGGTGCTCATTGTCTTACCAATGAATCGGATATGGAGCCTGAGTATCTTTATGCAACACGCGCAATTCAAGAATCCGATTGGCCAAAGTTCTACTTGCGTCCCGAAGAAAAGTGGCCATCATCTTATGCTGATTTGTTACGCAAGCATCGTGAACAATTTGTGGTGCGTAATGATATGGTTTTTCGCAAGGTCAAGGTGAACAACACTCTTCAAGAAGTCCGCTTTGCAATGTTCTCTCGGCGTGCTGACATTGTACAAGAAATCCACAAGGCTTTTGGACACCCTGGAATGACCACTATGCAGGATTTGGTGCGTAAACGTTGGTGGTGGCCCAACATGAAACAAGACATTCAAGAATGGATTGCCCAATGTTCACAATGTCAATTGGCTGCTGGTGCTGACCGCAATAATCATCATGCACCTATGCATTTGACCGAAATCCCGCCTGCTTTTTCTCGTTGGCATTTGACTTTATTGAGAATTACCTACTACCACAAGTGGTAATCGTTGGATACTCGTTGCTGTTGACTACACGACAAATTGGCCTATTGCTCGTGCTGTTCCTGATGCAACCAGTGAAGCCATTGCCAAGTTCATTCACGAGGAAATTGTTATGCGTTTTGGCTGTCCTGATGAAATCGTAACCGATCGTGGCGCTAATTTTATGGGCAAGTTCTTGGATTACTACCTTGGTCGACTTAAAGCCAAACACAACTTGACTTCGGCTTTCCATCCTCGTTCAAATGGCAAGGTTGAACGTACCAATGGGATACTCAAATCCATGTTACGGGCATGTGCATGGTGAAATACATCGCTGGGATGATTTTCTTGACACCGCTTTGTTTGCATGCCGCATTCGCAAACATCGAACGACACAAATGAGTCCATTTTTTCATGGTGTATGGTCAAGACCCTGGGGGTTACCTGGTGATCCATTGCGTCCTCTTATTACTGCTGATGAACCACAAGATGATCCCCAAGCACATGTTTCAAGTCGACTCCCCACACTTCGTTCCTTACGTGATGCTCGTGCTCAAGCTATTACAAGGATGCAAAAGGATCGTGAAAAAGACAAGGCTCAATGGGACGGCTCACCAAGAAGCAAGTTTATTCGGTTGGCGACTTTGTCTTATTACGACACGAAAACAAGTTTGGCTTGGAATACAATTGGCGTGGTCCTTACAAGATTGCTGAACGTAACCTTGACACGGATATCTACAAGTTACACAGCATGAATGGTGAAGCACACAAGTCTTGGGTGCACACTGATCGTTTACGTCCCATTCATATCAACAAGGCCGATGGTAATCCTGACACATGGTACGATCCCACTGCTACAAGAGCACGTTGGCGCCAACTTACCGATGCTGCCAATACTATTGCTTCCGTGTTGGTCGAGGGCGACCAAGATTTTCGGGAGGGGGTATTGTCGTAGGTCATGTGACCACGTGACCTAGCTTTTGCTCGTTCCTTCTAGAACCCTTTTCCTTTTGATGCTGGCAATTGCTAGAAGCCCTTTACTAGCATCTTCCACATCATTCATAGAATCCATACATTGAACATATATATATCGTGAACATCCTTAGCAATAAAAGATCATCACTTATCATAGCAACACCAAAAGTTATATCATTGGCCACTGATCTAATCAGCCATACGATAACGACAACGTGATCTGAAATTGGCATCCTTCTTTTACACCGTACAGGATGCTTTATCTTTTGTTTTGCGAAATAAAGATAGAATATGGACGCTTTGACGATGTTTATTGATACGTTACTACAGGGTATTTATATAGGATGATAAGAGTGTCAAAAGCAATGTGTAAAAAGAGAGATCATTATATATGCTCTTGATGCATTTGGGCCCGACAAGACCATTTTCATACCGTTTGTATCAAATACACATGTCGTGGTGATATCCACATATGAAACGGAAATAAGAGTTCGTTAATGATGAGCATTGCATGTCTCTCTTTTTATTATATGGATGCCAAAGGATGTGATTATATTTTGTTGGATAGTAAATGTTGCTCTTGTATATGTTGTATGAAGCGTTCTAAGTCTTTTCTCGCTGAAGATGTCGTTGGTACAAAATGCCTTCATATACAAATGCGTATTGGTAGCCATTCCATGACATAGGAAAAGGAATAAAGGCACTTACCCTCCTGGATGACGATATACAAAAGGTTTCCTAAAAGCACGGGACAATGCTTCCATTCTTTCGGGTGCAATGATGGTATCGACTTGCCCAATGAGATGCAAGCTGGGTGTAGTTAATGGTGTTGTCAATGAAGTGAACAGCTCTTTCCTTGTCGCTTTTTGTGTGGGAATAAATCCTCCTGAAAAAATGACAAATCGTAGTGGAGGATGGTTCAATGACGCTGATAATGATGATGGCTTTTCCAATACATGAGCAAGCATGGCAGCTAAACAGGCACCTACACATAACGTTATTAGATTTCCACTATCCATCTCTCTTTCCTAAATCCCTAGTACTACGTACCTTGAGAAAATCCAAAGATCCCATCAAAGGGTCCCTGTTAACAGTGCATGATGAGTAATCCTAACATAGAGGTTCGCACGGTTCGGCTTACTTTTTCGGAAAGAATCGATGCAATGTACGCCAAAGTTTCTTGGAAGCCGTAAAAGTATCCATCTGCCGTTAATGGTACATAGCTATCGTGGAACCACCAACAATAAGGACGCATCTCTATATTCAATGTGAGCATACTACAATCATCCATGGCCAACTACAGCTATAGACATACCATCGGAAACACCCTGATCTGCTCTTGTGTGTCGCTCACCGATCGTGGCATACTCGGGATCAAGGACTGCATGCGGTGCATTGACGTAGACTATGCATGAATGTCAGCAAGCGAGTTCCCAATCTCTTCCCCATCCAATGTACCCTTCTCGATCCAATCTTCTGTTCCACGGAATAAAGCTGCTGATTTCTTGCTAAAGAGAACGGCATTTTGACCCATGCCATGAAGGCATAGCAACCGTAATTTTTTGTTGCTGTGGTGGTGGGCCATGGATAACAACCGTTGCTCCGTTGATCTCCACCAAGGTACACCATACATTATTAAGAAAGTCACGTGATATGGATTATCAATTATATTCAATTTTGCGATTCATACAACATCTAGTTCATAAAGGGATTCTTTTACATGCCACCAAAAGATGGAGAAGAAGCCATGGTCATACCAGTGGGTGCGGCGGGAAGCATAAGTGGATTGCCGATAGGTGCTCCTATAGCGGGTCCTGCTTGGGCTATATATATGTAAACGTCATTTTAGGATTCCTATCTATCATGAACCCCATCTCACTTTGATCTTACCTTCTTGTTGTTGTCCTTGTTTCTCCACTCTAGCCTTCAAGTCATCCACATCAGTACCCAAAGATTGAATCTAGAAAAGAGAACCATGTGAATAAAGTAGAAATTGGACAGCGGATAAAATACATACTCTGTGATATTGCTCATGCAACAGATTGATCATGTAGGGCATAGCAAAGTTCTTGAGATTATGTCGCCAAGCCAATTCAAACACCACATCGGGACGAAGCAAGTCGTAACAGGTATACAGCATGGCTGCAAAGCATTCTCGTTTACCGACTTCAATGAAATAACGGAGCAATTCCTCGGTCACTTCCTTATCGCGTGATTCAGCAGCGGTTTCCATGGCATCCTTGAACAAACGATCCTGCTTAGACAAGGCAATAGATTGACGCCATCTACGGTTCTTTTTGTACAAATGAGCAGCAATACGGCGGAACTCGAGTAATTCGTGCTTTTCAAGTCTCTTGGCAATCTCAAGCTGGTCAATATTGCCATGTTGATCAATCGAATCACGTAGCGAGACATAATCTTCTTCCTCAATAAAGAGCTCGTTCAATGCACTATTGACGGCCTTGTTGTTGGTCTAAGAAAAAGAAGAGAAAAATGAGATCTTGGATGGCCTATGATATTGAGGTTTACTTTTTCTTACGTGTTGAACCGATGTAAGATAGGGTTGGATCAATGGGATGTTGTCAGATTTTTCAAACAGTTGTACAACACGAGTGTGGTTGATACGAGGGATCATGACAGCAAGTAAATCGTTGAGGAGCATGGGTTGTTCGTTGAGATAGAAGCGCAAAGACTTGTAATACAACTCAACATTCGAGACCTTGACGATGATATCCTTAAATGCCGAATGCTCCCATGACACAGCAGCATGCTCCATCATGACAAGGGCTGCATTGTCGAATTCGTCATAATGGACATAAAGGAATACAAGCTCACGCCAAAGATGGGTATCATTGCATGCTCGGATGACTTTGGGGATGTTGATGCGGGAAATGTACACCTTCAAGTGCTCCATCATCTTTTCAGGGGCGTATTTGGAATACAAGACCGAGAGCTCTGTAAACATGCCCATGTGTGCACGTTCCAAATTGAGGCCATTCTCCAACAATGTGATGAGCTGCTCAAAGAATCCATTACGCTCGTACGTCTTGATCACTTGCTCCAACTCCTCCGCATGGACGATGATGTTGAGACCACAAATTTGTGCGAGGCGGAACTCATGTTGCTCAATGCACACCACATTCACTTCCTTCCACACCTTCGTACTATTGGCCTTGCGTGCACAATCAACAGCACCAGAGTAATCCTTGAGATGGACGAGGGTCGTTGCTAGGCTGGCATAATTCGAGATGCTGCTGTACAAGATTTTGGCTGCCTCTAACATGTGTGCCTGGAAACATCGATCACCAACATCTTGCACATGTGCAATGTTGGGTGCTGAAATAAAATCTTCCAAATCTGACAACCGCTCCGTCTTGGCGTATGCATACAACAACTCGGTCTCAATGTATGGTTCACGGGCTTGCTTGCGTGCCAATTGCAAGTAGCGCACAAGGTCATCATACTTGTCGTTCATTTCTGCATAGCGAGTCACTTCCATATAGTTGGATGTATCTTGAGCACGGATGTACGAGTCTAAAAATGGTCACATGAGTATGACATGCGTGCATAGGGTATCGTAGTTTCCTTACCAATCGACTCTTTGATATGCATATGATCGAGTTGGGCCTTGGCAAGCTTGCTCCACACATCAGCTTGATCGCATAAATCGGCAAATTCATAAGCACGGTCAAGGTCTTCGATCTTGTCAATCAATACGCTGACGGCACTGCCATTGACATTGTACTTCTTGTAGATAGCAAATGCCTCTTCATACAATCCTTCGCCAAGACACACTTCAGCCACATCAGGAGCATCAAAGTTATCCAAACGCTCGATGTAATCCATCACCTTGCTTGGATCAGCCTATAATATGCATCGTTAATGAACCCTTATCTCTTTCTGTAAGCATGCAGAGATTTGTATTACCTTGACAGCAGTAAAGATTAAGAGGTTTTGCAGAGTCTTGTTGTCATTAAAGGCACTGTCTTCAAGCACAATACGCTCCAAGAGCTCAATCAACTCGTTGGGGAGATCAGCAGCCATGAATGCCTTGACGGTGATTGAAACATCCTCTGGGTCGGTGCATTCGGGTAAGGCGGTGGCGACAATCTATTGTGTAACAAAGACAATTAACATTTGTGCATGAATCATGCAACTCCATGTATATACCTGATCGATCAATTCACGTCGATTTTCATTGTTCTCTTGCAATACATGTTGCCATAATGCTGCATCACGACGACGAACAAGATAGCGAGCTTGGTGCTTGAACATGGCATTCTCGCTTGTAATATGGATCAGCTCATAGTCGCATTGGCCCTTCTCGTAACAAATGTATGCAAGATAGGGGTCTCTCTTTTCACAATGCTTGCCAATCGTTCGTGGTTCATAGTACTAGTAAAATCATCGTGTCAACTCCATATCCTCATTCCTCATTCCCATCTCACTCACCTCGTTCTCCTTGAGGAATGGTTCAGGGTTGTTGTTGGTATCAATGTAAATCTTGGCCAAAGCATTGTAGACTTCTTTGTCAGTGGATCCTTCGGTTGTACGCATATTGAGCCATGGCAAGAGGAGCTTGAGTCTGTTGCGCTGCTCCACCTCTTCGCACAATTTTCCCACATCCAAATCACCCTTGACGGACATGAGCAGATTCTTGATAACATCCTCATCGCATCCGACATCCAACAATCCACCAACAACCTCAGGCGTACGCGCCGGGTTGACTTTTTGCACGTATACTTCGATGAAGTTTTGAAGGTTGTTGTGATACAAGTATAACACGAGATCATGCACAAATCCGAATCGATCGCACACAATAATCAACGGCAACTGATCACTGAGTCTTGCTTCCTATTCGTTGTGTCAATAAAGCAATCAAATACATATGCTGTAGTTAACATTACCTTGAGGAAGTTTTTGACCTTCTCAGCATCATAATAGTTGCTCTCGCGACAAATACGCTCAGCCTCACGAATATTGCCGGTGCGACATGCTGCTTGGATGTACTTAAAGTGCACCAAAGGATCCTGGCTAACGTTGACAATGGAGCCCAAGTAATAGTACATGCCTATATACATACGTTGTTAGACGCCTTGTTATATGTGTAAATTCTGATAATACTCGCCTTCGTTGCTCTTGAAATTCTCAAAGAGCTCCACCAAGTTGTTAGGCTGCAATTGGTCGGAATACTTGATCGCCACTTGTACTACGACTTGAAGGTTTTGACGCAGGTTGTGGGAAAGCATCTCTTTCAAGCACTCCAAAGTTTGATCCACTGACAAGGTACCAAAGTAATTGACGAGCCACTCGGGATTCATGGTTTGAGTATATGGGATAATGCGTCTGATATCGTGAATATCAGTATAGTGCTCAAGTGCCTATGCAAAACGTGGTTAGAATCATGCTTATCAGGTGCAAGTGGGTTACTTACTCGTTGATAGAGGCCAGCCTTTTCACAAAGTGTACCAACAGCAACACGATCATAATGTGTGAGCATTCCCGTACCAAAAATGGCATCAGCAACTTGAGGTGCATGGATCAAGTTCATCTCAATGACACGTGTCTGGAGGTTGGCGTGTTCGGGTCGATTTTCTTTGAGATAGTCCAAAAGGAAAGACGTGGCTTGCTGAAGCATATTCTGAGACATCAATACATCGACCACCTAAAATCTCTCATTAGCATTGTATTCCATATATAAGCAAGAATAGAAAAATTTACCTTTTCAGCATCAATCAAAGGTCCAGTTTCATCATTAATCAATGCATTTGCAAATGCCACCGTGCTATCAGGGTCGGTGCGAGCAATGTTGTACAAGAGCGAGTTGTAATCGGGCGTGTATCCAACTGTCTTTGCATAAGCAACAATCTTGTCGTATTGGCGGTTTTCAGCAAAGCACAAGACGACCTTGTTGGGAACATTGGCACGCAAATAAACGGATAATGCCAACTTGGAGTCATATTGCTTGACAAAGTCACCAAGCTCCTCGCTGCATTCGAGTTTGTCGTCCTTGAGCCATTTCTCTAGCAAAGGCTTACGGTTCTGCAAGAGAATGGGCTTGGCCATTTCAAGGGATTCATATCGATTCAATCCACCCTTCTCAAGTAGCATGCCAAAGTACTGCAGGATGGGAGACAATTGATTGGGCATACTAGGAAGTTGTCGAAATCGTTCAATCGTGTCTGGTGTACGCAAGATACCCTATATATACATATATATAGGTAAGTAAACCTTGTTAATAGCATTATCATCAAGCAGCACTTACTCTTGGTGAATTGGCAGCAAGCTTAGCAGCATCAATGTATGCACCAGAGGAAAAGAGTTGATTGAAACGGCTCACGCATAAATCATCGGCACCAGCAAGACCTCCACGACCAGCGAGCTTTAGTGCCAATTCAGTGTTGCCAAGCTTGTTCACAATGTAAGGCACCACCGTATTTTCATCAAGAGTGACAGATAAGACCTATTCATCAAGCTTAGGAAAATTGCAATGTCCCCTTGTATCATTTGCTTTTTCCACTCTTACTTGTCCTTTCTTGTTGATTGCCACAACACCAGAGGTGGATGGTTGATCGGTAGCAATAAAAACAGTGTCGTCACTGATACGATTCACAAAGATACAAATGCCGGTTTCAAGGTCGTAGATATGGATGAAGCCCATCTTGGTGAGCACATAAACGACACCAAAGCGCTTGCCAACTTGCATGGCTACGGGGAAATCGGCTGGGTTTTCAGGAGCAAAGAACATTTCAGGCGCCTTCTTTGGGAATGGAGGATTGTTGTCTGGGTGATCAACTTCAATGATTTGCAACTAAGACTTGCATATAAGTATCTTCCATCATGCGTATGTAGTATGATCTACGAATGCTTACCTTGGCATTTCCAGTGACAGTGCGTACACAAAAGGCGAATAATTTGGTAGGCTGAGGGGCGTCTTCAAGTTGTATTTCGGCAAAAGCAGCAGCATGACCTTCAATAGGCTGACTGACACCACGTTCTCGAGAATATAGTTGCATGGATCCCACTACACTTCCTTGTTGTGACGAGATACCAATCAACACCATCCAGTTGCCTTCGCTTGATGTGCGATAGTTGATGATTTGACATCCTGCCAGGTTGGCATGTCGATCAAACACCTTGACTGGAGCCGAGCCATTATCCACCGACCAATGGTACACAGCTGTTCCCGTCACGATACCAATTGTCTTCAAGTCAATCCATTTCCAAAAGGTGATGTCGTCGTGCATAAGGTGAGAGCTCATTTTGGTCTTCGTCTCGAGATTGAACACTTGAAGTTGGCGTTGTGCTATATGCATATACAATATAGAATGTCAATTTCGCCCTGTTCAAATACATGATATCCACTATTTACCTCTCAAGGCAATAATCTTGGTGGTTGGATGTGTTATCACTGATTCGGCGGTGATAGGGCGTCGCATCATGTCATTGTTGTTGGCAAGGTCGATAATAACCACTTGGTTTTGGCCATTCACTTGTTCACGTACACACACAAATCGTTCAGACTCCAAGGTAAGTGTTTGGAACCCAACGCTCGCTGCATTAACGCCTAATGCTTGCAGCTATCATAATGTCATCAGTAAAGGGCTTGGCGAACTTGGCGACATGCAACAACCACCCACGACGAAATCTCTTACCTGGGCAAGCTGTTGGAATCGGATGGGCAGCTGTTCAGCCATTGCTTGTATTGCGCGTTATTCTTCAAATGACAAGATTCTGCACAGCAAAGCAGTCGAACGTGTAAATTGTAACGAGGGATGAGGGAAAGGGACAACGTTTGGGTTGACTTGGAACGCAAGGTTGATGGAACCTACACGTAAATTGAGTCGCCGACACCTTCTCCAGAGCGATCGCAGTATCGGCTGAGCATGAAACACTATGAACAATCACCCTTTAGCTAAAATTGCTCCCCGTTCACCTTCCCAATCATGATTTCAATACAAGCATTACATTCCTTATCATCTCTACTTTACAATGATATGATTTTTGGCGTGATTTCGTTCACTTTCCAAATTAGGAAGTTGACCGGGCTACTATGTAACTCAAGATTCAGGAATCAGAACCGAGCTTAGCTCAGTTGGTAGAGCGGAAGACTGTAGTGTACTGCCATCTTTAGGTCGCTAGTTCGAATCTGGCAGCTCGGATTACATGATAACAACAACCAGCTCCAATAGCTGGAATCATCTTTTTGTTTTTCGATTTTGGTGGATCACGTGATTTTGTATTTGTATTTTCTCCTTCATGTTATTTTTATTCGAAGCCCTCGTAATAGCATCTACATAATGCAAGCTGAACAAAAGTGCCATGATTTAAACGTTCCTCATACGCAAATTCAACACGACGCGCTACATGCAAGTTGAAGAATACACCTTTATTGTTTTATGCTACATGAATGGCTAAGCAACAATTGACAAAGTCTACTACTGTGACCAAGGTAAAGGTGGATTAGCAGTGATAAGCTGAAAGAGCCAAATGTTGTGTTCATCTCCTCCCGTATCATCATCTTTGATATTATAGATCACCAAGCGTCCTTTTGTATTGATAGACCAAGTGACAGGATATCGATGTGGAAGAGAGACGATGCGTGCAAGGGGTAGTGGTAATGGAACATCTACCACCAACTCTTTTGGTAACTCCCCATTATCACCATCCACAATGACAAACATGTACAATGATTGTTGCTGGCCAACAGTAAATCTCAATCGGACGCCATGATCCATGTCTTGTCCATTTGGAGCCAACCAATAAAGAGTTGTATTAAAAATGGCTTCAGCTCGAGGTGCAATCCAATGTCCCATATCCCTTAATGTGGATGTCATAGGCTCTGGCACCCTTCCAGTTTCATCGGGTCCCACATTCAACAACAGGTTTCCACCTGTAGCAACCACATCCACAAGCTCAACCAGCAATTCCAAAGGTGATGCATACTTGTCAAGAGGCGTGGCACGGTTGTAACCAAATGAATAAGGATCCACGCCGCGTGTTGCTTCCCAAAAGCGATTTGAAGTAGCCGAGGAGCGATGATACTCCACTGTAGAAAAATCGGAAAACTCGTTGCCGCATCGATCATTGACAGCTACCTCTGGATACTTTGCAAAATAGTGTTCTTGCCATATTGTTGAATTGTTGAAGCCACCTTGATCACACCAAAAGATATCAGGTTGATAGTTATCAATAAGCTCCAGCGCTTGTGGTACTTGTAGTTCATTGACAAAGTCCTGGATTGGTCTATAGCCAGTATACGGGATCTCTTTGCCAGTATAAGGATTGCGGGGTGGACCACCAGACCAGCCTTTGTCACTGCCATCAAATTGTGGATGATACCATTCCGGCAAGGAGACTAAAAGAAAGAACCCGTTTAACGTTTCCATCCTGCCTTATGCCATCCCCCTTTTTTCATCCTTACAATAAAGCCCGGTTTTCAAATGTGGAAAATCATGACGAGCAGCAGTAATCAGCTCATTGACAATATCACGTTTGGGGCCAAGGTTCACAATGGATCGATCGGTGGTATGGGTATCCCATAATGCAAATCCATCATGGTGCTTGGTTGTGAATACAAAATAGCGTGCATGAGCATCATCCACCAATTCAAGCCATGATGTGGTATTGAGCTTGTTTGCCAATCCTTGTGCGTGTACAAAGTCATCGTAATTGAAATCTTCACCAAAAGTATCGCGATGATAGGCGTAGGTTGGATCATTCGGGTTGTTCATCTGCCACCAATACCATTCGCTGTATTCTTGGCCAACAGGGGCCCATGCAGGTACCGAATAGACACCCCAGTGAAAAAAGATCCCAAACTTGGCATCTTGTAACCATTGTGGTGCTTCATGCTTATCAATAGTGCTATATAATGTATAAGTGTTAAAAGTCTTCATGCATGTGATATCTCATGCCCTTTTTCTTACCTTGGAAACTCAACCGGAAAAGTAGCCACTTGGCCACCAGCATGCACCCTTAGCGTCATATGTCTTTCACCAGGCGGTTGACAAGCCAAAACAACATGAGTCCAATGACCAGGTGCCAAAACTTGAACCGTTTTGTATCCATGTTGTTCAATGTGTACGCGAAAAGGGCCAACTGGTTTGGTACCCACATTATGCACCCTCACCTTGACCATGTTGTCGAATGTTGCTTGAGCATCAATGATTCGGATACTTGAGCCCGTTTCTTGGCTTGACCATGATGATGGCACTGTAATGCCTGTTGCTCCAAAAATATGTAATCTTTTGTTGTTGGGTAATGACAATGCACGTAGCGATCGAGAGGGATCAACATAGATGGGTACTGCATACATGGCAGCCGTTGCACCTGTGTTGGCTGTACAAGGCATATGCATGTGGCGGATTTGATGCAGGTGTCCAGCTTGCCAGTCTGGCACACTTAAATCGGTCGTATGGTCGATTCCAAAAGGTGTGTCATTGTCGTGATAGTGAGCTGTGATCTTGATGCTGGGAAGAGGACCATGGTTTGCTGCCACAAGTAAATAGACCGCTCCAAGGTAAAGTGATGGATCAACCTCGTTGAGTATCAAAGTTGTTTTTTCGGATGATGATGACCATGGCACAAGGTTATCTACTCGCTCACCCACTTGCAAGCAGAAATCCAATGTCCCAATCTTCATGGTGTGTGGTTGTTCTTGATGCACCAAGTCGTAATAATTACCCAAACCATCAAAGTCGGCTTTATCAGCAGCATTACCCCATCCACGGTTGTTGAAGTTGGTGCGTAGGTCAAATAGTACCAAAGCCTCGTCATCGTGTCGACATGGTAAATGATCATAAAGATAATGAGATCGATGGAACAAAAAGTAGTATAAGCCGATGGTGAGTATGGTAAGTAGTAATAGAACAAGTGCTGTCAACCATGATCGTCGTTTGGATGGTGTATTTGGTTGTGGTGGTTGTATTGATGGTGGCGGTGGAGTGTTTGGAAAGGGAATGGAATCATAGAAAGGTCGTTGCATTCTCTCACATTCTCTTTTCTTCTTCTCCTCTCTATACACCCCTTGAATTTTTTTTTCTCTCACGTACAAGCTTTCCGCCCCAATCATCCTCCTTTTATATGTATGTGTCCATTACCCTCATCCACAGCGAAAAAAAAGTGTAACCCAGCAAAGAGAGTGGTCATGCGGCATGTATGTTTTGGCAACAAAGCAAGGTTTTATGCTTTTCCTTTTTAGTTTGAGGATCGGGGGCATGTGTGTGTGCGTCGATGTGATTAGTTTTTAGGAGGATGGGATGTGGGTTGTTAGGGTATTTTACAAAGTGTTGACATTGCCCAAATCCTTGCATGCTTGTTGAACACGCTTGGCCATGGACTTTTCAGCTTCACGGATGAAGACACGGGGGTCGTAGTACTTCTTGTTGGGCTTACCAGGGCCATCGGGGTTACCAACTTGGGTTTGAAGGTATTCCTTCTTGCCCTCATAGTAGTTCTTAAGACCATCCCAGTAGGCCCATTGAGTGTCGGTATCAACGTTCATCTTGACAACACCGTTTTCGACAGCGGTCTTGATTTCATCTTCGTTGGAACCAGAGCCACCGTGGAACACGAAAAAGACAGGCTTGGGAAGATCACACTTGTCACCAAGTTGTTCCTTGACGTAAGCTTGATGCTTGCCAAGAAGTTCAGGGTGGAGACGAACGTTGCCAGGAGCATACACACCGTGCACGTTACCGAAACCAGCAGCAATAGAGAACAAATCAGTGACTTCAGAGAAGGCCTTGTAGATATCCCAAATGTCCTCAGGTTGAGTGTACAAGGCAGCATTGTCAACACCCTCGTTGTTGACACCATCCTCTTCACCACCAGTGATACCAATCTCCATCTCAAGCAAGCAACCAATGGGTGCCATGCGCTTCAAGTACTTGAGGCAGATCTCAATGTTCTCTTCCTTGGGCTCTTCGGACAAATCAAGCATGTGGGAAGAGAAGAGGGGCTCTTGATGGGCCTTGAAGTATTCCTCATCAGCAGCAAGCATACCATCGAACCAAGGAAGAAGCTTCTTGGCACAGTGATCAGAGTGAATAACAACAGGGATACCATAGGCCTTGGCAACAGCACGAACGTACTATAGGTTTTACATATGAGTAAAAAAATGGAAGCAGTAATAAATTTATACTAAACGTACCTGAGCACCAGCAACAGCACCAATGATGGAGGCTTCTTGGTTCTTGTTGCTCAAGCCCTTACCAGCAATGTAAGCGGCACCACCGTTGGAGAATTGAATAATGATGGGGGAGTTGATGTCACGAGCAGCCTCAAGAGCAGCGTTGATGGTGCTGTTGATTATGTCAGTTTTCGAAATGCATGCCGTGTCAGCTGTATTTGTACGCGTGTTTACCTGGTGGAGGTGCAGTTGATGGCAGGGATGGCAAAGTTGTGCTCACGAGCTGTAAATTTACGTTGATGAGCTTATGCAACAAGTCCATAGCTGCCAAGATAAACGTACCGTAAGCGAAAAGCTTGCGCATGTTGTCGCCAGTGACGACGCCAGCAGGAACAATATCGAGGATACCCATGTTTTTTGTTAAAGAAAGGAAAAGAGACGAAACCAAATGACTGACGCGCACCATGTCTAAATTTATGCATTTTTCACACAACCCGACTGGCTGGGCTACCTTGGTCTATGACTCTGGTCCGACTTTTTTTCGAAGAGCCGGGGCCCTTTCAAGCAAGGTTGCTCTTTTTGGTACACCCCGTCTGTGCATTATTATTGCACGCTTTCCACACCTCATATACGAACACACACAAGCATATACAACATACCCATATTGATGTTGGCAATGAATGATTAACAACTTGTTGAATGTATGTATAGTACTACTTATCATTGACAGGTTGAGATGAGCGGTGGTCATGAGCCATTAGTGTAGGCATGTGCTTCAAGCGGGGAGGTTGTGTGGGGAACTACCCGATGTGCTCCGGTCAAGAAGATCAGCACATGAAGATTTGAGTTTTGAAACCCGCTCCAACTTCAACTCCAACCACATTTGCAACTAAAGGGACAATGATCCGAGGAAAGAAGACCAGCTTCTTTTGTTCCCTTTATTCATCATTTCCTTGACACACGTACACAAAAAACATCAACCATGAGAAAAAGGAACAGCGTGTCAATCGATGTATTTGTATTCAAGGCGTTGGGCGCACGTATAATTTCCCCCAATTCTCCTGCATATGCGCTGTCATAAAGTGTTCCGAGGAGCAATTATACCCGATGCTGCAAGCCGACCGTGCGAAAATGACTGCAACATGCTTCACACCCGTGTGCTAAAAATCAGCTGTAGTGGATGATTCGTGACCTTGATGACCCATGTTTACTGTTATTGCATATGGTAGAGGGCTGTATTCAAGTTATAGCACAACGTTGACAGTGTTGGATCGGAAATGTATTCTTAGGATGCGCTTCTTTCGTGTAAGTATATAGAACGGGTGTACAAGAATAGAACAACGTGGAGTATTGACGTGACACACATAACCAATTCAATTGGTGGAACGCAAGTTGTGCATAACACTTGTTCTTTGGACGTAAACGCCTATCATTGCATAATGCTTTTCATGTTCTTTACAATATGGTTGACGTCAAATGGCTGGTACATATGCCGTAGTTGTCGTCGCGTCATTGGCAAGCAACAAGCGATCGAAGGTTATTGTAGGTGATAGGCCTTTCTCCCTGACGTACCTTAACACGGTACTACCTTTTTATTGCTCGCTGCAACACTATGAAAACTTAGAAATGATTGGCAACGCAATGTCTATCTGCTAAAGTAGCCCTTTTAATCCAACATCGTTCAAAAGAGATAGCTTGAGAGGGACAACGACTTGCTTCTATGGGGGAGGAGATACGTCGATTTGCAAAGCTTCTATCTTGTGGGTGATTGTGAAAACATGGAGTTGGATGATGATGATTGTTGCTGCATGGAAAAGCGTGTAAGGTATGAGAATTGGAAGCACCTTATCGTTCAAGATGATGGCATCAAGCTCAAGTTGACAAGGGATACTTAAGAACAAAGGCTCTTTTTCCACACGTTGTATATACCCAATCCATTCCATCCCATATGCCAAACCAATATCCATATCCCATATCCATATGTCCATAAGAAGTCGTATGTATTGGAGCAAGTTGCTACACGTAAATAAAGCTGCTTCTATACAATGGCTATCTGCTTGAGACGATGAATAAAGACATCGCTAATAGCAACTGCTGGAATGAACGCTGCTACGATTGGTTGTGGTAGAGGAGTGTACAAGAGAAGCTGTAGTGCCATAGAAACGCGGGTGTCGTAGTGGGGTGCACACGCCATGGAGTTGCCATTCAGTCAAAGGCAATCGAATCAAGAGAGTTGTAGGATTGCCATGATGGGTTGAAGCAGGACAATCGTTTGCAGGTGATAATTGTACTTGAAATGCCCAACAATCGAGAATGGGAGAAAGAGGCACGAAGCTGGAAGTGAAAGAACGGGAAATCAAGGTATACTTCTTTGTGTGAGCATTGCTCAATCAAATCCTCTCGGATCAAGAAACTTGAATGATGGGAATGATGGGCTGAACAGGACAATCGTTCATATGCATTGGATTGGGGAACCAAAGATGATGGGAGGAATGGATCATTAGATGGCAGTTTGTGAAATAACCATCAATTTTTGCTGCCGTTTGTGGACATTTGTTTCAGGGCAGCTTATTACAGAGGTAGTCTCCTACTACAAAGATGGGTAGGAAAGGGTACCGGTTCCTGTAAAGATGGATACTACAAGTGGTTGCATAAATGTGTAAGCTTATTGTAAGATCGTTACTCCATAGGCATCATATCAAGCCATTCAATAAGAAATCAAAAGTCTACAAGTGAAGCGAGCAACAAGGGCCACTAGTAATTGAATTTTTGTTTTTGCGAAATATACAACAGCAAGTTTATATAAAAAGTTGGTTCATACAGCAACCAGTGCTATTAGTTGTTGATCAACCGTATGCGTGTAATTCAAAATGTAGTAAGTGGAATGTTTACTGGACCAGCGCAGGAATATCATAGTAAAGCTCAAGTGACTCTGGGTTGGCCAATGTGCCAGTGGGAGTCACCTTTTGTCCGGATATTATCTTCTTGACAGCCACCTCGACCTTCTTTCCATTGATTGTATACTATAATGTGCAAAACATGTTTCATTAGATTACCCATCCATTACCCTCCCTTTCCGCATAGGTCAGATGGCTACTTACAGGAATGTCAGCAATGGGTAGCACAAAGGCTGGTACATGTCGTGGACTCAATTCGGCACGGATTTTGGTCTTGATGGTCTTGATCAAGTCATCGTTCAATTCCTTGCCCTCCTTCATTTTGCAAAAGAGGACAACACGCTCATCATCTTGGTCCTTCATCTTTTGTCCAACGCAAAGAGTGTCTTCGATATCTTCAAAGCGGTCAACGACATTATAGATTTCAGCACTACCGAAGCGCACACCGCTTGGGTTGAGAGTGCCATCCGAACGACCCAACATGACCACACCACCAGTGCGTGGGTTGAGCCATACATAATCACCATGGTACCATACATGATCATACATGCCAAAGTATGCGTTCTTGTATTTGGATCGTGCTTCATCGTCACCATACATATACACCGGCATGCATGGGAAGGGTACTGTGCATACCAAATCACCTGACTCCGCAAATACGGGTGTGTCTAATGACATTGATTAGTTACACACATATCATGATGCATGAATTTCTTTGTACTTACTGCTATCCTTCCATGATTCGATCTTCATACCAAGACCAAGACATTGGATCTCTCCACGATATACTGGTAGAGCTGTATTGTGGGCTCCAAACAAGGAGCAAATATCGGTGCCTCCGGTGATGCTGCCCAATACCATATCGCTCTTGATGTGCTCATAGCAAAACTCGAAGCTTTCAGGCTTGAGTGGTGAAGCGGTTGAATAGATGGCTTTCAATGTATCTAGCTTGCATTCATCCTCTACAAAAATGAATGAGTAAGAAGTCTCCATTATGATGGGTCATGCTTACTAGGATGAACCTTGGCATCTTGAAGCGCTTGCAAATACTTGGCTGATGTACCAAAGTGGGTAATGCTATATACAGTAATATGAAAAACAAGATCAATATCAACCTTTTCTTTGCCAACCCATCTTTTTTCATTTACCCAAGATCATCAACCATTTTCCACAATGAGATGGGTGCAGGCTTGAATGGACTTCCATCCCATAGTACAATGGTGCATCCAACAGCAAGGCCAGCCATGAGCCAATTCCACATCATCCAGCCGGTGGTGGTGTAATAGAAAAAGACATCATCAGGCTTCATGTCGCCATGAATGACATGCTCCTTCTTCAATTGCAACAATAGACCTGATCCTGAATGAACAATACACTTTGGCAAACCAGTGGTACCAGAGCTGAACAAGATGAATGCGGGGTGGTTGAATGGCAATTGTTCAAATTCAATCTCCTTGGGAGCGGTATCCTTGACATTTAAGAAATCATCCCAGGCAACCGATCCTTCCAATTCAGAGGGCATATCCTTGACAAAGGGAATCATCACCACCTTGGTAACAGAATCCTTGAGACCTTCCACAACAGGTTTCACCTTGGCAAGATGATCAAGGCGTTTACCATTGTATACAACGCCGTTGACGGAGATGAGCAACTTTGGCTTGATTTGTGCAAATCGATCGAGCACACCTGTGGTACCAAAATCGGGGGATGTCGAACTCCAAATAGCACCCAAGCTGGTAGCAGCAAGCATGGCAATAACTGCCTCAGGGCAATTGGGAATATAGGCAGCCACACGATCACCCACACCTACACCTGCTTGTTTCATGGCTGTTGCACACAATCGTACTTGGTCATACAACTCAGCATAGCTGATATTGCGCACAGATGATTGTCCTTCACCAGTGGCCTTAATGGCGATACGCTCTGGGTCACGGCACCACAACAAGTTTTCGGCAAAGTTGAGACGTGCTCCTTTGAACCATTCTGGAACCTCATCCATAGGCACGTTGGTGTCAAGGACTTGAGTTGCACGCGTAGATGATATCACATTGGTATAATCCCACACCGTGGACCAAAAATCACACACCGAGCTTGTAGACCACCGCCAAAGGGCCTGGTAATCCTCTTATTATACATGTTTAGCATCCTTTGTATATCACATGCTTCACCTTTTTTCTCTCCCTTTTGTTTTACTTACCAAGTGAAAGATTAAACCGTGAATTCACATGCTTACGGAAGCGTTCCATCTCTGTATTTTCTGGGTTTGAGGGCTTCCACAGGCATGGGGGATCAACCGATAACACTGCTTGAGTCATGATGATAGGTGTATGTTGTTGTTGTGTATAGTAGGGAAAAAAAGAGAGAGTAAAGAAGAAAAGAAGGTGTCAGGGCCTCGCTAAGGTTCGCAGAGAAAAGAAAAAGAGTGGACCGTGGGATTTTTACTTCGACACTCCGCTCATTTCAGATGAATCGATGCATTGGATTGGTAATGCGTACACACACACACACACCGTGCACTGAGAAAGAAAAAAGGCATTACGTTGATAAGTTTATCCAAAGAGAAATACTACTAGATTAGAAAAAAGAAGAGAAAAAAGTATAGATGTACAAAAAGGGAGAGGGTATACGATACAATATAACTACAAGATTGTTCATCATCACATCCGCTGTGCATAGGCATGATGCAGGTTCATAAACGCCCAATGCGTTTCAAGTTCTTCATCCACCCGATCCAACATGGCTTCAAGGCGTTGATCGGTCCATGGATCATAACAGGGCTCGTCATCGTTTGCATGAACAGCTTCAATCAAATCATGTAGATCATCTCGAAACATGACACCAATACGACCACCCCATACACCCAAAGGTAAGGATGTGTATTTCGCATGATAGGCATCACCATGGCCTTGATGCATTTGCTCGACAAGTTCATGAAAGAAGAAAAAGTCTTGAAGGTGGCGGGCAAAGTGGGGATCGGATCCACGTTGTTGCATACGGCGGATGACTATGATTGAAAATAGAGTTAGCAATCAAAGCAATTCATAATCATAGGATGGGCTTTACCTTGTGAATTTAGCATTTGGGTGAGTGGTCCCACCAGTGGGTTGCCATACATTTGCATATCGAGTTCCATCATTTCGACAAAACCTCGGCGTTTGCAAAGGCGCCAGCATTCTTGAATCATTTCACGATACAAATCCGGTGTACACGAGAATATCAAGAACCTTGCAAAGATAAAATCAAACTTGCCATCTGGCAATTGACGTAGTGCATGCAACAAGTTTTTATCTGCAAGCATAAACTCAAAGTTGTCCGGGAGGGTCTTGTTGCGATCGATCACGTCATGATCATCAATGCCAATCACTGTGCACCTCTTGTGCTTTTTTGCCATATCGATACACCATGAACCATCGCCGCACCTATAAAACAAATCTCAGTGTTAATTCGTCTTTGCTTCCCACGCTCTTTTTTTTGGGACCACTTACCCCACATGGAGTATACGACAACCATCTGTCAAATCTACCGGGCTGTAGTACAATCTACATTCATCCGAATTAACCGGGTATATTCACAATGTTGATATTGGCTCTCTTTTTTTTTCCTTACCCATTCAATGCCAACCGGATTAATTCATGTCTTATGATCATTCGATCAGCTCTAGGCCATCCAGTATGGCGTTTAGATGATGCTGAGGGTGGTGGTGGTGTAAGTCGCATCAATTCGAGATCGCATGATAATCGAAGACGTGGTGGTGCAGGATCACTGCTATGTCGATTAGCATTGTATGGATGGCTGGATGTGGTCGGCAATGAAAACACCGATGCCGGTCGTCGTAGGGTCGTGCCAATAATTGTAGATCCGTCACTATCATCCATGTCATCTTCATCCTCGTCATGCTCACTGCTTGCATATAAAGGCTGATGTTGGTTTTGACGACGACTATAGCTCTCATGACAAGATCTACTACGTGTATGGCATGATTGAGACATGTCGTTATTGTTGTTGTTGTTATTACAATCATCATTCAGGAACTCCTTTGGATGAATAGAGGATGCCGTTGACAAGGTATCACTTGGACTAGCTGATGGTGTACGTTCGCAGCATATAGTGGTTGAGCGTCGAGGTGGGGCAATGTTGGAAGGAGGACACTGTTCGACGACATTGTTGGTGGTGTTTATGGAAGTTGCATCACTCGCCCTGCGAGCAATTTGCGATATCCAAGAAAACAATCGAGAAGGTCGTCGGTTTTTGACAAGCAGCGTCATTGCGTTGATAAAAAGCAGATCATAGGGGTAAGGGAGAAAAGGGAGAAAAAGAAAACGGAAAAGAAGCGTTAGGTATTGGTATATACACACACACAAACACATCTTGTTTATGTGTCTTGTGTAACCACTTTTAGATTTTTTCAGACACAGCCGATACGATGTTCCCAGCTCACCGATGTGGTTGTGTGTCATTGCTCAGCTCTTCCTGGTGGTTCCTTTCATCATCATAAACCATCCACAGCGGCCTATTCTATTTTCGGACACTTTCCCTTGTTTCTCTTTCTGCCGCTGTTCCCTCTCTTTCTCTCAGGTACACACACACGCACACGCACACAATTGTACACAGACTACTGTGCCCAAAGTGACGTGAAAGGGGCCATGCAACATGGCCCATCAGTTACTTGGGGAATCCATGACCAAAAATGTTGTAGGAGTCTTCTTATTCCGAAAAAGAAGAATAGCACAGCTGGTCTTGACACTCACTTGGACTACTTTTTGCATCCTCTCTCCCTTTGTGTCTTTAATTTCTTGTTCAAAGGTCCTTGTTGCTCTCCAGTAATAAGCTTTCATATAGAATTGTTCTTCAAAACTAATCTTCCTATTGGTTCCAAACTTTGAATTGCTGCATTCTCTCGGGTTTCAGCAGCACATAAGACTCATTACTTTTAGAGCGCCGTCTTGGCTAAAGAAATGAATCATAGACAAAGCTCCGATATATGCAAACTTGATGAAAAGGGCAAGCAAGAACACTACACATTAGAAATGTCTGGGCATGTGGCGATAAACAAATACCCATCAACGGGAGGGAAAGAATGAGGCAATGTATCAGGAAAGGAAATGATATGCATAAGGCATGGCTAGATAATAGAAGCAGCGCCATTGAGAAGGTTTCTTTGATAGCCATTTACTCGTTGGTGTCATAGCAATACCACTATACATCGTTGTTTCACCATCGTAATAATTATTGTGCGAGCCACTGGTACGAATGATGGTGCTGTTAGTGTTGCCCCACAAAAAAAAGATAACGCTGGGACACACAGATCTTGAAAATGCCGAGAGACAAGGTTGATCTCCGCTTCTACTGAAACCAATGAAGGAAATTGACCTACGTAATAGACTTGAGAGGGGCAACCCAATTTTCACCGGCGATGTATATGTTCACTTGCTAAACCAAGTTGGTGGATCACGAACCCAACATACATGTTATATCGCTTGGAAGGTTTCAAATTAGCATAGCATGGTGGGGTTGGGCGGTAGCACAACAAATGTTATTATATAACGATAGTCACGGTTTTTTCATCATGGTCTACTACGAGGTTCGTTCGCAAGGTTAAAAGAAAATTCTCAAAAGATCATTCACCTTGTAGGCATAAAGCACCAGGTTGCCAGGCAACGTACATTGAGCCACTAATAAACCCCGCAAAGCATCCCAACAACCCTCACAAAGCAATTACATAAATACAGGGCATGATTTATATGTTCCATTGTTGTTGTGTACTGAGCTAACAGGAAACGTGGAATGAAAATAGGCGGTTGGGTGATTAAGAAGATGACGTGTAAAAGTAGATGTTCTCCCACAAAGGCAAGTAATCGCGAAGAATGCCTATCAAAGATATGGCTGATTAGCAAAGGGTCGCGTTGTGTGTATAGTGATTTGACTTTTTACCTGATACAAGTGATAACACAGGCTTGTTCTCCACCGAATTGCAGAATCGTTCCAAACGTGGTCTATGGAATCACATTTGTGTATTAATTGATCCATCCAATTGATCCATCTATATTCCTTTCTCTCTCTTACCTGGTAATACGGATATAGAATGCACCTCGCAAGAGGTTGAGCCAAAGTAGCTTCAAACGACGAGCGTATTCTTGCTTTTCCAATGGCATCATATTGGATCGACCACCATGTGGAGGCTCAAAAGCTTGACGTACCATTGTTTGGGACATGACTTCAATGGCCAAGGAGAGTAACCATGGTTTCCAGGATAAACGTCCATATTTGAGCACCGCAAGCACTGATCATGATCCACTTTTTAGTTACCATGGATACCATCAATGTTGTCATCACAACCACCTTTTACTTACCATAGAGCAGCGGTCGAAGGATGTAAAGGACTTCACCTGATGCACCAAGGGCATTCATGATATGAACCATTTGATCGGGTCGTCGTAATTTTTCAGGTGTCAACACCTTGGACATGAGATAATCGGTGACATCGGCAAACTTGCGTCGTGGATGGATGCCTCCCATGTTGTTCCTTTTGAAAGTATTGTTGCCTCCTTCCAATTCGATTGTCGCATCCATGCGAGGCATTTCCACACCTGAACGTTTACCCTTCCAGCGCTCTGGGGTCGTGGATGTTGAGCGATTACGCTCCAGTGTGGCGGGATCAATGTCACGTTGTAAATGAGGTGGATACAGACACATGCGATTGGATGTCAACTTGAAGATCGTAAGTCGTAATACGGTCCTATACACACGCATGGTTGATACGACTCCTTGAATATACGCCACGCAGTGTAACCCCAATCTATACTTACTTGATGGCTTCCAGTGCCCCAATCCAACGCCAATGCGCCTTTTGACCCCATTTTTTGTACACTGCCATCTCCATAAGCACTTGGGTATAAGAAATAACAGACAAGAGCGCAGAACAACGCTTGTGAAGAGGTGATTGGCTTGACCAAAAGTTGATATACTTGTTGAAAGCAGATTCTTCGTGCTCTGATTGGGTTTCATTCGCATGGTGGTGTGCTGCTCGTCTCAAGATTGCATTGTGGTAGAGACCCAAGAGATTCAAAGCTGCGTATACTATAGGCAATGGTCAACAAAGGAATAAATGGGGTTCATTGACAACAAGACACATACTTGCTTGGGAAGCGAATTCTGCATCGTGGAATCGACCTATGTAAAAGAGTGTAGTTAGTTATACAGTTTGGACTGCAGGGTGGGGTATGTTATATGGGGAAGGTTGGTTACCAGGGAGAATGTATGTAAGGGATCGTAAGGAGGCTTCTATGCCAGTAATTTGTGAAGCATTCTTTAACAAAAAGTCCTCGTATTGATCAAGATAATTCATATATGAAGGAGGGAGAGAGAGAGAGAGAGAGCGTGTTTGGATGTATGCGTGGAGAAAGAAAGAAGGAAAAACGACGTTTGTGTGGAGAAACAAATGGGTACTTCCAAAAGTGGCCGCCCGTATTTGTAATCTCAATTTCACTTGCTGATGAGAATTCATCTATTTCATTCATGCAAGGTTGTCATGTGAAAAGCCCATTCCCCTGTCAATGTAGTATGCAAACCATTCCATCACCCTTCCTCTTCCATTGTGCTTCAAATGCTTCAAATGCCTCGTTACAATAATCATCGTCATTTGTAATACGTCCCTCTTTCAATGTTGGCTACACAAAAGAAAACACTCCCTAACAACAACGTGGGTTGGTTTCAGTTTGGTTGCATTTGTATTCTGATTATGATTCCAATGAATGGTGGAATCAAGGATATTGGGGATACCTTTTTAGGTGTCAATCTACTACTACTATCTCTCTGATGTAAACAAGCTGGTGTCATATCAATCATTCATCCTCCCTCTACAAGACACAGATGAGAGAATTCTCATCATGACATGATATGCAAAATGCATTGCTGATAGACGCGTGTGAGAGAGAAATGGTGATTACATACGCCGAGGTAGCAGCTTGCTTGTTGGAAGGCAATGATCCAGCAGGCAAATAGCTAAATTCACGTGATTGACATCTTCCAATAGTTGATTGGTTTCATTATGCATTCAAATGTCATAAACATATCATTGTATTGAAAACAACACACGCTCTCTCTTTCTCTCTCGTGATCCATTCTTGGGATGTGAAACGCCCACTGGCGTCCTCAATTTTACTTCTTGTCCCTTTCCTCACTCCTCTTTTATCAACGCCAAAAACAATGGAGTCCTCGTTTATGAAAAAGCTCAATCCAGCACAACTCGAGGCCGTCAGTGCAGACACACGAGCATTACAGATCTTGGCTGGACCAGGTTCAGGAAAAACAAGAGGTATAGAAAACAAGTAATGACATTCACACCCCCCCCTCCATTGACACCAACTCGAATAGTGTTGACCTCGCGCGTTGCCTGGCTTGTCCTTGAGAAGCATGTCGATCCAAGACAAATCGTCGTTGTTACATTTACAAACAAGGCTGCTCGTGAAATGAAGACTCGATTGGAATCCAACGAGCTACTGGGTCGAGAGCTTAGCGAGCAACTTCTTATGGGAACGTTTCATTCTATCTGTGCACGCATCTTACGTCAACATGCCGGTCTTATCAATGTCAAAAATAACTTTACTATTGCTGATCCCGATCTAAGGTAAGCATGGATGGACAGCCAGCAGGAAGGGGGGTGGGGGCAGTAATGATTGATTGCATGCCGTGTCCATGATAGCAAACACACGATTCGCAAGTTGATCAAGGAACTCAAGGAACTCAGCTCATTTGCAAAGCAAAAGATGAAAGCTGGTAATGGAGATGGTGGAAGAGAGGGAGAGAAAGAAAGGGGTTGTTATTGATGATTGGGTTGTACAACAGATGCATTCTACAACGAGTTTTCTACTTCCAAGAACAAAGGCATCGAGGTGAATGAGTACGTTGCCATGAATCAAGGTGATTTCAAAAAGAGAGACTATTGTGTCATGTTCCCGTAAGTACTCATGCTCGATGTTGAGTAAAGAGCGAGAGAAATAATGATGATCTTTCCTAGTGCATACGAGAAACGGATGAAAGAAGATAATATTGTGGTAGGTTTTATATGGTCTTATGCACACGTCTACATCATCTTATCGGCACGGGGTAATTAGGACTTTGACAACTTGCTGCTATACGGCCGTGAATTATTGAAACGATTCCCTCACCTCTTCAAATCTTATTCCCATGTTCTGGTGGATGAGGTAAAGAAAAGGTTGTCTAGGCAAGATCCAATTACGGTGGCTGATGATGATCATTTCACTTTTTCACAGTTCCAAGATACCAACGTTGTCCAATACGATATCGTCAAATACATGGCTGGTCAAGACAAAGGCCTTACTGTTGTGGGAGGTAATATCTTTACCGCTATAGGCTACAGCAAATGTACTCATTGTTTATTACGGTGGATATAGATCCGGATCAGAGTATCTTTGGTTGGAGAAGTGCTGATCGTGAGAACTTTTACAAGATGCAAGCCGACTTTCCTGGGACAACGGTCAAGAACCTCGAGGAAAACTACCGTAGCACCAAAAGTATCCTGTCTGCAGCATTCCAGGTGATCAATCTAGGCAAGTAGCGGTTATTCAAAAGGCAAAAATGGATAGTGTGTGCTCATACAATACATGTATGCAGACAAGGAACGGATCGCCAAATCACTCTTCACCGGCAATGCGGATGGTGTTCCCATATCGTTATTACGCATGACGAGCGATACGTTGGAAGCTCATAGTGTGGCGGATGAAGTGAAGCGTGTTGTCGACTATTCAGGCGGTCTCATCAGCTACAAGGATATCGCAATTCTTGTTCGCATGAATTTTATGACTCGAAGCATTGAACAGGCATTGAATGCAATTGGTATCCCTTACATTGTGGTAAGAAAAGAAGCAGAGGATATGAATGGATATGCAATAATACTTTTGTTTTATATAGGTGGGCGGTGTCAAGTTCTTTGAACGTGCTGAAGTCAAGGACATCCTTGCGTATCTACGATTCTTTTACAATCCCAATGACACTGAGGCATTCGAACGCATCATTCACAAGCCTAGACGTGGTGTTGGCGAGGTCACACTTGACAAGATGCAACAGCTGAGTCGAAGAAATGGATGGAATGTCATCAAAGTCTTGCGTGAATTGACGGCAAGCAAGCCCTCTCCTGATCTCAACATGACTGTGTCCTCCAAAGTCAAGCAAAATCTACGTGAATTCCTTGCTCTATTTGAAGATATCCGGCGCTTGATGAAAGAAAAGGTGTGTGCGTGTGTGACACAAGCAATGTACCTTTTGCTAACTATAGCATCTAGGCTCCGGTTTCTGAAATGTTGCAATACATCATTGATGCAATCGAGTACGAAAAGTACTTGACGTCGCAACACCCTGATAAAGATGGCGAATCGCGATGGGGCAACGTTGGTGAATTGATCACGTTTGCAAAGTCGGCTTTTGATCCACCCAAAGTGACCGTGTCTGAAGATGGTGAAGAGATTCAAGAAGGGGGTATGTTGGATGAAGATCGTGGACATGCTCTTGAAGACCGATTGAGCTCTGGCTTGTAAGTATAAAGGCATGATTCGATTTCTGCTTTATCCATTGATGGCATCATATAACACTTAGCTTGGTAAATCAAGATCGTGTGTCTGCATTCCTGGAAGCAACGACATTGGCTGGCAACTCACAAGAACATGATAAAGCAGACCATGGTGTAAGTTTTTTTATGCTCTTTCAAAATGCTTCTAGAGCTGACAATATCTCTTTACTACTACTTAGAAAGTGACCATTACTACCATGCACAGCGCCAAAGGTAACTATCGATCAAACGTACCATAATACTATACTGACACCTGCATAGGTCTCGAATGGCCGTGCGTCTTTGTGATGGGTTGCGAAGGTGGTATCATTCCACATCCCAAAGCAGATGAAATGGAGGAATGGTAAGTGGTTAATACCCTTCAAAAAAGTGGCATGCTGAGATTTTTGGATGATCGTAGCCGACTTTTATATGTTGCAATGACCCGTGCTAAGGGTGAGTATGGAAAGGATATGGAAGACAACAAGGATGTACTAATATGGAATGGCTATATTAGCATTTCTCTACTGTACACATGCTCTCGAACGATCCAGCTGGGGCAACATGAACAAAACCAATATCACCACCTTTTTGGAGAAGTTGCCCGAGGATGTCTATGTACACAAGACACCGGATTGGAATAAGGAATCACGTTCATGGGTTTCCAAGGTGCTGCGACTAGAAGCCCCCGTTGAAGATGGTTTAAAGGATAGTCCTGGTGCCGAGGTGTGGGCTGTCAAAAAGTAAGTTTTTGTTATTCACAGCGAATGAAATCCAAGAGTTGACCTTGTGCAATAGGAACGAAAAGCTCGGATGGGGTGGAGAGTATTGCTCTGATGAAGATGAATTTGAGTATGGGGGTTCTGGATCATACAATCGTTGGAATGGATATGAGGGACGTGCAAGCTTCCCATCGACTCGAAGGAAAAAACCAGTGTTCACTTCCTCTATACCCACAAGTGCTATCAGCTCTCAACCTTATTCCACGTTCACAAGCGCAGGTTCTGTCAAGGAACAAGACCGTAAGCGAGGCATGAGTACTCCCAGGACAACAAAGCGAATCAAATCTGAGAGCACCCTTTAAATTAAAAGACTACGCACATGCTTTTCCCATTTATCCTCTATAAAAGGCTCATTTATTCAATTGCAATGTTCTTTGTGAATGGCATCACCTGACATCACACACGCCATGGTCTCGTGAAGGGCTGCAACAAACACCTTCCCCACGTTTTTCCTTTTCTGATAAACTCCTAATATCCCCCCTTCCCACGGGCGTACACTCTTTCTCTTTCACATATGCCATGACTCCCGATCAAGAGATTAAGCAGCATAAGCGGAAGAAGGTCTCGCTTGGTAAGTAGTGTAATAGTCAACCCATTCCAAGTACGACGTGTTTCTTAGTGCTCATTTCTCTTCTCAGCCTGCGTCTTTTGTCGACGATCCCACATGACGTGCGATGAAGGTATGGTAGACGGTGGGGTGGGGAAAAGGGTAATAGGCTCTCTTATTAATGGTTGCTATGGCAAGGTCGACCATGTCAGCGGTGCATAAAGCGAAGTATTGGCCACATGTGTCACGATGAGCCTCGATCAAGCACATCCAAGAAAAACAATGGTAACCAAGGGCAACTGGATATGTTATTGTGTATCACTCATTTCTTCTTTGGTAGACACATCCTCATTAGCCATGAACAAAAAGTGTGTGTATACCAAAACTATCCTCGAGTGATGAATCAATGGGATTAACATGCTTCGAAATACATACAGTGAAGATGACAAGGCGACACAAGATCAGTTTTATCTTATTGCTGCTGATCCACATGATGGCAAGGTTGAAGACAAGCTCAACGAAGTGATCAATGCCAAATACGAAGCAGGCATCCTCAAGCCTTACAATTATGTGAATGGATACGCACGGTTACAGCGATACATGGATCAACAGTATGGCAACAACGCTCTTTTCTCAGCAAGTTCTCTCTCTCACTAACGTATCCTTTGTTTTATAGCATGACACCGAGTAGTCGACAACGTATCCTTAATGTGATGGGTGCCTTCCGACCAGCATTTCGTGACGTGGCTCAAGCATTAACCGATGTGGATTTGATTTTGGTTGAAGAGGCATTTGAGCGACTCTTGTTGGTATGAGTAAGGAGGCATTAGTAGTATCGGAAGGATGAAAGTGAATATTCATTGAGTCATTCTCTTTAGGATTATGATCGTGTTTTTACTGCTATGGCTGTACCAGCTTGTCTATGGCGAAGGACAGGTGAGATATATAAAGGGAACAAGGAGTTTGCTGATTTGATCAATGTCCCGGTCGAGCAGTTGCGTGATGTAAGTTTTCTCTCTATGTGATGGGATCCTTTTATCGTACATTAACGACGACGTTAGGGACGACTTTGCATCTACGAATTGATGGTAGAAGATTCGACTGTGAATTATTGGGAGGTGAGAGAGCATTGGCTTTCTGTGATTGCGAAGTGAGGTTTAACCATCTCATTTTCTTAAAGAAATACAGCAACGTTGCGTTTGATCCGTGCCAGAAGGCCGTCCTAACATCGTGTCTCATCCAGCCTCGGTCAAGCAAAGGAGCACCACTTGTATCATGTTGTTTTTCTTTTACAATCCGGCGTGATAAATTCAACATGTAAGTGATTTACTTGCATCAGTGATTGGATTTTGTACTTATAGTACCATGTAGCCCGGTATGATTAGATAGAATGATTCGCATCAAAAGATGGACCAGGGTACACTAATCAATACGAACCTTGTAGACCCTCATTGTTGGAAACTTTATGCCAGTGGATACCCAGCCTTGAAGCTACTCTCTTTACCAGCAATTGATATCAGTATTTCATCATCCACCACCTTACTCTACATTGTTGAGGCCTGAGACGCAAATAAACATGCTTATTAAATCTCTCAAAAGACTCTTTTTTAATTTAATTTTGACAGCTACGGCTTGTTGATCATATCTCCGTCGACTTACATAAGAAATGAAGCATCCTTTATGATAGACGCAGTTGAGCCAACTTTTAATTTTCGAGAGAGGCAATCACTTTTCGGTGCCAGTGATCTCATCGGCATCCAGCGCCATGATCAAACGACCGTTTATAGTAACGTCTGCACCGGATCGTCTCCAATCTTGATCGCCGTCATAAAGCGTGGCAGAGGCAATCATACATGTGATGGAACGATTGTTCACCGAGAGACAATTTATCTTCCTCAAGGCAATGAAAGATATCAGTGACATGGCGGCGATGATAGATGTGAAAATGATCAAGCCGGTGGTGTCATAGCCATCTTGACTACGTATATGGCGTAGCCTTAACGAGCCGGATGGAGCTGCTAGGTACATGGCTAGTTGACTTAGGCGAAGATCGGAAAAGGTACGATTAAATTGGTGTATCAGACCTTCGCTGCCCTTGTAGCCGAATGATCGCATCACAAACTTTGTTGCCATTTTGTCGTAATAAGTATCTGGTGTTCTAATAGCAGGTAAAGTAGCGCCCAAATCATACAACAGACTCGACCACAAGGTGATGTTGTCCTTTGGAACGTAAAAGCTGTTATCCCAAAGGCTGTAGTATGCATATTGTATGTCGACACGAAAATTGACCAAAATCGTTTTATAGTCATACGCCATAATAGCGTAAATCCACATGGTATTGTCGTTAATATGATCGTCAAATTCGACGATGATAGACGACATGTTGTTTGATACGTTCAAATCATGCAAAGAGAGTGCACAGTCGTTTAAACCGTGGGTGATATCACACGAAGCCAATGCTGACACAAGCGATACGTAGACAGCGCTAGCGTTATGAGTATACAAAAAGGTGCTATTTACCTCGTGATAAGGTAATAATGGATCCATGTTGAAAAGCGGATAATTGCGAAGGGACAAAAAGTAATCAATGGCTATGTCAGCATCAATAAACGCTTGTAAAGTCACGCCAAGAGAATCGGGTGTGAATGTTGTTGTGTTGAAGATGTACTTCGAACCGCTGTGGTATGTCAATGATAGAGCCGGATCATTGTCTATTTGCACGATCGAAGGTGACACTGATTGTTTCGGTAGAGGGTCCGGTAAAAAATCGTGAAGATCACAGCGTTCATCAAAATAGCCACTTAGCGAGGACATAACGTTCGTGTATAATGGCGTGGGGATCTCTTTGACGAGGCATGAGATATCAACGTCGTAAGATCTATCATAGATCGATTCATGCGTTATAGGGTGCAATAGAGATAATCCTATAGTGGGCATGTATCCAATGACCAGGCATAAGAAAAGGTACAAGATCAACATGGCTCCTCGTATCGATATCCAGGAATTGTTGTATTCCGAAATACACTGAAGCATCGTTTTGGATGTCGTGACCAGCCAGTTAAGGTCACCATGAAGGGTTGTAGAAAGCACGACCACATACAATAAGTATGTTACCAACCAACGAGCAAGATCCAAAATAAGAGTGGTCAAAACGATTGTAGTGAACATTATAGGACCATTGAGGGGTACGTGTGTAAATGTTAATTGAGCAGTAGAAGGAGAACAAGAAACTGTAATCGAAGATTCTTAGATATCAAGCTGAGTCTGGATGATGGTTACAGCTTGAGGAAGATACGTCGAAAATCGCAGTGCCCTTGTTGCACAGTACTCACATATAAAACTTGAACGTACTCATCCTTCAATACCTTGTGTAGCTTTTGGGTGATATTATTCATAGCCCGCCGATGGATTGGGCATGTCCTATAGTACGGGGTAAACAAAGGTTATCGAGATTGATTCATGTCGTGCAAGAAAGTTAAATGTAGCCTAATAGTAGCGGTGGGATCTACCCTTTGAGAACAATGGTCTCTGGTATATTGATAGCAGACAATTCTCGAGATTTATGAGGGTCAATGGTAGTTCAAAAGATACGGCTTTTATTTACATGTCGTTTAACAAGCATGTGAGCTAACTCTTGGATCAGCAACGTGGACGCGGATGGGTGCCTTTGTATCACACGCACCTTTGTGCACTGCATAATATCTGAGAGTCTACGGTAGACGCATTTGCTAGGATGTCATTGATAACCTTTACTAGTTTATTTCATGATCAAATACAAAAGTAGCTCTCAAGATGAGTGGGGTTGGGGTATGGATTGTCTCTGACAGCGGGTGTATTTTGAGTAGCAAACGGAGACTCAATATGCATGAGTGAACTTCTTTTTCTTGTCCTTTGCCATGAACCACGATGCCGAGTTTTTCAACGAGAGCCAGGAGGCCATGAAGGAACAGTATTCAGCATCAGCTATTCCAGAAGAACCAAAGAGAAAAGCAACACCTACTTGTTCGACATCAACACAGCAGGACAATGACCGCAATGCTTCTCCTGACAAGCATGAGCACGCTTCGTTTTCCAATGGTCGTTTTGTCATGAGCAGTTTCCAACTTTACGAGACCAAGACTGTAAGCGAAGGTTGGGGGAAAGGATATGTGCATGCCTATGTAGGAGACTAAAGGATGGTATAAAAAAAGCGATACTATTTGGTTGGCACGAACCAGTCGAGGCAACGTTATCGAGTCCTTCAAATCCATCGCACGAATCCCAAAGAGTTGACAGTGATTGAAGATGAAGCGGTTTACACGGAGAACGAGAAGACGTGGCTATTGAAGATGATCGAGGATGGCAACTTGGCTGTGGGTGGATTGCAACCTGTGCCTATGCGCATTTACGGCATTGTGGGATTTATCCGTTTCACCGAAGGATGGTACATGATTTTCATCACCAAGCGGAAGCAAGTGGCGTTGCTGGGAGGACATTATGTGTACCACATTGATGAAACACGACTCGTCCCTGTGGGTCATCAGGTCAAAGTCGACAAAAACTCGGATGAAGCAAGGTAGTTATTTCTCGAGCCCCATGATGATAGGAAGAGAGAGAGAGAGAGAGAGAGAGAGAGATCCTTACACTCAAAGTAGATACATTGCAACCTTCCAGAATGTCGACATGACAAAGAACTTTTATTTTTCATACACATACGACCTTACCAACAGTCTCCAAGTCAACATGACAGGACCTGGCAACAACCATGGTGGGCATAGCAACAGCAACAACAACAAGACGCCTTTCCGATACAATGACATGTTTGTTTGGAATCAATACCTGCTCAAGTCTGGATTCAAGGATATCAACAGTCAATCAGGGTGGATCCTTCCTCTTATTTATGGATTTGTGGATCAAGCAAGTAAGATTACCCAATGCATTGATTCATTCTTTTACTGACTTAAGGAAAAACAAGAAATATCGGTGTTTGGTAGAAATGTTGTCATCACTCTAATTGCAAGGCGCTCACGACATTTTGCTGGTGCTCGATTTTTGAAGCGTGGTGTCAATGATATGGTAATGTTAATGGGCTCATGTTATTATATGCTTGACTAACAAAGAATTCAAAGGGATACGTTGCGAATGACGTTGAGACCGAGCAGATCGTTGCTGAGATGACTACGACCTCCTTTCACTCTACCGACAAGCTCTTTGGCAACCCAAAATACACCGCCTATGTTCAACATCGTGGCTCTATTCCTCTTATCTGGACACAAGATCCAACGAATATGTCTCCAAAACCACCGATTGAACGTAAGTGCTCAGGATGGAAAGCCGAACACGGATGAGCTTATGGGTTTTTATATGGCAGTCAATGTGGTGGATCCCTTTTATACTGCCGCAGCATTGCATTTTGAGAATCTCTTCCATCGATATGGGACGCCATGCATCGTTCTTAATTTGATCAAGGTATTATTATACTTGGGGATTCACCACGCTTAAAGATGAGGAGCTAATCCCTCTCCCTTTCTAGCAAAAAGAGTCCCACAAACGAGAATCAATCCTAGGACACGAATTTGAACAAGCCATTTCCTACCTCAACCAATTTTTGCCCAAGGATAAGCAGATAAAGTACATTGCGTGGGACATGTCAAGAGCATCCAAAAGGTAAGCATGAATGCGAGCATGAAAATGTCATTGAAGTGATACATATGGGTAGCAAAAGTCCGGATCAAGATGTCATTGCCACTTTGGAGACCATTGCCCAAGAGACCATTGAGACCACAGGATTCTTTCATAGTGGCCCTGAGCCTTATGTCAATGTGATGCGAGACGACAAGAGTAACCGGTAATATCATTTTTGTTTTTGGGTGGTGCCACCTTGCATGCTAATGCTTCATCTATTTGTAGTAAAGCAAGACGACCAAACAAGGATGGCTCTTCTCGACAATTTGGTGTGCTAAGAACCAATTGTATCGATTGTCTCGATCGTACCAATGCTGCCCAATTCCTTATGGGAAAATGTGCCTTGGGACATCAACTATACGCTTTGGGAGTCATTGCATCACCCAAGATCGACTTTGATTCGGATGTAGTCAACATTTTCACTGAAATGTACCATGATCACGGTGACACCATTGCCTTACAATATGGCGGATCACATCTCGTCAATACCATGGAGACGTATCGCAAGATCAACCAATGGACAAGTCATCCACGTGATATGATTGAAACCATTCGACGCTTTTATGCCAATGCATTCTCAGGTAAATTTGGGTTTGGATGATCTATAAAATGGGATATTGATCACAATACTACTTTGTAGATGCGGATAAGCAGGATGCGATCAATCTCTTTCTTGGCAACTTTGTTTCAGAGGATGGACAACCTATGCTATGGGAACTCAATTCCGATTATCACCTTCATAATCAAGATCCAAGGATTCAACCTCCTCGAAAAGAGTAAGTCGGTACATTCTACGTCGTATGATCTATATAGACTTACAGATAACAATAGCTACCGTAAATGGTGTTCAACCGATGTATTGGTGGAGAATGTGCAAGATGCCAACCGCCCGTTGACGGAGATCCCGCCCGAGTTACGCCAAAATGATACCATCCAACCTGATGAAAGTGATCCGTATCGTGGCTATTGGGTGGAGTACTATGATCCTACCAAGCTGACTACGCTCGACACATTATTTGCATACAACATGAATGGCACCTTAAAGTATCGGCCCCCTAGTCTCGCAGTGGCTACAGGAAAATGCGAGAACCAGTAAGCGTTCTTGTAATCATCGACGACGTGGTTACTGATGAATTAATTGAATACAGGCTTTCCAAGCAATTGGCACATAGTATCAGCCCATTCACTGTGCGCGTGATTCCACCAACTCGAGCAGCCACCTTGACAGATGCAACAGTGGTTGAAAAAGAAAGCAAACAAGAATCTTCCGTATATCGAGAAAAAGAAGGATGGATGGTGGAAAAAATGGTTCGTAGAACACTGGAGCCAAGTGTACCAGAAGCAGAGGAAAATGAATACAAAAGGTAAGATTCAATCGGTTGTCTCATTAATTCGCCCCTTTTCTTTGACTCGTCTTTTTCTTTTAAAGATATACCCAGCAATTCGGATCCATAGACAAACTTGTGGCTGTCTCGAATGCTACCGATGTTCAACAACAAACGTCGTTCCCCGAATACCAGCAGTACTTTGATTGCACCTCAATGACTGATAGCAACCTACAAACCCAATCCATCGATGAGCAAGTATACAAGACCTATGTGGATATTCCAAGACGAGTGGCAGCAGTACAAATGTCTCGAGAATGGAGTGGTAATGCACGACGACGATACGAGGGTTATGCTTCTTATCTCAAGACGGGACATTATCCACAAGCCAGTAGTTCTCATCATCACAATCAGCATCATCATCATCATCATCACCATCACCATTCGCATCAGCCACCTCATAATAAACAACAACGACAACAACAACGGCATCAGCAACAATCCCTTCAAAGCAATGTCTTGAATGCTACAACAGCAGCAGCTGCCGCCATGATTGGATTTGCAAGTAGATGATAAAGTACATAAATGGTTTTTTTTATTAAACGGCCCATGAAGCTACTTCTTCTGTCTCATCATCGCCAATAAAAGGTTGATCAATGGATCGAATCATGATATCGCCACATAGAGCACATTCACCAGCTACAATTTCATCCAATTCTTCCCTTAGCAATTCGCTTTGTGTCATTGTACTCCTTGGATCGCCATGAACTTCAGTCATGGATGCAGCTGCTTCATGGGCTGAGATAACTTCTCCACGTGCTGTGTTTGATTTGCCCTTTTTGCCACGGCCCAAATCCTTGGAAAGTTGCTCTCGAATATAGCGTAATCGGCGGATTTGGCGAACGGATAAGAATTGAGAGGTCTATACAAGTACAATAAGTATTGGGTAGTACTTTTTCCCCCCTTTTACAAGTTACCTGATCCATAAGACAATCTGCGTGGAACGCATGTTGACAAGGGAAGATGTAAAATTGTCGTGTCAATAATGGGAAACTGCAAATATAGCATTTTTCTACTGCATTCACCAACGCGAATCTATCACATACACATACACATGTTAGCCATGTTTTCGTTCTCCCTGTAAAAACGATCCTACCTGTTTTTCAATTCACGGATATCCAGGCGAATACTCTCTGAGCTTTTGGTTGCTTCATCCATCTCAGCCTTAAGTTCCTCAATATGAATATTGTATTCCTCCAAGGCATTGCATATCTCTTCCTTGAAATCGTCAATGAGTACAAAGTCGGGAAAGAAGGGCAAAATATCCTCAATCTTGAGAAGATCACTCTGCTGCAAAAACTCCATGGCACTAGACAAGGTTTGGATCAGCTTCATCCCATTTCCTCGTTATCCATTCCTTACGTCTTGATATCATTGTTCTCATGCACCACGTGTTTTGCAATGCTGAGCCATAACTTTTTGCGTAGAGCATCATCATCCTCGGGTTTATCAGCATTGATACGCGCCAGTTCGAGATCATGATACTAAAATGCATTGTTGGTGATGACATAAACTCAAAGTACAACCATCCCACACACTTACCTTGAGCGCAAGGTTCACGGCTTCTTCATAAAGACCCATCTGGCTATAAATATGGACGCAGCTTTGTGTTCGGCCATTTTGCGTACAGAGTCGAAGCGCATAGTCGAGATTATAGTGCATATCACGACCCTAATTTTGCGATAAGTCGACATGTCAAAAGAGCGAAAAAGAATACCACATACCTCATTCTTTAAAAAGGTGAGCAATGCGGTTTCATCCGGTGTGGGTTGGGTGGCATAAAGCGTGAGAAGGAGATTGTGGATAGCGGGATCCGTATTGCGAAGGGTGGTGACGACATGGGAGAGGTATCGTATGGCTTGATTCTATAGGTAATACGTTTAATCCCACATGGATTGGATTGATTGAGACAAAGCACGTACCTGGGTAACTTTATCGGATATCCGCTTATGATCGTATCGCAATAAAGATGGGATCAATTGGCGTGGGTTGAGATTGGGTTGTCGCATCCACACGTTGACAGTCTCATACGGTGCATTTTCCATCAAGACAGGAGAAAACTTGTAAAAGATATCAGGATTGGCCTAATACAATAAAAGTGAGTCAACATGGATGCATCCTTTTTACCCAATACAATGATTACCTGCTTGGCAAGCACCTCGAGTGCCTTTTCCCAATCCTTTTCCACTATCCAGTGACTAATGACACGCTCATAATCCTCGATCAACGCAGCATAATCCAACAACTCGTCGTTTCGACCATGGCTGGAGATGAGCTTGTAAGTAGTCGGCTTGTGGAGGATGTTGCAATACGTTTTCAAAAACAAATGAAACTCGTCACGAATTTCTGCTAGTTGTTCCTTGTAGTACATGCTATCATTGTGTTGTACTGCAGTGGCAGCAGAGGTGGTGGTAGTCCCATTGGTAGTGGCGGTGGTAGTCGTAGTAGTGGTTGCATCTCCATTAGTGGTGGCGGTGGTTGTACAATGAACTGACGACATTAAATCTTCCAACTCATTCATTTTGGATAAGTATAGCTCCACCAGCCATGTCGCCAAGATCGTTTTTTGTGTACGATCCTATATCAGAGGTGAGTAAATCCATCCCTCCATCCATCAAGATCCACATCTCATGTTACCTTTTTCCTGAATCGTTCCAATTTGTTATTGAGATAAGTCCGCAAAGCATCACGTTCATTCTTTTCCACGAATTTGAGAGCCACCTCTTCAAAGGGCACCGTGCTTTCTGCAAAGTAGCGTGCGCTCATCTGATACCTCCTCAGGGAGAAATAGTCACGTGCTTGGGCCGTATACACCTTATCCTTCTGACCAGGATCTTTGCAATATTGCAATGCCGTATCGTATTGGCCCTTCTCCAAATAGAGCTTCCATACATCCCTTTCCTCGTTTTCAATGCTGAGCTCGTATATGGTTTGTGTCGTGTAGATCCAAAATGTGCGCTTAATGTCATCGACTGCCATACCAAGCATGATCTCGCCGTCGTTCTACATGAACCATTTAATCATTGGAGTCTCAATTTCTTGGATTCTCGACTTACAATGGGTATATGTTCTTCGTACACAATTTGATCATTGAGCTGGCATACGGCACGTACTCGATCCTTGTATAGAAGGATAAAATGGAATTCGGTCAAGGCGACTGAAATAGGAATCTCTGTCACAAGTTTGCCCGTCTCATCTTCAGAAGGTGTTGCAGGATACCTAATTCAATGTAAGTCTATCAAATCATGAGTAGACGAGGATGGTGGTTACTTACTGAAGCAGCTGGACGTTATCAATGACGCTATCACCAACGCCTTGTGATCCAAAGACCAAATCTCCATGATATATACCAGGGCCTAGTAATGTTGGTGTTAATGGAGATTACCTCATACCCCCATTCACTTTATACCTGTCAGCCATGCAAATGTTTGTGCAACACCTTGCTGTTGTAATTCGTGAAATCGACTGAAAAAGTGTAATTCGCTGTAGGGCAATTCTCCTGGTAGTTCCTGAAAACCTACATGATCCTTCCTCATTAGAATCCCATCTCTCTCCTCTTCCTTTTCCTTTGTTTACTTTACCAGGATTCACATCATAGTTGGAGAACATGGCTTCGAACAGGGCCTTTTCAGCGGCACGATTATCTTCACTTTCGCCAAATCCAGGAGAAGATCTTGATCCATTACTGTTGGTGGATGGGCCGACATAGCCGACAAACTGGTAAATGCGAGTGGGCGTGGTAGCCATGGCGAAATACTTTCGATTGTTGACAGGGAATTGCTCAAAGTATAATCCAGTGATGGGCATGGTGGACTCGTGCATGGAATAGATTTGCTTGAAATACTTTTCCTCCCTTCGAAAGAATTCATCGGTAGGTTCAAGGCATGTTTCATAAATAAGACCATTGGTGGTGCCAATAAGGATTTCACGTGTAGATGGATCTGTCAATGTAGCTTGTTTGTTCCATGCCACGGATGAAATGGTGACGCCCTTGAATAAGATGAATGAGGATGGTGGTGGATGCTCTCTTTAAGATATGATGCTTACCTTGAGCTTGGATAATTGCTTGGTACGTCTCCATTTTTCATACAAGTAAAAGTTCTCACCATGATCGGTAGTGATGATCAAATGACGGCCAGTAGGATCAAAGAACACTTTGGATATCTTGCCATCACTCGCTTTACGTGTAATTTCAATCTCTATATGTACATCCCTATTAGCATAGTACACCCCTTGCTCAATGTCCAAGCCTACCTTCCACTTCGAGTGAATGATCAAGGTCGATACGCAATATCCGGAATGTTTCAAGGGCCATGACAAGAATGTTGTTGGACACAGCCATATCAACGAGCGGTGCTGGTAGTTGAAACTGGACATAGTTCAAAGCAAAGATAGGAACGTCTGCTTGGCCAAATCCATTGGATACAGAGACATAACCGGTTTCTAACTATTCGACAGCGTGTGTGTATCGGTTAGAACGAGATGCAAGATTGTGACATGAAACAGCAACGTATTTACCCGCACATTGTCTCCTCCACCTTCAAATCCCGTTCCGTATCCATTGGGAGCCGCGTACACATCACCAAATGACGCAGGGACTGGTGCGAGTGAAGCCTCTGTAGACTCATTAAAGTCGTCGATAAGAGACATGTGACGCCAAACAGTGAATGGGCAAGGGAAGTTGTGTTATATAGATAATGTTTCAGTAAAGGAGCAGACCCGATGTGGATATGTGTGTGCCGCGTCGGCATCCCAATTTAAAAGCGACACACCTTGGTAGTATAGGACGTCCCTTTTGGACTATGCATTGACTATTGTTTGCATCATTTGTCATAAAGAGATTATCTACCATGATACGTCTATCCTCCTCATTCCATTATAAACAGTGATCTCATTAGCCAGTGTTTGCCTATTTGACCACCTATCATTATTGTTCATGTTTACTTTCAAGGGTCATCCAACTCCCAAGTAGAGTCAAGGAGATCTTGAAATCATACAACCTAATAAAGTACATTCAACCTCATCATCCTCATTCGTATCATCAGCGTTGGTATGAAAATATAGAAGGGGTATCCAGCGAGTAGCGATATTCATTTTATTTAAGGAACAAAGTAGTATTTACTAGGCACTATGAGGGCATTTCCAGTACGTTGATGCGTCATGAAGCACTTGCAAACCCCAATCGATGGTAACATGGTTGTTCCAAGTAGCGTGGTGGGTATCATGGCAACATGGAGTGAGGGAAAAAATGCATGAGTGATTGGCTGAATGAAACCCAGCTGAGTAGTGTGGATGGCTGAGACTGGCATTACAAGTTTTCTTCTTTTGCTTCCTTGATCGATCTCGTCCCAATGTCATCGTCATTCCGCAACGCAGTCAACAGACGCAACCACAAGGAACGTGGTCAACTTGCAGGTCGTCAACGACTCGGCCTCTTGGAAAAGAAGAAGGATTACCTCTTGCGTGCCAAGGATTACCACAGCAAACAAAAACGACTCAAGGTCTTGCGAGAAAAGGCCCTGTTCAGAAACCCTGATGAATTCTACTTTAAGATGATCAATTCCCGGACAAAGGTAAATCCACCTTCAACAACCTTGTCTTGAAAAACAATGACTGAGCCTTTATTCGATATAGGGAGGTGTCCATATCCAAGAACGCAACAATCAATTACCGGATGAAATGGTCCAGCTTATGAAATCACAAGATAAAAACTATATTCGATTGCATCGAGATATCAGTAAAAAGGTACATGCATGCATGCATATCAGAAGGGGAGGAGAACTAGATCCTGACGCATACAATAGAAAATGGAAAGGTTACGAGATTCATTGCATTTTATCGACCAAGATGAAGACGAGGAGGATGAGGATGAGGATGAGGCACCAACAAAGAAAAGCAATCACGTTGTATTTGTCGATTCACAGGAAGAAGGTAGAGTACATGCGTGTGTGTATATGTGTGTGCTTCATTGTATACTCATTCATCCGTTTTTACAGCCAAGAAATTTGATCCCGTCAAACATCTCGACACAGTACCTGAGCTTGTCAATCGCAAATTCAATCGACCACGTATCGAGACATTAAAAAAGAACCCCATTTTGGCACCTGAAAACGCTACATCACTCAAGGTAAAAAGTCTATTGCACCTGCTTGGTTTCATTCGATCTAATGTTGAACCGACTCTAGGAATGGAAGAAGGAAAGAGAGGCAAAGTACAAGGAATTCACAGCCCGTGATAAGAGGGAAACGGATTTAAGTCGTGTAGAGCGCGAGTTGGAGATTCAAAAGGCATTAAGGGTAAGCGATTGGATTATCATGAATACGAGGGGGAGACCAAGTACTAAGTTTTTATTTGGTTGTAGTCCAAGGGAGCTAGAAAGAAAACCGGTGTCGATGCACTTGGTCTACCTGTATACAAGTGGAAAGCAAAACGCGCAAAATAAATCCATTCATTTATTCGATTACTGCTTCTTTACTTTGATATCGCTTGTGCTTCTTTGCTGTTGAATAAACAATTGGACTAGGTAACGGGTAAAGATGAATGTGGTAGTGATGAGAGCAAACAAGCCGAGGTACAAGTCATAGTTGTTACGCTTGAAGAAGGATAGGTTACGTGCAATATCACGACGATGTGGCAAATGGCCTTCACTATCAGCTGTATACACCACCTCTTCGACAATATTGGCAGCACGATCAACACTATTTCGGCCATGGATCTGAACCAATGCTTGATACTTGTCGACGACTTTTTGCATATGACCCTCTTTATCTTCCACGACACGACGCAATTTCTCGGTCATACGATGGGCATCAAGCCTGTCATCAGTATGCGTGAGCCATAATCCAGCACCTGTGCGCTCAATCAATTTGGCATTTGCAAATTGATCCGTCATAAAAGGATAAGCGAGGATTCGTTTGCCTTGGTACATTGCTTCAAACAGCGACATGATGCCTGCGTGGCTTACAAAGCTGATCACTGAAGGATGTCGTAAAATAGCCATTTGGGGTGCCCATGATACAACCTTGCCAACATCCGTAAACTTTGTGCTGTTGAGTAGATAGTGGGTGCCTGATGCACTTGTCACATGATCCGGTAGAGGAGTGCCCTTGGTTGCTGACCAAATAAAGCCATCCAATACGCCTGCCTCGTAATTGTTGAGTAGCATTTGTAATACACGTGTTGATTCTTGATGATCCTTGGATTGTGTATGCTGACCAAAAGCAACATACACCACGCTCTTATGTGTGTCAAGGAAAGAGGCCAATTCAGGTGTTAATGGATCAAAATGATCGTTGTAGATAGGTCCTACAAGCTCCACTAATGGTCCCATAGGTCTTGGGTCATCAAAGCCGTACAAATTATTCACCAATTTGACTGCATCTTGCCATCCATCTTTGGGGTTGAGACCAAGTCCAAGCGAATGCAACATGTAAAGATACCGAGCCATGTTGGGTCCAGCATGCCACAATAATTGGATGGGCCATATGAAGCGTTCATAGAATCGGTAGCTATACGACAAGTGCTCCGTGTTACTTTCCATCATGGTGAATGGGCTCTTGTTGATGTAAGCTAACTCGGCCTCTAGTGTTGTTGTGATATTACCCTCCCCATTAGCATTGTCTCTTTATTACCAATACCATGCCCACCCTATTATGTGTGTACCTGGCGACTCATTGATCATCATCGTAATGATAACCGGACGTTTGGTCTCTTTGGCAGCATGGATACAAGCAAAGGAAATGTGGTCGCAAAGCACAACATCGATGGATTGGGATTCAATTACTTGCCGGAACGCATGGTAGTCTTTTTTAATAACAAACGTCAGCCAATATGTAGCAAGATAATACGATGGCAGCAGACTTACATGATGCATAATTGCTTGCCGTCAAATCAACGATACCTGCAATAGCGTCAAAAGGCATGGGTGTCATGGTATGATACATTGAGTGATTTACTGCTACAGAAGTATCTCCAATGGAGATTCCTTTGATATAGGGCCGCTGTCGACTGAAACGGAGGTTGTTTTTCTATAGATGGTAATATCGCTGTTAGCATTGGATCGATCTTTTAGTGCCATCGCACTTTTCTTATACTTGCAGTGGTAGCATAGGTGATCTTGTGTCCTCGCCTATCAAGTTCGTCTAATACTCGCATCACCCAGCTATGGTGTGAGGAACCTCCCATATTGGCACCAAACATGATGTTCTTGGGTGTACTTTGAAAATGTGTGAGTGGATCCAATTCTTGCATGATGTCGTTCAATCCCCGAGCGATGTTTTGCTCAGAGCTGTTGGCTACAGCCAACATGAACAAGTAGGCCGTAACCCAGAGAATCGAAAAGAGCAATAGCATGATAAAGAAAGTGGTTAAGAGTGCACTGAGTAGCCCATAAGGAATATCTTTAATACATTTGTCTTTCCATACGCCGTGTTGTTGTGAGTCAAATTTATCGGATGCAAACGTTACACATGGCTGGGTTGCATAGCGTGTGCGAGGCTTGAATGTGCGTGCTTCCGTGTATACCACCAACGATCATTTAAACCGCCTTGCCGAAATAGAGCTTAGCGCAGTTGTCTCATTCCTCATGAACAAGCTATCCCAATCTCGGTACGAAAGATGAACAAACAAGATCGAGGTATGTGGATAAAGAAAAGGGTTTTACAATCCTGCGCCACGTGGTATGTTGTGGGATAAAGATGATCCTCTGGCTCCGTGATGAAACAACTTTACGGTTTTAACATGGGATGACAATTCTTCTCCAAGTCAGCTGACTCCATAGCAATACATCTGGATGACTGGATCTAAGGTTGTGTGTTCCTTTTTTCCTCACCTAGCATGGTGGGCTTCTCTCTTTAGCAAAGCGCTACTCCTCCTCAAGTATCCATCCAGGGTTTTTAAAGTTACTTTATTATTGCTCCAAACATCACTACACGATACTTTGATAAGCTCATCTTTCTGTCACGTCGATAAGAAGAAACAATCAACGATCCTTGCTGCACAGCTGTTATTGACGTATCGAGGTATTCGCGATTGAGCCTTGTGCATAAACGCCGCCGAGAATGGGAATCTCCGGTAAGCAAAACTCCACCGCTGTTGATCCGTGCACCCACCTTCCTCATATGGTTGATGTTGTTTGCAATAGAAGTCTCTCATCAAGGGCTCTGTTTGTTCAACATGGTAAAGAAGACAATGAAGAGATGGAATAACAAGGGATAGTCGTACATCACTTGACTTGCAAACATGACTATCTTAGTGGGGGGGGATGCCGCATTTGAAAGTTCCAAAACAAGACGCGTCAAAACGGGGCAACAAGTCCGAACCAGGAACACACCTTTTATTCTTCTACTTTTATATACGCACATCCTCGTCATTCCAAAACTGTCAACTAGAGAAGCACAATTGCGTCGTTTCTTTGAATTGAGGAGGATTGAAGAAGAGATCTATGCTGGTGTCAATGAACAAATGAACGCGATCGACCGTGCTCTTGGTCTGGCGCCGTGCTATATCGATGACGAGGAGCGAGAGCTGATTGAAGAACTTGACAAGGAGGCAAAGTTACTTGACCTGGAGGCAGAGATGATGGATGCAATGGAGTTCGGGCCAGAAAATACACTTAGTGCACAGCTTCAACGGATGGACTTTGAGTTTATTCAAAGGTTGATGTGTCCTCAAGTACCCAGCAAAAAGAAGAAGGGTGTCTCAGCACCTACAGCAACTCGTCATCCAGTAAGTGACACCATATCACTCTTTATAAAAGGTTTTAACGCGTCCTTTTGGTTATTAGAAAGAACCCGTGCATCGTGTTCGCAAGAAAGGCAAAGGGCATCCATTACGCTGGAAGAAGAGGATATCGCAAGAACCAAAAGGAGAAGCGGCTGTTGCGAACAACAAGGAACGCTGTACTACGACCCATGAGAGCACTCACGAATCCATGACACACTAGGTAAGCGGTCATGTATACTACTCTTTCATCATTTATCAATCTAACAGTCCTGAGGATTCATTAGATTGACGACGTTTGGCGGGTCATGAAGATCATGCATGGATGTCGTACCACCAACAAGTCATTCTCATCTCCAACAAAAAGGGTGTAACCATCATCTTGGACTCTGCTACCTCGTTCATCATCCACCGAGTCAGCTTTCATCTTAATGTCCTCTCCTAGTACAACGAATAAACAACAACTTTCATCAATCAGTCGCGACCTTCTTTCTTGCATGGACAACACTTCTCACGCCCACGTACTTGAAAGCACGGCTGTTGTCATCAACGTAATCAAACATCTCTTTCGTCTATTTGATTGCATATTCCATCAATGCCTTGTGGTAAGTGCTTATGTGGTAGCCATTATGAGATTCGTATGCATCATGTATTGATTGCTCTCGTCATTGTAGTTGCTTATCGTATTTGTAATTTGGTCTCAATTTCTGATGGATTTTTGTTGTCTACTTGTAAGACTATAACATCATTTCTTTCTCGTAAGTTGCATATTGATACGTCTTTGAGTAGTGAGTTGCTTCCAAAAAAAGAGACTACCTCCTGGGTCATATGCAAGCAGCAGAAGAAGGCAACTCCAGTTTGGGGAAAAGTCAGAGGCTCCTTTGATGGCACGAATCCCTCAGATCAAGGAATCCTGATATGCTGACAGAATTACAAGTCGTCGAGTGCTGAAAACCTTTCGGTTCAAGCGTTGTTGTCGTGTTCATGAATAATCAATCACGTGTACCCATCATCCAGGCTCAACTCGTGTATGGTTGTATCCTTGGTTACTATCCAATCCTAGTTTCCCGGTTCCTCTCCTCGAGAATAGATCTTCCCTATGTCGAGTACCACTTACTCATTCAACATCTCCTATTACAGCAACTACCATACACACCTCACAAGGCAGCGGATAAATCATTGAACCCACAAACAGTGAAGGATGCTATCAAACTGTAAGTAGTAATACGATCACATTACAGTGGATGCTGATGATGACTGTATAGTATGCTTGATCGAAGTATGCAATGCGTTGGATACTATACATCAAGGATCCCGCCTTATGGTACCACGACAACCAGCCGAGCAGAGGGTGTGCACGCTGATCTAAAACGAAGGTTGTTTATCAACGCGAAGCAATCTTTCACCGACACTTGAACAAGTTGCTGATTACTTTAAGCAAAAGGTATGTCGTGTGGTTTATATACAGGCTTTTGTATTGATGATGACTACAGGTTCAGGCATGGATTCAAGCACTGGATGAAGAGCACTATCATTTCCAAGACGTTTACCAGATCGCGTATCACCATTGTTTGGTCATGTATCAAGGCTTGCCACATTCAAGGTCTGCAACGAACTAAAAATTCAAAACGGACGCTATAGAATCCTACGTCATACTTGTTGCCAAATAGCTGAAACATGCATCTTTCGACATCGTCATTATAGTCATCTTTTCCTGAAATCTCCTTAATAAAGGGTCATAATGTAAGGGCCTGCATATTTAAAGGCTGTTGTTCTTGGTACAAAAATCTTTCTTTATTTCAGTAACCGTGTTCTTGAGATGCAGTGCGATGATCTTTGTGCTGCATGAAACCATGCAAAAGACGTCTTTCATCTGGTGCTCTTTTTTAACAACACAAAGACAGTGACCACGTATAATCACGAGGGAAGAAGTTATCTTGGATTCAACAAAATGTCCCATCTTAGCTCTTGGTCTGGAACGAGCCAAGCTACTACATAATGACTGAGGCTTACGATGGATACGGTTTGCTCATATTTGTGTTTGGGTAATAGCCGTGTTTTTCCCCTGCACGGAAGACCCCTAGATCATCAACTTCTCAATGTATGCCATATGTTCCATGGAACGACGCATGTGCTTCTTTTTTAGAACATCGCCTTGCAGATGAGAACCTTTATAGACCTGTAACACGCAGCTGTTGCATCCAACCCCTTGGTGGAGTTTTTGCTATCATTCCTTGGATCATTTCTGCCTCCAAGGCTATTGCACGAAGAACAAGGCAATCATGACGATGAATGAAGGAAATCAGGTAACACGAGCTTGGGCGGTAGCAGTTAACACCCTTTTCACTTTACAAGATTGGATCGACGTCTTGTAGAACTTATGCCATATGCCCGTTAAAATGATACATCATAGGGAGAACCCCGTTTGGAACATCTTATAGCAAGAGTTGCTTATAAAAAGGAGCTGGTGATGATGCAGTTGGCTGTACACATATATTCTGAACCTCACAATGAAATTTTTGTCCATTGCTGTCATTTGTGCGATCGTTTGCGCCACCAGCGTCACTGCCGTAGAAAACAAAGAGCAACAGCAAGGAAGCCAGAAACCATGCAATGAAAGAAACGAGCAAGAATGCAAGGGACGTGAATGTTTAGCAACCTATACATTGGTGGACAGGGCCGGTGGTAAGACAGCTCTTGAATGCTGGTGTTGAGCGTCGAATTGAAGTGGAGTATTGAGAATATCATTATGTATGTAGGGATCAGCGGTATTTGACAAGTGCTACGAAAATACGAGCGAAAATGATGTTAGATTTAGATCACCAGGGTTTAATGCACTTGGTTCTCAATAGTCCTATTACGTGTAAAAGTTTATACCCTTTGAAGATCTATAAATGGTTAATAGTGCCATGAACAAATGTGCGTATTTTCTTCCTTTTGATAAACATGCATAAGATCATTTCATTGTCTTCGTCTCTTTACCTCTCTCTCATCTGTAGAAGTGGATGCGATGTAACTTGCAATGAAATGCATCCATTATGCACCATCAATGTTCGTGCACAGACATCTTCTCATGATCTGGTGTGGTGGGGTGGGGAAGGAGAATAGATCCACTTTATGCCGACGCGGGACGTCATCGGCTCCTCTTTCTTTCTTTCTTTCTTTCTTTAGTATACTCACACACAACATACCCACGCAATCTCCCAATGGGACAGCATTCAAGTAAAGCCTCCACTGAAGCAACCCTCGAAGTACCTTCAGCTGATACGACATCGATCCGTACGGGACACCAGTCATCTTCGTCAGTGATCAGCGTGCCTCGCTCCATGTTCACTCAATGCAAGCACAAACTTTCGCGTATCGAACTTTATTCATTGCATCAGACATTCGACGAGCTGAAAACAATACAATCGGATCAGTTCGAGTGTATTGAAGTCAAGGAGTTCCTGGTAAGTGATACAAGAGTCCTAGTATCAAGGATGTTAACCTTATCTCTCTCTTTCTCTCGAAGGCACATTTGGATTTACCACGATCGATTGAACCAGCAGGGATTCTTTTATTCAAGTCATTTTCTTATCTTGGATCCTATGGCAACGGGCCACCCGCAGCGATTCGATTGACATTCCCAGCATTCGTTACTGCATTTGTCTTGTTGACGGGGAAAATGGATGACAATGATGAACATGCACACATGTTTGAAAGCATGCTCTTTGAATCACTTGCGATCCCTACTTCTTCGGTCTCCGATCATGATGATACGACAACATCACAACAGCAACCACCAGCAACAACAGCAGCAACAACAGCTGTGGAGAAGAAGGATGCATCCACTACTTCGACTCACAAAGGAGGATTATCATTGGCGGATTTGGGCGTGGACTTTAATGATTTGGATTTTGATACACTTGGAGATACCCATTCAGAACCATCGATTGATGATAGCAAGATTCTGACACGTGATTTGGTTTCCTTATTTGCGCTCTTCCTTTGGATTGCAAAGATGGAAAAGGAACAAGGTCTCACAGCAAGTGGCAGCAACATGCAAGATGCGCTTTCGACCACGGAGAATGAACAAAGTATGGCACAGCAGATCGTTCAATCCATGACAACAACAACAGCTACAACTACTACTAGCCCAAAGGATGATGATGATGATGATGATGATCAACAAGAGGCTGGACCCACCGTATCCGAGCACGCATTTTTTAATTGGCAGCGACGCAATGCACCTCATTTGTTTCAAACATTGCAATCCTTCATTTACAGCAAATTCGCCATTCATAATCAAGCCTCCTTCAATACCAGCAGCACCTTATCGGATCTCGTTTTGATGCAAGATGTTGTCTCTGTTCCTGATACATCGGATATCCTTACACTGCCTTATTGTGCTTTGTTGGCATGGAGCCCATTGCCAGACTTGGCACGTCAAATCAAGAAATGGCCACGACTGTACTCTGGTTATGAAGATGGATTTGCCATGAATCGTTTCGAAAGTCGTGTGTTCAAGTATCCAGGACCCACACTGGTCGTGATCCAAGGTGAAATCAAGGGGGTTGGAACAAAGACATGGGCATGCTATGTGGAGGACAAGTGGAAACAATCGAAACAACATTATTGGGGCAGTGATGCTTGCTTTGTTGCCGAACTTGCGCCTACATTTGAAGTGTTTTCATCCACGCATTGCAACTCCCAGTACATTTATTATCACAACGACTTTGGTATTGCATTTGGCGGTACTACAAAATCCAATCAACCACCCAAACAACCCGTTGCTATGCCAACCAACGCCAGCCATGATGATCCTGCTGCCATCCACGTACCAACAGGTTTCTTGTTGACACTTGACAACACTCTTCAACGTGGCATTTATTCTCAAGAAGCCTATCCCGCTCTTCCTACGCTTACTGCATCTGCATCAAGGAAACGATTCTATGAACCATTTGAGACCGTCAATATCGAGGTATTTGGTTTGGGTGACGAAAAGGCACGTCAAATCCAAGAACGGGAGTGGAACTTTGAGAAACGAGAAGCATTACGTCGTGCTGGACTTCAATTTCGACAAGCAGATGGCAACAAGGTGGATCGTGAATTGTTACGCATGGCGGGTATCATTGATGACGACAATCGGCAGGAACGTTAAAAAATATCCACATCATTTCAACTTGTACATATATCATCATCATTTTGGAGAACAATAAAGAATATGATAGCCCCTGCATATGCATTCTAACCAGGTACCACTATACTACTGTTTCAAAGTGCGTAATGTTGTTGTCTATGAATTCTAAATCCCACTGACATACCATCTAATAAAAAAGCCATGAGTATGACATTTTCAGCTATAAAGAGCCTGCAAAAACCATCACTCCATCGAATTGATCTTGCTTACATACCCTCACTTGTCATCATGGTAGTTGGCAAATCATCCATGCTAGCGTCAACGTTGCTGCTGTTGGTCCATGTGTGCCTTGCAGCTGCAGCAGAAAAGATGTTGATCGGGTAAGGAGACACACACATACATACGTGCACATGATCAATCATGCGATGGCTCATTCATCCCATAAAAGTTACTTTCCCAATTGGCTGTACGCCAATTACCCAGTGGAACAAATCCCCTATGAAAAATACACTCACCTTAATTATGGTAATAATGATGACCATAGTGCCAATGGATGGAACCTATTATTAACGTGCATGCATGCATCATGTAGCCTTTGCTATTCTCAACAATGAGGACCTCTTACCCTCTTTTCCTGATGACTGGGCTGTCGAGTTTTACCTTCCAAAGTTAGTGTCTTTGGCTCATCAAGCTGATACCAAGGTGCTCTTATCGATTGGTGGCTGGACAGGTTCACAACGTTTCAGCTCCATGGTGGCAAGCCCCGAAGCACGCCAACGATTTATTGATTGGAATGTGAACTTTATTCGCGACTATGGCACTGATGGCGTTGATATTGGCAAGTGGATTGTGAATGGGACTGCTGATGGATATGGGGTCTAACATCAATCTTTAGACTGGGAATACCCGGGTCGTCAGGGTGCAGGATGTAATGAATATGAAACCAATGACGCTGACAACTTTTTGGTGTTGCTCAAAGAACTCCGTGAAACATTGGATCAGGAGTTTGCCGATGATTACAAGGAAATTTCGTTGGCTGTTCACGTGGACCCATTCACTGGTAGTGATGGTAAACCCATGGCCGATGTATCTGCTTATGTGCCTTACTTTGACCACATCAATCTTATGACCTATGGTAAGAAGAGCTGCATGGAGATGATAGATGTATTGATATTCATACTCTCCTTTCTCTTTTAGACATTAATGGCGCATGGGCTACTGAGACTGGACCTAACGCACCCTTCCAACGTGAAGAAGGCAAAGGTGCTAGCTATTCATTTGTCGAGAGTAAGTTGTTGCAGCCATCAAGATTGATTTTGTGTGGCTGATATCCAAGGTTAGGTATCAAGGCATGGAAGGATGCAGGTGTGCCTGGCAACAAGATGACGGCAGGTCTTGCATTTTATGGTCGATCCATCAAGGCACAAGTTGACATGTCTCAAGATCCTTCATCACAATATCAGCCTGCTATTGTTGGTGCTCCCAAGGGTGATTCAGATGATGCTTATTGGGCTGATCCTTACTGTGCTGCCGATATCGATGGTGTTTCAGGTGTATGGAAGTGGACTAATTTGCGATCCGAAGGTGTCCTTGGAGATGATTGGGAAACCACAGGCCAAGGATGGGTACGCTATTGGGATGATGTATCCAAAACACCATGGCTTTTCCATCCTGAAAGCAAAGTCTATGTTTCCTATGACGATCCAAAGTCGATTGGTATCAAGGTGGATCATGCACTATGTGAGGATTTGGCTGGTGTCATGATTTGGTAAGTATACGTGTAGAACTCTTATTTTTCTTGGCACTCACAAGGAGGTGGGTTTTAAAAAAAAGGGATCTTCATCAAGATAACGGTGAATTATTGAATGTGGCCCAGCGTATCCGCAGCAGCAATACTCCTGCATCTTGCTCTATCGAGGAGAGTAGTGTCAATTCCATGGCTGCTTCTTCACCACCACGTGTATCAGCACAAGCAAGCAGTGTTCAACAAAGCGCACCTGCCAGCCGAACCACCTTTACCACCACCTCACGATTGGTTGTGCCAAGTAGTTCCATTGATAGTGTCGTTGCACCCTCCTACCAAGCTGCATCTCCCGCATTAGGCCATCCCATTGATAGTGAAGCATGCAACACCCCTGGTGAGCAACGCTGTGTCGATAGTGGTCGATCACCCGATTGGATTACATGCAATTTTAACAAGTGGGTCGTGCGTTCATGCTCCGCTGGTGCCGTGTGTCATGATAACCAGCAAGGTAAGTAATTCATCTATCTATCTAGGTAGATTTTTCCATGCTGCCAATGCTAATGCCCCAATGCTAAAATGATCATATAGGTAGTTTCTTCTGCGGACTTGCAGATACGGTGTACTAAAACAAAAAGCCTATTCCCATCACCACCACCACCAATCACGTTTTGCATACAATCTTCTAAGTTTATATATTGGCCAGCAATAAGAATATGGTTTTACAACAAAAAAATGAGGGAATTGTGAGCGTGGGCTGTTGTTGCGTGGTGTGTTGTATTTATTATGCTTGATGTGGGGGGAGAGGGTAAGGGCAAAAGGAGGAAGGAAAGGAAGAAGAAGAAGAAGAAAAAAGGTGTGGAGCAATAATTTAGTCATCCTTCTTGTGGATAGTCTTTTGGTAAATGCGAAGACCATCATCCTTGTGACCCTTGATAATACCAAGACCCACAGATTCAGTATCAGGATCAAAGGAGGTGTAGAAAGCGTTGGTGAAGGGAGTACCAAGGACCCAGTCGCGATCAGAGTCACCCTTACGAATACGAGTAGCACAGCAGTCGCGATCAGCATCAATCTCACGGATCCAGTACTTGGGTGGCAACTCGACAATATGGTTCTCCAAGGTCAATTTCAAGGTAGGCAAGTTCTTAACTTCAGAGCACTTGATGCCATAGGTGTTGGTGGAGTGGTACAATTTCAAACCAAAGACTTCTTGGAAAATGTCGGCTTGATCAGAAGGCATAGTGATGAAACCATTGGCTGTGCTGATAGAGGCGATAGCATTGGGCTTTTGCTTGATGTTGAGGTTGTATTCAAAGTTGGCATCCTTGATGCACACATCCCAGTTCTTTTGAGAACCTTCAGGCACATCAGCAAGAGGAATGTATTCCATATCACCATCCAAGAGGCTCTTGTCAACACCACCCAAGATCAAATAACCATCGGGTTGCTTGTTGTTGTTACGCTTGGTGAAACCAAAGCCGCCGTTGGTGATAGCGCCATCTTCATCATCGTTGCCGTCTTCGCCATCTTCGTCAACGTTGTCACCACCGTTGCTAGGTTGCTGGGGTTGTTGTTGACCGTTACCAGTCGTACCAGGTTGTTGTTGTTGACCATCGGTAGCGGTGCCAGGCTGTTGTTGACCATTGCCAGTAGTAGTACCAGGTTGTTGTTGGCCATCGGTAGTGGTGCCAGGTTGTTGTTGGCCGTTGCCAGTGGTAGTACCAGGTTGTTGTTGACCATCAGTACCAGTGGTAGTACCAGGTTGTTGTTGGCCATCAGTACCAGTAGTAGTGCCAGTTTGGCCATTGTTGGTAGTAGTTGATCCACTATCAGTAGTAGATCCACTGCCAGTGGAAGCACCATCTTGGGAGAAACCATTGTTGTTATTGGTAACCATGCCAAATTGAGCACTTTGGACGCTACCGGATTGGTAGGCATTGGCAACGAAAGCAGAGGATGGCAAATCAGCACGCTTGGCCAAGTGACCAGAAGAAGAAGAATAGATCTTGGTCTTGTTAAAGTCAACGCTGCGGCCGAGACCCAAGTAGCCATCGAAACCATCATCGAAACCACTCATGCGATAGGCACCACCGAAAGGCATGTTCTCAACCTTGATGCCATTGAATTCAACAGTATCAAGATAGACGTGGGTGTCGACACAAGCATCACCATATTCAACAGAGAACTTTTCACCGGTGGAGACAACTGAATCGGAGCGACGCGCATAGTACGTGCAGCGATCAAGGCAATTTTCAGATTTGCAGCGAGAGCCACGCACCCAAGAGTACCCCGTGTTGGTATCAAAGGCCATAGTGAACTCCTGAGGAGGGTTGCCAATATACACCTTGCCAGCAAGCACACCATTGTCAAGAGCCTCACCAGCAGCAGTAACAATACCACTGTCAGTGCGACGGTATAAAGGAATGCGCATGGGGTCGGCCATGGCCGTCAAAGCGAGCTCTGCAAGAGCTGCAAGGCACAGAAATGTCGTACGCATCGTAATTGTGTTGTTGTTGTTATTGAATCGTCGAGGTGGTCGTCGTTTGTCGTCGTAAAGATAAAAAGGATTGGGAAGGTTTTGTTTTTTGTTTCTGGTGCAAAAGTAATACTGAAATAGCGCGTGTGCAGTAATAAGATGTGATGGATATATGTGAGTTGTTGATATACGAGAGAGAAGGGGGGGATAATAGCTTTTTACCTTTCTCTTTCTTTGGTGTATCTACAGCAGCGGAAACGAAAGGGAGTGAAATGCAGAGGCGAGAAAGAGAGAGAAAGAGTAAGGACACCGGATAGTGAAAAAAGAAAAAGAGAGAGGAGAAGGGTAAAGATAGGTTCATCGTCGCACTCTCGGAGTGTAAGTTTAAAATGACCAAGAGGAACGTTACAGGAGCCGACACAAACGATTGGGTAGCTTGAATGCATTTTCTATTTTGGTGCTATTGTCTGGATCCCCTTGTTGATTGCTCTTTTCCTTTTATGACCCTCTTTAGCTTCTCTTGTCCTTACAAGTGCAATTCTTTCAACGGCGTAACCATTCCATTCAATCATCCAACACCGCTTGATGATACAATCGTCCTTCATTATTGACATGTAGCTGTAATAACAATCGCCCATCATCCTCATTTCGCCATGGCTGCACGTGTATCATGAATGGGCTCTTTTGTGCGTCTATCACCAATATATTGTCCAAATTTGCGGTGCGGTCCTCATGCTCGTTTTCCTTTGGCTTGCATGTTACACTGAAATTAAAGTGTTAAAAGACTATCTCAGGGCACAAGATTCTCAAGTAAACACGTACACGCATGCTATGGGTATATGCATGCTGATGGCTATGTATACGTGTATATCATGTATTGGCTTTACTAGCAAAGTCCATGCAACAAAAGAAAAAAAGTGCTGCAAGGGGGGGATGTTGGATGTTGGAATAGGAGAATGGGGTGGTGAGCAAGGTAACCCAGAACAACCCGCCCGATGTTGCTGGTAGCACGAATTATTTCAGTATCAGATGGTGCAACAAGCCAAGTAGCATATAACCCTTTACTCGTGGTGTGGCAACAAAAGAGAAAAAATATGCTGCAAATTCCTGGGGCTGGACTACCTAGTCTGGCCGATCGTTACAAGTACATTATAATGCAGTTGGCGTTCTTTACCACACATGGGTTGTTATGTATCGGCTCGTTGTGGCGGTCTTATCCGGTATAGTACTAAAAATTGACAATGAACATATTGCAGCAGCAGCGGGCCCATGGTGAACACCGTACTACTCGTCACCATTCTCTCGATACATTGGTGTCCCTATGCTAGGATCGGTTCACTTGCCTTTTTCATCCACAACTCACATCCTTCCCCCTAGAGTCGCTCTCCTTTGATCTTGGCTCTTTCTTATTATTCTATCCTTTGTTCTTTTCGACTTTTAAAGACGAAGGAGCGCTGTGTATGAGCGGCATCATCATGTATGTATGTGTCACCTAATGACGATCTCTATTTGCACAAACAAAATGAAGGCTCTTCATTTCTTTGTGAGTTAATTACATAGGTCATGTGCCTGTGTACCTATATAAACCATGATGCTGCATGTATATGTATATGAGAACAATCTCGGTATGGGTCAAAATTGATGGATGGGTGGATGGCTCGCTTGCATGAACCAAAAAAAAATGTGTACCCAAGATGGGAGATTGGCGAGAAACACCCGCCATGATGCCGACATTGAAACTGATACAAAAAGGGGTTACACACTGCGTCCAGAATGTATGTGATCAATGTCGATGGGAGAATCTAGCCATCAACGCCACGTTGTTGCAATAGCTTGTACCAAGATCTTTTCTTGCTATGGTCCGCCGTATCGATTTTTCTGTTTCTGCTTCTAAAACTGTTTCTGCTTCTAATTGTGTACACGCTAAACGGCCATCCCGCCTAAAAAGGGGCGAATGAGGGATCTGAAACCTTGGCGGATTGTCCAGCTCTTGTTCCTCAGCCCACAATCATCTCCGACGAACATTATGCCACTGGTGGTTAACCATGATCCGCCATCAGCTTACACTTGGAGTCATATTATCCTCGAAATACACTAAGCAAGCTTCTTGAAATATGAAAATGTCCCACGCGAAGCACGTGATCATAAATGAATTTAACTTTTATATGAGGACGCAAGCGAGAGGTTTAGTTTTTGGACATCTGATAAGCAGATGTGATGGTAAAATCTTCCTCAAAGATGCCTCGAAGAGCCATGTTCCTATTATAGCTGTCGGATGGCTGAGCACATAGTGAATAGTGGTTGCTGTAAATACGTGCGGTAGATGTTCATGATGAATCATACAAAGATTGAGTATTACTACACGGCTACATTCGAAAAGCCATCTCCCTTTCGAAAGGCAAATAGCTCTTTATAAACATTCAAAGGCCTGGTTACCGCATTCAATGGCCTTTAAAGAAGATATCAAAGTCGTGATTACCCCATTCAATGTCATCCCAATGTATCCAAGGCATGCGTACCACATTCACAAACCTAAGAGATACGTTAAAGGTTTAGTTATTGCACCCCAAAAGGTTAAAGTAGCTACGGCTGATTCAGGATGTACATAGGTATACACTAATAATAGGCTACGTACGAAGAAACCAGTGATCTTGATTGTGGCATCGCTCGAGGTGTCTAAATGGATCTAATAGCGCCTAGGTTGGTGTCATCTCCATGCCAACCAAAATCCTGTTGCTAGGTGTCACTCATAAATCGGTTACCAAGGAGACATTTCACCTTGATCATGGGATGGCTCGAGGTACTAAATAGTGGAACATGTCGTTGCCAGGCATGAAAATCAAAATCATCCACCTGTGGTGATGGAATAACAATTCCATAACCATGGGATCAGAACACCATGCAGCATGCCATGATTCTAATTATTACTACGGATGCTATTTTGGCCTTTGAGAGAATGAAAGAATATACGAACGTTCTATCTAGGATTCATCACATCCTTCGCGAGCAAAGACGCCATCATACACAAACACAACGTAACATGCTTTATTATCGCCTACCTGCTGGCCACGTAAAGCACAAAACAATTACACCCATTCTCATTCATGCAATAGGTATTTGTTGGCTGAAGGCTACACTACATTAGCCTTGTGAAATACTCCTGAACTGTAAAATGTTTACGTGATGATATCTAGGATGAGCTTTCAATGGGCATGATGTGTTCGGTAATATGGCAAGGGATGATGCACCACCCGTTTACTATATTATCAAGCTTGCCTTATGAATGGTTTATGCAATAAGCCATGCCTTGGACGACACCATGTTGATGATGCAGGATCACGGGTAAAAGAAAGTGCTGAGAAGAATATGGCGTAACGATGATGCTGCAGCCTATAACTATACCACAAAAGGTTTCTCGCAGCTGCAGGAACACCTCTCGTGCATGATAGCACATTTATGTTTTGTAAATACATTGTGCCTTTATTTTCTATATTGATTGAGCTCTTGATCCGAATGATCGGGAAGCGTTATACCGGGGTTGCCGCGACCTATGTATCATCATGATGGGATGTGGGATAAAAAAAGATGCTGTATCTGTAAGATAACATGCTCATTCTGTAGCCACAAGGAGCTATCCTTGCATGCTAAACGCCATCAAGTGGAGGGATCTCATCGTATTATCGATCCATTGCCTCGTCTAAATCATCATGCTGACGACCGGAACCAAAGTAGCAAGCACAACCATAGCATAGAGCCTAAGCATGGATGATGAAGAAATCTCGCTTTTCCATGTTTGTGTTGAACCGTGCAACCGGGTATGCCGGTAAGTATTAGTAAATTGTTTGTCACTATATTAAGCGGATCATTTCTTATTATGCTATGATACTAACATCTCCTTGAACCATGATTGTAAAAGGTTGTTTGCACTTTAGTTGTGGCTGTGATCATTATACTCAAGCGTTTAATACATAATAAGATAAGCATCTACGCATGTACATAACGTCTGTGATCCTTGTTTTTTGGAAGGAGTGTATGTGTGTGTGAGGACTAAGGGGGAATAGGGCATGTGCTAGCATCATCATACTATGATACGCCTTGACGATCGTTCTTCATACGGCAACCAAAATGAGTCTCAACCACCTTCTTTGTTTATATCGAACCATGTTGTTGGTGGGATGTTATGATAATAGTGCCATGTGTGCATCGAGATGACCCTTAATGCAGAAAACATATGATTCGTCTTGTCGAATGCATGCTGCATTTCTATTTGCTTTGGTTACTGCTTTGGGCCTCTGTCATTTTTAGGCTTGATGCAGTGTAAGGATTTGGGTTTATGGAATTTTCTGACATGGTGGTATAAACATTGAATTATAAACAATCAAAAGTAGCTGCGTCGTGTGTATGCGAGCGCGCGCGTGTGGAAGAAGGAGAGGATGAAAAGTTAAACAAACAACATGTAGTACCGCTCATGCATGATGTCGGTCACCACATGTATGCAGCCAACAAGACGTTGCATTAGTGTTTGTATATTGTTGTTGTTGCTATAGCACCCGTGATCCTCACGTTACCCCACGTGTGTTGTTGTTGTGTGGAGACAAAGCCTGTCAACATTAATACCCAAGAATGGGGTTATTATCCAAGCCTATGGCTATGTCAATAGGAAGCACTATTACGTGAGCCATTGTGGTGTGCAAGTAAAACCATGTTTCTGGATACGAGGGATACCAGGGTTAAGCACTTTGTAGTAGGAGTAAGGCATATTTTTGCCACTTGATCAATCAAACAAGATTAGCGTTCGCCTCCTCCCGCTTTCTTCTCCTTGTTGGTACTCCTATTACTCAATACAGACAAATGATATCGTGTATCCCGTAATAGCTGGCTAAAGGGACAACTTGTCCGTGCAGTTCTATTTGCAGCGGCGGCACCTTACGAAATGCCTGTGGTGATGGTGGTGGTGGAATTTAGCCATTGCATTCCCCCCTTTTCCCCCTAGTTTGTGTTCCGTATACATAGAACTTTGGTAATCTTTGAACCTTCAGGGGTGATGGTGGTGGATGGAATAGTAAAATGGGCGGCAATCAGCAGTAGCGATAATCCTAACAAAGAAAACTGCTATAAAAAGTGTGCCTGGGAAGAGGACAACCCCACTGTGCACACACCCACATATACCACCAAAGTTTCTCATACTTTAATTCCGAACGCACAAAAGCGAATAATTTACACGATGGTGCACTTAATAATTGGCTTAATCTTTTTGATTGGTGCAGTACTGGCAGCCGAAGACTACTCTTTTATTTCACGGCATTTGGCAGCAAGATCACCTTATGATCAAGGAAGAGCCCCCCTCGAGGATCTTATCAGCAAAGACTACCAGATTGAGCAAATCCAATTGTTCATGCGACATGGTGTTCGTTATCCTAGTAGTAGTGATATCAAGGATATTGAAGATATCGTCAAGAAGCTTCAAGACAGCGAGATGCCACACATCAGCTCAAGGGTGGCACAATACAACCCCGAGGAACAATTCCCAAAATCGCTTGCTGATGAGTTGACCAAAACCGGGGTTGATGATCATTTCCAAATTGGCCAACGATTGGGGGAGAAGTACGCAGAATTTCGCTCATCACTCAACCTTGAAAAGGTGTTGAACCTTGCCAGTCATGTCAATCGAAGCATCATTTCAGGCGAATCATTCACCAAAGGATTTTGGCAAGATGGCAACGCACCACCTCTCAAAAGTGTTCCTTCCAATCAAGATAAGACGATTGATACCTTGGCCAATTGCCCAAATTACGACAAGGTGGTCGGCAGCAAACCAAAGAAGGAAATGTTGCGTTATTATGCTAAGGCCTTTCAACCCACTGCCGAACGACTCAGCAAGGAATTGGGTGTACCCGATATGACTACGGATGATGTCTACAAGCTGTGGTACACGTGTGCGTATCGTACTTCTATTTACAAGCAAGTCCACCCATTTTGTGATTACTTTACAAGACAAGAATTGCTCGATGCAGAGTATGCTATGGATATCAAGTATTCATTCAAATATTCCTATGGATCAGAAGAAATAGCTACGGGGATTGCATGCCGTGGGTTCCAAGAGATGGTGGGCAACATCCGAAACGCTTCTCAGATTCAGCTTGTGCTTAAGCATGGTCACAGTAAAACGGTCTTGCCTCTCGAAGCCAAACTTGGTATCCATCGTGACGACTTTATCATATCAGCGGATGCTACACCCGAGCAAATCAAGAATCGCAAGTTTCGTACATCCCACGATGATATGTATGGTGCCCATTTCATGATTCAACTCCTTAAGGAGAAGGCCTCTGGCAAACGATTTGTGCGTGCTTTGATCTCGGAAATCCCGACTGTGATCCCTGGATGCGAAGAGGAATTGTGCCCACTCGACCGCTTTATGGAAGTTGCAGAGCCTCTTTTGGATTGCGATTACGATGAAGTCTGTAAAGATTAGTAGTAGTATCAGTATTAGTATATCCATGCCATTAAACATACAATGTAACCATTACCTTATCGTGAGCTAATATCGCTGCTACTACTGGTTGCCATATCAACAATGCGTGTGCGTGCGTATACAAATATAGAAAAAAGGTTGACAAGGACCACCCGACAGTAGCTGCTACTAGCAATAAAGGCCTTTTTTGTCTGTGCACGCAAAGTGTGAGAATACTGAATGCCAATGCTGGTGAAAAAGTATGGATTCGGGTCGCATGTTGCAATGAGGTCGGGAACGCCATTGGAGTCAGCTGATCAAGTGGGCACCACAAAGAGTATAATTGAACCTTTTTGCCAATGGAGTGTGTGTGAATTGTTGCTCATTAGGCAGTTGGAGGCTTTTGTTGGTGTCTCATTGTGTGTTTGGTTGGGGGCAACAGCGTGGTTTGCTCGTGGCCAACGTGCGGGGTAAAGCTGACAGGCTCTGTATCACATTCTTGTTGACTCAAGGTGGCTGTTGCTGTTGTTGCCGGGCTACTCAGCTTGTGTTGTCCGCGCAACCACATTTATGCTATCCAGAAAAATTGCAGCGTTTCATACTCAAAAAGAAACATATGGGGGGTGCTATACAAGTTTGTTTATTGGTGATTGGCATTATTCCTATACAGGCTCATTAGATACCGCTCGCCTATGAGTAAGCCTGAAAGAGGAAAAAGAAACCTTGGAAGCCGAAGAACATGAGATAAGCCGATCTACTATACTCGAATAATTTTACTACCTTATGGCTAATATCACCTTTACCAAAAGACAAATACACATTTCACTCCCATGTACAAAAGCCATTATTCCCTAATACAGCGAGAAATGTCTCCTATATACAAAACCTAAAATTCAAACCTGGTAATGATATCAAAAGCATAGCAACCATCCTCCTGCAAAACGTGTTGTCGACATCATGATGCGTATATACATGTATCGAAGCACACGAATATACTGGTACATTAGCGTGTGATATAGCATGTCCAGGTGATGCTTGCATCAATCACAGTGCGCCACACATTGCTCACATGAATAAGCTCCATTTCTGCGCTAACAATACGCATGCATAAAGATACATTCTCAATTGGCATCCATTATTCTTTTTACGCCAAAACGATATGACGAGATCAGGGTGCACGCATAATCCCGCTATACTGTGATTTGATGCATAATGAGTTAAATCATATTGGTGCACCGTCCACTCGCTATCAAAAACGTCGGCGGTCTTTGACCTTGCAGAGTCGGGCTCCATAACCGAGAACCGCATGGGCGTCTGTCATTTTCTCTTTCTTTGTCACCCCCGATCCTTTTTGATCGTCTCTGGTTAAATCTGGGTAAAAGGAATTGATATTACTACATAGTATTAGATCAGTGAGCGGTGGTTAGGTGATTGAAAATATGATCAAGGGAACCAGCACATTGAGCAAGGCATCTTGTATGAGATAGGTAGAGTCGGGGGAGGCGAACAATAAGAATGTCCATCATTACACGAGGACGTCACAAAAGTGTGTGTGGAGCATCTCGATTTTTAGGAAGATCAAATTGCTACCATAAGTGTGTCTGTATACGTTATATGGCATTATGGTGTCCATTAACCCCACACAAGCCCACATAGAGGGGAGGTGAAAAAAGTGAGATAGGACAAGAAGACAACGGATGAAGGTGAGAAAATCTAAGGGGGGAGGGTATGATTGGGGGGAACATGCGTGCCTTTTCAAGAGGGGCCGTTTTTTTAGCGTACGTCAGTGGTATGACAGTGACACGGGAAACATACAATTTGTGGGAAAAGTACCGGTATACTAGCAAGATTTGTTTGATATAATTCGCACCAGTGAAGGCAAAGAAAGTGATCCAGGGGGGTGTAGAGAGTATTATGTTGAAGGTCTGATGGGTGATATGTGATAAGGCAATTCGCCGCGATCAATACAGCTACTATGGTCGTATAACCATTGCTGCATTACCCGCTTATCACCTTAAACGATAAGATAATACGGATTGAGCAACATTGAGATTTAGCCAAAGAGCGACAATTATAGTCACAATCTAGGCATATTGACCAAGGACGATCATCTTTCACCTTTGAATGAAGGTATTTTGCCATTGATGATTATAATTCCTCTTTGGTCAAGGATTTCACCATCGACGATGATATTCACCATAAAGGTGAGAAATTATATTCACCATATGGGTGGCAACTTGCTGTGGACCAGCCTCAATGAGGAACCGACACATGAGAAATATACTCCAAACGGACGAATCACATGCGGCAAATCGGAGTCTGCTGGTATACCTGAAAGTAGGACATACTGGGGCGCCGTTTCCTATAAAACCAAGGCAAGTTTGTTGTATCCTTTTGCATCATCCACATTTTTATCTAATCCTTATCTTCGGCTTGTGATCCGCCAACCCTTCTTTGATCTTTAATCGACATCGACACCAGCACAACGCAACGATGACACAGTCAAATACCCACAACAGGTCCGAGGACCTTGGATTTCCCAAGTACATGACATTTTGCGCAGTGATAGCTGCGATCTCGGGTTTCAATGTTGGCTGGCATATCAGTATGTAAACAAAATGCATCATGCAATGCGAGTGTAAAATCATGTCAAACTCAAAAATTAATTCGGCAATCGTCAACAGGTGTTCCCAACATGCCTGAAGAACTCATCACCAAATGTACCGAAGGCACTGATCCCATTTCAGGATTGCCTGCTTGTTTGCCTATGGAGGGACAAACTTGGTATGTGCTTATTCACTCATTGCGGCATAGCGGCTTAAAAACCGCGACACCGTAATGAAACATAAAAAGAAAATTTCGAAACTCATCATGCATCGGCCTTTTCCTATTTAGGGGGTAAATGATTCAAGAACAATTCCAGCAATAGGAGGGTAGTGAAAACTAACATTTGATCCCACATCCATCAGCTACACTATCGGTGCCTTCGCTTTGGGTGGTCTTTTCGGTAGTTTGGCTACCATGTTTACCAACCGCATCTTTGGTCGTCGTGACAACATTATGATCTCGTGTGGCTGGTTCATTGCTGGTGGTCTTCTTTCATCTGTTTCTATTAACATTGGCATGGTAATTACAAACTCAAACAGCTACCTTCTCCGCCTGCTTTTTTTGCTAATTGCAATGTCGTCATAACAACTACAGTACTCGGTTGGTCGTGCTTTTGTCGGTATCGGCGCTGGCATGTGTGGCTCCTCGGTTGCTATTTACGTCTCTGAAGTCTCTACCAAGAAGAGTCGTGGTGCTCTTGGCTCGCTCTTTGAATGTTTCCTCAACTTGGGTATCTTGCTTACCCAAGTTTGTGGTTTGTACATGAGCTATGGTTCCGTTTGGCGTCTTCTTTGGGCCATTCCCAGTTTCATTGCCGCTATTCAGCTTGTCGCTATCTTGTTCTTGACTGTGGAGTGCCCTCGTCGCTTGTGTGCTATGCAACAATATGATAAGGCGCGGGACGCCTTGCAACGTCTTCGTGGTGATGCTGATATTGAAAACGAATTCCAAATGCTTATCGATGCTCGTCAACGTGAAATCGAAAGTGGTACCAAGATGATGAGCATTATCGAAGTCCTCATGTGCAAGAGCCGAAGAGTCTCATGGCTCACTCTTATTGTTTGTGTCGTTCAAGCTTACAACCAAGTTGGTGGTGTTGGTCCTATGTCTGGTAAGTGTTTTCTATTGTCTCACTTTTTTTAAGATCCCATGGCTAAACATGATCCATTCTTTTTTAGTCTACTCTGTCGGCTTTTTCACTGATACCTTCAATGGTGACAATGACCTTGCTACCAAGATTTCGCTTGCCAACGCTACCGGTAACTGTGTTGCTACCTTCATTGCCTTGGCAACCATGCACAAGGTTGGTCGTAAGGGCTGGATGTTAATTTCCTTGCTTGGCCAAACCATTGCTTCCGTTTTCATCGTCATTGCTTCCACCCTTGGCAACTTGCCCGGCCTTGTTATCACTGGTGCTATTCTTTTCACCTTCACCTACAGTACCGGTTGTGGTGTTATTCCATGGCTCATTGCTCCCGAATTGCTTCCACTTTATGCCTTGCCAGCTGGTTCTGCTCTTGGTAACGCCAGCAATTGGGCCACCAACTTTATCATCAATACTTGCTGGCCTTCTATGAACGCTGCTATGGGCACCTACAGCTTCACTTTCTTTGCTGGTGTCAACGCTTTTGGTTTCCTCTTTGTGTTGTTCTTCATGCCTGAAACCACCGGCAAGGATCTTGACCACCATGATGACAAGAACGGCTCTACCGCTGATTCGGAGCATGATGTTGATCACAAGTCTATTGAACACCATGTCGATCATGTCGAGGTCTCCAAGTGAACAAGCCCTACTCCTCGTGATACACATTAAAGAGCTTGCTATCCACTGGATGTGATGATTTTTTTAACCTTATACTCTCTTATTACACTTCTTTACTCTTTCCTTTCCTTATGTATTATAGCTGTACCGTTGTAAATATGCATTATTATTGTGAAATCAACACGTCTTTTGGATGATACCTCGTCCTTTTCCTTAATAAGCTGCTGTTCCATATTTAGAATGTGTTAATATGCCGACTGATCGTTGTACCCAAAATCTCGTTCTTTGTACATTCGTCGGATTTACATCCCCGCAATCAAGTGATACAATGAGGCGCTCTATTGCACCAATCGAAGTAAATTACCACATACACTCTTCTTTGTTTCATTCGTAACTGATTTTCCCACACCTATCTCTCCAAAAAAAAGGGAAAAGGGAGAGATCCCCAAACCACCATTTGGGGTTGTGTATATCTTTGTATGACCACAGCTCGATTTTCCCCACAGCTTCTTCATGGAGCACACAAATCATACCTCTTGTCACCCACCCCACAGATCCTAAAAAGGGCATTTGTTGGAAACCAAAGAAAGATCTACATGACGCACTTGACATTTTGACATCTCATCTAAACCGGTAACCGGGTAGTTGCGTATCACTACGACCTACTCTCAATCATGTGCTCTCTTTTTCCCAGCAGCCCAATATCCGGATCAACGAAACATACGTATACCACGTACATCAAGAGCTATATTTTTCATTACAATGTTCCCACGTGACCATGATATCGTGTTTTTATTCTTGGGGAATGGGAGGAGTATGTTGATGAATGTCATGTGATGACCTTCTGGAATGATCCAAGAAGTAAAAGATGATGTAATGGCGAAACAGGGGCACGGAGTAATCAATCAATGTAATGTCATGGTGAATGATACGTTATTGCAAGGATGATGTGGATAGGACCATGGTTATCGCTATAATTGAAGGGGAACAACTAGGAAGGTAAAGAGGGAAGCGCTGTCGTTGCTTGAAAAATCATGCATCCACCATTTTCGGAGGAACTTGCTCCTTCTTCCAACTACTACCACCGCCACCACCATGACACGCGATCCAATGAGCAAAAGAGACCACCACAAACACTGAGCATGTACTTGAAGAATGCCGAAAGCTGACGCAGCTACTACAGCAAACAACATAAACCGACAATGGAGCGACTCATTAAGCAGCATCGTCAACGTCGCGTAGGCGAGCCACAAGCAGAGGATTTCAAGCAGCCAATGCAACAGCAGCAACAACAACATTGATCGAGTGAGCCAAAAGCAGAGGAACTTTGTGAAGTCATTGCAGCATCGTCAACGTCGAATGAGTGGTCCAAAAGCAGAGGGACTTCGTGAAGTCAATAGAGCAGCATCGTCAACGTCGAAAGAGTGGTCCAAAGGCAGAGGCACTTTGAGTAGTCCATGCAGCAGCGTTTTCAACATCGAATGAGTGGTACACAAGCAGAGGCACTTTGTAAAGTTCATGCAGCAGCGTCATCAACGTCGAGTGGCCATGGCAATATTAGAGTTGAAGCGTGATTTACCACTTGCGGTGATTTGATCCTTTTCCAGAATGCATTGGAAGCACAAGGCAACCACTCCATAGGATGGATCTTATTGGATACAAGTCATCGACGATCATACACGACGCACATTCACGCTTTTCGCATCAATCAACCAATCTTACTTCTCCATTGGATGATACATCATTCCACGTAATCGATACCAAGGGGCGATCACTCTATCACATTGTTCCTGAATACATACGACATCATGAGTCAGAAGTTTTTTTGATCTGAATGGCGCGGTGTTTGGTGTGTGTGCTATTTGACAGCAGCGGCGTACAGCAGAGTCAACCTTACATGATATGATGATGAACAACCACGTCAACTTCCGCAATCGATCTTCCATGTCAATCATGATAATACGACTTTATCTGATATCTCGTATGCTTGGTTAAGGGGCCAAAGGATCACACTCGCGGATCGGAGGATTGCACGGCCCGTGTCACCCACACCGTGGGTGCGCGCGCTTTGTTACCTTGGCAACACGACAGCAACAACAACCGGATCAAGTCCTATTTCTGCTTTGAAGGCAGCAGCACTTACAGCTTACAAGAATCGATTAAGAATGACGAGACGATCCTATCTTATGACACAACGACCCACTCACTACTGGTATCCTTGGCAACGTTGTACTATTACATAGCCAACGTGGCTGATGGTGCATGTGTAACTACATACATCGGTTGCTTTGACTCATCGCGGGAATAAGGTATGTGATATGGCTCTATATATATTGGGCGTGATCCCTCGTTTGTTTCTTGTTCAAAGCTCACAAAGAATATCTGATATGACCAGGATATCGGTCCTCTTTACCCTATTCAGTCTGCTCTGTCTTGGCGTCAGCAGCAGTGCATTGGACGCTGGCAACAACAATGACATTTTCGCCGAATTGGATCCAAGCTCTTACTTTCGAGGCACCCCCAAGAATGTTTTATTTGGCGTAACAGCTGGTGGCTCATCACATCATAGTTGGGTGATGCGTGTCTTGGATGAACTAGTTCGCCGAGGACATAATGTTACCTATGCAACCACGGTAAGTACAATGATGGTTAAAAGTCTAGTCATGGTATACTCATCGGGATGTTTCACTACTACTATAGGATGACAGTTTACGATTTAGCCGGCAACGAAAGCATATCAAGGCAGTGTCAGTGGGACCGCCTCAGATGGATGATCCTCGTTTAAGCCTGAGTGATATGGGATTTCCAATGCCCTTCAGTGTACTTACAACGGTGTTTGATATTATGGGCGAACATTACCCAACAAGTAAGCAAGGAACAAAAACAATGACTTTTTAGATACTAACGCACGAGCCATTTATATGTAGACTATCACGCATTCGTGGACATTATCGAAAAGGAATCCATTGATGCAGTGATTTGTGATCACGTGTCCTATCCATGCTTTGATGCTGCCAAAAAGACCAATCGACCTTTTCTAGTTTCCATGATGGTAAATGAAGCACCAGGTAATGAGACAAGAAGATGGAGGGTAAAAAAAATGGGATATTGACGTTGCTTGGATATATAGAGACCGATTTGCCCTATATCAACAGGAATCCATTTGCCATGGAGGATGGTAACACGCAGGATATGACATACAGCCATCGTTTTTACGATGCGTTCATTTACCCGGTGAAAGCATTGTGGCATTTGGGACCGGCTCTATGGCGATTCAAGCAAAAGGTGGAAGCATTGGATATACCTGTTTTCGAGAGTCGATGGGAAAATGCAGTCAAGTTGGTCAACAATTTGTATGGCATGGATGATCCAAGACCCATGGGACCTTTGGTGGAGCTTGTAGGCCCTATCTATAACGACCATTTTGATTCATTGACGCCCGAGTTTGCCTCTTTCCTTGACACTCACAAGCGTGTGGTGTACGTCGCCTTTGGTCAGCATTCTCAATCCAAGGATCATCAAGAATCAACACGTGTCTTACAAATGCTACTCAACAACTACGAAGCGGGTGTATTGGATGGCTTTATTTGGTCAGCAACCAAAGGAACACCCTTACCGGATCATGTGACCACTTCCTCAGACACCCATTATCAACTTGATAGCCCCGAGTTTGCAAAGATTGGCAAGATTGTACCATGGGCACCCCAAACTGGTATTTTGCGACATCCTTCGGTGGTGGCATTCGTTAGCCATAGTGGACTCATGTCCTTATTCGAAGCCTTATACCAAGGCAAACGTATCCTTGCGTATCCGTTGTTGACTGATCAATTTGCCAATGCCAAAGGACTCGAACGTGCAGGTGTTGCCTTGCAGGTGCCACTTTCTGAAAGGCTGGATGTGGATCGAATGACGGAGCTATTGGGTCGTGTCGTGGAAGACAAGGATGGTTCGATACAACAAGCTGTCAACCGATACCAGGCATTGTTTCAAATCCATGGTCGTGGTGGTGTGGATCGAGCAGCAGATATTGTGGAAGAGGTGCTTTACACTGCGGATAGTCAGGGCCGTTTACCTCATCGACATGATATTGCACGCAACTTGTCCTTTTTGAAACGCAACAACTATGATCTCTTTCTTGGTTTATTCACCCTCTTTGCATTGATAGCTGTATTGCTACGACAAATCATCAAATTACTATCATCATCCTCATCAAAGCAAAACAAGTTGAAATTACAGTAATAATAAAAAAGCTTCTTTATTTATTCGAGATCCAGCTCGGCATCTGCTGCTAGAATATCTTGTAAACCGGTTGATTGATCATAAAGCTGATTCATCCACATGAGATCATCCACAAGGTCTAGCTGTGCATCATCCCATCGTACACTGCCATCATCTGGTTCCGAAGGCATGGTAGCTACATTGATCGGTACTGGACCCTCCTCTTCAGGATCATAAATGATCTTGTCTTGACTTGATCCTTTGACATATTCAATGGGCTCCACAGCATAGACCACCTTGACTTTTTTGGGTCGAACAGGATCAGGTGTAGGTGGTGTTGAGAAAGGACATAACAAATCACTTGCGTCAAAAGGTGTGTGATGTTGTTGCCGTTCACATGTGGATACACGTGCATGCCATTGAGCCGCTGTTGTATCGAGAGCATCATGCGTACGCAAATAACCCCATAAGTCCAATACAGGAAGATCTTCAAATTCAGAAGGTAATCGATGGTTGGGAAGTTGAGCAAGAATGGTATCACGTTGCATGAGTGGGACAAGGAAAGAGTGGATGGCATTGTTCCTTTTGGTTGTCGACTTGACATGTGTGCCCGTTTCCAAATGGTTGGTAGAAAATGATTCGAATTCTTGAAAGTTGGGGTAGAGCATGACATAGGCGCGTAGATAAACAAGCTCAATAAAGTACTTTTTCCATGACTTTTTCCATCGTTCGCTGCGACTATCGGGCACCGTGATATTCAATCTTTTGGGAGGCTGATCCAAATCGGCTAATCGAGCTGTAAGGTACTGATGGAATTCTCGCCAATGCTCAGGAAAGTAAACAGCACCCCAACTACAGGGCACTTGGCTCACATACGGCATCCGTGGTGGGAAATGATTCACTAATACATGATCAGGATGAAAAGGTCGTCTTCCAGCAGGATGTAATTCCAAATTCCTTGGGGAGTACAAGCTCACACCATACAGCCGTTGCCGTAAATCATCATTTTCTTTGCTTTGGTGATATCGATATTGCAGGATGCTGTATTTGGCCCATACATAAAACAGTGGAGATACTTCAACGTCATCTTCCAGTAGCACGGCATACTCATCATCACTTCCTGGATACCATGATTCCACGATAGCAGGCATCAACCCACCCTTACGAATTCGATGTCGCAGTATCTTGGTTCCATGTCTCCATTCTAAGCCATTGACTAGCATTCGTGTAGCGGGATCGGATGATTGTTCTAGATGAACCACGAGATCAATCTTGTCGCCCAAGTAAAAGGACCGATCAGCCGATTGGAATAAACGAGAGAGTGCATGGGGTCGTCGGTCCGTAATGATGACAAGCTTAATTTCAGGGCGATGCCATTCTAACATGAAAAGATCAGCCTCCTATTATTTAATTGCTACCCTATTACTTACGTTCCAATGCATCCAATGGTAATTGAGCAATCCATAAAGCGTGAATGATATGATCAATGGGAAGTCCAATAGACACTGTGCCATCCAAATGCGCCAATGAGGAGGAGAGAGCATGCTGCTTGCCTCGATCGGTGTATAATACGACACGTGGCTCGAGTACTTGAATCAGCTGTGAAACACCAGTAATGACTTGCTGCGCCATAGCATTGCTTGTATCATCGGCAAATCCAAGATTCAAATCATGCACAATGACCCTTTTACCACAATCATCGGTTTGACGTAATGTTTCTTCCAATGTCCTTCCTGCCAATCCTCTTGCTGATCCTGTCACCACGGCATGCACTGTATACTCGAAACGACACATGAGAGGAATGAACGCCATTGCTTGATCCACTCCATCCACTACAAATAGCACCGTATCCAATTGCTTGATGGCTCTTCGCATAGTGGATTGCCGATAATCCAAGGCTGTTGGCGTTGTCTTTAATGAAAAGAGTTGTTGCCATGGTTGATGTTGCTTCCATTGTTGTTGGACACGTTTACAGCTTTGTTGATGAATTTGTAAGTGTGGGAGAGATGGCAAAGCAAGGGTGGGTATATTGCCATGTTGTTGTAGTGCCTGTGATATATAGTAGCCGGTGGGTGTATTGTAAAGTGATGGTTGTTGTTGTGATGGTGGATTGGATAACAATGATAGCCATGTTTTGCGCATAAACCAGGAATCTGTCAGCATGTCGACTGGTTGAACAACGTGAGGCAAACGTGTATCATCATCAGCAAGGCATATGATCTCCTTTTGTTGGGTATAAAAGTTGGAAGGTAAAAGGATACCAGTGTTCATGGTACCAAGTAGTGCGCCTTGATACGAGGAATTTGCCAAATGGATCATTGTAGCTGCATAATCGGATGATGTTGGTTGAACGTTGCTATGATCCAGTATCCACACCCATTCCTCTGTTGCATCATTGTCGTTGTTGATCAAAGGTGCAATCGAAGCCAACCACGGTGATTCTCCTGCCGTGCCTTTCTCATAACTTGCCACTGGTTCCTGAACCACTACATGTATATCCATTCCATCTTGTGATACTGGAGCATCCATTGCTTCGGGTACAATCAGCCACACTGTGCGAGGCTTCAATGATTGAGTAGCCAAAGATCGAATTTGGGCTTGGATCAGGGCCTGGTCGGTCACACGGACAATCACTGTCAAAGCTGCATGAACTGAAGTAGCTTCAGATGTCGTCAAATCATCTCCTTGTTCAACATAAGCTTGTATTCGATGCACTCGACTGGTCATCATCTTGTTTTCAGGTACTCTAAACGACCATCCATCTATTATTAGTGTAAGATATCATCACGCGCTCATGATCACACTCCCCCCAACTCTTTACCTTGTCTCCATGACTCAAACGACGGCCAAAATGTATCTGTAAACGTCGGTATGGAAACCGTTTTTTGTAGTGGTGGTGTTGTTGTCGTCGAGGCATTGGCATTGTGATCCGAGTCGTTGGTCTGGACTATGGGCAGGTCGAGGACTACCGGAGATGACGGTGGCTGGATGAATTGACGCACCAATGCTGTTATGACGACCAATGCAAAAAAGTAAACCAAGAGACGAGCATGGCGTTTATTATGAAAGTTGGACCAGGGCATATGCACAAAGCCTGCTTTGTGTTGTTGTTGAAGTGGTGTTGTTGAGAGTGTGTGTGTGTGTACAAAAAGAAAAGAGAGAAGAAGCGGTGGCAAAATTGAAGAGTCAAGCTCCTACAGAGCGATCAAATCATTGCATGTTTATGCTGCTTTGGTGCTACAATCGGGATTTGAGATGCATCCGTTCTTTACTATAGCAGTCTTAGAATATGAGCATTGTTCACTTTATTCACAATGGGATGATATTGTAAGGGAACATGATAGCTAGCACGATACCAGTCACCAACCCAATAAATGAAAAGACCATCATCATTATAGCAGTCCCTGACAATGAAGAGTTGTCATTTGAATGATAAATGGGTAGCTGGATGGAACGTCCACAGCAAATCGAGCGAATAGCACGACAGCAAAGAGATACAAGGTACCCAGCCAACATTCCTGCTAATGCACCAGCAAGCATATTTGCAACGATGGATAATCCATAATTGAATACCATAGCGGTAACGTGGGCAACACCGCTCCAATCATCCCAAAGTAAAGTCGTATCAAATGAATAACGAACCCACAGATACACCATCATGGCTACTCCAGCAATCACTTCCACCAGCAGCATGTAAGGGTGGACAAGGATACCAAAAAAGCCAATAGCTCCGAGTGACTGTAAACATGCAAATGCACTGCCGCCTGAAATAGGATGACAACATGACATGGTTAAGGCAGCCACGCTTCCACCAAGAATACCAGCAGAGGTAAACCCAAGTAGTACTAGTGTTATGGTGAATACAATAGGGAATAGTAATGCACCGCCGATAACGATGCCGATGTTCACCAGGATATTTATATAGTCGATATCAGGAAATTGCATACTGTCGTCGGCTTAAGAGTTCAATGTACGGCTGCTTTTTATGAAAAATGCTCTTTAAGTGTTGTGTGGATACAGTGTAGTGGATGTTCTTGTTACCTGTTAAAGTTTCAAAGGAGAAGAAAAGTAAGCGTATCAAGATCCAATTGATCAGTGTTTTTATGTATTGGAGCTGATGACGCATTCACTGCACATCCTTGATTTGTGATACTTGCGGTGGCAGTATCTGTAGCAGTTGAAGCGGAAGGTATGCCCTATACAGGTTTTTCTTTATACACCCAAACAAAGAGCAACCATTTTTTATCCCTCTATCACATATATGGTCCTGAGCAATAAGGATTGTTCATTGTCAACATCTATAGCCTAGAATTCAGCAATAGGAAATGTAGCTCAAGGACTACAGGCAATGTATCTTTTAGGATCTCCCAAAGCCTTCCACCAAACTACTCGTATGTCACATATACTCAAATTGAATGCTTCCCCCCAAAAAAGATCAAGCCACTAATCCCCCTCATCTTTAACCACACACGGATCAGATGCAACAAAAAGAAGTGATGGTTTCTTATTAGGACACTTGCGTGTATATAAACCCAATCTACTTTGATTCTTCAGCGGCATCACCCTTGGACTCCTCGCCCTTGTCAGCATCTGCATGAGAAAAAAGAAACGTTAGATTGATGATCCATCCCTATCCATTGACAACCTTTTTTGTTACTTACCATCCTGCAAATCAGAAGTCCACAAGGTCAAGTTGTCTCTCAAGAGCTGCATGATGAGAGTAGAATCCTTGTAAGATTCCTCGGAGAGGGTATCCAATTCGGCAATGGCATCATCAAAAGCTTGCTTGGCCAAGTGACAAGCGCGATCGGGCGAGTTGAGGATCTCGTAGTAGAACACGGAAAAGTTGAGAGCAAGACCAAGACGAATAGGATGGGTAGGAGCCAACTCGGTTTGAGCAACATCGGTAGCAGTCTTGTAAGCTTCATGTGCTTGAGTAGCAGATTCACGACGAGCATCACCAGTAAGGAACTCGGCAAGATAACGATGATAATCACCCATCCTAGAATGAATGTCAAATGAGCATTGGTCCTCATGTCATTCATCCCTCTTTTTCTCTCTCTCTTTTCACAAGCCCACTTACATCTTGTAATAAAAGACCTTGGATTCACCACCTTGGGCATTAGGAATCAAGTTGTCCTTGAGCACATTAAGGATATCAGAGCAGACATCTTGAAGTTCTTGTTCAATCTTTTGACGATAAGCCTTGATCTTTTCAACCTGGGCCGAGTTGCCTTTGCCCTCTTCCTTTTGTTCGATAGAAGAGACGATTCTCCATGAAGCACGGCGGGCACCAATCACGTTCTTGTAGGCAACAGACAACAAGTTGCGCTCCTCGACGGTCAATTCAACACCCATCTAATGGATCCAAAATCATCAACAACCATTGGTCTCACTCACAAAGAAGATAAACAACTTACCTTGGCAACTTCCTTGGTGTATTGAACCATCTCTGTAATACCAATGTCTCGTAAGATACTCGTTTTCCCCCTGCCATCCATCACTGCATTTCACATACCGTCATAGCGCTCGGCCTGCTCGGCAAGCTTGGCCATGTAAACGTTATTCTCGCGCTCCTATTCAGCTTTGCCGTTAGTAAAACCATCAATGCAACCATGGCTTCGACGAGATGACTCAATTTTGGAACGTGACCAACACCTTTTACTCAACACAATGGGCCGAGCAAAAAGGGGGAAAGAGAACGCGTTGGATGACAAACGATTCTCAAGTAGATCACAGCCAATTCCCATCAACGAGTGAAACCAAAAGGATGACTTGAAGAGAATACTTACAGAAGACATTAGCTGCAAAGAGGAATCCGGATGAAGTTGTGAAGAAGACGACAACTGCACTTGTCAAACCGCACGCACCACAATCAACTTCATCGATGCGGAGAATGAACTGCCGAGGACGCTTTCCATGGCAATCTATGCTCACTGCTTGAAGAGCGAGGTGGATCACACCAGCAACGCATATCTCATTTCCTTGTAAAAATAGCATGATCATCCAATAAAGCTTACCTAACATCGCTACTGTAATAACGAATCCATGTGATACTTGTTGATACACCATCCCAGGGGTAGTGATGATTGTAAATGGCTCTTTCTTCCTTTGACTACCACGTTTGGCATGGACAAAACAATACAATGATAATGTGTCTTGTACATTGCCTTTGAATGCAGCGTTCAAGTAGGATTACTCTTCCATAATAGTCATACAAAAGGTTCAACATGCCACCTCATACACATGTTGAGCGCTGTGGCAAACTCTTTACTACTATCTGGAGTAAGTCTCAGGGGTTGACGCTATTGAATGGGTGGGTCATGGGGTTGATCATGTGGTATAATTCTTAGAAGCCTCATTGTCACAGGTATCAGTGACAATGGCGCATACATAATGGATGCATTCTTTTCCATCTCCCTAAATCCTCCTTCTGCATACGATAGACCAATTCATGTTATATGGTAAAAGCCCCTGCTGCATTAAGAAAGGAATCATTTTGCAAAATGAAGAGCTTAATTGTTGCTGTAAAAATACTGAGAACCAGCTCAGATGTGATTGTATTATCGGTATACTCTATA